GTGGTCCTCAAAGTCAACATCGTGCTCAGACGCGTTGTAGGTGAGGTAGAGGTAGTTTGTGAAAGCAGGAAACTCGGCAGCAACTGTATCAATCTGCTTGACAAAGGGCTGGATGCCGGCCTCGAGTCTAAGTCTGCGAACAGCAATCTCGTTTGAGCTCCAGAACTTGGCAAGCTGTCGGTCGGAGAAGCCCAGGCGCTTGGCCTGGAGAAGGATGCCGGGGTTCAGCGAAACATCGGTGGTGCTGTATTGAGGCATAGCCTTGGCAAAGTCGCTCAAACCCATGAGCTTGCGGAGGAACCACTTGTCGATTCTGGTCATCTCCCAAATCTTGTCGACTGAGTAACCCTGGTGCATGGCGTTTGCAATAGCAAACAGACGCTGGTCAGAGGGTGTTTGCAGCTCATCATCGATGCTCATGAGAGCCTTGGTCTCGCCAAAGCCAAGGTTGTGGAAATCGATGGCTCGAATAGCCTTTTGGATGGCTTCTTCGAATGTGCGACCAATGCTCATGACCTCACCGACACTCTTCATGGAAGAGCCAAGCTGGGTGGAAACACGAGTGAACTTCTTCAAATCCCATCTGGGCATCTTGACAACGACATAATCGAGGGACGGCTCAAAGCAGGCGCATGTGACCTTGGTCACCGAGTTCTTAATCTCCTTGAGAGGAATTCCGAGACCCAGCTTAGCGGCAATAAACGCCAGGGGGTAACCAGTAGCCTTGGAAGCCAAAGCAGAGGATCGAGACAGACGAGCGTTGACTTCAATAATGCAGTACTCCCTGGAGAAGGGGTTCAAGGCATACTGAATGTTACACTCACCAACAACGCCGAGGTGTCGAATGACATTGACGGCAGTTGTTCGGAGCATGTTGTAGTCCTCGTCAGAGAGAGTCTGCGACGGGGCAACAACAATGGAGTCGCCGGTGTGGATACCGAGGGGATCAAAGTTCTCCATGTTACAAACAGTAATGCAGTTGTCCTGAGCATCTCGGACGACTTCATACTCAATCTCTTTCCATCCCTTCATACTTCGCTCAATAAGAACTTGAGGACTGGCGGCAAAGGCCTTGTGGCAAAGATCCGTCAATTCTTGCTCGTTGTTGGCGAAACCACTTCCTAGACCACCCAGGGCATAGGCAGCACGGACGATGACGGGAAAGCCAATGTCCTTGACGACGTGGAGAGCCTCCTCGACGTTGTTGGCTGAAGCAGATTTGGCGCACTTCTCGCCAATGGAGTCCATGCTTCGAGCAAAGAGCTCACGGTCCTCGGTGGTGATGATGGTATCAATGGGAGTACCCAGAACCTTGACACCGAGGCTCTCAAACTCGTCCTTGAGCTGAATACCGACCTGAAGGGCGGTTTGGCCACCAAAGGTAACGTAGATGGCATCCGGTCGCTCGTACTGAATGACCTTTCGCACAAAGTCGGCGTTGACAGGGAGGAAGTAGACCTTGTCAGCCAAGCCCTTTGAGGTCTGAATGGTGGCAATGTTGGGGTTGATGAGGACAGTGTAGATGCCTTCCTCCTTCAGCGCCTTGATGGCCTGGCTACCAGAGTAGTCGAACTCTCCGGCTTGGCCAATGCTGAGACCACCACTGCCAAGAACAAGGACCTTCTTGACGGAGACACGGGGGTGAAGTCTCTCGTTCTCCTCGATAGCTCCACCAGGGAAGGAGACAGGAGACTGCAACAGAGCAGGGTTCTCAGCACAGCTGGCCATGGTATTAATGAATACATCGAAAAGGTATTCGGTGTCTCGAGGGCCCGGGGTGCTCTCAGGGTGGAACTGAACACTGAAGTATGGCTTTTCGACATGCATGATACCCTCGTTGCTGCCATCGTTGGCGTTGACGAAGAGCTCTGTCCAGCCTGTGGGCAGAGAGCCGGCATCCACGGCGAAACCGTGGTTCTGGGAGGTGATGTGGCACTTTCCAGTGACCATGCTTGTGCAGGGAATGTTGTGACCGCGGTTACCAAACTTCATCTTGGTGGTCTTTGCACCAGAGGCGCGGGCCATCAGTTGGTGACCCAAGCAGATACCGAAGATGGGAATCTTGTTGGCCTCCATGACGGCAGCAATGTTCTTAGCAGTGCTCTCGAGCATAGCTGGGTCACCAGGACCGTTGGAGATGAAGAGACCGTCGTACTCCTCACTGGTGGCCTTGGTCAGGTCATAGTCCCAAGGGCAGACTACGACTTCGACACCACGCTTGAGGAAGCATCGAAGCTGGTTGAACTTCATGCCGACATCAACACACAGAACACGGATTGTCCGGCCGGAAGGATGCTGGCGAGCAACGACGGACGCGGGCGGCTTATACAGCTTAGGCTCCTTGACGGATACTACGAAAAGCATGAGCATATTTCTTTTCATGTTTTGGGTTTACATCTAGTAGAAAGAGGGGCATATGGGGGAACTCACCCTGTGCCACCAAGTTTTCTGTGTTGGGGTTCACCCAGTCAATTGCCTCGAAGGCATCGAGAGAGGCGAGACTATCGGCCGTGGCGGTAGCGCTGGCAAGTCTCATCTTGCCCAGCATGCTACCCTTCTCTCGAATTCTCTTGGTCAAGGCTCTGGTGTCCACGCCATACATGGCCGGGACGCCCTGTTCCTTGAGCCATGTGCCAAGAGAAGAGGTAGCGAGGAAGTGGGAGAAATCCTCGCCGCAGTAGGAGGCGGTAACGAGACCAGCGATGTGAATCTGCGAGGACTCGAAGTGGGCAGGCAGATCGCCAAGCAGCTCATCAAGCGTCTCGCGCGAAGGGACACCATAGTTTCCGACTAGGGGAAATGTGATGACAAGGATCTGGCCACGATATGAGGGGTCCGTGATAGATTCGGGATACCCCACCATACCGGTCTGGAAAACCAGCTCTCCGGCGATGCTCGTCTCCGCACCGAAGCTGAAGCCCTGGTAGATGGAGCCATCTTCAAGCTCCAGGCACACCGGCCGCTCATCGCCGCTGTGGCTAGCTGTAGCGGGTTTCCGTAGCTGGACAGCCATTGTGTGTGCGGCGTGGAAAATTCTGACTTTGATGCAAGTTTAGATTACTGAAGGAGTGGACAACAACTGAAGCTTCGGACTTTTCTGTCGTCTTGCAAGCTCTTCAGGTTTTTCTCCAGATTCAGCTACCGACACCGGACGTAAGGCAAGATTCTGCTGATGACAATGAGTGAGTGAACTGGAAGAGGGGCGAAGGTGGCTGGAGACGACTGACAAGAAAAACTCGTTCTCAGAGCTTTTCCCGGGCAGGTCAAGAGCTACCTCGCGCTCATCTGCTGCCTCAACAACAATTAGAAGGCGTCCTTCAGAGGGATCAGGTCGAGAATAGAAAAAAGAAGCTTGAAGGATGCCCTCGCCGTAGTTGAGGAGGAGAGAGAAGGAAGGAGAAGAAAAAAATCTCAGCGCCGGCCAGCGGAACGTTCTTAACACCACCGGCAACTTTTTTTTTTTTTCTACCAGTGCCATCATCGCCCGTGCTAGCCTGCCGCCCTGAGCCACGCCATTGGCCAATGGAGCTGGAATCACAGCGCCAGTTCCACCGCCACCAGCGAGATGGGCCAATGGCAGGGCGGCCTTGGGGCTGCCATATTGCCTATGATGGATGCGTGCAGGGCATTTGCGTGGTATTGATTCAGCGGCCATGCGCTAGAATGGACCCCGCAGCAGCCCTGTTTAGTGGCTGCACTTGACCCCTCCATGGCGGGCAGAAAATTATTTTCGTCCCTGGATGGAGGTGACGAGATCCGGGCGTGTTTTCCATGTGCTTTCAGTAACACGTGGCTTGGGGAGTAGCAAAAGGGGACAGCAAGCAATATGAAATCTTGTATGCTAACTAAATGCATTGAATTGACAATGAATGCCATCATCACGGAAAAATATGCGTTGTACAGGTGTCACGAGACTGCCGTGGGATTTACAAGTTGCAGCACCCCGAGCAATCTGCGGAGCGCCCAAACGCCTCCGCAGATCCCTCTTTTTTTTCTTCTTTTTTTTTTCTCCCACTTGTGGATCAAAGCAAGCCGAAAAAAACAAGGTGCGGGTTGGGGACGAGCGAATCTGGGCTTGGCCTTATCATGGCCTAGTGTGCCGTGGCGAAGCGGCTGATTGCTATGTGTAATTGTCTGTTGTACGAAATATTGCGGTTTTGAAGCTTCCCGAGCAATTGGCTAGTCTACATTGGTGTTGTTGCAATTTCGGCTCAGTGAAGAGATTTTCTGTTCCGCCCAGATACGCGGTTAGATCAAAACAAGCTTTGGTATCGATGCAATGTCTGACTCGTTGAACTATTTCTCACATCCTTTAGCCCGTACCGATTGCAACGTATGTCCCCAGTGCTGTAGTTTTCTTTGAGGCCGTTCTCAGTTATACGAAGTAAAGGATGACGGTGATGGCGGCAAGTCCTTGTCATGTACGGGAAACAGTTACCCAACAGTTATCCAACAGCATTCCCGAGACCCATGAAAAGCTCTGGACTAGATCTACGACTAATGAAAGCGTATTGTCTTTCTAGAACTGAGACGAACAGATACTGGTTGAATAGACAACGTGAACCCAAAGATATCAAGGTTTTAGTCGAAAGCCGTGTAAAAGAAGAATGAGTTGCTGGCCCGTTAAAGTACGACAGTTCACCAGATTTTATATACCAGGCTGGATTAGACAAGTTCTGCTGGGCATCTTATGTTCATAATCTCGAAATTTTAACACCAAATGTTACGCCATGCAATGAGACTCGATAACCTACTCTTTTGGATTCTTCTCTCAAACTTTGTGTGCTTGTTGGGAACACTCATCTAGTATTAAAGGTGTACCGTATATGGCAAGTTTTGAAAGCTTGTAGCCCTACCACGCGGAATTGCACCAACTTGGGTTACAAGTTGTCTGAGCCAGGCGTGTTTCAGCACAGACATGTACAAATTACGCTTGAATGGCCAGCTGAAAGGACGCGGATCCCACCAATATTACACCAATAGACGAGTCCAAATATCAGTATAGTAGATAAAGTGTATTAATACTACATAGATAGGCAGTAGCTAAATGAGCAGGCCTACCCAATGAAAGTAGACTTCCTGCTCGGAAAGATGATTGTTCTTTTATGCTTCGTGAGTTTATATGCATTCTTGTAACATCCTTGCCATGCAAGTCCAGAAAAGATTTCGTAGAAAAAGAAAAGAAGGAAAAGTCAAATGATATCATATAGTCAAACCATCATGTCGCGCCTCTAAATAAGCAGATTGAAAACGCCAGCAGGAAATTGAGAGAAGTTGCAGGCCATGTTCCCTTCCGCTGCCATCAAACCTTCTTTTTTCGGTTCTGGCTCTCAATCCCGTTATACTGCACATATGCCCTACCCCGCGGCTATAAATCTTTAGTCATGACTCAGAACTGTATCTTATTGCATAGGCACGCCGGCTTGTGAATTCATGGGTGGCCCTGGCATGTTTGATAACTGGGGTGTTCTCTGGGCAGCCGGGCTCGCTTGTTGGCTCGCTGTCATTGGGTTGCCTGGCTTCTGGCCAGGGGCAGACGTGCGGTAGGCAGGTTCATTCTTTGGGTCATGCTCAGGGAAGACGGCTTGCAGTCGGCGGTACAGATCTTGAATCGATTTATTCCGTTCTTCCCTATCCGCCACGGGGTCTACCGGTACGCTCGAGTTCTCGGCGCCGATCGGCATTGCTCTCAGTTTCAGCGCCATGTTGAGTGGGGGAGCGCTGAGATATGGTGGACACGGCGGGAGTTTGACATCGGGTTTCCGATCGGCTAGGGCAGCCATGTATGATAGATTTCCTTGAAGCCGTCGCATACAACTAGATAACGCATTAGTGATTAGAGTAAGAGCTTGTTGTTCGCTCTTCTGACTGTCAAGTGAAACATACTGTAGATAATCATGCTGAAACTGGCTCTCCTCCTCTGTAGGCTTCCTGTCGGGAACGTTTCCATTGACAGCAACGAATTCCTTCTTCAGCTCTTGCTGTGTTGTCTGTATCTGAATGGACTCGTATAGCAGCTCGTGATTGATGTCTAATAACAGCGCAAATCTCTCCTTTTCAAGACTTTCTGTTGTCGGGCTCATTGGCACCGCGCTTGATGGAGCAGCCATGCTGCTCGCCGGGTTGGACGAAAAAGTTGGCGTCTGAGGAGTGGCTACTCCCACCTGCGGCTGGTGATGGGCTGTAGGCGTCTGCCCTTGAGACATTGGCTGGGGAGTCGAGAACTGAGGTTGTTGGGGAGGCATGATATTCGTCGGCGTTCCTTGCGTTGTGCTCGAGGGTCTTTGAGGCGTTGACACTTGTGCCATCATCTGGTTCTGCTGTTGCTGAGATAGCTGCTGCTGTTGCTGCTGTTGGGACTGTTGAGGCTGTTGCTGCTGCTGCTGCTGTTGCTGCTGCTGCTGCTGCATGCGCTGTATCATCTGAGCCTGCTGAGGCATGCCGGGCTGGCCCATGGGGAAGCCTTGCATGCCAGGGCCCATCATGTAGTTATTGGGAACGAAGCCCTGCGGACCGACCGACCCAGGGAGCACCTGGCCGTATGACGCGCCGGGGAACTGCTGCTGGTAGGCCACTATCACGAGTTAGCAATGAGTGCTCTACGCCGTCGCACAACGGCTGTGCCAGCGTCAAATGTGCCATCAAGACACGCGGAGAGGACCTACTCTGATTGTTTGGCGCCATGCCGGGCATGCCCTGACCCTGCATCATGGCGGCGCTGGCGTCCTGCATCATATGGGGGTTCGCGCCTGGGAAGACTCCTTGGGGAGCCATGCCGGCGAATTGCTGCTGCCGGTTGAACATGGCCTGCTGCCCGGGCTGCATTCCACCGGGCTGCATTCCTGGCTGCGGTGCGCCCGCGGGGGGGTTGAAGTTGGGCGCGGCATTGCCAAAGCCATAGTTGGCAGAGTACATGGCTGGCAGGGGAGGGATTGATTGCTCGGGCGAGCCGCAGAGGCTGGGACGCTGTTTCGAGTGCGGAATTCGGGGTCGCGAGGTCGAGGCTGGCGAGCGACGAGACACGGTTGTTGGCGGTTGAAGATCGCGGAGCGGCTGAGAAGAAGTTGTAGCAGTAGTATAGATGGAAAATGGCCTTAGCGGGTCGAGGAGCGCGAAAGTGGCCTAGTTGGCGGTGCTGCAGTCGCGGAATGACGTGAGATGCAGATGGTTGGGTCGCTGGCTCCAGTTGCACTGTCAGGCACACGATCCAATCGCCGGATAGAGGGCAATCTGTGCGGATTTGCGGCCAGGGCCAGCCTGTGGGATATTAATAGTATGGTATCTGCGCTGGAGTCGCTGCCGGCTGGCTGTCTTGAGGCCACGGGGAAGATCAGGCACAGGCACCGTGTTTGTCCAGGCTGCTAACAGTGTCGCTGAGTCAGTTGGAGATGCGATTTCTGCATGTGAAGGTGTAAGAGGCACCCTTTATCGCTGGATGAGGAGAGCGACAGAGTAAAGAAAAACAACTAGACGGTGCAGTTCTCACCTGGACTTTCAACAGTGAATCTGATTTCAGGGCCGTTTTTTTTTTCAGCTTGCCGATGTCAATGGAGGAGAAAAAAGGCGGCCGGGAGGGACGATCAAGGTTTGCTGGCGCGCGGATAGGTGCGACGGACGATGAAATCTCGAATGGCGATTGGGTCAGAGCAGCTTCTACAGTAAGTCTGCAGTCGAGAGTAGCCACGGGCCGTGCCTCGCTTAATAAGCCCAAGTCTTGATAGAGTCGACGTAGATGTAGAGAGTCAAGTGAGAGCACGCTTTATAAAGTGTTGACACTCTAGGGTATATATACCTATACATCGGGTGTAATAGTAAGATCAAATGTCAGACCAAGACTCAGCCAGTGAGGTTGGCCATGTTGGGTACCCAAGTGTAAGTAGACAATGATGCGAAGCATTTGATCCGATTTGACCGTCATCCGTGCTATGCAACCTTGAATCAATATCACACACCTGCATGTAAGTAGGCGCTTCGTTTGTCCGTGATGGGCTGACCTGTCTCTGGTACAGTCATAATCCATGTACCGTAAGCCACCAGTCTTCCAGTACAACCTCACTTTTCGAAATGCGAGCATCACTATAGGGTAAATTCATGTACATACCAGGTAATCATGCAGATGTAAATTGCTGTTCAAAAACAAACCACCATTAACATTTCCCGGTACAATTTTGGCCAAGCCGCTCTCGCTCGTTCATGTATTTACAGACTGGATCCAAGACATTCAACAGCGCCAATCTCAAAATAGCGGCTTACACGTCCAGGAGTAATATCTGCTGCTAGCTAACGTAATCTCTGCCATCTCTTATCACTCCAAACCTCTGGCTGATTATATGCCACAGATACACAACCAGTCATAAAAAAAAGCCTTCCAAGTTTGATCTCAGCCAACGTCTTTTCTTGTTCTCGTGATTCTTTGTTCTACCCGTCACTCATGCTAGTGATACGACACGCCGTATTTCGACTTTCCCTCCAAAAGGCTGATAAACTCGTCGGCTACATATTCGCATGTCCTCTCCGACGGATGCACCTCGTCGTACCTAAACCCGATCATATCCATGTCAGCATTCAATGCCACAAGCTATAACAGTGCCTCACACCATGAGAACACATGAATGTGCATACGTACCACACGAAATTCGACTGCGGTTCAGTCGATTGATAGCAGCCTGAGTCGCCGCATCCCCTCCACGAGCTGGTAATATCGACAGGTGCAGTGTAATATTTGGATGGATTTGCACGCAAGTCCAGCAACAGAGAATGCACGTCCAAAAGGCTGACTGTCGCACCCGGCCAACGCTTCTTGATGAGCGAATTATACGGCGCTCCGGTGGCGAACATGGTGTTGGCGCTGGTCAGATACTCCTCCATCTTATACTGAGTCTCTGTGGTGTTGAAAGTCTCCTTATTTCCCCAGTATTCATTGTTGCCCGTGCCGCCATTGGGGATGGAAGCATACATGGGTGAAAGCTGCAGTGGAAGCACGTTGAGGAGGACGAATTGCCTGCCTCCCAGCTTATACACCCCGTCAAAGGCTTTCCAAACACACTCTACAAAGTCTGTGATTGTGGCTCCTTGAACTTGCTCTTCGCCCAAGAACCCGTCAATTCCAAGGTCATTGGTGCCAATCCACAGCGCGTAAACTGTGTTATCTGCTCTTCGGTCTGGATACAGCCCTTTGTACCCCAGATCTGTCTCGAAGGCCGGTACCTCGTAATCCAGGATGGAAGGGAATGGCCCATTGATATTGCCCAAGTAATGCTGCGTCACATTGTCAGAACACATGCCACCTGCAACGGCATAATCGTAGAGCTTGGCTCCCGTCTTTTGCGCCACGAGTCTTGGCCAGGCATAACCGCCCACCGAGGTCTGGTTATTCACTGGCAATAGCTGGCCGGGAGGAGGCAGAGCGTTGTGACTGAAGATGTAGTTCAAGCGTCCTTCGTCTGTGTAGCTGTCTCCAAAGGTGACCAGATTGCTCAGTTTTCGTAAGCCGGGGACGCTGGCAGCCGCCGCGGCCGTGGCGCATAACAGTAATGGAAGCATCTCAAGTTGGATCTCTGGTGTAAGCTTCATGCGCCGGGGCTTGTCTGTTGCTACAGAAAGACAAATTCTTTCTCATACGGACAAAGGGCAAGCGGGACGGTATTTATCATTGTCAGTTTGCCTTGGATTCTCCTCAAGGCATTTTCGGGCTTATAAGTTCAATGCTCTTATATTAGACATCAGCCGACGGTATTCATTTGCCAACGATGGATCTGCCCACTTTGGAAGTCTGCTGTATGTATACGCGACTAATAAACCTGATCACCCGGCACCGGGTTTTTAAATGCCGGCATCCCCAGATTTGTTCCCCGCGAAATCCTCCCCCGCATCCTGGACCCTGGGCCGATGAAAGGGCACGCTCAAATCTGAGTATTTCAGACCATTTGTGTATTTCAAGTCAATTCGCCTATAAGCAAACCTATAATCTTGAAACTTGGATTATAGAGTTGGGCGATGGAGCTTTCTACTTTATAAAGACGACGTGGAATCAATTGCCCATTTCCAGAGCAAAGATCAAGCCCTTCAGCGCTAAGAACAATACGCAAAATGGCACTTTCATCCACCAAACTATCGCTGATGTAATTGCCGACGGTAAAAATAATCCCTCGTCTTGGCTGTACCATTCTAGATTTCCAAACCTCTTGCCTATTTTGATGATGGGGAGTCTCGTGATATACACCAGCTTATACGATCTCCGAATGATGCTCCGAAAATATTTCATTGGACAAGACCGCAATAAATCGCACCATCTCAATGTGCTAGCGGCTTAAAATATATAAGTGTACAGCTAAGAAATCTTTCTGGTATATCCATTTCGAAAAAGAGGCAATCTTTGCGAGAAGTCGTCACAAGGTAATTTAGACTGTGCCATCTATTCAAATTAAGCTGATGGGAAACGTAGTGTGCGGTAAGAATAGTAATATACATGTCTATTCGAGTAGACGGCCCCTCTCTTTTGGACGGATTATGCAGAAGATTTGAAGTGAGCATTGAACCACGCAATCGCCTGATCAGTCGCATCGTCGGCCTGCTTTGCAATTTCGGTAAACTTTTGATCTACCCTAACACAGAAGCCATGGCTACAGTTAGGGTAGACAACCACCTCGCCTCGAGCTGACTCGGGTTTTGCCTCAACGATGGTCTTGATACCCTCGGCTTTCTCTACCGGAAGATGAGTGTCTTGATCGGCCAAGGCAAATGATACTGGCAGTGTCAGGCTGTTAATGTCGGCAGGAAGGCTCAAGAGACTCGGATGTCCGGTGAATCCAGCATCAATCAGCGGCCGTCCGTCAATTTGATCGCCACGGCCCAGCAGCACGACCTGCTTGCCGCCCCAGCAGAAGCCAGCAGCGCCGACTGATTGCGAAGCGCCCTCTTCTTTGCGGAGCTGTTCAAAGAAGCCCTTGACTCGGGGCCATGCTTTAGAGGGCCAATTGATCCAGAGAAAGGGAACAACACCAGTTAGAATACCGAATATGTGTCGTCTGGAAGTCTAAATTAGCGCTGATATACTTGTAGGTGTTTCTCAAGCATGTTGTTGTTCTTAAAAGGTTAGTACTTACATCTTGGTAAAGATTCCAGCATCGCTTCCCATGACCCTCATGCTCTCAAGCAGATATAACGGTGCCGGATGACCTACAGCCATTAGCCTCTGACAAATGAAGACTGGTGATTGGACTCTGAGATTACCTTTCATGAAGTCAGGAGCATACACCTTAAAGTCTCCCTTGTCGGCATAGCTATCCGCAAGCAGCCTAATGTTCACAAACTCCCACCCAAACGCATCTGGAAGAATGACCACAATGCCTTTGGCAGGCCGTCCATCAGCTGGGTTGACGACATATGTGTCCAGCCCGTAAGCTTTAGTGACTTCTCCGCGCGGTTGGCCCTCGTGGACGGAACCACGGTAACAGTCTGGGCATGACATTTTGCTTCAACTTCTGGTGCTATGATGGCTTCGAGAGAGATGTCGCTGCTTGTGTTGATGGCTTAATGATGGACGTAACTGCGTCAAAGGAATAGTAAAGTGAGGGGCAGTCGAATCACATGCATAAAAGATTGTGATGTGCGATTCGCCAATTGTGTCAATGCCGGCTAAACACGAAGACAACGAATGGATGTATTTCAAATTGAACTCATTGGCCGCCAGTTCAAGTACATGAAAGTGATGTTCAAGATGGTGGGAATAACAGCTTTAAGCATCCGCAAGCGCGGTGGAAGAACGCGTATTAAGGGGTGAGTGAAAGCATGTACTCGGCGCAAATTTGTACCTGAAAATTTGCACCTGATATAGATAATACCTTCAAACAACATACCTACCCATCTATACACCCGTCCTTGTATAGGTATATCAAGCTATGCAGCGAGGGAACAGTCACGGCGTTAAGAATTAAGCCCGACAAGAATCTGCGCGCAGGAATCTGTATCCTGTCAAGTGGATATAGAAGAATATAACGTATCAGAGAGTGAATACGAGCATATAGATGAGAAAATACGCACAACAACGGGAAGAAGAGATTAGATTTTTTGTATGTGCATTATTCAGCGATGTGTGCAAACAGTTTGCCGGGCTCGGCATTTCTGATCACTGCTGGCCATAATCGTGAAAACGATGTTACCTTTGGACAAGTATAGTAGTACTCTCAAACTGGGTCTGCCTAGACCCACTTGCCGCTCCCAGCCGTATGAAGAGATTCAGTCCAGTCATATCCTCATATCATCCTTGTATATCCCTTCTTGCCCGTTAGTTAGCGCTATTGATGTTCACGTTCCCTGCCTTTGACTTCAAGTTTCTAGGTATGGAAGCACCCCTTCCAAGTACGCAATAAAGCGGAGCTCGGCCCCCTCTCCAGCGCAACCTCATCGGCTCCGAAGTGACGAATACATGCCATTCATCACCGAAGTGGTCTGATCAATGATACAGCGATCGAGTATAGCTCTGGAAAGATTCCCTCGAAAGCTTGGCTGTATGTACATAGTGGACCTCGATATGTGCTACCTACCTACATGTACCTATAGCAAGCTAGCTGACTACTGTTTCTGGTCAGTGACGGCACAAGCAAGTTCGATTAGTATTATAGTCAATTGTGCGAGGGAATGTGGGATACTTGTACCAAGACTTGCATGCTGGGACGAGTTTTAGAGAGGGGACAGAATAGATACAGCAAGCGTCTAAATAAAGTCTAGCTAGCCAGCTCCGGTGGCAGTATCTCATGAATATTTACAGGCTTTGTTCCAGAGCGACACGCTGGATATGGCAACAAACGACTCTATTTACATCTCAGTGTTAGTGTTCATGAAACGGCGGGTGGGGGGAGGCTGAGATACATGTATCTTGTTTAAGAAGCAAACAAAGAGAGGAGCACTAACCACTATTTCTGCTGGGCCTCCTTTTACCAGCGCAGTTCATGTACCTCTCTCGGTTGCCAATCTTGTTGAACCGGGTCCAGGCGAAGAGGGCATCTCCAGCAGGCGTGTCGTTGGGGAGGGTAGAAAGATGAACTACGATTTTCCAGTGTAGTATCTGTTCAAAAGTTGATAAAAAAAGGGCTCCCGCCCACCCACCCCCGGCCTTTTTTTAACGCCGCTCCGGCAGCACGGCAATCTAAAAAGTAGTCATCGCTGAAGGCGCCCTGTTTGCCTATCTAATCGCTGTGCTCACTACGGCTGGGGGAGGGGGGAAGAGAGAAGAAGATGTCTGGGGAAGGGGAACGGGAAAGGGGAAGGGGATCAGTAACGACTGTGGGAGGAGGCGGAGGCGGAGCGGGAACGAAGATGAAGATGGGGAGAATAATAATACCAGGGGGATCGGGAACAGCCGTAGGAGCAGGAGTTCTGACTACCCTATCTAGGCTATCTACGCGTGCGTTCACTCTGGATATGGACTCACGCACCTCATCAAAATCGCCCCTCTGGCCCATCTCGGTATCTCCGCTTCCTGTCGTTGGCCGGGCGGAGCGTTGGCGGAACCATCTTCGGACTGGTTCCTCTCCGAGGAGGCGAAGGACGTTGACGGCGAGGTTGCAGAAGTTGATGAGGACGCCGGTCCAATCCGCGGCGACGGAAGACATACTCGGTAATAATTATTATGAAAAGATATGAGACTGGTTCAGAAAGGGAACAAAAACTAAAAGGATCAGCGAACAAAGCAGAACAAATACTCATAGCTTAACTTGATAACACCTTCCCATGTATACGTGTAGTCCTTCCCATACTTATGCTTTCAAAGCATACCTACACAGCGAGTGCAGTCAACATTTCTTAGAGTGATAAGTAACTAAAATCAGGCAGGCGTCCTTCTGCAAAATGAGCCGTCCGGCCGAGGTCGATTGTTTAGGTATGTTTGAGATGTATGGTATAAGCTTTTGAACAATTCTTTCTGTCACTCCAGTTCTTTCTGTCACTCCAGTTCTTTCTGTCACTCCAGTTCTTTCGTTTTCATGGCGAGTATCATCAATAACATATGTGGTATACTTTTTTAGTGTAGCCCACTGTACATGGAAATTCATACTGGTTGAATTTTTCCGCAGGACAATGTAAATATTAGTCAATGCAACAAAAGTGTATCATACAAGATTAAATGCTGACCCAGCAACGGCAGTCGTAGTAACCATGTATCTTTATTACAATCTTCTCTTGAGGGGTATGTCTCTATACCGTTCTCTGGGCGACCAGTCTAGGCATGCACTTTTAACTTGGAAAGTACAGAAGATATCCTCCAACAGGTTCTTGTGAAGATTGAAACCTTACTGATGCGCCAAGGAACCTATATCTCCTCTCTGTGTCCACTACTATAAAGATACGTACCTAAGAGGCCTTAGCAGTTATGTTTTATATAAGTTGCTTTCGGTCTTATACAAATGACTAGCAGCGCCACACTCATGAAGGTTCCAGCCATGAATGTTGAATAAATCTTATATTAGACTTACGCTTATTCTTGTGTGACTCAAATATGGGTATTAGAAATTGGGCAATGTGCTAACTCACACGCAATTATTATAAATCGCTCACGAACCTCGATAAAACTCTGTGTTTTTCTTCTCTTTTCTTTTCTTTTCTCTCTCTCTCTCTTTCCTTTACTGAGATACATCAAAATATTGACAAGAGCAGAACACTCTCCGTCATGACCATTATTCAATTCCTTACCCGCCTTATACGGGGCAAACCTCAGACGAACTCCCTGATCCTTCAGCTACCGGTCGAGATAATTGTCAAAATATTGGCCTTGCTTCCTTTCCATTCTCAGCTCCTTGTCTACCAGACCTGCCGTCCTCTACGAGTCATCACTTATGAATACTTTTTGACTGGAAAGGGAAATGTTACAGACCTAGCCAGAGCCACACGGGAAGACAAATTGCTGTACCTCACACCTCTCGCCCGGTCTCTACCTGATCGATGGGTTTGCGTCAACTGTTGCAAGCTTCATCAAATTGACAAATGGGACACACCGTTACACGACACATTCTGTTATCTTTTCTGTCAAGATGGAATGGATACCACAGAGGGATACAGAGTATCCAGGGTTGGCTGGCCTCATTACTATCCAAATCACAGGCATGTTGAACTTACGCTCAAATACACGAGAATGGAAGATATAAAACGGAGGCATCAAAAATATCTTCGAAGACTCCTTACACCACACCATGGCCCAATCATGGGATATTTTGATGTAGCCAAGGGCATCTCAGGGAGAATCTCAGTCTACCCCAAGGTTGTTAACGAAAGATACCTACTACTATCCATCTTCACTTACGTTGAAGGTGAGACTAAGGTATCTCGACAGTCGATTAAGTTTTTAGAGATATGCTCACATATTTCTGACCAAGAAATATGTAATATTGCATACGGATGGGAGAAAAATATTAATGAAGCTTTTGAAACAGCTTTATCTGCCAACAATACTCAGAAATTTTTCTCTTGTGGTTTGTGTGGAACGGATTACTCGATACAAGCTTCACCAGAGCGCTTTGTTATATGTGTATGGCAGGATTTTGGACCGGAAGGAACGATACATGATGTAGATTGGAGAGCAATGGTGTGTGAAAATGGGCTTGTTCATCACGAACCTGGAAGCGTTCGGAAGTTGTATGGTCCACATGTACATAGTGGCGAGACCTATTAGATAATCTGCGGTATAATCTGCGACATTTATATAACTACTAGAGGATAGATCTTTTGGAGTAATGCTAGTTTTCCCCTGTCTCAAGAGCAACTCTGCCCCCTTTTTTTCTCTTTCTTTTTTTGCATATATTTAGACTCAAGCCTGCACGATGGGAAAGAAGTAAAGAAGCAATCCGAGCTTAAGAGATGGAACAGAGTGCTTGTTAAAGCATCCAAATGGCGTCTAGGTAACTGGCTCTGGTGGCAGTATCTCTGAAAGGTTAGCAGGCTCTGTTCCTGGACGATATGCTGGATATGGCGACATTTCACCCTATTTATATCTCAGTGTAAGTATTTATAAGACGGCGCGAATGAGTGAGACTACTAGTCTGAGAAGCAAATAGGGGCAGAGTCGTACTAACCATCATTTCTGCAGGGCCTCCTTTCACCAACTTGTATCTGGTCTCCCAATCCTCGCTTTTGGCAAGGAAACAGTAGTACAGCCAGTCAAAGACTTTTGGGAGTGGGATTGTAATCTCCCCTTCGTAGCCGGCTAAATCTCCTTCAGATGGGATTGGTACCGAAGCGTCATAGTCTGGATTAACAGCTCTGATAAAAAATGTAGACTGCCATGGATCTGGTTCGCCCTGAGCTTTCGGTTGATACTTGACCTCTACCGAGAGAAGTGCCTTGTCAAGAATCGCCTGATCCGCAATTAGGAAGCAATCTGTCGCTACGCCAGCGGGAATCTCGTTCTGCTCTCGTATGGCCTTGAACCGCTGCCGCAAAACATCGACACCTGCTCCCTCAAGTGATGAGTCGCTGACAAGAAGCGGTTCATGAAGAGAGCGGAAACTGGTTGCCCTTCTCCAGCCTTTACTAAGCTGTGCATTCTTATTAACAAGATAAACCCACTGGAACTCTTTCCATTTCTCTTCAGTTCCCTCGCTGTACGCGGTCCGGAAAATAACAAAGCCCCATCGACTCAGCTTTGCATCGGACATGTGGTTAAGCCATCGAGGTTGGGCAGCCCTCATCTTTGCCGCTCGCTCAGCGATTTGTTGCTGTCTTTGGTTTCCGCGTCGCTCTGCCATCACTTCCTTGAAAGTGTGGGAAAGGTGGTGAGTCGCACGGCGCTGAATCTCGATATCGTCTTGGGTGTATAAGATTTCATCAACTTGATTGGCAAGTTGTATGTCGTCTTCAACAAGGTGGAACTTCCAAAAACTGGGCTTGCTACTAGATTTATTCCGCTTGGTAACTCCGTAGGCAAGAATGTCACACTCGTCTTCCGTTAGAGCGTCGGGGTTGGACAGTGCCTTGTGTCTAAGCTGTTCCATCGTCATGCCAGTTTTGTCTTTGCACAAACGATCCTCTTCATCAGGTGGGGGTTTCTCATACACTTTGTTCTTATCCGCCCGCGTAACAGACGCTGGATCTGCTATAATGCGCAAATAGAGTGCCTTTTCCTCAGCCGACAACCTGGTGGGAGGAGGATTGAAGAGACTTGATGTTTTGATAGCTTCACTAAACTCTTGCTGCCATTTTGCTGCCGACTCTGCCTTTCTTTCTTCAACTAATTTTAAACGGCGCTCTGTTTTAACATTTTCGAAAGCTTTGGCACGGACGTCTGCACGGCGAGATATCTCATCGTCACGGTCATTCGCCAGCAGGGCAAACACTTGACTGGCAAGACGGCCCTCTTCGTCTGGGAGAAAAGCCTTCCACAATGGAGGCCTACCGACCCTTGGGCGATTCCACTCGTAGGTGGCGCCGAAGCGGATAATGTCGCACTCTAATTCCGTCAAAGTGTCTGGGTCGCTCATAACCTTGCGTCTGAGCTCTTCCATCGTCATGCCGATTTTCTCTTGACACAAGCGATCTTCTTCGTCAGGCGGAGGCTGCCCAAATATATGATTCTTCTCGGCCCGTGTAACAGATGCCGGATCAGCTGCAGCTGCAACGCGCAGAAATGCGGTTTTTTCCTCAATCGTCATCGGGGTCCGGGGACGCCCAGAGGGGGGTTTACTTGTGTCCATGGCATCCATTATATCCGTGATGATGCTTCTTTTGAAAAAGCACTCTTTTGTCGGGCTGTGTTCATTTGCTTGCCATGGACTCAAGTTTGTTGGTTGAAATAGCAGGGCTTTGTCACATGATCGGAGAGAAATGGCAAACGTGTAGGTAGGGTGAATCAGCACAAGGTCATAGCTGTGTCCTGACTTTGGTGTCACCTCAAATACCAGTCCTTATTCATAGTTGCTTCATGGTCTATGCTTTGTTTAGGCTCAGCTGTAGTTTACACAAGTATGCGCTACGTATAATCGTGGCGCTATACCTCGGTAGTAGGTGAAGCGCCGGTTCTGGCAGCTATCGGGGGTTAAAGTTATTACAACACTTTTGTCACTTGGATGAGAGTCAGCAAAAGGGAAAAACGGACAAAAATATGTATATACGGTTAATAATAAGAATCTTGAACGCTTAACAGGTTGTCTGGTAGAGCAGCGGTGGCAGAGGTAAAGAAGTTGGGAAATAATAGTAAAAACTATTGGATATTATAGATATCAAATTTTAATACCAAGCGATAGCAGACGTGTGTGCCGAGGACACCCAAATGTCCATTCATTTACCCTTCACTTGCATTTTTGTGAAGCTTTTCTTTGCTTTTATTTGAATCTACAATCTTGATGCTGTGTTTAAAATACTTTCATATACTCGTCATACTACATGGCATCTAAGATCATTTATATTAGAGTAAACGCTCAACTCGTAATTCCATTTCATGTATTTGTTCAATGCATCCCAAGGCTACAACGCGAATCCCAAGTTGATAATGGCGAGACTAGACTTGAGTGCATGCTGCGTACACGTATCCTATCAAACATCTTCAAGGCCAAAGTTTGGATATATACTCTATAACCCTCTATTCACCACAGCCCTTCTTCCCACTCCAGAAATTATATGTGTCATCTCTTCCCATTTACTTCATGTCCTGCGTCTTTCTCCACATTCTTCTACCCCTTGGTACGCAAATGAAGTCTCTCTACCCCCTATATCTTCGACTCTATCTCACTTCGTACTTTGTAGGCGCTTGGAGACCGTTTAGGAGAAGGCGGGTCAAAGAGAAACCCACTAGTATCAATGAACACCGTGTTTTGGAGTTCTTGCAAGAGCTCTCTGAGCATTTTGCAAAACCTCACCTACAGTTGCTGCCCGGGCCGACGACATGGGACTATTCCGTACAGCTTCCCAATTGCTCCTCAGCGTTTCAATGCGTGTTTCTGCCCACGCTTGTACGCCTTCGAGTCGCGGGATCAAGGCGTAGTAAACAAATTCGGAAAACATGTCTGCAGTATTGACGTTCAGGCCCCCCCGTGCAACTTCTTCATCAAACTGCGTAAAGGTAGCATGCATGGAATTAAAAATAATAGCCATGTTATCATTGATTACTTGGTCATTCAAGTAAGAGAAGATGGAAGTAGCCAGGCGGATGGTAGAAATCCCACCTTCAGCCGCGACTTTCCCGTTTTTGTCGCTCGTATCATCAAAGTTGTTCGCTTTCCACGTATCTTTCGACATGGGATTATTCCCTTGCCATATCTGCATCTTGACGCCATTGAATATCTTTTCGCAGTTGACGAGCACACCAGGATTTGTCGTATCACCAAATGCAGTCCAGATGTCATCCATAGGTGTTGACGTCGAGGTCATACGACTCGACGGCCACTGATCCCAGGCTGTTTGGAACAGGCCTCCTGTGCCTAGCAATGCCTCCGGAATGGGCGTATATCGGCTCCTTACAACAGAGCCATCGGGTAGAGTGAAAGTGCCAAACATCATCCAATCGAGCATGAGGCCGAAGGTGCCTAGTTCCACAATATGTTCCGTCACATAATCACTATTCTGTGGACCAGAAGATGTGATGGAGACGTCGCTGCAGTTGGCTGCATTGGCCAAGTTGTAGTAACCTGCTTGTGTGTTGACTCCTACGAGGTATGCACCGTTTCTCCCGTTTGGATATGTATGAGATCTGATGATAAAAGTAGCGCCGGAGGGGGTGTGCACATGAAACTCTCTGCGACCGCCAGTGCCCCTGGGATCAAGATCAAAGCTTCTCTTGTCCGCGACTGGCAAACCATCTTCTGAATCGCCGTTCCAATCTGAATCAAACTGTGCCATGTTAGTGCCCAAGTAGCAGCAGGTGAGTGTGGCTGCCCTGTTATCAGAGCAGCTGCAATAATCGCCCTCGATGACACTGTCAGTACCCCAGTCGGGTGCTGTACGAGGAGGCGCCGGGTTTGAGAGGCCGGAAGTGTAGATGTACGGCTTTCCAATAGAGCCAACTAGATGGCTGGAGTCATCAGTCTCCCATGCGGATGAAATACCAGTCGAATACGCTTCAATGCCAACCTGTCGATCTGCGCTGATAACACTGATGTTGCCACTGTCACTTATAACGCGGATGTAATGCGGGACATCAATGAGAAATCGTCCGTCGGCGGCTTCTTCGTCAGTCCCAAAGCCAAAAACATCGATATCTAGCCATGTCTGCATATCGAGATAGACTCCCAAGAGTGTTGATTCAGTGCACCCTCTCTTGGATAAGCCTTTATTCGGCGCTCCGCCTGCAAACCCAGCCCAAGATTCGGGGCCTACTATATTTGCGACATCTCCTTTCGGATCTCCCAGTGACAGAGGCTCGTTTGATCGGGCATAGCCGTCGGTCCCCGCCCTGAAACTGAGCACAAAGTCTGAATTGATCTGTCCGTGTCCCATCAAGCTCGTTTGGATATTCATCTTGGGAGTAAACGAGACCATTCCGGGCTCGCTGAATGCGTAGTTGGAGATGTCCGTTGCGAAAACAGGAACAAACTTGGTACTGCCGTCAATATCGACTGATGCTTTGCTATTCAGCATGAGAGTGCCCGAGTAAGCCATGTTGGCATCAAAATACCCGTACGTTTCTTCGAAATTGATTTCAGGAGAAATAGTTCCCACCATTGTAACTCCAAATCGGATTTCGCTTTTCACTAAATGTATGTTAGCTCTCGATACAACCTCTTTAAGAATCATTTTTGGTTGACTACCCCAAGCAGAGTTGGAAGTTGACTTACCTGAGCCTTCGAGTTCGATGAGCATAAACCCATCTTTCCCACCACAATGGGCCGACTGATCTTGCGAAAACAAGACCTGGGAAAAATCCGACTGTTCCAACACCAGAGAACGTTGGGGACGGGAGTCGCTATACCGAATAGCATTGAGTTCGTCCGCCCATACTTTCGCATCAGGACTCCAAAAACGCTTGTCAATGGATTCGTCTAGGCCTCTCTTTGTAATGGCGTCTCCACGCACGATATCATTCCAGTAGCCCAGAGAATCCCCATAATCGATTCGTACATATACAGTTCCAGAATCGCGCTTGACAAGCGAGTAATCGTAGGAAATATCCATCTCGTACACTGGAGGATTAAGCGATGGAGCTCTCTTTTGTAACTCGTGTTCGACTGTGAGGTTGGTCGATAAGCGAATATCCTTGACGACTCCATAAGTCGCAAAGCCGCAGCCCTCAGGGAGTTTCACGATGGTGCCGTTGGCACCACCCTCATGAACCGCATTACAATTGGACTGAGGTGAATCGTCTATGCAGATATAACGAGCTGTATAAACAGACTTTGCATCTCGTTTCTCGCTTCGCTCACAGTCTAGAAACTGGATGTGGGAATCATCTCGTGCACTCAAGCTGGTCACTACATTAGGAGGCCCATCAATTACCACCACTAAATGCCAGAGGTTAGTAAAGATGCCCTTGAAGTGTTATTTTGATCAGTACAGAATTTACTTACTTCCAAAAGCCCCGGTGACTGTATCTGAGCCAGATGAGATTGACGAGTTCTGAAGAGACTCAATATGGAAATCCGGCACATAGGTGGCGGGTGGTAAAGTAGGGAACTTGGATGTTGTTAGCCACCTTCTTACAATGGTAAGCCACACAACTCTCATTACTTACGAGATTTGCCAGAGGTACCGGCAGGAATGGATTGAGCTTCTGCGGCGGAGTGCAACACAATACTTTCTGCCGGTTGTTGAGGCCATTGGCGCACCACTCCGTCGAATTTCCAACATCATCAAGGGCCAATTCGATTTCGTAGCTATCGGCTGTTTAGAAATCATCATGCATGGAGTAGAAACAGGCGCATGGGACTTACTCAGCGCACTCATTCTGGTCACAAGTGCCTTTCCCAATCCAATGACAATCATCAAAAGCAGAATCACAACAGTAGGCCACTGGTGTTACAATGTAATCGGTATCTACGAGCTGGCGCTCTTCGGTAATAACATTCTTCTGGGCAACCCAAGTCTTTGAGGACGGACAGGTAGTGTCCGATGACCAGGTGCAAGAGTCAACCAAGGCACTCCAAGTGTTGGATTGGCAGCAGAATGCCTGCAAACCCGGGGCCAGGCAATTAACGGTTGCATGCTTGGAATGGAACAGAGTCACTTCTCCTGCATGGCATTGTCCGTGGCAAAGTTTAGTCGTCTCGCCACCTCTCCATTGACAAGTGCTGGGCATAGCATCGGTGGGACAGACAATGTATCTGTTCTTCTTTTTCCCGCAATTATCTCGGAATGCATTGCCGTTTGGCGCAATCGAAAAGTCGGTGCCCCATGTTCCGATCTCAGAGTCGCTGAGACAGTCGGTCTTGACGCATTTTTGGCCGTTTTGGCTAGCCCAGCTGCCTGCAACGGATTTGGAAGCATGGCTATGCTTGGTGATTCCAGCGGCATTTTTGCCAACAAGTCCTCCAAGGGCATCGGAGTTTGTGGTGTCTTGATCGACAGACCAGATCAACACACCTCCAAGTCTGACCGTCTGTTAGATTCTCAATGAAACAGAGGGTTAACATGATGGTAGGAAGATGATGATGAATCACTTACCCAATGCTGTTGGCATATTCTACCTTTTGTGTAAATGTATCTTTGTCATCGTAGCTTACCCACTGATCTTTTGCGGCTCCGAATTGGAAGTATTTGACGGCATCGGCCTTGTCCCAAATAACTTTGGGTTTCTGTTTGTCCAAAATGTCCATGATTTCAAAATAAGCAAGTATGCCGGCTTTCTTGGAGCATATTCCTGGCGCTGCGGCTTCAGAAAATGGACAGCCAGGTGTTGCGCAAGACGGATGTGATAACGTGAACGAGCGGCCATAGAAGCCGAGGCCCATGATGACCTTCTTGGGAGGAATGTTGACTCGCCAGAGAAGATCGAGCGTTGATTTGATTTCTGTCAGGTTAGTATGGGCCTGGACAATACTACCAATAGCATCCATTGAATCCCAAGCTCCGTGCAAATCGTAGGCTGACGTCCAGTTAGTCACAGCTACAAGATATGATGAGGGCAGGGGTGTCTACTCATGAGATTGATCCAGTCGGCATACTCAATCATGCCTGGAAGATCAAACCATTGCAAGTACCAGAGGGAGCTGGGAGCTGTGAAGCTGATGCCATAGCGTCCGCCAGAGCTATCAAAAGCTTGTCGTACAGCCCGTAGGAGAAGAACGTAGTTTTTGGTGTCCTCTCTCTTGCCCCGTCTATCAGGAGCGCCGGGATATTCCCAGTCAAAGTCAACTAGAATATGTTAAGCCTGAGTTGGATCACTGAGTCTCTTGGATGTTGAGACGAGTTGCGGAGAGTAAGAGTGTAGAAGGCGAAAGGCTGAAGTGGGAGAATTGGAAAAAATTGACACACTTACCTCCATCAAATCCGTATTCTGTCAGAAAGTCGACAAGATTTTTGGCAAAGGTATTTCGATTTGCTTCGCTCGCAGCAATGTCGGAAAACACGGGCTGAGTGGCTGTAGAGTTGTCTGAGAACGACCACCCGCCTATGGATACAAAGATTTCAACATCATCCGCATCCGAATTAAGCGCCCGAAGGCCCGTTGTTTGGGCGAAAAGAGAACTGGGCATATCGGACTCCATAATGGCAATTTTGTAAGACTTTGGATCGATGTAGGCAAATGCAAAGTTCACGTGTGTGAGCCCCTTGGTCGGGATTGCGCTGGGAGGAAAGGCATAGCAACTACGTGCATTTGACCTGCGTGTCTGTTAGTCGTGGCACTCAACAATAAAGCTACAGACTCAAATCTCACCAGCCTTCATAGTACCCAATCACTTTATTGAGCACACTGCCGGAGTTTCTGCCAGGCGGCACAGCAGGCTTCTGCACGCAGTTGCTTTGGCATTTACCAGAGCAGAAGTCATGGCCCGTCCCGCAAAAGCCAAATTGTGAGCAACAGACGTTCAATGGACAGAATTCGCTTCCTTTGGGAGCAAATTCACCGCCTACAAGAATTAGACCTGGTAAAAGCGTGTGGGGAGCCAATTGAACTCACATTGAGCCGTAGCGTTACAGTTTGATGTACAGCCTTTTCCGCAATATGTAGGTCCTGAGAGAAGATTAGCAATGATACATACGAAAAGAAGAGACACTACTACCGTAGCCACAGATGCCTTCGGAAGTGCCTTGGTAAGAGCCACTACGAATCAGTCAGCATCTCGTGTTATTAAAGGAATAGATGGCAGATACTAACCAACAAGCTCCATTCGAACAAGGTTTCTTCTTTGATAGACAGTCAGATCTAGGTACAAACCAAACGTTGGTAGACATCTATCTCACAGCATTGCATGTATAACCGGTGTTGGCGCGTTTGAGTGGCAGTCCGTCAAAAGTTGAGTCTAGATACGCCTCATTAGGCGTTGACACTTGGAGAGATTCAACACCATGCTTGATGTAGCCTATGACTTGCACATGGAAAGTCAAAACAAGGCCAAGAGCAAGCAAGAGAGGCAGCAAAAGAGCGTATCGAAGACGTATCAGGCGATACTGCCGGTCCATCCTGAAAAAGATGTCAAATGGCAAGAAGTAACGTTGGAGAATCTGAATAAATAAACAAGAGAATGTATTGTTTGAAGAAGTATGGGAACCGATGACAGAAGCTATTAGTGCTGCCTTCAAGATTCTCAATACATGTCTTTAAAATGCAGGCCATGGCAGCTAATTAATAGACTCCCTCTATAATGTAAGCGAAGCTAGCTATTCAACATTCTATGATTCGAGGAGAAACAGCAAACGTAGAGGCAAACTATGCCAGCTCTGAAGCCGTATCCTGAGACGAAGATCTGTGCGTGCCAAATGACTTGGCCCGAGGACATTGATATCCATGGTGTCTGATCGCCTTGCTTGTTTCAGAACCTCTTGCAGCCCCATCACGCCAGCCAATATGATGTCAAATAGACAGTGGAGATGAATTCTGAAGGCAAGTGCTGGCTATCAATTCGATCGAACAGACCAGGCTCACTGCGGGGAACGGCGACTATTCCGCAAATAGATGGCAGAGATTCCGAAAAAAGGTAAACCGGATGACACGGCTCTGTACAAGCTTTCCTTGAGTTGTTAAATATAGGTAAAAGTCATCCGGCATCCCAGTTCTATTATCCAGCACCCCAGTTGCATTACAGTACTCGGCTATAGCTTAATAAAGCAGTTGGTCTATAAATGAATCCCCTGCTATTATTCAACTGTCACATACACTTGAAATGAGTAGCAAAAGTAGCAGAAGTAGCAGAAGTAGAAGTAATAGCAGTAGTAAAAGCAGTAGTAAAAGCAGTAGTAAAAGCAGTAGTAAAAGCAGTAGTAAAAGCAGTAGTAAAAGCAGTAGTAAAAGCAGTAGTAAAAGCAGTAGTAAAAGCAGTAGTAAAAGCAGTAGTAAAAGCAGTAGTAAACGAAGTAGTAAAAGCAAGTAGTAAAAGCAGTAGTAGTATCTATGGTACCTTATACCATAGCTGGAGTGCTAAACAACATAATTAGGGTGCTGGATACTTGTTCCTTCAATATTTTAGTTTGTTTGCTTGGCCTTCAGCTGGCCGGAACTCTGCATTAGCGAACTCCTGATGTGACAATGGGAGTAACTCCGCGGACTAAAAGCCCTTGACCGCTTCACAGGTAGTTGCTTTGGCGTTGTCATGACTCAATATTACCCCTCAAACAAACAAACAATTCTTCTTGTATCTTGCACCTTGTTTCTATTGTAAATGCCGAAAGCTCAAGCCAGCTCTGTAAATAACCTCATATTTAGACTATAGCCCTTGTTTCCTAGCACAGTCCATCATAAGCGCTAGTAGGGAGGCGCACGCTACTCCGTAAATAGGGCAACGGGCAGCCTGGAGTCTCAGGTCATTCGACAAACAGACTAGCTAATTTATTGCCTACATGTAGATTGCTTTTACAAGGCTGCTTCACATTATTGTAATAACTAGAGCATTGTAGCTGGATATCCGATGATTTGTTACTATACACGTCTTATTAGATATACGGTGAAGTCAAATTCTTTTACGGAACTGCTATTTTGTGCTAGTTTCCACTCCAGTCCGTGAGTTCATTCACTGTGATATAATGGGACTTTGTGCTATATACTATGCAACTTATCTTACCGAGTATTGGATCTATGATACAGTGTGTTTTGTAAACCCAGATAGATGTGGCCTCCTAGCTGCAAATGCACTTTTTAAATTTGCGATTAAGGATGTGTAGAAAAATGCAGTTCAGACATCGCTTATACAATGTATATCCTAGCATAAGGGAAGTAGCTACATTCTATCATCATCGGCCTTTTGTATACTCGAAAGGACTTTACTTCTTCAAAAGCCGTCAAGCATGCAATGTTTCTCGTATACGGGTGGATCGGCCTCTCCTTGACGGGAGGATGCAGCGAAGTGAAACCTGCAATCAGGCATCATCGGGCTTGCCGGCACTCTTACCATGTACACATCTGCAAGCTCAGCTGTCATGTGTCAGTCAGAATGGTGTATATCATTTGCGGCCGCTTGTTTGCGGTAATGCGAAACTCTTCGCCAACAAACGCAAGCGCACGAACCAGCATCGGCAGACGCGAGGAAACGAGTCAAGCTTTTGTCTACTTCTTTCGAGAGCCCTAGATTTTATTAGACATTTCCTCTACCTGTTCCTCTCTCGCGTTTATAAATTTTCTGGCAGTCTCCCTATCTGCTCCTCTCCTGTTGTCTCGAATCTTGTCGACATCTGTCCTTGTCTGTAAATACACCTCAGTGAGGTGAATTGGAATTATTCGACATGCGCCGTTCAATGTCTCTCTCACTCTACGGCTTTGTATGTGAACTCACACCTCTCGACAAACAGAAACAAAGGTTTCGAGGAGCTAGCTGCAGCTGTTGGCTAACACTCGGATTAGCTATGGAGCTGGCTCCTACATTCGCTGGTGCATTGTCAAATCCTCTCGAATCTTGTTCAGCTTGAGGCCCCGGGAAACTTTTCCGCGTCTTGCAGGTCTGTTGACTCCCCGCTGATAGAAACAAGCTTCAAAACGCTAAACACATTCGTGTAACAGTGCCACCTTTAACCAGAGCATTGCATGTAGTCTCTCCCTCTCTCGAGTCGCATCAGGATCCCTTGTCCCTACCTCGAACGATCTCCCAAAGATCTGCACTGATGCCTGTTTGAGCGATCTGAAGAGCTTACGGACAAGGCAGGTCAAGGTTTGTAATGGCTCAGACGTGGCGGTTATCGAAGGGTTGGCGTATCCTGCAACGTATACCACAGATCTTCTCTTGTTTACCTACAACTACACGTGCATAAAGAATGCGTGAGTATAACGATGATTGTAATGGGCCGATTTCAACTTATAGATGCGTGTTTAGGACTGCGAGCGATTACTGCTTTCCAGACTTCTGGGAGTGGAATAATGATACAACAGCCGCGACCTCTGCTCAGCTATGTTCAGACTGCAATCTGCGAATCCAGCAGGCCCAGCTACAATCGCCATTCGGATATGACGATGATGCGGCCAGCGATTACGCATCACTGACAACCTCGTAAGTTTCTATAGTCGAGCAACACAGAGATCATTCAAGTAACCAGTCAATAGATGCAAAGTTACGAAATACCCAGTCACTTTTCCATCTGCTTATGCTTTGTCAAGGACAATGAAACTCGCTTCCGCCATAGTTACTACTGCTACTACTGCTACACCTTCCTGCAAGTCAATATATACCATCAAGAAGAACGACACTTGCAGATCCGTCAGCGAGTCTCAAAAGGTGGCCACATTCCATCTCATGCAAGCCAATAACCTGCCCGGATACTGTTCGCAATTTCCGCCGGCCGGATCAGACTTGTGCATCCCCCAGAGCTGCAATCTTTATACAGTGGCAAGTAATGACACTTGCTACGGAATTGCGCAAGCTCATAATGGGACGTTCTCTGCCACGCAATTGATCTCTTGGAATCCCAACATTAACCGGCAGTGCTCAAACCTGAACCAGATTGCTGGATATCAAATCTGTGTAAGGTATGTGATTGTTGGGCGTTTCTTCTATCGGTTTCATTCATGCCATCCCGATCTACTGTCTGTTATATGTACTGATTAAAATGCGTTTCTAGCTTCCCAGGGCCACCAAGTGTCGTTGCAACAGGAAGTGAGTCCATCACAACTCCAGTCGCGTAAGTGTGATATCAAATCTTTCCATCGGCCATCAATGCGCCCATACCCTGTTTACTAACTCGTATATCATTTAGAGCAATCCCTACAAACCTGGCTAAAAATACAACAACGAATTGTAAGTCTCCTTTGATTCCGTTTCTATTATATGGCTTAACCATTTGAGTTTTTCTTCTTCTTTCTAGGCGGTAAATACTACTTGGCCGTAGACGGCGATAGTTGCGCAAGCATATCCATGGCCATGGGCATTTCCCTTGGAGACTTCTACTTCCTAAACCCCATGATAAACAGCACATGTGGTAATCTATGGCTTGATACATACTACTGCGTCGAAGCCGTAGGCAACATTGCTACATATTCCAACTATAATCAGTAAGTTGCCATTCAAGCTTCTCAATCTTCCATTCAGCGTCTAGCTATATTTCATGCAGGCCGGCGTCATAATGATCGACTTGAACTCACACATCTTTTACTACAGCGCCAGCGTGGGCGTCAAAGGAGGCCCTTGCCATCAATTGGATGCCCCCGCTAGCTGTTTTGTCACGACGTATAGAACTACGCATCCCTTCACTTGGCCTGCGGTTGGCCAAGCTAGGACGAAGACCACCGCTCCCTTCCCGAAAGCGACATTGATGAAAGATCTGCCTTTGGCACCTGGAACTCAAGATTGTGGCAGCTTTACTCAGTACTATAATTCTTCGCGTTCCAACAGCAACCAGTGTGGCATGGTAGCGTGGGTCTTTACACGTAAGGTTTCATACCATTTTCCTTTGTTTTCTTGCAATCTGGTTGACAAGACTGACAATTTCCAAATACTGCATGTAGTCAAGGTTACCGACTTTGTTGCATGGAATCCGTCTCTCTCGTACAACGCGACCAACCCATCTACCTGTGTTCTTTTGCCAGGCTACCGCTATTGCATCGGGGGGCATTCACCCACAAGTATGAGAGCAACCAGCACTTTCCACGCAGGTGGTATCAGTAGGTTCACCACTCGAACTATTAGCGTGTCGACTTCTCCAACTTTCACGTACTCTCCCAATGGTTCGTGTGGTGGCAAAAAGAGCGAGTAACCTTCAAATTGCTTCGAGATCTGCTTGTTGCACTGGCCTCGTCCAGTACAATCTGTTTCAAAGACAAACACTAACATGGATCATGAAAGAATACATTTGCGAGCCTCCAAACTGCTGTAGTGTTGACGGGTTTTGCGGCAATAATGCCCATTTCTGCGGCTCGGGCTGTCAGCCAGCTTTTGGCGTTTGCCATACTGGCCCTGCAATTTCAAGTAAGGTAGCCCACCGGGTTTAGAGCGTTTAGACTATGATATATTGGCCTTTAACTATTGCTGCTGGGAATCAATAAGGTTGTGTGGCGTGGGCAGTGTGTGTTATGCTTTTAGCAAGGAGATGGAACGACGTGTGGGGACTGCGTTTTGTGCTTGGCTTTGCTGAATGCCCTGTTCGGAATTAGCATTGAAGTAGAAAGAGTGTGTTTGCCAATATTACTGGGCCTGAAACGGTACCAATATTGCCATCACCCTTTGTTACGCTCTCTCGGCTCTCGTCGGCTCGCCAGCCTGTGACAGTATGTCCGGCACAGCCCGTCTTCTTCCCAAGAATACGACACAAAAAGATAACCACACTCACCAGCGCCAAGACAATCACGCAGGATAGAATGATGGGGCTTCTATCTGATCTCCCCTAACAGGAAGTAGACAAAACACTGCACCTCCTCCAGCTGCTATATGTAGGCTAGAGCTGGCGTCCAGGGGCGTTTTAAAGTCAACGTTACGGGAGCGGTAGGAAGTGCAAGACAAACATGTCAATCCAAGTTGGCGTTCTTGGCACGCATGGCAAAAGTAGAAAATAGCGCGGCTGGGCATCGATAGTCGGTTTCTAAATTTCAAGCTTCTTTCTAAAACAGGCAGGCCGGCTATCGCCAGTTGCCATGTGCCACGCTTCTTTGAGAACGGCGTTTAGCAGTATCAGCATGGACATGCACGGTGTTAATGAAACAAAGTCAAGCTATTTGTTTTTTTGTCGTTTTGAACCATGCCTATTTTGGTTTCCACACAAGCCGTCATCTTGGAAGCCACAGCGTCGTGACCGATATGGATCGAGAATCACAAGCTGCGGCACACTTCCGCCAAGGACGGCAGCAGATATATTGTCTTCATATTTCCCACCCTCTTTCATTTTGTAACGTATGAGATGCTGATGGTACTCTTAGCCGAGACGCCGAGATGAGTTGAGATTATGTAAGTGTTCCCATCTCTACTTGTAGTATATCGTAAGGCATCAAAAAGGCAGGTGCTTTTTATAGCTTTGGAGAGTGCGCTGATCGACAGGCACTTGGGCCTGGACCCTGTACTTGTCAAATGCATACAGGTAGTACTTAGATATGGGACAGAAAAGGGTTCCTGATTGGTGGGATCGTAGTTGTCGGTCCGAGGCCCCGGATTCCCACGGTCCTCTTCTATTTGTTTCATGCGATGCAAATCGTGAAGAAACATTCCACGGCCCTCGCGCTCAATCCTGGCACTTTGATCTCCCGGCAGAGTGCTTTCTCTGAGGTCTTCTGGCTGATACCAGGGCTACTCACCGGATGAAGAAGGGGCTGAACTTGTATGCCCATTACATCGATTGAAGATGGTGATGGTTGTTACATTCACCATCTATTTTATTCGCTCATAAACCAGGCTCACTTATCAAACAGTCACATCTTGTCAATCGATTTGACGTCCTTGGCACCCTGCCTTTTTGCGGTCTCTGGCGTCCCATCTGCATATACGGCTTGCCAGTTGCACCCTAATTAATACCGCCAAGATATTACGATGCTACCAACTTCCATGCTTGGTTAATGTGGAGAACTGGCAATATCATCTAAGTGAATAGGGTGCTATTTAGTTGAAACTTGGTCACAGAAACGCAGAGATGCCGTGTGTAAACGTGGCTGGACATGGGCGGCGGACATTTTATCCCGCTGATGATCCGCGTCATTCAGGATGGTTCTATCTCGTTTCTGCAGAGATGGAGCCATTGTTGCAAGAAAGTCAATTTTTCGTGTTGGACGACTCTTCTTTTGGTCTTTATTTGGCCAACGTTGTTACTCAAGCAAGGACATGTATCAAAGCTACCCAGGTATATGGATCCAATCTCGGTCACACTTCTCAGGATGCCAAGAAAACAATGTAGTAGCGCCTGGGCGTAGTGGTATTGGAAGTCAGAAGTGATGAGAAATAATATGCCTAATATGGGAGGCTGCCTCTGCTAGTCAAGGAGCGCATCAGCAACATGCCTGTCACCACCTCACACAAAGAACCTCGCGATGTAACGGCGCAACTATCTCTGGCCAATACATCCTTCTGAATGGGTCCAACTCGATAGATTTGCTGTATTAGACTGGTGCCCCCAAGATATATCGTACCAAGCGCCAAATGACATTTAAAGGGCCATCCGTCTCTCTCTACAGCTCTTGTCTTTGATCCATCTCAAGACTCTTCCAGCTCGAGACATCAAGAAAAGAAAAGAGAGTTCATACGACGCTTCTGAAAGATACTTCAAAAAGTTCAATTCCTACAATGAAGCTGCTCGCTTCCATTCTTGGCCTCGCCGCCCTGGCTCAGGCCCATATGGAACTGACCTGGCCATATGCCTTCCGTTCCAAGTTCAACCCCAACGTGCCCGAGTCCTTAAGAGACTACAGTATGACCAGCCCTCTCTTGGCCAGCGGAAGCAACTATCCTTGCAAGGGATATCACGTCGACTTCAACAGGCCCGAGGGCAAGTCGACCGTTACCTGGCAGGCCGGAGGCACCTACAACTTTAGTCTTTCCGGCTCTGCGACTCATGAAGGCGGCAGCTGTCAAGTTTCGCTGTCCTACGACCAGGCCAAGACGTGGAAGGTCGTCCACTCTTGGATCGGCTCGTGCCCTCTCACGCCTTCGTGGACGTTTACCCTCCCCAACGACACGCCTGCTGGAGACGCCCTCTTCGCCTGGACCTGGTTCAACAAGATTGGCAACCGAGAGATGTACATGAACTGCGCTCATGTTACCATCCTGGGCCGCAGTGGCTTCGACTTTGACGAGCGCAGCCCGTCTGATCCTTATGGAAGCCGCCCCGCCCAGTTTGTTGCCAATGTCAACAATGGCTGCGGTACTCTTGAGGGCAAAGACGTCTTGTTCCCCAACCCGGGCCCGGATACTGATCTGAAGTCTCTGGGGACTGCTCCGCCAACTGGCAGTTGTCCTTCTGGAAACCAGAGAGCTCAACCCTTGACTGTCTAAGTTGTCATGACCATGTATGGCATGACTGAGATGGGGGATGTAGTGGAGGCTTTTGTCGATGCTAGAGGTTGTTACCTAGGTGGATGTCTGATTTAGTTCATATTTTAGATACGTAAAAAGCTGTTGTATATATATAAGAAAAGTTTCTGCATGGGTAATCCTCAGACGATTCATTTACTGCTGTAGGCATGGGTGTACTCTACCATTCACACAAGTACGTCGACAATTGATGCATACAGTGCAAATGACGATTACTATAAACATATGCTCCTTACCGCCCGCAGTTAAAAAAGATGGTAAGTTTAGAGAAAATTCATAAATGGCATTGATGACTACATGTAACCATTCTATACTAAGCATTGGAACTATACTCAAACCCGGTCCCATCCATAAGCTACCAAATCCAAATCCAAATCCAGAAGTCGTTAAATTCATTCCAATAAAAAATCAAGGGGGTATAAGATCACTATATATATGCATGTTTTTTTGTGCATATGCGTATTGTTGGAACCGTCGCAATTGCTGTCTTTATTTTCCATTCGCAACAACCACAGCATTCATTTCAATGACATGATTTGCGCTATTTGCTTTATTCCCTCTCTTGCCATGAGGACATTCCAACTCTTCTTCATCTACCATCAACAATGTTAGTAAAGAGAATTCATTGCATGCACAAGATTGATCAAGCAGGAAAGCCGTACCTTCATCTCCCAAGTCCGAAAGGCTCACATCTTCCGCAGCTAGATTCAGCGCTGTCGATCCAAAGCCGTAAAAGACGCTCAAGAGCTGGGCCAAGGCAATGAAGAAGGGCATAAACTGCCCCGGCGCGGCCAAGCTGTGCACGCCAGAGATGTTATTCCACTTGAGCGCCATCTCGACGTACACAATGGCGCCAATGTTGACCAGGAAATCGAGGGGCCCGTAGTTCATGGGGTTGTCGTCCTCTTTGGACCTGCCGCTGCTTTTGTCGTTGAATCTCTTGACGAAGCTGACGCCTCTAACAAAGGTGAATAGAATGATGGCTATGCTGCGTGTCAGTACGGGATCCAAGTATAATCCAACCACGTATAATACTAAACATACCTCCAAGGTAAAAGAGGACCGAGACAACTCCGCCGATGATGGCAAACACGGATCCCACCTTGTTAAGGGTCCGGAACCAATGCCAGATGCTCACCTTGGCAAAGAAGAAGGCCTTGTCGTCGTGGCACGTGTGCGGCAGCGTGTCCATGCCATGCCACCAGAACCAGGCAAACAGCGCAATCAGGCCGCCGACCTCGAACGTGTAGATGAGCGCCGTCGTCTGGCCCTTCCAGTACGGCACGCGGCAGACGCCCACCTGGGCCAGCAGCAGCGTCAGGATGGGGAACACCTCGACCGGCTGCAGGATGGTGGTGCCGTCGGGCTGCACGGAGCTGCCGGCGGCCTGCTGCAGGAGGTTGATGAGCACGATGCCGGTCGCCAGCACGAAGATGATTGTGCCCTGGCCGAGGGAGTCCTCGGTCTTGAGGATGGCGCTGGCGAGGCCCGAGAGCTGGACGGTGATCATCTGGATATAGATGCCGACGCGGATGCCCAGGCCGTAGAGATCGGGGTTGCCCTGGACGGGGCAGTCTAGGACGGTGGAGTTCATGGCTACGTATGATATGGTACCGTCGTATTTGGCCTGGAGAAGAGGCCGCAACAGAGTTTCGAGTTTGAATGTTTTGTCGAAACTACTCCATCTCTTGGTGTTGTGGCAGGCTCCAGCGTGGCTTATATGAAATGAGAAGAGGATGAGACCCAGCATCGGCCATGCAACGAGACCCGATGCTGTGGACATAGCCCCCCATGTTATCGTCTAATAGAGACCCTGTTGCACATCGCCAACGCAACCTAACACCAGGCCATAGCCACCCGGCCAGGCAGCCTCTCCGCAGGACTCGAGGCCTGCATGCGAGGCGAGGGTGCCCCGGGCGCCTAATAGTGCCAGAGAAGAACCAGGACTATCCCTCAATGTCTCGTTCCAAGGCGGCCTCCGTTTTCAGCCTCACCTTGGCCCTCTTCCAACTCAACCAAGCGGATTTTCTCTTCAGCTTTGCAGCAAAGCTACGACTCTTTGAGCTAGCAAATGCGTCACATGCTTGTCAATCCAAGCAAGAGAACGAGAGACAGCAGCTCTGCAATGCCCAAAAAGCCAACCGCTTTTAGTGCCTCCTCTTCCGCTACCCCTGTCCGCAGGTCTGCCTAACCCATCACCGCCATTGGCCCAAGCTGTGGGACTATTTTGCGTGGCGGAGGCGGTTCGGGCCTGCACTACCCACCTTGTTTTTTGTGCGGTTGTCTCAAAGCTCGTAGAGATCGGCTGGAGAAAAGACAGGCGGTGATGGTATCGAGTTTAGCGTCTGCAGAGCTGAAAAGATGATGGGCATGCAACTGGGACTAGTAGAATCTGCCAAGACGAGGCAAAGCTGCAGGCAGGTCTGGTGAGAAGAGCAGCACTGCCACCCATTGGGATGGACTGAGGTTTTCTTGGTTGATGATCTGGAGCTGGGGCTTGCTCGCATATCTAGCGGCTGGATCCGCAACTCTATCGAGGCCAAGATTGATAGTTTGTGTTGCCTTTGGCGCAGTGTATTGCCTGTAAGCGCGTGTCATTTGGCGCTTTTTTGGATGTGGTATAAGAGGAATTCGTGAGAGCGTTGGTGCCTCCATTTTCTCTTCTTGGCCTCTGATCTGCTCTTCCTTCTTCTTCCGTCTTCATCCCATCATCCTCAACACAATATCTTGAGCATATACCTACTACACCACATACATCCCACATCACCGCCCAACATGGCGACCCAGTGCCCCAGCGGCAACTCTGACCTCTACGGCATCGGCGTCCGCGTCGGTCTCTATGCCCAATGGGTCGCCACGCTCCTCGTCACTGTCTTCGACCCCAAGACGGAGAGCACGTACCGCATCGCCAACCTCATCATCCAGTGGTCCATCTTCCTGGGCCTCTGCACGCAGTCCAGCCAGGGCGACCCCGTCGTCGGCGCCATCATCACGCAGTACCTGCTCTTCGGCTCCCTCTCCAGCGTGACGGGCGACGGCATCAAGCACTTTAGCCACTTTTCGGGCATCTTCCGCGTCGTCTTCTACACGGCCGTGGCCGCCTACGGCTGCTGGTTCTGGTACGAGGGCGTCGACGTAATGTCCATCGAGGGCTGCCCCGACATTGCCTTTTTCAGCGGCGTGACTATCCACGGATGGTTCCGCACGCTGGGGAAAGTCGTGTCCGTCTTGGGACTTGTGGTTTGCGTGTCTTTACTCTTTTACAGCGTTTATGCGACGGCGACGAGATTTAGCAACGGCTTGCGAGAGGGATTTGAGCGCAGACCAAAGGTTCGCCCGCAGGTCGAGCTAGCGCTCTTGGTGCTGTCGATGGCCTTGATCGGGATATCCATCTACTTGGTGGAGCATCTCATCATGGTGAACAACGTCGATGGAGTGGGAATTCCCGAGATTGGCACGGTTGGCCAGCTGATTCCGCTGTTGGCCGGTGGCTTGGGATGCGCAATGAGCATTTGGAAGATTCTGGTGCACCGTCTGTTTTTGAGGAAGAGATGCTGGTTCCTGTTTGGCTACCATCTTTAATGGGTTATTGTTCTTTTGCGTCATGTCTTGGTTTTCCTTTTGTTACAGCTGGCTTTTGTTTACGGATCAATTAATGAGCAAGATACCATTTTGGGTTGGGCGTTTTAGAGACGCTGTCACGATGATTTACGCACACATGGTATTCGGCTTCTGCATTTCCTTTGTTCTCTCAAAGAATAGACTCATCATTTTGCTCCGAACGTATTCCATTCAGTCAAAAATCACTCCATTGAGTCATCCCTTCTCCGATATCCTCGTACAGGAAACAGCATCTTCCCGCTTAATACCCCAAAACCATCCAAGCTTCCAACTCCCGCTCTCCGGATCGCCCTCCGGAGCCACTCCCGCCAGCCCCACTAAAAAACCGCCTGTCATTCCATCTCCGGCCTCGGGGCCGCTTATCGCTATCTGATTCATAACTTTTGACTTCGCGCATTGATTTCAACTTCGACTCATCGCAATCACTCTCGTTATATATTTCTTCCACCATACCGTCTTTTACCACACCAAAACCCGCAACATTGTCAATTAGGTGTTGTAATCCATAGAGGCACAAATCTCCCAAAATGTCTCCCTTCAACCTCGAGACCTGCGCTCGCCCCAACATCCTCGCCCTGCAACCCTACCGTTGCGCTCGAGAGTCAGTTCTCCTCAATCTCAAATCAAACATACATCATAGCTAACATGCAAAACAGTGACTACAAAGACGACGGCACAAACATCCTCCTCGACGCAAACGAAAACGCCTTTGGCCCCTCCCTCGACGCAGCCTCCATAGCCGCCTACTCCTCCTCCTCCCAATCAAACGACAACAACAGCCAAGGCATCGACCCCCTCGGCCTCCACCGCTACCCAGACCCTCACCAGCTCGACCTCAAACAGCTCCTCTGCACCCTGCGCAACACCCACGCCCACACCGAAAAGACGCTCACCCCGGCCAACCTCTTCGTCGGCGTCGGCAGCGACGAGGCCATCGACGCCCTGCTGCGCTGCTTCTGCGTCCCCGGCAAGGACCGCATCCTGACATGCCCCCCGACATACGGCATGTACGCCGTCTCCGCGCAGGTCAACGACGTGGCCATTGCAAAAGTGCCGCTGCTGCCCGCGCCCACGTTCGGCCTCGACGTGCCCGCCATCTCCGCCGCGCTCTCGGCCGACCCGTCCATCAAGATTGCCTACCTCTGCTCGCCGGGCAACCCCACCGGCTCGCTGCTGGCAAAGGCCGACGTCGTCGCGCTGCTCAACCACCCGACGTGGAACGGCGTCATCGTCCTTGACGAGGCCTACATCGACTTTGCGCCCGACAACGCCTCCCTCGCCGAGCTGGTGGCCGAGTACCCCAACCTCGTCGTCATGCAGACCCTCTCAAAGGCCTTTGGCATGGCCGGCATCCGCCTCGGCGTGGCATTTGCCCCCGCGCCCATCGCCACGCTGCTCAACAGCCTCAAGGCGCCGTACAACATCTCCAGCCCGACCAGCGCCCTCGCCCACTCCGCCGTCAGCGCGCAGGGCCTCTCCGTCATGGAGTCCAACAGGGCCAAGATCATTGCCCAGCGCGACAGAATCATCAAGGAGATTGCCTCGATTCCCGGCGTGGGTCGTCTTCGCGGTGGCACCGAGAGCAATTTCCTCTTGTTCGAGATGCTCAATGCGCAGGGCCAGCCGGATAACGCCGTTGCGCTGGCGGCGTACGAGAAGCTCGCCGAGACAAAGGGCGTGGTTGTTCGCTTCAGAGGCAAGGAGCATGGATGCTTGGGATGCTTGAGAATCACGGTTGGCACAGAAGAGGAAGTGACGAGATTTTTGGCAGCGCTGAAGAAGACGTTGGAAGAGGTAAGAGCGTAGATGAAAATATGTGCGTAGACGTTGTAAGAGATGGAATGAAAAAAAAAGCGGTCTTCAAGATAAACGGAAAAAAAAAAGGACTACACGGATACCATTGGCATGTTACATATAGAGAGTAAAAAGAAATAGTCAAGGGCGATTTGAAATGATATAAAAATTTCTATATCCGTATATATCAAGAAAAGTCGTCAATTCGCAATGCAGCTCCCATGTGCTTTCTACTGTTTTCTCGAAAACGTGCATACGTACATGTACTCTTATCAGCACATTATTTACAAAATCAGTTGTACTCTATATACAAGAATGAGGGCCTATAAGAAGAGACCAACTTCAAGCCAGCCCCCAAGTCGCCAGCAACATGCCGAGACCAACAACCACAAGCGGTCCCATTTCAAGGTTCGGCCGCACACCAGCAGAGTTTGTCGGCTTCGCATCTCCTGAAATGCCTCGCCTGGCAGTTTCCAAGGGCGTCGGTGTTGATGCATCGCTCGCCTTGGCGCTCTGAGCATCTTGGGCCCCCCAGGTGATGTCTCGTACCGTCTTGATGTCTTTGGCCTCCAGGGGCGGAGCAGCGCCGTCAATCAAGAGCCCCTGAATTGTCTCCAGTGCATTCATCTCTTGGCCCAGGCCGGGGATGTCATCGTACTCGCCAGTGTACCACTTCTGTCCGCAGGCGCGGCCAGTAGAGCCTCCCGTGCATGTAGCAGCAGCAGCCTGGGCGCTGGGAATAAGGAGGCTCTCGACTTTGCTGCGCAGTGAAGGAACCATTTGCGTAGTCTGCCACATGAAGCGGGCGAGATAGGCCTTGAACGTGGTCATGTCGGCATCGCATCGACCGACGGTTTCGCAGGCACCTTCGTACATGACATTCTTGGCCGTAGCGTTGGGCGGTGTGAAGAACCATCCGGCGCCATCGAGAAGTTGTTGGGTTCTCAGAGTCCACTCAGGCTTCTTTGTGTAGTTTGCCATGATGGCGGCTCCGTACAAGTAGATGCCGCTAGTGTAAGTGAAGGACGCGACGTTTGTCTTGGTGCAGTTGGTGTCGATACCGGCGCCGTCGTAAACGTGAAACGACTCATGATCGATGAAGCCGATATCCATGGACCAATCCCAAACCTTCTCGGCCCAGTCCAAATATGTGTTGTTGCCAGTGGCGCGGGCCATCCGAGCGGCAATCTGAAAGAAGCCACCGTTGCTAACGCTGTTCTTGTAAGTCAGGCCATTCGGGTTGGAAGCATAGATTTGCCATAAAAGACCGCCGCCGCAGTGCTGGTTGCTCCAGCGGCTCGCAAGCTGGTTGAAGACATTAGCTCCCAAGTCCAGCCACGAGGGCAGCGTGCTGTTTGGCTGAGGAAAGTTTCGCTCGGCAGCGGCGATGGCAGCCGAGCCCCAGAAGAAAAGATCGTCGTTGCCCTCTTCAAAGGCGTGCTCCGAGGGCATGTAGGCGTGCTGGGCTCCGAGATTCGTGGGCGCCAGGAGAGCCTGGATGACAACGTCGTTGTAAGTCGAGTCGTTGGTGAAGTGGTAGTAGTCCAGCATCGATCCCCAGAGTGCGCCAGCCGTCCACCAGTAGTAGGGATCTTGGAGATCTCCCATGTTGACAGAGTCTGCGGCAGAGAGGTTGCCCTTGTAGTAGGACATGGCGTCAAAGGCAAGAGTAGCGGCGACATTTCGAACCGAGGCTGTCACCATGTTAATCAACCATTAGCAAATCAACTTGTTTTGATTAATCACCTGAATTCTTCACATCCAACGACCTGGGAGCTGTCATGGCTGAACTAGCAGCCGCAGCGGCATTGACACTTCTCATAAACCTCATCTTGTCGATTTTCGTTTTCCGTGCGGTGCGTGTTATAGCCAGGCAATCGCGTATGTATCCAGCTTCTGTGGTCCAATCCAAAGCTCGGCTTCGATGATATATCCGATACAAGTAAAATAAGAAAAAAAAAAACCCCCCCGCAGTTCAATGTATCTTCAGCCTGGAAGATGGGAAGAGTAGTCGAAAAAGGGAAGAAACCTGAACGACCAAAGCGTCCAGCAGCAAAAGTAAGCCCAAGAAAAGAGGAGGGGCCGAGTAAAGATGGATAGGTCGCCGTAGTCACACAATCCTCGATAAAAGAAGGAGGGCCAGCCAATATATAGCTCTCGCCACTTCAACAAGAAATTCAAGAAAAGAGAGTGAGGCAGCAAAAAAAGAAAGAGAGAGGCCGAGAAGTGACAAGAAGGCGACTAGGCCCTGAAAACGAGAGCAGGAGGAAGAAAAAGAAGGAAACGAGAGGTCAAGACTTTTAAAAGGTATAGGAAAACGCAGAAGCAAGAAGAAAAAGGAAGAAGCGGAAGAAGAGACCACAGCAGCCTGCGTGAATTTAAATATGTAACTCGACCTGCATCCAAATAGCAAGTCCCACGCATTGATCAGTAGTAGATCAGCCTTTCCCGTCTACGGTCGCCAAACGTTTCGTCCAAACAGCAGCGTTTATCCAAACAAGGAAGTCCACAAGGGCAATCTATAAAAACAAAAATAAAAAGGCCATACAAGGGTTGCATCCAGGCCTATCAAAGCCCCGTGAAAATCCCCGGCCCATCAAAAGCGCCTAATGGCTGGTAGGTCCGAATAGAGACTATTTACTTGTAGTTTTGGGCAGGCGAAACGCTCATCCTTTGGGGGATTTTGTCTAGAATCAAATCGATATAAGCGCGGCTGCAGGGGCTGCTTTTCTGGGGTTTCAATCTTCTTCGTCTATCTAAGCTCGAATAGGTGGCAATTACTCCTGATCAGAGCTGCTATTATACGAGGCACTGCAGTTTAGAAAAAGAAAAGGCATGGGGGCGCGTGTTTCATCCTGTCCGCGCGGCAAAAGAGTGGAATAGACAATGAGAGGCAGTGAATGATGGGATCAGCAGCGACAATAGCAGAAAAGGCAAACGGGAGGCCTGTGCCTGGGCAATCGGCGCTGTGCAGACGCTGGATTGGATGGCAGCGCTTGGTGGAAATACGGGGCTGCGAAACGTGAAACGTGAAACGCTCAGATCTGCCCCCAAACCGACATAAACCGACATGGGTATAATTCATAGTCGAGCACTCGAGCTTACTGGGTTGGCTTCAGCGTTACTTGGTAATTCAGCTGACGTGATTGACACGAGTAAGTTGGGCAACTAGGCTGTAGCATGAGTGATGAGTGATGGGTTATGAGAGCGCAAAACAGAAGCCTTTTACAATTGTCATCAGCAAAATCGTGTGGTCTCAAAGAGTGTCATAGAGGCGAGCTCTCATGAGGCACAAGAGGCAAATGTCACGACACTTGCCTGCCGCCCGTTTCTTGAAATTATTCCATGAGCCATCTTGACGTATATATAGCTCCCAGTAAACCAGATTTGTATTATGTGGCCTCCAAACTCCGCGCTATAAATCGAAAGAGTGCAACTCCGTGATATGCTTTGCTAAAAAAAAAAAAACCAAGACGCAAATAGGGTATAACGCAATCATAACGCTTCCCAAAACAACCATTTTCTTCTGTTTCCTCCAAAGAGGCACAACGCATTCCCAAGGCACCACCTTTCCTCACATCGGCCCCGTACCCCGTCTCGTATCCCTTTTCGTGGGACACGCTCTCAGGCAAGCTCGATGACGAGCATTCAAAATGCAGTAGCCATCATTATAATGCTAGACAGATAGCAACGATGCCTGCCACTAGCCCGTAGAGAGACCGCAGTTGGGGTATACGCAGATTCGACCCCAACGACGTCGGCGAGGGCTCATACATCATCCCCGAAGGAGCTGTTGGCGTCGCCATGACCCCGGAAGTATCAGCAGCGCCATCGGTTGCCCCTGGGCAGTCGGCCAAGGTCAAGGTTCCCCACTGCAGCTCGGAACCAGTAAATGTAGATGTCCACGAAACCTGCGTTGGACCAGTGCGAGGCCCGTTTGTGTAGCCGGATTTATAGCTGGAGTAACCCGAGCACGTTGCTGCCGTCGTGCCGTTCAAGTCGCATTCCACATCGGCAATGCTTTAATCAAACGTCAGTTACAATCCCCTTGATACTACACTTGGCCTTTTCAATAAAATAAAATAAAAATAAAAAAAAACTCACTATGTCGACGTCACGGTTCCATGGAACTCGAGCGTGTCGGGACCTTCTACGATGACAAAGGGGAATTCAAGAGACAAGTCGCACGCTAGAGGCGTCTGTGTCGGGCAAAAGATGGTGTATGTGGTCCTACTAGCCGAAGGATCCTAGTGGGCACCACGTTAATACTGCTTGGGGTAGCTTGGCTGTTCTACAAGGCAAGGAACAGGTGCACAGATGGAATCCAAATGTGTAAAGCAGCGGCTATGCATACTGTTGAAATGATGCTCCCCCGGACCAGCGACCACGACCGCTCATCGTAATACGGCAGATAGATGGGAGCAGCCGTCACAGTCGGCGTCGCAGCCGTGGCTTGGGGAGATTCGCCATGCGCCGTCGCGTCGGCAGGATAAAGAGCGAGCAGCCCCAGAAGGGCGAGCCATGGCGCGGTGAATGATTTCAGGCCAGGTCTGGTCATGATTGTATCTCGTCTGCGAATGGGCGCAGCCTCGTCAAGGCGCTTCTCGGCAAAGTAAATGGGTCGGTGAGGCTAAGTGATCAGCGGGTTTCCTGGTTCGGATGGCGTCGAGAGGGTTTGCGCGTCTCTGGGTTGATGCAGAGCCTTTTCGAACGCCGTGGATGGGAATCGATCGGATTCTGGGTATTCTCGTCGTCGTCACCTGCTGGGGCGAGGGAGCTGCAGCGACGAAATCTGCGGCATGGAGAGGGAAAAAAGAAGAGAAAAGATTCACACGAAGTTGCAGAATCCAGGCCGGAGCTCGCCCGAGCGCGGACCAGACAAAGACGACGAGGGAGGCATCAAGGGAGAAGCAAAATGCTAAGCACTCCAGGTCCCACGATGCCAAGAGTCGAAAATGCTCTTTCTCTCCTTGGGAGCCAGGCCTGTGGCGGATTGGGTTTAGAGCGAGCGCCGCTACTTGTGTCGAGGTCTTGGCATTGCTGGGCTGTGTGGAACGAATGACGACGACGGTGTTGTTTTGGCTCTGATAAGGGCTTTATGCGACGAGTTGTGCGGACGAGTGTCTTTGGTACCCAAAAGGACAGCAAAGGACAGATTTACAGCGAGAAGAGGCAGGGTTTACTGCATCTTTGCGCATTGGAGGAGAGCCCATCACCAACGCCATCTACTGACCTGGAATTTGACCTGACACTTCCAATTGCCATCAAGATACAGCAGGTGGTGTAATTATTCTCCGCTCTCATTTCCAAATCCACAGGCAGGCAAACAAAAAAAAAAACATGGCAAGCAGCGGCCGTCGGCAGGCAAGGGGTGGAAAGAACGGCCAAATGTCTTGGCGTCATTTGCAAAAGCGGCCACGCATTTCTTGCCTATTGTCGCTTCCTGCGACTGTGAGTCAAGCCATAGGCTGCCAAGACATTTGCCAAGACGAGTTATGGAAAGTTTGGTGCCAGTAGGGGATAATATTTGGCTAAAGCGTATGATACCTACAGTACTACATACGAGTAGGCATTGTAGATGAATTGCGAAAAGACGTCTTCCAAGCAGGCATTTCCCAATGGCGCAAGTACAGTAGGCCCATCTCCTATCTGGTTGCACTCGGCAAATGCCCTGCAGATACGCCCACGGGCTAGAGAGCTCTGAATGTCACAAGGCATGGATTGCATGCATAGCTCTGCTGCTACTGGTCTGGGATGCCACCAGACAGGAGAGATCGGCGTTGGTTCACGCTCCAGACGGCACGGGACTCTCCGTTGGCTCTATCAGTTCTATCAGTATGTGCATGCAAGCCCAATCATCTGATTGCCCAGCATCTGGTACAAGATGACACGCAGCGTCCTGTGCGAGTTTACTTACAGGTCGATTTAGACATGGCACCGCGCTACACCGAATCGCTGCAGACATCTCAAACCGAGACTACTGTAACATCTATGCTCGTTTCAGACAGAGTCAGAATGTCACGTTCCCGCTAAGCGAGCGCCTTTTTGCTAGTTCAGCAAACCCCAATCCTCGGACAGCCTTTTTACTCGACAATAGCAGCCATTGGCGACTGTCTTTCTCTTCGTAAGGATAGACGTATACTTGATGCGGCCTCTCTTCAACTACGAAGCAACCCGTCTGACAACATGAGCATGGCGGGCATTCAATGCGGAGCCGAGTCCGGCATTCATCGAGAATATACATAGTAGTGCAAGTCAATTCGGAGTCCCCATTGCTAGTGGGCACTTTGCATCAACTCATTAGCAGGCCATTATGCTTGACAAGACTGCAGTGCTTGTAATTCGCCGAAAGGCTAGACTTCAAACCGCCTCCCCACCAATGAAGCTGCGCCCCGGTCATGAACACAGTAGAGAAGAAAGAAGAAGATGAAAATACGAGGAAAAATAGAAAAGACTGGGTCGATACGCCTCTCTAATGCCGCCTCCCGCCAAACTCAACCGCTAGCCAGGGGTACAGCTAAAGGGCCCCCCAAACTTCCGGCACATCCATGCAGACCTTATTCAGTTCTCCAAGATCGGCACCAGAAGCCTGCAACGAGATAAACTCAAAAACTCTATCGTATCTGAGGCGAGGAACAGCATCCGACTTACACTGGATGCCAGGTCTCCGTCTGGCTTCCCAGCTTTCCACCTCATGTTGGCATTTATCCACGACGGGCGTTGCCAAACCGCGAAACCCACCGCCCTTGCGCTAGGGATCGTGAGAGGCGAAGAACTGTCTGGCAGCACTAATTTTAAATGGCCGTGATTCGATCTACTAACTGGATATGTCAATCGCCGAGACTAGCATTTACCCAGCGCTTCCTTCAATCGGGAAAAGGAGACCCGAAAGTCTGGGCCTTTGGGACATGAATCCGAGGTCAATTCAGACTTTTAAAGCAGACGGTGTCTGCCTTTGCCTCTATTCCCGCTTTCCACGTCCATACGCTCATTTTCGACAACCGGTTGCGATACTATTCATTCGTTCGTTGACAACCAACAACAAACCAACTACGACATCAAGTCAACCAACACTCTCGCTTATCACCAACAATGGCCCGTTCACTCGCTCTTCTCGCCCTGGCCAGCGGCGCTTTGGCCGCCCAGTCCACCACCGTCGGTCTGCTGCTGCCCTATGCCGATATCCAGACCATCGACGCCTCAATCATCGGTGCCGATAGCACGGCCACCACGTACCTCGTTGGCTGCCCCAAGGGAGAGGACTCCAGCGACTGCGGATTCGCTACCAGCCAGACAATCACTCAGGGCCCGTCCACCTGGATCTACACAGCAACCTTTAGCGCCGACCCTGCTGATGAGACTGAGTAAGTGCATGTAGTGTTTCAGTGAGACTCAACTGGCTGTGATGGCCAGCTAGTTCACATATAAACATGACGAAGAATACGCCAATGGAATCCAAGCTGACAACCCTTGTAGCCTTTCAGGCTCTGAAGTCCAAGGAGGCTCGTGCAAGCTCAACACCAAGGCCGACGCCGCCGACTGCACCATGTACATGACGGCCACCGTCACCGGCTCCGTCACTTCCACCACCTCGGCCACCACCATGACTTTCCTCGACGTCCAGACCCCCGTTACCGTCACCGCCGGCTTCGACAAGCTCAAGGCTGCTCCTGGCTCCACGGCCACAGATGCCTCGACCACTGCTCCCGCCAGCACCGACGCTTCTTCCACCGGCCCTGCACAGACTACTCTTTCCAAGCACACTTCAACCGGAACTCAGACTGGTTCCAGCACCAGCAAGCCCACCAGCACCAACGCTGCCGGCATTGTGAACAGCCAGGGCGGTCTATTGGCTGGTGTCGCCGCCATTGTTGGTGGCGCCATGATGCTGTAAACGGATCAAGGGGCTTGTTGAGGGAAGCGGATGGAGAGGCCATTTTCGGAGGATTGAACATGATAATTGTGGGTTATTATACTTTTCATGAGGCTTTGTACAAAGCAGTTCTTTTTACTCTTTGACGTCTTGAGATATTACGTGGCAATGCATGTGAAGATGCAAGAAATACGACAATGAGCAGCATATTTTTTCTTCTTTATTTAGCGATAACTTGAGTTAGAATGAAAGGCAACAAGGCGCATTGTTTTCACCATCAATCTTCTCTAAACGGCCAGCTCTTTGAATTGGTACTGAACAACGGGAACAGACGTGTAACTTTCCAGTCCTTGAACATGATTGCGACTTGGTGAACCGCCCTCCAGCGCTTCATCAGTCATTTATATATCGCCTCCAACACGCGCCAGATTTCGAGATCCAATCATCACTCGTATCATCCATCTGCTGATTAGAACCTCTCTCTCGATCAAACTTTGCATTCTTTTTAAGCTCATTAATCCCGAAATGAAATTGACTACTACCATGGACTCTGCGCCTCATACTTTCAACCGCCGCCTGGTCATACATGGCGTTGATGTCTTATCCCTGTTATATGTCGTTTGCAGCCTCGCAATTGTCATCACTCTGATGGCTGTTTTGGCAGTAGCCGCAGTGTACAAGAAGCCCGTTGTGAGGATTCTGCATCCGAGAAAATTTGATGTTGAGAGCATGACTCGGGATGAGGAGAGGGGTCAAGGATTGTCGTCTGGGGTGAATTACGTGTAACGCCATTCTTTGCTTATTTTGGCTGGATTTCTGCCATCATGAATCACTGGCTGAAGATTCTCGCCACTCGGGTTGCGGGAGGTCTTCTCTGCCATCGAGCCAGCTGCTACAATTGACACACCGACGCGACTGAATTCATCATACTGTTATTAGCTTTCTGACAGAAATAGTGAAAAAAATACAAAAATACAAAAAGACGCACCTTTTCATTAATTCTCTTCAAACAATACGGGCACTTTCTCGAATACTTGATAATCGGATCATGCGACAGCAGCGTATACACATGCGCCAGCCCATACAGCGAAAACCCAACCATGATGAACGACACCATCTGATAGATGAACGACCCATAAGCCATGACGACGGCGCCGTCCGACTGCGCCTGGTTGAGCGTGTTGTAGCCGCCGCTGGGCGAGGAGGCGTTGTAGTTGGGGCCGGCGCGCAGGACGGCGAATTTCTCTTCAATGTTTTTGTTGATGGGGAGGATGATGGCGATGGGGGGCATGAGGATTGCGCTGACGAAGGATTTGACGAGGTCGGTGAAGGCGGCGGCGACGCTGTGAAATAGTGAGAAGGGTTTCATTCATGAAAGTGTATATCTTGTTTTCCATTTTGTCATTCATTCAATTTTTAAATTCACATCAAACTACAATTTTCATGTCTGGATAGAGAAGAATAGCCCAACTTACATTAAACCAAATGCTATCTGTAGAATATTCCCCTGAAACGCAAAATCGACAAAGCCATGGAAGAACCGCGTCATTTTCGTGCGGCCTTTGCCAAGCAGTGAATCTGTCTCGCTGGGGCCGCCGATTTCGATGTCGTGGGACGAAGAGGAGAGATCTGGGCGTTTGCCAGAACTCATGGTGGATGGCAATTACAAGGCCCAAGGAGATTGTGTCTTGTGCTTTGAACCACAATGCGTGAATGAGGATAAATAGAAAGAAAAGAAGATTTGAAAGGTTTCACAATACACGACATGCGGTGAAGCCTTATCGGCGAGGGTGTCACGAGCGCTTGGCTGTGGGAAGAGCTGGGCGCGAAGCGTGAAGCGCTCATTGCCAGATTAGGAAAGCCATGACGCAGATGGCGCTGGCTCTAATGCAGATTGCGTGGGGCGACGAGATGAAGCATAACAAATAGGACGAGGCAAATGGCATTAAAACCAGTTATGCTTTAGGAGAGCCAAGGTTTTGACATGAAGGTATGAGTGGTTCTAGATTGTGTGTTTGGGGCGTTGGATTTGCAGTGTGGAGGCTGGAGGGCACTGATACTCAGTCAGGAGTGATGAACGATAGGACAAGTTGGAAGATGATGCATTGTTACACGGGGTGCCTCAGTAAAGTGAACCTTTTGAATAAATTCAATAAAATTTAAATTAAACATGGTATTGCTTTGTTTATATTCTGCAGAGATCGTCGCCTCATGAGCGTATTAGCGAGGTTTGCCCTCATATTGACCATTCTTAACCTGGACCTTGCCTCCCCATTTTATACCCAACCATCCCCGGCCCAAGCTCTTACAAGCGGGCAAACCATAGTGAATGTATGAAAAGAAAAAACATTACGTAGCCAAGCATTTGTTATTAAATCCTTTTTGCCATCATTCATGACTTCAAATCAGTGCCAGCACAAGACAGTCTTTTTGAAAATGACAAGCAGTAGAGAGTGTGTGGTGAGAGCTTAGAATCTCTCCTTGGAATAGCGCTCGCGGTCCCTCTTCTCCTTTTTCCACAGCATTGCAAATTTGCCTGTCCAAAACAAGCTCGTAATAATCATGAATATGGCGGCGATCCAAGAGATGATGTAGAACTTTGTGCCCTTGGTGGCCACTAGAGTAACCTTTTCGCCAGCCTTGTTGATGGCATTAGCGGCGATGGAAGACGCCGCCGTGACGACGATGCTGCCGAGCGTGATGGTAGCGGCGGCAAGCGATGCGAAAGCCGTGTTTATGAATAGGATGATCTTCTTGTCTCCGAGGAGGAATGCCGGGATGCAGGCCAGCATGGAGAGACCGCTGAAGCCGACGCCCAGGACGAAGAAGCTGAAGAGGGCGAGCAGAGCACTGTTGAGGTCGCTAATCTTGTCTTGGATAGAGTCGGGCCAGTCGATGTCTGCGAGGCTGATGTCAAGAGGCCCGATAGAGAGCTCTTGGTTCAGTATCTCGGTGAGGTTGAATCGATCTAAGAGGTGACCGTGAGTCAGTAAATTGAAGTCATCGTGAGACAAGGGTGACGTCTATCTGCCTGTTTGGAACTTACTGGAGGGTGCTGAATGAGTGCAGTTGGTCGTGTTGAGCTTGAAATGAGCAGCCGTTGCATTGGCGCCGAATTCGCCTTGGCAGGCGTTCATGATGTGGACAGAGTACCACTCGCTGATGCCGATGTCTTCGGCAATGTTTTCGATGATGTCGCCGGCGATGTCGTTGAGTTTATCTTTGCCTTTGTCCGTGAGGTCATGGACTTTGCCTTTGAGCTTGTCGAATAAATTGTCATCGTCGTCGTCGTCATCGTCACTCTTGCTGCTCGATTTTTCACTTTTAAAGATGTTTTGGCCAAGCTCGGATGTGTTGAGCTGTGTTGCAAGTTAGCTACTAATCTTATCTGGATAATTTGCTACTCAGATTTGACTCACTCTAATGACAGCATAGTCTTCCATGAAGCCTTGCTGGTGACCGGCAAACAGCGCCAGGTTTGTCAGGACAAAGGCGACGAAGGAGAGTATTAGAGGGATGAGGACGAGGAATCTCTTCAAGGCAGCCATGATTACGAGTGTGAAAGAAAAGGAAAAAGAAAGAGGGAATTAAAACGATGGAGAGATGGAGAGATGGAGAGAGAGATGGAATGTATCACCAGGATGCAATTCAGAGGGAGTAAAAGAGGGAAAAATTGTAAAGAAGAAAAACAGAAATTGTTTAGAAGAGGAGGGCAGACGATGCCCTCTATATAATTAACTCTGGGCTTGGTCACAATTGCGTGAATCAGGCCCAGATCCGTTTGATAGTGCGGCACTCCACCACTCTCGACAATAAACAACCCATGTTCACAATCAAGCTGCTTTCCTTTTTCCCGTTTCTATTCAAGGATTGGCCCAGAGCTCAGCATACGCGTAACAGAGAGGCAGCCCAAGAAAACATGGCAAACTGCCCCATTCTGCCGCATGAATTGCCACAGCTGCAACGGCTAGGATTGGCTAGCCGCGCGACAATCGCCGTCTTTTTTTGCAAGAAAAAGCAGGGCCAAGATTGAAGATCTGTTCACGGAGACATCAGGTTTTGGTTCTGGGGCTATTTGGCGGAGGGAGGGGCGCTTTGCATCATGAGTGAGGCGCTGGGGGCCAATGGTTGGCTGGGAGTTGATGCTATTGGTGAAGCGCAGACAGGGGTGCCGGGCTCATTGTATGCGGTGAATGAATGGGTGTTGCGTGCACAAAGGCGAACAATGGCCTCGGGCTAAATAATATCCATGTAGTAATGAAGCGTTCTCCATTGTAAATTGTCATCTGCCAACAATTGCATCAACGTGCCTGTGATTGTTACTGCTGTGAACAAATAAATTAATGTCAACTGACAGCTGTAGTTTGCAAACCAGCACTGCTCGGCTGCCGCGGTGGGGCCGGTAACGATAGCCGCGTTCTGGTGGGGGATTTTGCACGGCTACAGGGGCCGCCTCCACTGAGAGCCACTCAATGGCCTGGCGGCTGCTGAAACGAGCGACGGGCCTTTGATCGTGGTCTCGGGTTCATGTGGCGTTCATTGAACAGAAACATGTTTGTGTCAGGCGACGGGGCTGATTATTTCTATATTTAAGTGGCCGATGAAAGAAGAGCTACAAATAGAGCTGAACAGGTCATTTTGCTCATCTCTTTTTGTTTGATCTTGGTAGCTGCTTGTAAATGCACATGCTGATGTTACATACTGTAAAAGAGCAAATGAGTGCCGTAGCCACAATTAGCTACCAGTTGACATTCAATATAATAAAGCCCGTCCTTTTGTCTACATGTGGCTTTTCACCCCGACGTGACCGAGTTTCTGCAGCACTGACATACCTGCAGTCTGTCTAACAAAGAAGACCTGCACTTTGGCTTGTTTCTTACAAAGACATGCATGCACATCTATACATGCACACATGCGTGTCGAAGCATCATGTCTTCATGCTCTTTACTATATTATGGGTCTATTTCTTCCCTGTTTGGAGTCTGTCTGGCAGCCTCTGAACAATTTGATCATCTTTTGGCTTTAGGCAAGCAGTTCGACGCCATATTTCTTGCGCGCTAGTGCCGACGAAGACTTACCATGAACGAAGAAGACGTAACGGAAGGGTTCCTCATAGCAAACTGGAGCGTGGGACATTATGGAGACGAAGCCTTGTTTTTCGGGGTGTTGCTTGTATCGTTTCTGAAGAATGAGTCGGCCGAGTCAAGTAAGTCAGCCAATCGTCAGCACTACAAGCATAGATCAGCATCTCTCTTACTGTGCCTGGTTGGGTATAAAATGATTGACTGATGGATGTATTAGTACTTCGGCTCGTTGAAATGTTAAAGCGGTATCAATTGTATATAAATAACGATAGAGACATTACACCATGTGTTTATTACAATCGCTACACATATATTACGAAGCTGCAATTTAGAGACGAAAACTTTATGGGGCTGTTCCGGTCTGACCATGAGATTGTGACTCTAGTTTATAGACAGATGGAACTGCATCAGAGGGGCAAAGAGATCAAAGCATGTGGATCAACATGCTTTGAGATACTTAGACGTATATGGTCTTGAATAGATGATGTTCTTCTTGTGCTAGTTGTATCATTTTGACGAATTATAGAGGGTAATTATAGGCTCATCTTTGCAGACGCCTCCTGAGGTGCGTAAATAATAAAACGGATAATGCTGGCATGTTCAATTAGGTAGTATTCACCATACATGCAATGAACACAATGAATATCAGGTAGTACATGTATGCATGTGGACCTTCACCCGACTTGACCTGCGCGTCCAAGGTACTGTCATGATCTGCTGAACAAGGAGGAGCTAGATTCTGGCATGTTCACTTCCGAGTACGCGCATGTTCATATTTACACATGTGTGGCAAACCTTTTTATGTTTTTTAATTCAAGTTTATAATACTATTCCTTTCTTTATAAATAGTTCTAAATTGCCTTTTGGCCTTATTTCTAAAGTAAGCTCTTCTATTTTACCATTTTATTATCCGCTTAACTTATCTCTAGTGTCAAGTAATAGTAATAATGGAAAACTATTGCTTGGCAAGAGATATACTTGAAGAATACCTGGAGCAAGAAGTTTGGGAAATTGAAGCCGTGAATTTCGGGTTTTTACTTTTACCATATCTGAAGAATGACAAAATGGAAACAGGTAAGAGTCATTTAGCACCGTTGATACAGTTAAACATCTCTGTGACAATAGTTACATGTAGTATGCAAACTGCCATAAGCCAAAATGACTAACTGGATATATATTAGTGAATCGTCTCGTCCAAATTACCGCATCTTTCAATTGCTATCTCAATAAACATGGTCTAAACAGCCAGAACCCTTTCGCCAATCGCCGCACATTCATATGTACTAAGATGCTGCCACATCGGAGTTTAATCACAGGGCTATTCAGGTATGGCTATGACGATGCGGGCACAATTGTTGAACAGATGACTCAACTCTGTCGCAAACACAAACTGAGATTCTGATGGAAGCTCGTGACAAAGGCATGAAGCGCGAACGTGGAAGGTAGGGAGCCTAAGTGTGATATGTGGCGAGGATGATGGGATCGTTGCACCCTGAATTGGAAAACCGTTGCCTTGCGAGACACTTTCGGTTCGTTGTTTGTAAAAGAAGATGATTCAATGATAATTTTTAGGTAGTAAAAATACGCATGTTGGCTTTCACCCGGACTGACTTGTGCGTTTGAAGCACTAACATTTTCCAGTCTGCTGGACAGAGAAGAGTGATTGAGGACCAAATGGGGCTGATGCGATCTTATTGCTAGATAGTAGCTTGGTCTTATGAAAGAACTATATTTATCTCTGTTCTGTGTTCAATACTTGGGAGCGACTCTTATGAATACTATTTAAAAAAAAAAAGCCTCATTCAAAGCGGTGCCCTTTCCTCAATCGCTGTAGATTTCTTGAGATCTCGTTGTATAAACATCGAAACTTCATGGGGGTATTTAACCATCGCCGTCTCACTATAAGCCGAATTTGGGCATACGTGGGCCCTAAGATATGCGAGAACAAGAACTACTGCAGATGTTCCCCTGAGTCGCGTTTGCCCTCGCCATCGCCATCGCCATCGCCATTACCATCGCCCTCGTCCTCGCTGTCGCCGTCGCCGTCGCTTTCCTCCCTCCCCGGTTCTTATGATCATTATGCTTAGTTTAGTTCTGTTCATCATCATCATCATATTTCCAGTCACAATCATATTCTAGCCTCTCTAAGCTTTTAGTGCCTCTGGTTATTGAAATCGTTCTCTTTGCTTTCTTGCGTTTGTTCGTGTACCACTTGTTCTAGTACATGTATGCATGTGTCAGCCGACTTGGCCTGCGCGCCCCAGGTACTATCATAGTCTGCTGAACAAGGAAGGGCAAGATTCTGGCATGTTCACTTCCAAGTACACATGTGTTCATTTATCTAGATGTGTGTCAAAACTTTTCATGACTTTAGTTCAAGTTTATAATGCTATTCCTTTCCTTATAAATAACTCTAATTTGCTTCTTGGTCTTTCTCTAATGCAAGCACTTCGATTTCATCATTTCCCTGTCCGCTTGAACTTTATCTCTAATATCAAGTAATAGCAATGATGAATGAATATCGCATGGCGATATGGTTTCTGGAAATGCATAAGAAACAGGAAGAATGGGAAAGGGAAACTTTAAAGTTTGGGATTTTCCTTATAGAGTTTTTGATTAATAGAACGCTGGAAACATGTAAGTCAATCATTCAGCACTGTTAATTCAGCTAACAATATCTGTGACTATAATTGGCATATAGATTACCATGAACTAAACTGACTAACTGGGTATATATTAGTGTCTAATCTCGCTGAAACTCTGAGGTCTTATGACTTCTTTATCCGCAAAGCTGCTCATCGCTTACGGTGCCCTTTCTACAATCGCGGCAGATTTCTTGAGAATTCGTTGTATACAAATGAAGACTTCATTAGGGTATTCAAGTATCGCCTTCCCACCGTAGGCCTACTTTGTACAATGATGGGTGTTGAGAGATGCGGGGACATGACCAACTGCAGTTGTTTGGTCCGTCGCCGTCGCCGTCGCCCCGTTTCTTATGATTATTACGCCTAGTTTAGTTCTTTTCACCATCGCCACATTTCCAGTCACAGTCAAATTCTGCTTCCTCTGAGCTTTTAGTGCCTGTGGCTATTGAGATTGTTCTCTTTGCTTTCTTCCATTTGTTCGTGTACCCCTTCTCATGATCCCCCGCACACGCGAAGCTTGAAAATAGATGGAAATTCGTGAGAAAGGTATGAGGCGCGAACATGGATGGCAAGATAATGATGGAATTGTTGCACTCTGAACTGAAACCCGTTCCCATTCAAGGCACTTCGATTGGTTGTTGGTGAAAAGAAGCCGCCTTCAATAATATCAGTTACGTAGTAAATGAATACATGTGGACTTTCACTCGATCTGACTTGTGCGTCTAAAGCACTGAAATTTCTAGTCTGCTGTACAAAGAATAGTGCTAGGACGTGGCATTACGAGAAATGTGATTCAGGACCAAATGGAGCTGATGCGATGTTATTGATAGATAGCAGCTAGGTCTTAGGAAGAATTATATTTATCTCTGCTCTGTCTTCAATGCTTGGGAGCCTTTGTTCGTTTGTGCATTCTTTTCTTGCACCGACTAGGTCCTGTTCAGTTGCAGTTCAGCTTCTTTGTCATCTGACAAAGAGCTTGATTCTGCCATCGGGGTATCACAAAAATAGTGATAGAGTATCAAGTGGAGCCAATGGTCTTATTAACGGATAGCAGCTAGGTCTTATGAGAGGACTATATTTATCTCTGCCCTTCTTTTAACAAGTCGGAGCTCTTGTTTTTTGATACATCTCTTCTTTGAGGCAACTAGGTTCTAATAAGTCGTTGTTCAGCTTCTTTGTCATTTCACAAAGAGTCAGATTCTGGCATATTCACTTAAGCACGCACATATTCATATTTATACATGTGTATCAAGGCTTTTCATGTACTTGTATCAAGTTATTCCCTGCGCTATAAACGACTCTGATTCCTGACATCTCCAAGCATTGCAATATTTTCTCTCAAGCAAGCACTTCAACTTCAGTATTCCGTCACCTACTTGGATTTTACCTCTAGCGTCGAGTAACGGCAACAATGAGTCAAGATAACGACACCCCAGAGGACCGTCTTGACGTCGCCTACCTGATCGAGGGCGCATTTCAACTTGAAGCGTATGAGTTTGGGAAGTCTCTTATACCGTTTCTGAAGGATGAGTCGACTGCTACAGGTCAGTAAAGCATTCACCACTGCTGATACAAACAAAATTCCTGTTACTGTGACTGACTCGGGATACTTTAGGCGGCAAGTTCATCGTCATGCTGAAAAACTACGATTCTTATTGGGATGCCCAAAAAAATAAACTAGAGAGTGTTCCCCAACGTCGCCTCCAGTATGTTTTACTCTTCTCCGAGGCCATAAACCATTCAGGGTTTCTCCGAGATACACAAGAGGTTGTGGACGCACTTTCCAAAGAGTTGAATGCTCATTTCGAACGACAGCAGTTGCTGTAAGATGGATACGACTATGATGAGGATTGAAGGTACAAATCTTGTTACACTTGAAAGTGGAAACTGTTTGCCTGGCGAGACACTTTTGGCTCGTTGTTGGTGAAAGAAGCTGCTTTAAATGTTTCCATGTACAAGCCCTCAAAGGTTTATCTAGCAATGCATGTTTGGGGGAGTTTGCAATAGAGGGTTTTTCTTGTGCTAGGTACATCTTGTAAGGGGCAGTTTTCAATTCATCTGTCTCTCTTTCTTCTCTTCATCTACATGCAGTCGGTCAAGCCGAATATACATCATCATTTAATAGTGCTATTTTCTTCTCCCATCTCTTACTAGATGCCACAAGTAAGCGTACATCAGCATCTGCTCAACAGGCGTTGAATAGATGCATGCACGTATCTGCTCTGCTCGTCACTATCCGGCAACAGCAAGTGAATATCCTCTCATTCGTCCTCATCGCCTGATCTCTGCGGCATCATCACGCAAGCACCGCTTCCGTCTTCATTGCACGCACCAATATTCACCTCCTCAATCAGATGACCATTTGCTGCACCATTTTCTGCTGCATTTCCTTGGCTGGGCACATGCACCTCATCCACGTGCAGCTAGCAACTTGGACCTGGAGCAAACCATAAACGGCTTCCAGCTGGCGATTCGCTGCCCGCAACGCCCTTCAGCGCACGTCAGCGCTATTGCCGGCGCTATGCCCCCGCCACGGTCCCGCCACGGGCACCTGTCCGGGCATCGCTACAGGCATCGATCGAATCAGGCCCAGCGCTCCACCTCCATCGCGCACCTCCACGATGGCACCCGCTGCAGCAGAGCCCCAGAAGCCCATTCGTCACGCCTGCTCCAGCCCCGGCCATGATGCGACTGCATCGAGACTTATCTCTTATCTATTTCTCCTCTCACCACCGCCTTCGCTTATGTACTTGGACTTGCACCTCCGTCAACAACAACGAGGACCAAATCTCCAGACCATCACAGACGAGAATCTCTTCTTCTTTTTCCCTTCTCTTCCATCCTCACTCGCCGAGGCTAATCGCAGAAGAGAAGAGGGGCCAACTCTATCTCGCAGCGCCACCAAACTCGCCGTTAGCCTGCTAGGCTCCGAAGGAAGATTGAACGCGCCCATCCAATCCTCTTCCTCTGCATCTGCCGCCTTCACCTACAATGCCATCGCATCGTCCCTCAGATCCTCGCCAACACCGTCTCCGAGTCCGCTGACGCGACCGACAATGCAATAGAAAAGAAAAAAGCAGCGTCTTCGACCCACCCGCGCGCGAACACTTCCATCGCCCGTTGCTCTAAGCCCGAGACCTAATCATAAGCCTTTAAACCTGCCTCCTCGCTTTGTCGATCGCTTTCTCGGCCAAATCTCACCTTTGGCCACCCTCTTTCTTCTTCCTCTACGACTTTTTCTTTTTATTCCTACTAATCTTCAATCCTTCTTCTTCAATCCTCCTTCCTCCTCCTCATTCTCCTAGTCTGTAAAATACTGCAGTCCACCCACCATGTCATCCTCTCTCGAGGCCAAGATTGTCGTCCTTGGCGCCCAAAACGTGGGCAAGACATCCCTTGTGATGCGGTACTGCAAAGGCTCCTTCAACCCGGCTCAGATCACGTCCACCGTGGGCGCCAGTTTCCTGACCAAGCGCGTGGTCGACAATGACTCCGACACTGTTGTGCGCCTCCAGATCTGGGATACGGGTATGTGCATGCTCTAGACTGATTTGCCTTGTGCCCTTATTTTCCGTGTCTTTGTCCAGTCTCGACAATGACGCCCCTCCATGCTAGTAATCACGTAATTTGCATAACCACCTTCTTTGAAGCTGACGCCTCTTCTGCAGCCGGCCAAGAGCGCTTCCGCTCCATATCGCGCCTGTATTATCGCGGCGCCAACGCCTGCATCCTCTGCTACAGCATCACCGATGCCCAGTCCTTTACCGACATGGGCGAGTGGCTGACCGAGCTGCGCCGCAATCTGCCCGCAGATGTCGTGCTGCACGTCGTCGGCACAAAAGCCGACATTGTTGCCCGCGACCCGTCTCTTCGCCAGGTTCCCTTTGAACGCTGCATCGCTTACGTAGCCGAAAACTTGGCCCCCGGCCTCGGTGGCACGCCACCCCCGACCGCCACGCCTCTCAACGGACAATCCTATCTCTCTTCGGCCGGCATCGAACCCCGGAGCCCAAGCTCCAAGCGGAGCTCCGGCTTCTGGGGCCAGGAGATTGGCTGGGACGCCTGTCACGAGATCAGCGCTGAGAGTGGCGAAGGCGTCGAAGAGGTGTTCCGCGTTGTCGCCAGGAAGCTCGTGGAGCAGAACCGCAAGATGCAGCAGGCACTTTTACAAGCAACGGCCACCCCAAATACACCAGGGTTTGAATCCGGTATGGACGGAGGATACTTTGATACTAGCAATGGCAGGGGGAGTTTTCGCATCGGGCGAGATAGGAGGAGCTGGCTATTCCCCCCTGGATTCTCGCCCGCCGTGACTATTGACAGAGCTGGGTCAACTCAAGAACAGCATGATCAACTGGCTGAGAGCCGGCAAAAACAACGACAGAGCAGCTGTTGCTAGATCTTGTGTTTGCTTTTCTTTTTAAAGGCGTTTCCGTCAACACTTGATTACCCTGTCACAACTACGCTTTGCTATACTGGTTTTACTTTCAAAAGAGGATCTTTTGTGGTGGTTCGGCCTTGCTGATGCTTTTTAACTTTCATTCTCTTCTTATACATCTCGGGCGAGATGGTTTCTTCTTCTTTTGATTGATTCATTCCATCTGGAAACTTTTAGAGGCGGGTTGGCGTTCAGGATACTTTGTACGGATGGGCTGGAAAAAAAAGGACATACGCCGAGGGAAAGCATTTTTTTGGTCCTGCTGTCTTTTTGCCCTGTACGATGTTTGTTTTATTTGTTTGTTTATTATACAGAGATATTGGAAGAGAGCTCTCACGAGACATGGTTTGCAACTTGCTTAACGGCGCAGGGGAATATACGGATAATGGATATTGGTCTTTTTGCGTTTCTATTCTTAAGAGTCGTTTTGTTTGAGCCGGTTCGTTTTTTAATTCGGACGGTTATATGCTGTGCGTATATTAATCGCTTTTAACTTGTACTTTTTTCCTGTACATAATTCATTGATGTTTAACAAGTATCAGCCTTTCCTATACCCCTAGTGCACTATCTAATAACCGATTTGTATATCTGCCTTGTACATTTCTTCCAGAATGGCCTTTATACAGATCCGCCTAAGCTGAAAATCTACACATTCATTTATGCTGATGATCCTCCTGCCACCACCGTCTTCCCCTGGTTCTTCTTGTCCAAATCATCGTCCGCTACCGGTGGAGCTGGAATATCCACACCCATCACCCTATGCTCCATGCCAACGTAGCCATCACTCACAACAAAAACATCCAGCTTACGAGCTTCTCTAGCCTTGGGCTCCGGTAGCTTGAGCACCGTTCGTGCGGTAGGACGCGAACCCTGCCCCAGTGCCTTCTTCCCTCCTGTACCGTTGCCGCTCGTCGAAAGGCCGGCCCAGCCGACGCGCTTCACGGCAATGACCTCGTCCTTGGCTGAGTCGGCGATGATGACGAACCAGCCTTCTGTTTGGGGCTTGTGGAATTTTGGTGCCCAGATGCGTGCTTCGCGGTCGACGAGGGGGTTGAGACGCTTGATGTTGACTGTGAGGGAGATCGTTGTGATGTCGTCGACGGAGACGGATATGTTGGGGAGCATGGACACGGCGCGCTTGAAGCGAGGCTGGAGATTGGATGGGATGCGGAGCTTCTTGGCAAACGCGTTGACTTGGTCCTGTGAATACGTGCTGATTTTCGCGAGGCTCGTCTCGTCCTTTGTCGACTCGGGTTCTACTCCGGGGAGGATTGACGCCGGCGAGTCGGTGGGCCATCTCGCACACTTGATGCTCTGCATAAGCTTCATCATCTGGAGACAGCTCGACAGGTAGCCCATCTCGGTGATGACGTCGATGGAGGCCTGGATGATACGGATGGCCTGGTCGAGCACACTGGTCTGGTCGCCGACGTAATCCGTCACGGGCAGCTCGATGCGCGACATGAAGGCTTGCAGCAGCAAGAAGGACTTGACGTGAGGATCCCACATGGGCAGGTTGAACGAATTGCCAGGGAAGGGAAGGTTCTGCGAGAGCACATCGTTGACTAGATCTTCGTTGTGGCGGACAGGGAGCTCGTCGTATTCAGTGGCGTGGCACATCCACGATAGAACGTTGAGGAAGCTTGCGTTGGGTTTGATGTTGTGCACGAGATGTCGGATGGTCTTGTGGGAGAGATAGTAATAACTCATAATCTTTCCGAGAGGGGTAGGGTCGACGTCGCCGTTGGGGAAACTCTCAACACATTTGGAGTCTTCGAGCTCTCCAAGGGATTTCTCCACCATTTCAATCATGTATTCATTGGCTTGCATCTGAGCGGCAATAGTGCTGTGCTCCTCTGCAGAAATCTCCAGTCCATAGTAGGACGGGTTCTTGTGAAGTCTTCTGAAGAAGAAGGTCCAGGTCAAGTAATCCAGCGCATCTTGTTTGTTCATGATGGTCTCGGCGGAGATTTCGGCACAGATGTGGTTGTCCAAAACTTTGTGCAGCGAAGATTCTACAGGGAAGCCAGTATGCAAAAAGTGCTTGTAAAAGTCCTTCTTCGCATCTTGCGTGAAGATGCGGGCGACGCCAGAGTTGTCAAACTGAGGTCGTCCAGCTCGTCCCAGCATCTGCAGGACATCTGTGAGGTCCATGTCCTTGTAGCCGCTGGTTTTGGCGTCGTAAAACTGAGTGCCCTTGACGACGACCAGGTGCGCTGGCAAGTTAACACCCCAGGCAAGGGTGCTAGTCGCAACTAATATTTGAATCTTGTTGTTTAGGAAAAGTTCCTCGGCAATCTGTCTGTCAGACTCAACAAGACCAGCGTGATGGAGGCCAATACCAAAGTTGATGGCTTCTTTAAGAGCGTCGTCCTTGACTCGGGATAAGTTGAGCTGCAAATCCTCCTCGTCCATTCGAAGGAAACGTCGCGGGTTATCCTCCATACCACAGTAATTGATCAAATCTTTAGCAGTAAGGCGAGTCTGTCGACGTGATGCAACAAACACAATAACGGGCTTTTCAGGACTGTGGTTCTTGATGGCCAAAAAGGTCGGCCGATTCATAGACTGCATCAATGGGCAGAAACCTCGAATTTCTGGGAACCCATCGATGTATAGCTCTAGAGGAACGGGACGGACCGAATGTCTAAAGTTGAAGAGGCCTTCCTTGACACCAAGCCAGTTGGCCAAGTCAGTAGCGTTGGCACAGGCTGTTGACATACCCAACAATCGGACTTTGTTCTTAAGCGATGATGAGATGTAATTCATTCCTGATATATGAGTTAGCAACCTGCAATCATTGTTGAGAGCCGATGAGAGATGATACTTACGAGAAACGATAATCTCCAAAATTGGTCCACGATCTCCGGCCAGCAGATGGATCTCGTCGATAATCACCAAACTGACCTGTCTAACGTACCCTCTGGTCTGCCATGAACGGGAGATACCGTCCCACTTTTCAGGAGTCGTGATGATGATATCCGCATCCTTGATAGTCCTCGTGTCGGGGGTATTGTCACCTGTCAACTCGACCAATTTGAGTCCCAGGGGTTTGGCGAGCCGGTTCCCCCAATCTACAACTCTCTCACGGACCAGAGCTTTCATGGGAGCAATATACACGACTTTGGACTTTGGTCGCTCCCGGAATGCCCACCACATGGCGAGTTCAGCAGCAACAGTCTTTCCACTTCCCGTGGGGGAACCCAGAAGAACGTTTGCAGAGGTATGATACAGAGTATGGAAGATTTGAGTCTGCATAGGGTTGAAGAAGCTAAATCGCTTGGCATAGAGCTCTTCGAGGCCAGGGTTCTTGAGAGCGGTGATTGGTAGAGGTTGCAGGTTGAGCAAGTCCGTATATACGCTTTCTGTATCCGGACGAATAAGATGCTGGAAAGATACAGGAGTAACAGTCTCTGACCCAAGCCATCTGTCAGAGATTGCTCGGACGTAAATCTGAGTTGGCAGCGGGTCTGAGAGAGGGATCGTGAAATTCAGTTCATGCTCATCATGCAGCTTTCTCCTATTAAGAATAAAGTATTCATGATGGTAAATTTCTGAAGTCTCTGAGTTCTCAACCCAAATGTAGAAAGATTCCGAGGTTCCATGGACATGGTCTTTCCAAAGGAAATCAGGAATAACATAGAGCTTAATACGCAACACATCTCGGTTCAGAGGCGCAATCTCGGCTTCCACATGAACCAATGGGAAATTGTTGAGTATCTTGGCAATGTTCTTTCCGGCGCCCTGGTTGTGTACTAGGCTCCCTAGCTCTGCTGGCTCCATCTCCTTCATTGTGTCAATCGTCAGGTTTTCCTTAGAGTCGAGCTGATTGAGCACGGGCTTGGTAAGCTCGAATTGATGAAGGGGATGTTGGAACGGCCAGATTCTCTTTTCGATCGACTTGGATAAGGTGAGAAGCACCAAGCACTGGTGGCCCCATCTGCGATTGAGAGCGAGCATAAACAAGGCCCTGCAGATACGGCCCGATTGCTGCGCAACATAGTTCATGTCGTTGGAAAGAGCGAAATCATCAGGCTGGATTTTGGAAATATACGACTGCAAGAGAATGTTTGTCTTTGCTTGGGGCGTATCGATGCCTTTATCGACATCGCAAGGAACAATATCCTTGAACTGTGTCAGCTCCTTGGCCTCGTTATCTCTAGACTGGATATTGTCAAACTCTCCACTCATACTGATCATCTTCAAGACGTCAGCTTCGGTGGCTTGAGGGTGCATCATCGTGTTGAATACTTGGATACTCGTATGAAGGATATAGTATTGGCTGGCAATACGACCAATGTCCTTGCTACGGAGTTCCTCAGTATTCTCGTTGAAAATGATCATCTGAGACTGCTGAAGAGTTCGCGCGGCCTGTATCGCCAGCTGACGGCGTCGTTGAACCAGATTCGGATCATCACGTATTTCCGCCCACTCAATGCCATATGTCATTGGGCTCCTCTGCATTCGCACAAACAGATAGGAGTATCCTATCCATTGCACGGCTTCAGGGATGGACGTTACAGTGCCCAGGGCGATTTCAGCATTGAGATTGTCAACTAGTTTAGTCGAAAATTTGGATTCAATGGGCTGCTGTTCTGTGATGGCCGACAAGTAATGAGGAAGCTTGTCATGAGTGGTACAGATCATACCGATACCCGTGTCCTCAAACTGGGGACGACCGGCACGACCAAAGATCTGGAGCACGTCAAGAATGCTGAGATCGATAAATTTACCTTCCTGGGCGCTGTAAACCTGAGTGCCCTTGATGACTACCGCAGCAGCGGGCAAGTTGACACCCCATGCGAGTGTCGCAGTACAGCAAAGAACTTTGAGGACGCCATCGGCAAAGAGTCTCTCCATGAGGTTCCTGTCAGCTCTTGCCATACCGGCGTGGTGAACACCGATACCCTTGGAAAGCAGGTCGCGGATATCCTTGGATTTTGACTGGTTCATATCCCTAGATGCCTGTCCAAAGTGAGGATGTCCTGTTGGGTCGAAAAGATCAACGCAAAACTGCTCAATCGCTTTCTGGTGAAGCATTCTTGCCGTCACCATGGTGTCTCGACGAGAGTGGACAAAGACCATGACTTGGTGATCGCGCTGTAACATCTCTTTGACTTTATCGAATGCAACATTGTCCAAATTCTCTTTGGATTGCTTGGATCCAGCTTTTCCTTTGACACCAATAAAGTGTTGCTCCAGCGGAACAGGACGGAATGAGGCATCAAAGTAGAACAGGCCGGCGTACTTGTTGACTTTCAAAAAGTCCGCAACGTCGACATAGTTGGGCAACGTGGCACTCAAACCAACAATTCGAATGAGCGACTGGGTACTCTCTACCTGTCTCTCTGTTCGAGCGACCAGGGATTCCAGCACGGCTCCACGTTCATCATGAAGCATGTGGACTTCATCAATGATGAGAAGTCTCACCTTTTGCACCAGCTCCGTATCGCCAGTTCCCTTTCTTGTAACAACATCCCACTTTTCAGGAGTAGTAACAATGATTTGCGTTTGTACAATCTCTGCTTTGGTGAGCTGCATATCTCCAGTGTATTCTCGGCATTTGATGCCCAGCCACGCCAGCCGCTTGCCGAGCTTCTCGGTGACTTCGGCTGCCAAGGCTTTCATAGGTGCTACATAGACGATTTTGAAGTCGTCTGTATTGACGGCAAATTCAGTTGCCTCAGGGTTCTCAATAGGATTTGGCTCCACGTGTTGGCCAATGGTATGAAGGATAGTGAGCATAGCCGCATCAGTTTTACCCTAATACAGCAATGAGTATTGATGCGAAGAGTGTGTTATGCGTGTAAAAGACTTACCGCACCAGTTGGAGCACAAATCAGCATATTCTCGCTTGTTTTGTATCCAACCGGGTAGACCAGGCTCTGCATTCGGTTGAGACTCTTGTACCCTTTAAACGTGTTACGGCAAAGCCCGTCCAAATCTGAAATTTTCACGAGCTTCTCTCCCGGGCCCGGCACTCCCTTCTTTCCAGCAGGTACAGAGTATTCTTCGTACTTCTCAAACTGGAGCCGCTCGCTGCCAACCGGCAAGCCGTACTTCTTACCGGAAGAACTCAATGTGTTTCCTGCATTGTACGCTCTATAGACGTGAGGATACTGAGGCTCCTTGGCGAAACTGGGTGCCAGGGCAGCATTCTTGTGCTGGTAATCTCGCGTACGAAGAGCTTCGTCTCTTTCAGCTTTGGTCAGGAGCCGTCGTCCTTTAGTCTCGGGCGCATCATGGAAATCGGCTGCAGACGCAACAACTTCATCTTTGTGACTGAGCAGCTCAATGATGAAATCCAAGTCGTCGAATCCGACCAAGTCAGTCAGATGCTGCTGAAGCTCGTCTTCAGGCTGACCAGAGGACAATACATTGAGTAGCTGGGTTTGAAAAACATCGGGGGCCATGCCATTCTTGTCCGCGATGGAGGCACATTTAATAGCCAGCCACTCGACTCCAAAGCCGCCCGTGGCCGCACCAGGTCCTTCATCAGCAAAGTCGCTGCTGTAGTAGCCATACTCGTCGTCGTCCTCGATAAAGTCCCAGACGTCGTGGCCGCTGGTCGTCGAAGAGTAGCCGCCAAAGTCATCGTCGTCCAGATCGGCATCTGCCTTGGCATCGTGCTGAGGCAGCTTGAGCTTAGCAAGGGCCGCCTGCATGGCCTCGAATTGCTGCCTCCACTCGGACTCTGCGTTGATCAGGTCGGTCGACGCCATGGCTTCGTTAGATCCTATTCTCTTTAATAGTCGTGAAAATAAGCAACGAAAATATCGCGTGAGTGCAGCGAAGAAATAATCAAAGAGCAAGCAGTCTAGCGCTCTCAATTTGTTTCTGGAGCTGCACTTCACCTCAACCTCTTATCAATTTTCACGGTCCCAAGTCCGGATGACGCATCGCCAACCAAAGATCATCACATCAGTCACACACCGCCCGCCCCGCCAACGGGGGCGCAAAAGTCCCCACTAATCCGCCTGGAGGCACCCACTTCGCAGCGACTCTCAGCGCCTGAATCTTGGCTCTAGAGAGCTGGACTTAGCGGGGTTCTGCTGCGGTAGGGGAAGCGCCTAAAATCCGTGGGGCGGGCGATGGGCCACATCCCTGTGGAATACAGAGAGGCACAGGCATTTTCAACTCCACGCGCCCCAACTTGAAACTCCGACTTGTGAAACACCTTTCCTTGAACATTCGATTTGCAACCCTTTGCCGCCTCTTTGCTGCTCGACAAGGCCTCCTTTCGACTCTCCGACTACGACTTGCGCGATTGCGACGACGAAGTTTCTGCTCTCAACATTTCCAGACTCCAGACGAGGAACAAATCCCAAAATATCGCCAACTTCAACCTCTCGCCCAACATGAAGCTTCACTACATCGGCGTACGTCCATCGATTTGCTCAACCATGCTCCCCGCCGCTCTCCACCGAATACTCTGTTTTCGAGCCGCCTACGGACGTTGAACTAACAGGCCCTCTTTCGAGATAGATTATCCGCAACGACTCCCAGCCCGCTCACGAGATCGTCGCAGAGAAGGAGCTGAGCGCCTACTCGCGCTTCACACGCAGCAAGTTTGTCTCCCTTCGCCCACCGCACGCGAAATCCCTCGACGACGCTTTTTCCAAACAACATCCATTAACGAGATAACTCCTCTCTGTCTTATAGCTATGGCGAGTTCATGTCCCTTTTCGCAAAGACCGTCGCCGAGCGCACTCGACCCGCCCAACGACAAGACGTTGAAGAGCAAGGTACGACGAATACAGAAGCCCCCCTTTTCTCCTTTATCCAGACCCAAGGGAGACGGAAGAGCATCATGATCCTTCCAGGCCAAGAGACTCACTCACGATTTTCCACCACCAGACTACACCTTCCACGCCTACGGCCGCACCGAGGGCATCTGCGGCATCATCATCTCCGACCACCAATACCCCGCCCTGGTCGCCCACCAGCTCCTCAGCAAGGTCGTCGACGAGTTCCTCTCCAAGCACCCGCGCTCCTCATGGGCCCAGGGCGACGTCACCCTGCCCTTCCCCGAGCTGACGGACTACCTCGCCAAGTACCAGGACCCCCAGCAGGCCGACAGCATCATGAAGATCCAAAAGGAGCTAGACGAGACCAAGATTGTGCTGCACAAGACGATTGAGAGCGTGCTGCAGCGAGGAGAGAAGATTGACGATTTGGTGGCCAAGAGTGATGGGCTGAGCGCTCAGAGCAAAATGTTTTACCGTATGACTGCCTCTCCCTTTTGCTTTCTTTTCTTTTCTTACTTGAACTTTGTGTTTTCACTTCTTCCGCTCTTTTTTATCCGTCGGGCTCGTAGCTAATGTATTCAAAACAGAGCAAGCAAAGAAGCAAAACTCTTGCTGCGTGTTGATGTAATTGAGGGGGCGTTTTATTTGGCGTTGCAATGGGGTCGTAATTTTCAGCAACAAATGGGCTGTCTTGTTTTCAAAGATTGGTTATTATGAAAGACACACACTCGCACACACATATATACTAATACGGAACTCATGGGAGGAAAGACGATCAAACCAACGAATTTCTCTCTTGATTTTATTATACACATATTTTCACACACTCAGACAAAACACACATGTTTCAAAAAAAGAGAAAAGGATATCAATGATGTATTTTCATGAAATTCTGCCATAGACTGTCCGATACAATCGTTACAAGCCCATGTTTCGCTTTATAAATTTTTATTTATCCGCCATCAAAGCTAGCCCCCGGGGCCATGCAACTAATGATAATAGATGAAGAAGGGAGTCAAAAGAAAATTCGGGGTTGCCTGGTATGATTGAAAAGTAAAGATGACACATGGAAAGGAAATAGATGAGGACATGTGAGCAGAATAAATACACGCCCGGTGGATCGTAAAAGGAAGAGTAAGAAGAAGAAGAAGAAGGAGGAGAAAAAAAGGTAAAAAAGAATAGACAAGAATAGATCAGTCAGAAACGTAAAAGGTCGTTCCGTCATGCACCCTCGAGCACCACGCGCGAGCTCTTCCGATAGCCGCTCTGCCCCAAATTGCCCTCTTCTTCTGGATGCACCAACTGTGGCGTTGCTGTCCTTGTCTCAACCATTCGCTTGTTCCTTTCTGGCTTGATCAAGGCGGCCGCTTCCGCCACAGCCTCCCCAGGTACCCTCTTTGAGGCGGAACGCATCAAGGGCACCACAATATTACGCTGCTGCCTTGAGACGCTGATTTGACGCGCAATAGATATTTCCACAGCCTCGTATAGGGCTCTTTCGACCTCTTCTTCGTCTGCGTTGGTCCGGATCGACGTTGTGGACTTTTGGTGTTGATGTTTCGAAGGCGCTACTCTTTGGGATGGTGAAGGCTTTTGGGTTGGTGAAACTCTTTGGGACGGTGAAACTCTTTGAGCTGGTGGCGCCCTTTGGGATGACGGCGGTTTGGGCTCTGCTGCGCGACTCAGTGGTTGTGGTTGTGGTGGCGGTCCAGAGGGCTTCTTCAGAATTGATCGAGGCTGTACCGGTGCCGGTATGGAAACCGGTGCAGTCATGGAAGCAGGAGATTCAGATAGCTGTCCGGCGACTTTCGGTATAGAGACCTCTGATGATGTCGACTCTTTACGGTGGAACTTGGAAATAAGTTTCTCACGTCGCTCCGGTGTCATTTGGCTATCTGTCGGTAAAGGCTCGTCTTGAGAAGGAGTAGAAACGGAAGTCGTCCTTTTTCTTAATCCTTTTGTTGTTTTGTACATGGCTGGAGTCGGAAAGTTGACCATTGCAGGGGAGGTATTTGATCGCGCGCGTGAAGAGACTCTTAGGGGAAGAGTGTTTGCGGGCGCTTGATCTTGGGGAAAGAGGGAAAACGAGGGTGAGCTTTTCGGCAAAGGTGAACTTGCTCGTCGTTCTGGCACTACGATCTCTATAGAAATAGAAGCGTCTTGGAAAGTCTTGGCTGCGGGTACTTTGAGCTTGTCCAATTTGACCTGTCGTCGGACTGACAACTGTGGTCGTAGCGGTGACAATACTTGTTGTGACTCTTGGGTCTTGACCGAGTCCTTTGATGGCCTCCTTGACGGCTCTGGGGCTTGTTTAGGCTGAGATTGCTGTGTCTCTTCAGCCTTCCGCGACTCTTGTGGTTTCTCAGCCTGCTCTGGCGTCGCCGATGGCTGGGTATGCCAGGTCTGTTGAGCTTGTTGTAAGAAGTATTGATATTCAGACGGCTGCTTCTTAAGAATAGTTCCAAACATGACGCTGAATCGATCCATCTGAGTTGTTGGGATTTCAACCTCTAGAAGCTTTGAAGGCTGGAATTGAGGCTGTGGCGGAACTGGGGCATCACGTGTCGGTGCCGCGTAGTTTCGTTGATTTGGCAATCCAGAAATGTCTTTGGGCGGAAATTTCGATACGCTGCTCGAGCTGTCTTTGCGCAATACGGGTCCTGTGCCTCTAGTGTCGCCCTCTTTCTCGCTCTTCTTCTTTCCACTTCCAAAGTCATCAGCGTTCTTTGCTCCATTCGCAAGATCCACCATGCTTTTCCCAGAATCTGAACCCAGCGATTGCGATGTCAAAGTGTCTACCGGCTTGGACCTTTTTGACTTTGTCCTGCTAAAAGGATTCCACCTTTTTGACATTGATCTTGACACGCCATTGGGATTAGAAGCTGGTTCCTGTGCATGCCCCCCTGACGTTACGGTCGTCAGTGTTCCAGTCTGCCATCGCAAGTCAGTAGACCCGGGAGCATGACTTGGGCTTCCAAGCGCCATCCCTATCCCAGTGGATGTCTCGTCTCCGCCTGTTAATGATGGTGCCATCAAGTGCGAAGTTGGTGTGTTTCTAGGAATCGATGCTGGTGATGGTACTTCGGCTCGAATCGGGATATGATATTGCTTGTAGTTTCTCGGTTCCTTTGGCTTCGTACTTGCGGATCGATGGCTGGAGAAGGACGCTTTCGATTGTACACTGATCTGATCGGTAGACCTGCTAAATTCCAACTGATCACCCTGTCTAAGCCGTCCGGCGGCAGAATTGGCATCCAGGCCTGAAGAATGATACGGGTTGTTGTTTTGGTTTGGGAGACTGGCAGTGCTCTCTGCCGCAACAGAACTGAGAGACTGCGGCCCGTGAGCGTACTTGTAATCTCTGTGATCTGCCCATTTTTGCGGGCCCCCCTCTGATTCTGCATGAGTCGGCGTGCTACTGTGGGCAACCTCATATTCGGAGCCCTCTTGGCTGTGCATGGTTGCGCCAGCCCCTGTCTGTCCCTTGCTGAACCAGCCCATTGTGTCCAGCGTGCCCCGGGCCTACCTCTGCGGAAACGAGAACTGGCTTGACCTGGGAAGAAGTCGACCAGAAGAAGATCATGCGACGATTTCCCTTGTTTGCTCAGGCCACGGGGAGGATGCCTTTGATAAAAGATGAAATGGCTAGTAGTCGTAATACTGATACAGTATTAGCACCGTCCCAGTAGCGCGGAGGTAGCGGATCGGCATAAAGACTGTGGCGTTTCGAAAGTGGTCTCAACGATTCCCATCTTACCTGTGTAGTGCATCTGCCCACCTTTAAGGGACTTGGGATTCGTGGTGGCGTCCTCCTTTGAGCCCTCTGGGGCACAGAAACGGCGCCATCTTAACCTGAGCGGCTTTGTTTGAAGCCCCCATGTTTGCTGCAATGGGGTCCGCGCAGAGGCCCGTTGACGCCAGAGGCCAGAGCTATGCATAATAATAGTAACGTGTGAGTGCCCCGAAGCGATGCCATCTTGATGCGTGGAAGCGGGCGCCAAGAGACCTCACCGCTCCCCGAAGCGGCAATCCTGGGGCCTTGCCATCGAGGAGCGGTCTTTGAACCGCGATCGTGGCCTGTCGCATTATGCGCGGCACTTCTAGCTGCGCAGAGCTATGTTTGAGGTTGATGAGAGGGGTCGTCGTGGCCGGACGTTTAGGCGGCCTGATCCGCACCAGGATGACTAGCCAGGGTCCAGACGAGGGCACTAGCAAGGTTTGCCGGATTGGGCAAGCCAGAGAGCTGAAGACACGAGGCCTGAATGGTATGCAGGTTGCAGAGTTGAACGATTAACACGGCAGCCTGGTGCTATCGAGGAAATGAGTTTCCATGGGTAGAGGCCAATAGACGGCAGGCTAGGCGCCGCTGTGCAAGTACCTCTATCGATTGTAGTCGGCATCACCGCCTTTGTGAATTTTGCCAGTCAAAACGGTACCGCCCAAGTACTACTGGTAGCTTGTAAATGGTCCAAAGTACATGTAGACTCGACACCCTCATTCCACTTGATTCGAATGGCATGCACCTCACAGGCATGAAGCACGATCAACAGTGTCATCAAACACAGGCTGCCGCTTGCCAAGCTGTGTCAAAAGACCGACACGCTCAAAACAAGCGCGTTCCAGAAAGCCACAGGGAATAGCTCCGGGCAGCCATCCCGCGCTGAGGCCGATCTAAGATCAAACCCTGCGACCCCAACGGACCCCTTATAATTTCACATGGCGGGGTGCGACACTCTAAACCCGACTCCTGAAGACAAAGTCGCAGCAGCCCTGTTGGCTGTTGGTTTGCCGTTCTCAAGACACAGAGCCTTGCCTCTTATTACACGGGCTGCGGTAGCTGCTCTGCGCCGTACGAAACAAACTCGGGCGCGACGTTGCAGATTCTACAGGTACGAGGTTCCAAAGTGGATTGCAGAATCTCGGTTATCGTTAGCCACATCCCAAATGACACTCTATCCAAGCAAGCGGCGTTTTCGCCTGCGCCCAGGCCGGAGAATTTTATTTCCTCAAAGAACGCATGCAGACAATGGGATACTTGTTACTCTGTTGGTTCGGTGTCGCCTTGTTCCTTGCAATTTGCTGCTGGCTTTGTCTGATTGTTTTGCCGTGAGGACGGACGCCCTCCTCGTTTCAGCCCATTCAGTAGACGAGGCTGCATTGCATCTTTTGTCCGTTCTCTGACATGTACTTCATTGCAAACCCCGTGATTATCGCATTCAGTACTTATGGAGAGTCGTATTCTGTACGCTTCGTAAAACTTCCTAGTGCTGCTGCCGAGCACTCTGGTCCGGCGCCTAATGCAAGGCACCGCACGTTAAGGCCGTTGTCCAACGGTATTGGAAGCCTTCTATGGCAGGAGACTAGTATGCGCGGAATGACGTAGCTGAAGCATGTGAAAGGAGCGTTTGTAAGAGGAGAATGCTTTGAAGGTATAGAAAGAGACTCAAAGGATATGATATCCAGCCAGCTGAGTCTCACGCCAAGGCATAAAAGGAAGCTGAAAGTACCACCCATATATATTTCAGTATACTGAGTATACCTTGATTGTCAAACCACTTTTACACTGGCCAATCAATTCATTGCATAGTTGGCTCAATAGACCATGCTAAGAGAAGACCTCGTTTATAACAGCATATACAAAGAGCAATGCCTCGGTTGTTACCTTGTATGGCCAGATATGAGTATAAAGTTGTAACATTTCGGAGACGGCTTCATAATCTGCATCCGGCCTAGCTGACGATCTCTGGGTTATCATTGCATCAGATAAAAGGGCAAGGCAATATTAGGCAAAAATCGTCACAAACGTTAGCCCCTGTCTGTCTGCTTGCAGCTAAGATGCAAAGACAAGCACTGCAATTTCGGGATGACTTCCGACTAGTATCAACATGTTAGGTAGTTACGCCTGTGATTCTACATCGAGTAATACCCGTTGCTGGCATCGGCACGATATCCTAGGGCAGCGGTGAGGTTATCTCATCGATGATCGGTGATAAGTGAGCGATTCGAGGTTCTGCACTCCTCTTGGCACGTGCATCTTGAGGGATCAATTGATGCTCTAAATTTTGCCGAAAAATCAGTCATCAGATGCAAGTAGCATTAGATTGTGCGAACTTTTGTTTTGAAACTGAGCCTGATAAACAGTGCTTAATGGCTCTTCGCTTGCCGCGGAGGAGAGGTGAAGAGGTAAAGATGCGGAAATGGGGCCAGCGATGGCTCTTTATGGATTACATACTGCTGCAGAAAGCGGAATTCGCCAACAAGGCGTAAATTGTCATTTGTTGCTATTCCCACTGATAATTCAAGAAGAAATTGCTCTTATTTCGCTATGGACATTAGTATAGATTGCCGCCATCTTCTTTTTGGGCTAGGAAATTGCACCCGTCGACGCCAATTATCGTCACTCGTCCCACTTGCATCTCACAAGACACATACAAGTATACGGCGGGAAATGGGGCCCCGCTGACGGGAACAGCTTTTTTTTCACGTCATCCAATCTCTGACTAATTTGTCAGTTATTTATGGTGTTGCTGAATTTGTAGCAGATAGATGCTGTGTACAGACGGACAGCGAGTGCACAGACAAGCCATTGGCGGCTCCACGATGAGCGAGTCTGAGGCCACTTTCTCTCTTACACCGACAACTTGAGAATCGATATCCGCCTTAGCCTAGAAACCTGGAAGAAGCTCGGCTAACTTTTCTGCCCGTGTTCCTAAACTTGGCTGATGTCTGGAGCAATAAGAGATGACGTAGACATGGAGGAAATTTTCGACATTGCATATGATCCTAGAGAAGACTCGCTGCCTAGACATTAATGACGAGTCGACCGATTAGATCTTCAACGAGCAGCTTACACTACGACTAGTATTAATGGCCTTTCTCTCTCTACCTTTACTGTACTTGTTGAGATAGGGACCCCCTTAACTGTGACCTGGGTTGAGAGAAAATCTCAGCCTCGAAATGAAGAGAGGCGCTACTGCGATATCAGAACGTAGTCGGTCAAGCTGCCGCGGTGGGCATCCCGGGACGGATCCCTGAGCGTCGGGATCCAGATGAACAGAGCAATCTTGGTGCCTTGATGTTGCCTGGAGATGTATACTGTACGTTTTGACGAGATGGAAGCTGTACCTAGGCAGACAACTTTCATATACCGTCGCCCGGCCAGGCAGAGAGAAATGAGAGAATGACGGCTTCATTTCCATGTTCATTTTGGCACCTGCTAGCGCCGCCACCGAGCACTGCCAATATCAAATCACATGGCGGTACCCACGACAGCGCATCCATTGATGTAGAGACATGCAGTGGACAATAAGCAGGCACCCGAAATCAGCATCAGGCACACCTGCGGCCCCTGGAATCCGGTCATGCCCTTCCAGGTTCTCTCCAGCCCCAGCGCGTGCTCCTATACCGCACCTCCTATCTGCCCACACCACTGGCCGACCGCGCAGAATGGCGGTAGACTCCCTGTAGCGGCCCCGTAGAAGGTCGATAGCACCGCCGGAAGCTCTCGCTGGTGGTGGGGTTTCTGGGCCAAAGGCAAGTCGTCGTCTCCTCCCTCCCGCGAAAGGCCCGCGGCGGGGAACTTTGGGCGCGGATTGGTCAGTGGCGCTATTACGAGTGTCTTTCTGGCTGGCATTTACGTTGACGGAAACGAGGGGCACAAAAGCTCTAATCCACAGCCGCCCAAATAAACAACCCACTCCGCCATTTTCCTTTTGACTCTTCCCGTCGCGGAAACTTTTGCCTCTCCATCTCTTTCTCTTCTTCATTTCTCTTTTCTTTACCTCAGACTTTTCTCGTCCGTCTCTACACACCCACATACCGCCCATCATGTCCTGGCAAGGTCTGCGCTCCTCCTAGTCCTTCCCCTGATCCCGTCCCCGATAACCCCACCTTGGATTCTTGAGGAGCAAGAAGCAAACTGGAAGAGAGATTTGGGAGTCAAGATGACAGCTGCTGACTTGGCCTTGCGATTATAGCTTTCGTCGACACTAGGTACTGCGAACCTCCTTTTCCCGCGCTTCGATCGATAGTCCGAGCCGTCGAATACTGACTGAGAGACTGCAGCTTGGTCGCCACCGGCCACATCACCAAGGGCGCCATCATCAGCTCCGCCGGTGACAGCGCCTGGGCTTCTTCCCCTGACCTGACCGTACGGTGCTCCTTGCCGATCATGGCTACATCAGCAACCTTGAAGTTATGACGTGGAAACTAATGATGGAAAACGATTATTTACAGATTGCTCCCGCCGAGATGAAGGCCATTGCCAGCATCGTTTCCAAGGACCAGGCTGCCATCGACAAGGCCTACGCCGAGGGTCTTTACATTGCCGGCGTGCGCTACGTCCTGACCAGAGTCGACGACGACATCTACGCCCGAGCTGTAGGTTCCAGAGATGCCGAATATACCTCTCAAACTATGGATGAGCGGACAGCGCGCTAATATTACATCGCTAGGGCCGTGAGGGTGTTGCCATTACTGCCGCCAAGTCCTGCATCGTCGTCGGCCTCCACAGCGAGACCCAGGTCGCTGGAAACGCCACCTCTGTCGTCGCCGCCCTCGCAGACCACCTCAAGAAGACCGGTTACTAAATTTAGACCAGCGATGGGAGTGGGCGCGCGATAAGGAACGGCGTGGGAATCAAAAAGTTTCGAGCACTCGTGCCGGGGGGAGGACAGCGTTGGATGATATAGGAGGAATGGAGGAGTTTCCATGGGAATCTTTGCAAATTAACTAGCATGTGCTCTGAGAGGATAGAGACATTTCCTCAGCAGAGAAGAAAAAAACAATATTTTCAAGTCTCATTTTCAAACTGTTGCGTTCTCACATGAAACTTTCGCTCGGCTATTTCTGGGTGATGTTTAATTACATGGCTACCTATCTGGTAGATGTGACCCAGTTGCTCTTTTTATAGATATTCCACTCAAGCCTAGGCCGATACATAGTATGGTAACTATTCTACACAATCCAGCAGTTACTTTTACACCATCCGGGTTCCATAAAGGCCGCAGTTCAGTTTCAACGCCAACGCCAAAACACCAATGCCGCAGCTCACGCGAGCCAAGATATTACCAACCCCTTTGGGTTTCTTTTGCCATCGCCCTTTGTCTCTTTCATGGATCCTCCAGTAGTTTCAACAGTTGGCCAAGTAAATGGCACAATGGCGGCAATCGTAGCGCAAACAGGAGCGCAAGTGGACTTAGACGGGCAGCTCAGCGTTGCGGCGCCCCAGACCCATCCGATCTACCAGCATGCCGATATATGGTCCGATTACCGGCAGACCTCGAGCGAATCCAGCAATCGTCCCCAAAAAGTCCCCGAATAATACGGCTATGCCGTAGGCTTCTACTATGAAGCCGATAAAGGTCCATTTTATCAATATCAGCGTGAGGCCCGCAAAAAATGCTGCTGTGCCTTTTGCTTTTTGTTTTCGGGCAAAGAAGAGAAACGTCTTTTGAGGACCGATGATGATTGTCAGGCCGATGAGGAAAAGGATCTAGAAGTCGTCGAGGAATATGCATGTCAGTTTCGATCGTCGTTTGCATTCGCAAAGTAGGTGGAGTAGAGGGGGGGCTTATACATTTCCCATCGCAAGCCTAGGTGAAAATAAAGTTAGCCAGGCGGAACAATGCCACACGCCCCTTTCTTCGACAGGTGGGAAACTCACATGGCGCGATCAAAAAAGAGCATCACTCCTCCGACGAGGAAGAGACCACCTGAAACGAAGCGACGCTGTTAGGCCAAGCGCTTTGGAGCGTCGAAGCTCGTGAGCAGGTTGCGTACCTACCGCCTGAGCAGAAGACCACCCCGATCTCTGTAAAACGAGTCAGCATGCTACACCTTGCACTCTTACGGGGACAAGCTCGCGGTGCATACTCTGGTTATCCGACAGCCACATCGACATGTTTGCAGACTAATCAATGTATTCCCCTCCTTGTTGATACAGTTGGACAGGTGTATTCGGTTCTTGCAGAATCGCGACGATGGTTTCCGTATTGAGAGGCGCAAGGACAAGTGGCGGCACGGCGGGTTCGTTGTAGAAAGCAAAGCTGAAGGTCTAGATCACGAGCGTCTCTCTACGAATTAGGAGTTTGAAGCTTCCCTTGCTTTAGGACACCATGGCGGAACGCGATTGGGGGGCATTTCCGCTCTCAGCTTATCGCGTATTGGGCCTAGCGCAAGGGTCTTTGGACGGTACCTGCGCTGGGCTGCGAGGCGCGACGTCATCACGGGCAGATTGTGAGGAAGGAGGCATCTTGCTGGAAGAGGACAATAGGTAGTTGTTTCGTGAGATGATTTTGTAAATATTTATTCACTCGGATAGGCATCGTGGGAGAAACGATGTGATTCGAGATCAACATCATCATGATCGCCATTACTCTTCTATATGTCTACCTACGCTACCTGACGATGCATTATCAGAGAAGCAACGGTACTGGATATAAAAGTCAGCGAGAGCACCAGCTAGCAATTTGAAGTTTACGGCACTTTATGGATTCGTTTCTTCAAGTGCTAGGACCAACCTCTAGCAAAACTGCTATTGCATTCCCCCACATGTCGCTTTCAAGTGGTGGCACATTCGCCTCACTTCCTTATCTATCGCCAACGTACTCGACAGCAGCCTGACAGACGACGCATGCTGCTGCAACCGTCACGTACCCTGATGGTTAGGCAGGCCTCAGTAACTACGAATCAGTAATGGATCATCGTCAACAAGGCGTCATTGCCATCGACTTGTGATGCCGGGAGGTACGCCCTATCTGCAGGTCGCCGAGTATTCGAGGCGTAGTCAGAAAATCAACGCCCCTTCCCGTCGGTGAGCAATAGTAGAGCCGCTCAAACTGGAGCATGATAAGGAAATGAAATATGTCATTGGTTTGCTGGGCCGTCAACTCTCAGCAGCTGACGCGTATCAACTGCAACTCGCCAGAAACCGGAGATGGCATCAAAGAGATAACTCAATATCCATGTCTGGCTAGAATGGATGAAAAGTCTCGCTCTGGTCAACTGACACATTTGTCTGTCTGAGTTGATGTCTATATAATCCCATAGGGCCCCATTGAAGCCCCGAGGCTCTTTCAAACATATTTACTTTACCAAAGATGATTCAAAGTCCACCTTCACCTTATCATCTCTTATAGATATCATTATAGACTTGGCGGCGCATTATGATGAGTCCTTTTATCATAGTGACTTATGAGGAGACATTACACGATCAACTGAGCATCCGAGTCTGAAACTGGACAGACGTAGGTCGATTCATCTACATTCATCCATCTCTTCTAACCAATGTATAGGTTCATGGTCCTTCTCTCTTAGCGATTCGTTAACGACAATGTGTGCTGTTAACACAGCATGTATCAGGCAGCAAGGCTCAGCTCCGCCGAGCCAAACTCTTTGAGACTCAGCCATGTCTCAGACCTTTTTACTACTCCAACCTTTGGAGCGAGTCTACCATATATACGCTTGCTCGCTCGGCTTGGCACCCTTTGGGTTGCAACGACGACTAGTCTTGTTTGCCATCTTGATGGATGTCATCTCGCTTTCCAAGTGAAATACACCACCACTCTATACGACCAAGATCCAATCTCCGCCATATCGAGCCCATACCTATTTGGATATTCTTGATGGTCACATCTCAAACAAAGATATTGCCAAACTTCGAGGGCGATACTTAAACTCTAAACCCGGACCATCCACTTGTCTTGAACCAGACTGGTTTGGAATAACGTTAAACGGGCCTGTTTCCCTTTTGCCCCTCCCCCCTTTTTAAAGATATTCTGGTGCCATCGCCCACTCAGTCTCCTTACGGATTATGCATAAAGATGAAGACTGAGTACCGGCCTTTATTGTTGATGAATCGGGACTCGATATCACGCAGCTCTGCGGCAGGCACGTCAAAGAAGGCTAGCTGCAGAGGCCATGCGCCATCTGCATACTTCGCAGTCAATGACAATCCAATACTTCGCACGCAGCTGGCATTGAAAACGCTTAAATGATGATCCAGCTAATCAAAGGTGAGGGACTTTTTTCCCTACTTCGATCATGAACTTTACGAACACAATGGGCAATGTACTTTTAGAGAGAGGGGGCTGTATTATGGACTTATTGAACACGCCCCTATCTCCACGGAAGATTCTCAAGCCCATGACAACTGATCCTCTCGTCGCCATACTCTTCTGACTATCATGAACCGTCTCCAACACTGATGGGTGCGCAATGTGCGTGCCCACAGCTTTCTTTTGCATAACAACATGACAACGACGACTCTTCTCAATTCAGCATCAGCTTTACATACGTTCAAAAGGCAGCTAGCATGCTTGACATGGTGGTTGTGGATTGGAATTGAAATCATGTCTCTTCTTAACACTCTCCTCAGTGCAATACATTTTCTTCAGCACTGTTGGACTCGCCATTTGCATACCAGCAGTTTCCTCTCACCCGGCAATATGACAGTGGTGGCCTTGCTCAATGCGACATCAACTTTAGTCTATACACTCAGGAAGGTTTACCAAGTCTAGCGACCTTACTATCAAAACCAGCGACTGTACCATCAAATCCAAAAGCATCTTGACCATGCCACACAACATCGCCTTGGAATTTCACTCAACACTTTTGCTGGACATGCATTCCAAGTTCATCCAGCAACTTGTCGACGAGGACTACGAGCAGACTCAATGATGAATTCGGGCTACGCACGCTCAGACACATTGGCTTCGAACTACAATGCTCTCTATGCGACGCCAAGGAATAATGGCAACTCAAGATCAGCCGCAAACCAAATAAAGGGTGATCCAGGCTCTCAACAGCCACATAACATGAGTACGCCAAACTATTCCAGTCATCCAAACACCTGGGCATGGCATAATGTAGCTCAGTCGCAGTCATCTAAACTCATGGGCATGGTACAATGGAGCCCAGTCGCAATCATCCAAATTCATGGGCATGGCACAATGTAGCTCAGTCGCAGTCATCCAAACTCATGGGCATGGCACAATAGAGCCCAGTTGCAACCATATCCCACTTTGCATTCCCAGGGGCTGAAGAACAAGCCTTACGCGCCTTACACAGATTAAACTCCCATCTACGGATCCTACGGCTTCCAAGGTCCCTCTTAGCAAACTACACAAGGCATGAGAATGATCAGACTAGGAGATGAATCAGATATCCAAGAGGTCTCCCGAGAGGCCTGGCAAGCAGCCAACAATGTGAACACGGAACGCAGAGCCATGTCGAGGGCCAGGTCCATGGCTCGAAGGAGCCAGCAAACTGCTACCCGGCGACTTGTCTGCACCTCGCATTTGATTCTCTAGAATAAGTGCCATTAATACAGCGAGATATAATGATAAAAGGAACAGGCAGGTTTACAACAGAAGAAGGCAAGCAACCGCAGAACAAAGAGGAGGGGAGACCCATGTACGCTCAGATCCAAGCCATTCAGCTTTGTTAGTTTTGCCATTTACAACTACCGAGCAACGAACGGAACAGACGTCATATCGTAGAAGGGAGAATGCTGGAGGCGACTCATTTTAGCTACATGTACTAGATACACATTTCATGTATCGGCCAATACTTTATCACAGACTATTTATAGACAGACAGTACACAAATAAAAAGTCTCATTTCTTCACACAACAATTTCCATCCTTGACTACTTCATTTGCCAGGCTCTTCATCTCGCAACTTGCAGGTTCAGGGTCCAGCTCTCCAAAGTCTTTAGCCAGAGCATCGCATAGTGTGGCCAGGCCAATGTCTTTATCTGATAGGCCCTTGGGCACATGGGTTGTCCAGCGGATGAATGTTGTGCTGTAGACCTAAAAGATGTAAATTCATTGAGATTGCTTTTCATTCTAAACAATTTCAACCTATACTTACGTTTGACCACTCAGGGTGATGATTCCAGATCTTGCACTGCAGCGAAACAGCCGTCATAAAATCCTGCATATTATTTTTGCGTCAGCCATTGCCTTGCATCATGATATATAGATGAACTGTTCTCATGTTATCGATACATACCCACGTCTTTGTAAAGTTTTTAAACTTAAAACTCCGCTCCAAAGCCTCTCCATCAGACGTCAACGTCCACTTTCCGCCGTGCGATACAAGCAGGGGCTCGAGTTTGGCAGGGCTTTGGGAAGACATGAATCTGGGAAATCTAGTGCTAGAGCTGAACAAGAAATTGTTTCTGTAAGATGGAAGCAGAGAGGGTGTTCTTAGGCGAGACATGTCTTTTTTAGCTAAAGAGGGGATGGTGAATGCTGATTTTTTTAACTCTTTGTGCTGGTTCACATGGAAGCTTTGGTGATTTGGCCGATGGCTGGAATTTGGATTAACTATGCGCCGCTCTAGGGTATCATTATCATCTGCTTTCATCCAGCTACCCAAACTCTACCAATGCTCGGAATTGTAAAACAGTATTGTTACATTAACTTTTCTATCAATTGACTCTTCATTTCTCATTTCACTCGTCTCATTGTCATTAAGAAGAAGCTCAGTCTGTCATTGAATCCCCGCATCAAATTGTCCGTCTCGCGGGGTTTCGGCGCCTGTACCCGCCTCCACATCAGCTTCTACCAGCTAACCCTCGTCCGTTCCAAAGTTCTTTTGTCAGGATTGCATTTAGCCAAGATCCTGTTTCGGTAAGCGAGCGTCCCGTATAAGTCGTATCGGCGCAGGTGTAGAGCACATTGGCATGTCATTGGTGATTTTTCTCACTAGGATTTCCCCAGCCACTCGATCAATGTTTCCGTCCCGTCTTGAAAGGAGCAGCTATAAAGAGATGGATTCCAACCCATGAGATTCAGATCCATCCTTTGCCTCTGTCCATCTTCTAGCCCATTGGCACATAACTTGCAATTGCCCCCTTTTCAGCCGTCGATATGCGGGTCCCTATCCAGCGCCTACCCCCGTCGCATATTGCCTCGGAGCGTCTAGTTGAAGAGAGCGAGACAATCACTCTGCTCTTGGCGACGCTGCTGATCCCAGGCCGCGGAGAGCCTATTCACAACGGACTGCTGGCTGTCAAAGGCAGTAAAATCGACTGGGTTGGCGCATATGCCGACATACCGGCCAAGTACAAGGGCATTACGCCGAGGCGCGTCCCAGTCCTGATGCCAGGCCTGTGGGATTGCCACGTCCACTTCATGGGGCTGGATCTCACCAATGCAGAGAGCGCTGCCAGCGCCGCGTATCTCCCCGGCTTCAATGCGTTGGCCGGCGCCATCTCGGTGGAGGACTTGAAGATGACGCTGATGGCGGGCTACACATCGGTGCGAGAGCTCGGCGGCTATGGATGCGATCTGTGGCCGGGCGTGCAGAACGGCCCCTTGATCGGCCCCAACATCTACGGCGCAGTTGCTCCGCTGTCCATCACGGGCGGCCACGGGGATGAGCACTCGACGCCGATTCGGACTGTCCTGGATGCCATGAACTACGGCGGCTCTCCCGTGGCGGTATGCGATGGCGTTGACGACTGTATCAAGACGGTTCGCAAACTGGTACGGCGAGGGGCTCGCTGCATCAAGGTCTGCTCCACGGGAGGCGTCCTCAGCCTCAACGACAACCCACAGGACCGCCAGTTCTCGGACGAAGAGCTCAAGGCCATTGTCGACGAGGCAGCGCGGAGTGGACGAGCCGTGGCAGCCCATGCCATAGGCAAGGCCGGCATCCTGGCGGCGCTCCGAGCCGGCGTCAAGTCGATCGAGCACGGCATGTACATGGACGACGAGGTGGCCGACCTGATACTGGAAAAAGACGCCGTCTTTGTCGGTACGCAGCACATTGTTCGAACCCTGGCGCGAGACTACCGCGAGCTGCCCCCTCCCGTCCAGCGGAAGCTGCTTACCGTCAACGCAAAGGCCAAGGCTTCATACCAGCTGGCCATCAAGAAGGGCCTCAAGATTGCTCTGGGAACCGACATGCTCAGCAGCGCCAGGGCATCTCCCCTCTCACACGGCAACAATGCAAAGGAGATCACGTACGCGGTCGAGCTGGGCATGACGCCTCTCCAGGCCATTGAGTGCGCAACAGCAAATGGTCCAGAGGTGCTCGGAGGCATGGCGCCCCTGAGCGGGCAGCTCAAGGCCGGGTATGACGCCGATATCATTGCCGTTGCGTCGAACCCGCTAGACGACATCCGCGTCCTGACGGATCCCAGCAACGTCACGCACGTCTGGAAGGGTGGGAAGCTGTTCAAGAGCCAGCCGAGAATACCGACCCAAGCGACCGTCTCTTATTAGTCACTCTGCTTTTACACACTACGGTTTACACATGTGCATGAGTCATCTGGCAGCATGAAGATTATGTACATTGCAGGTAGATGAGACACCTGTCGCCATGCAATTGGATGTAGGGATGCAGGTATCAGCTAGGTCTTGCATACACGCTCATACGAGAAGCCATAAGATGGACGACGGGTTATCGAGCAATACAGTAGCTACACGTAAATGCTAAACACCAAAGGCGCTGCCATCTCTACATAGTAAAAACGCCTTACCACGCCGAGTAGATGATAGCCTGGGGTTGGAAGGGCCGCCACGTGTGACTGGCACCAGGGATCCACGTCCAAAAAGCCAGGGAGAGTCGCTCTGTGAAATCTTTTGCCGAGTGATATGCATGGGTATATACTTTAGTACAGTAGGTATTGCGTGTGGTAATACGCTCGTAAAATAGCTGCACCCATGACCGGGGTATTTCAGTCAAAGGATTTTCTGAGGAGATTCAACGGGATTTGCCGAGGGGGGGGGGCTCATTCTCCGTCTCGGTCGAATCATGCTTGAATAGCCTAATGCGACTCTGTAATCAAAAACTTACTCGTGCTAGCCATGTAATCAAAATGGGCAAATTTGGCCAAGTGTATTTCCTACGGAACATTTGCTGAGCTGACCACTGTACAAAGGCATGGTACAGTATGTTTCTCCTTTGTAGAGAAGATTGATTGTTGCAGCCCCCAGTGCTACGGCACTTGCATACGAATATGCAGATATAACCTTATCAAGATGTGTAGTATTGGACGGGCCCTTGCAAGCTGAAAGAGAGAAACACCTTGTTCTCTTGTTCACTTGAGGGGAGGGGGAGGCAATGATTCGACCTCGGCTCTTGACAAGGTGCCTCGCCAAAGTCGTTAGTAGGTAGACTATTCGTTGAAGCAACACTGTAGAACTAGTACTGGCCCGAGTAATGGCGGCTGGCTTACTACGTCTACTGTTGCTGCCATCATCCCTGGCAGGCAGTCGATAAGTCTCTGGCGCGCTGTTATACTTAGTCTGGCGTCTGGAGTAGTAATCATGTCACTGACTGCGGTTAGCCGTCCATGTACATACAAAAGACATAACCTTGGTTATATTTCGCCGCACTGGCCGCAGAGTCATGGAAGCCATAGAACCGTACAGTACCGGTATTAGTGATCAAAGGACGCACTCAGCTGTAAACTCTCTTGGCATTAGCGCGGGCTGGGCTGGCTGAACCGGTGAATAGAGTACGTACGTAATCCAGCTACAGCGCGAGAGACCGAGAGCTTGCATTCTGACAACTTGTCTGCTTTATTATTTCTGACCAGCGGGAAAAGTACGTAATCTCTTTGTCAGTATGGCCACCAAGGTTCTGCACCCAGCAAGCACCAATGTCCGGGGGCAACCGCCTGTCACTCGGATATAAGCCCCTCATTCCAGCTTGTGGCCGCGAAAAGGCGCGAAGTGCTGCCACCAACTGGTCTCGAAATTAAAAGCAACGAGGGTGCGCGCCGTGCAAGAGTGGCTGTAAACGCACTGTATACCCTGCGCCGCATCGACACTGTATCTTTCGGATCTTTGAGTACCAACAACCCGATGATTCTACTGCCGCACTAGCGTTGAAATGGGTTGTAGGTACGAAAAGGGTGGAACCATTTGCTGTTTCTGGAATGCAAGGGCGAGGAAAAAGCGACTTTTTTCCCTCTCTCTCTCTTCTCAATTATCCCGGGATCCCACTCCTTATTCAGAGTGACTAATCGGACTATGCCCGATAGAGCCAATGTCAGGCATTGCTGACAAACCAACATTCGAAGCATCTGCTGGCGCGCGCTGCAACTCGTGCCAAAATGGTAGCTGCATTTGCTCGCTGGAGGGGTTTTGATGCCGAGTCTGGAGTAGCCCGAGGCTCCCGTCGAGTGTGATTGGGGAAACAGACAAATGACTAGACAGACCGGATCTAACGACTGCCGGTTGTGCAGAGACGCGAATGTTTACATGTACCAATGGTTCGTATCTGTGGCTGCTAAAATGAGGGACCTCGGACGGAATACACACACATTGCTGCTCGTCTATAAGATGTAAACTCTGTTGGAGAGCTAATTTAGGCCATCTGCAGACATGCCTGATTCCATGCCATGGCATTATCAGCCGGGTCGATGTGCAAATTTCGTTGTAGAGATGGATTGTCAGCGTTATCACGGCGTATAACAGTCGTATGAATGGCATGTTGGTGATTCTCCATTGCTCCGCTTCTGTATGCACTGACTGCCAAGGCACTAGTCGAGTGTTATGCTAATTGGACAAGTACGTTCGACTTCTAGACGTCGAGGCGCAAATAGTAGCGCTGGTCCGCATGGCTTACGGAATCGGCTCCAGATGGGGTCTCTACTTGTACCCTCTGGTTGGATGGAGAAGACTCGGTAAGCATCCGATTGAGGCAGTAGTCGCGCCTCTTTGAAGTTTCTAGGTACCTTGTGCTTGAGCAATACAGTACAGACCGATACATGAGCATGCCCTCAGTTTTGATGAGCGATACTTGACTGGCCGTAGCAGCTTTACAGAAACAACAAGTACTCGCGGCTATCCATGGTGCGAGGCTACAAGTACCCGCAGGTACTGGTCTCTTCCCTCACGCGAGCACGGTACCTGGCCATCTGCTTTCAGACACGGCTGCAGCCCTCCAAATCAAATCACAGCGTTCGGTTCTCCGGACATTCGATGCTCTGCCTAGCTCCAACTCATGACCCAAGCCTTTCCGCGTCCCGGAATCCGATCAGTCATCAGCGCGCCCCATATCGCATCCCACACTCGGTATTAGGGGGAGCAGGGAACTTGGAAAAAACGCCTAGGCACCAAAAGCAACCGACAAAATAAACATTGGAGATACAACATGTAAACAAGCTAGTTTACAAAAAAAAAGAAAAAAAAGAGGGAAAAAAAAAGAAAGGATAAAATGCCTCGAAAGGGTAAAAAGTGCAGGGCCTGAAAAGCACACAGCTCAACCATACTGTACGCCGCACCGTGTACAAGTACGTGCGCGCGCCAGCCACGCCATTTTCGCTCCCAATCCCGCCACGCCCGCTGCGTTACATAATCCCGTCGCATCCAGCCTTTGGGGGAAAGCCCGTCTCTTGCCTGTGATTTTCCCTGTTTCACGTCAGCAAAAAGTGTGTAGTCATCAGAAAAAAAATCCAACAGAATCGAAGCTCAACTGCTAGCTAACGACCACACCATTGCTCGCCGCTGGTATTTAGAGCTGGAGAGGCCCGGATGCTGAGTCAGAATCTCCAAGCAATGCAGCAGAGCTCTCCTGCCAACGGCGCAAACACGCAAGGTACGTTTCGGCGCTGACTTTCAAATCGGTCTTGTTTCGCATCCATTCTCTCTCTCTTCTATTTTTCTTCTCCTCGAATACATTGGATTACCTACTGTTTCCTCTGTTACCTCAGCGTTGCCTTACCTGATCATCTCCTGCCCTGTCCTGCCGTGCCGTGCCGTGCTTTGCGTTGCTGCAGCTCTGCCATCGCCAGCATCACCAGCAGCATCCTCTGCTGCCATCCGCTGTTTCTCTTGTCTCGGGGCATTTGTTGCTTTGCTCCAGGCCTGCTCCTCTCCAGCACGACGGTTTGCGGACGCCCAAGTCAGCTTCCTCTTACACGTCCAAGCATTATTATCCGAGATTGGTAATTACCATTGCCTCTCATAGACGCCGCTTGGCGCGCGCCTCGGAACGCCGACGGTCCGTATAACTCCACGACATTTGCTTCCAGATGGACGGCAGCACGCACAATTTCCCTGCTCTATCGCATTGCACCTTTGCTTATTCTTTATTTGTTTTTTCCCCTTTCTTCTTCTTCACTCGCTAAAGTCACGCGTGCATCCATCCACACTTGCCTCTTTCTGTCTTGCTGCGCTTGTTGATCCTCGCCATCTTCTCCACTGACACCAGCTCTGCTCCCGCGACAGAACAGCACTTGCGCGCTCAGCTTGAACTGCTCCAGAACCACGATCCCGCTCCGTCCGCCTCCAACCCGAGCGCGCGCGACCCTCGAGGCCCTCCGTCGCGGCCGCCGAATGGATACGACGTCCTGGCAGCCTCTTCGCAAGACGTCACCCGCCCTCTCGCCAAGCTAGACGCTGAAGCGCACATCCACCCCGATCTTCGAGCCTCCGTCGGCCACGCGCCCGCTCCCAACATGATGCCCATGGGCCCTCCTCCGGGGCACAGCCCTGTCACAGCCGGTCCCGGCCCTTCAGCCGTGCCGCTGGCCCCCGCGCCGCCGCAGCAGATGGCCATGGACGATGCCAACTCCAACGATGGCCGCAAGGCGAAGCGCGAGCTGTCGCAGTCCAAGCGCGCCGCTCAAAACAGAGCCGCACAGGTGAGCTTTTCCTGTTCCTGCTGTCAATTGCCTTTTTTTTCTCTGCATTGTTTTGTGTCTGTCTCCGAGAATGGAGCTGGAGGGGCTGTTCGCGGTTGCTGGGCGATACCGCGTTTGTCAGCAAACAGACGGCGCCGGCATCGCCCGGATTCTTTCGCAACGCTTGCGTCAAGCCATTGCACCTTGCCATCTTCTTCTAGCATAGACAGACCATCCGCGTATCCATGGATTGAGCTTGAAACATGTCTACTTCATATCAATGGCGACACAACGCTAACCAACCATTCCCCGCAGAGAGCTTTCCGCCAGCGCAAGGAGGGTTATATCAAGAAGCTCGAGCAGCAGGTCCGTGAGCTGGCCGAACTGGAGCACTCATACAAGTCGATGCAATCCGAAAACTACGCTCTCCGAGAATATGTGATCCACCTGCAATCCCGGCTGCTCGACACTCAGGGCGAATTCCCCCCGCCCCCTCCCAATGTCAACCTCTCGCAGCCTTCATCTGCTCCTCCGCCGCCATCCGCCATGCCCGAGCAGCACCATCAACCGCATCAGCAACAGCATCAGCACCAAGCGCCTCCGCCGCCGCAACAGCCCCCTAACAGCAGCAATTCCGGAGTTGGAACCCCTCTCGAGGCCGTGGCGCAGGCCGTCGCGGGACTAACCGCCCAAGAGCAAATGGTCGAGCGAGGGCAGACCTATCCCAGCCCGCCGTTCAAGCCTGACCAGCCAGGCGAACGAGATGGCAACCCCCATCCAGCTCCGGAGGATTTGAGTAGGCAACTGAATCCTGAAGAGCGACCAGCCCAAGCTTAGGGGGACCTTGAATGGATGGTCAGAACGGGGCTTTTTCCCCTAAAATACTTGCTTTCCAGAAATGGCTTTTTACTAAAGGGTGGCGTTGGGGGATTCTATCGCGTTGAACGTGCGCGTGTGCATAATTAACAATTTATTATGCACATTTTTCACTTGTCTTTTTTACTACTATTTGCTTATTCCCTTTATTGTTTCCTTTTACCCTTTTTATTTAGTCAAGGAAGGGGGATTTAAATCGATGGAGGGCGTTTACGGAAGGAGGGCCTTTTTTGTGTCTAGTATGACTTTTGAAATTTCTTTTTTTTGGTGCCCCATGTGTGTGTCCTTGATTCTCCTTTATTCTATTTCTTGGGCTTTCTCAAGGCTATCTCATGTGACCATGGTGCGGATTGGCAAGATGGCTAAATTTCTCTGTCTAACTGGGTATCTCCTGTTCTTCTTTCTTTCCTCTCTTCTATACGGGGCTTTTTTTTTTCTTCTTTCCTCCCGTGATATGAAACAGATTGGGAGGTAGCTGGGACCTGGAGTGGTGGGCTGCTGTGTGTGCGTGTAGAAGGGATTCTATAAAAAATTGGACACTGGAGTTCTTTAACAAGACTTTGTGGAGTAGAACGAAGGGGCAGATATATACTTTTGGTATTCATGAAGAGATACCTACTAGTACTAATGTATGCGTGTGTGTGTGAGCGTATGGGCTACAGATGGATGGACGTTGCACGGCTTGGAGGATTTAATGATACCATATATTGAACACAGTCCATTCTAATGTTATACGTGTCGAAGCGTTAAAATTTATAAAAAATATGGAAAAAATCACCCGAGCAGAAGAGAGCAAGCTACGTATAAGAGAATTACAAACCAAGGTAAACAAAAAAACAAAAAAAGGGAAACATATTCCTTTCAGCCCAAACAATTTCACGCGTATGAATTGCCCATGTCGTGCTCCTATACTTTGGTCAGCAAACAAGAAAGAAGAAAAAAAGTGAAGAAAGGAAGAAGAAAGAACTCACCTTGATATACTCCGGCCCCTTTTCCTGATACTCCTCCCGCGATATCGCCGCCGTCTTCCACGCCGACGACCCAACCCAGCCCGCAGCCCCCTTCCACGCATCCAGCAGCGCGTCCTCTGCCCTCCTCACCCGCAGCGGCGAATCTGCCGGCAGCAGGGCCCTCAGGCCATCGCGCACGCGCTCGTCAAAGTTGCGGAACAGGGTGTTTCCGCCCGTGAGGAAGACGTCCTTGAGGAAGTCGTCGCGGTTGGGCAGCGATCCGAGGCGTTGGTTCAGCACGTCGCCTGCAATCTCGATGATGCCGGCCTGGTCGACGCCGGCAATGGACGGGCGGAAGACGACCTCTGGCACGCGGATGCGCTCGACGTTGAGGTGGATCTGGTGCAGCTCTGCCTGGGACGCCGGGTCGATGGGCCGTGGGCCGCGGGCAAAGGCGTGCAGGAGGGATTTGGACCACACGGTCTGGGCGTCCTGGGTGTTTTCGTAGGTGAAGTTGGGGTCGTACCTGAGCAGGTCCTGCTCCAGCGTCTTGAGCGTCGACGCGAGATCCTCCTCCTCTTGCTCCTCGTCGCTGTTGTCGCCCACGGCGATCTGGCGGTACACGCCCCAGTCGTCGTCGTTTGCGCCAAAGTTGTCGTCGTCGCCGCCGCGCCGCCGCTTCTTGGTGGGGTTGTCGGAGGCGAGGTTGGCGATGCTCTTCATGCGGATCTGGGAGGCGAGCGATTTGCGGTTGCCGAGGTCTTGCTTCAGCCTGTCGCGCTCCTTGATCTTCTGGAGAGCCTTCTGCAGGGCCTGGTGCTTTTCGCCGAGCCATCCTTCCAAATCGTTTTCGCGGCGTTCTTGATCTAAGCGCTCTTCTTCGGCGGCGCGGGCCTTTTCGGCCTCCTTTTCGGCCTTTGCGCGGGCGCGGGCTTCGTGGTTAGATTTCATGAGGCGCTGCTGGCGCTTCTGCTTTAGTTGTGCTTCGTCGAGCTCCTCGTCGGGGATTTCTAGGAGGCCAAAGTCTGGCTGTTCTTGTTCTTCCTCGGGGTCGCCTCCGACATCCTTGGTGCGGGCCTTTTTGATGGACTTTTCCAGTTCCTTGATAATCTTCTCGAGCTGATTCTCGTCCTTGATGTCGTGGCTGTCGAGAAGGCGTCGAGTTTCCTTTTTCGTCTCGTCGACGATTTTACCCTGCAGGTTTTTGTAATATTCCAAGTCCTGCTCCTTCTTGATGAGCTTTTCGAGCCGCATCTTGGCCGCCTGCTCCTGTAGCCGTCTTCCACTCTCCTTTTTGCGCTCCGCAATGCGATCCAACTCTTCCTGACTCTTTTGAACAATCACTTCCTCTACGTATGGGTACTGGATGACAATATCTCGGTCTTCTAGTCCTGTCCAGTCAAGGTAGTCGCGAATTTCGGCATCGTAGTCCTTGGAGACGTAGAAATGATCCCGCACCATGTGCTCTGCTTGCGAAGAGTTGAGCTTGCCCGTAAAAGCGGGATACTTTAACCGAATCAGCTTGAGCAGGTACTCGGCGTTGTGATAACCGCCCCAGTTGAGGCGTGTAGCCTGGGAAAGGAGCGCTTTCGAATTATAGACGGGTATTATGTGGGTAGATGTATGGGAGGAAGACACCACTAGCCCTGTCTTTCCCTTGTTATGTCTGTATGAGAAGAGCGAATCGATACCGTAGGCAAGAGATGGTGCGCCGTAGCATTCAAAGATGATCTCGGTCATGGCTAGATGATTGGGTTTATGTTAGCAGACGATACGGGGATGTCTCTTGGATAACTAGGCTAGAACTTGCATTTCCTTGAATAAGGCAGGTTGGCAACAGCCTCGGTCATCACAACCGGCACATCAATGCCGCCGCTCGCATCATTCATGCCCAGCTTCAGAAAGATGTAGTCCAAGACGTGCTCCGTCACGTCCCAGTTGCTTATTATGCCGGTGCCGGCTTCGAATGCGTTGCGTATGTGGCCGCGCGCGGTGGTATCGGCATAGCAGTCTGAACCAGCAAAGGAGAAGGTCTTGCCGAGCTTTCGATCGCGGTACTTGGCCATGACGGGCGGGATGTTTAATCGCGGCGCGGACTCAAAGGACCAGCCTGCTCGAACGGCGGAGGATCCTGTGGCCTGGTTAGTCTTGCTGTATGCTCCATGTCAAGCTTGCGTCGCCCATTGGCAGCTCACCATTATCTATCACAATGGCAGCATTGCCGGGCTGCTCCAGGGCTTTCTTCCGGCCATCGGACTCGGGCTCGATGAACTGTTCAAACTTGGTCTCCTTGACAGGGAATATCTTGGCCGGCGGGTACGTCTTTTCGGGCGGCGCCTGGGGCATCCGCTCGTCGATTGCAGATGGAGCCATGATGTCGTATCCAAGGGAGTTTTTTATCGATGGATGGCAAGGGAAAAGTGTGGGATGATGGGCAGTCTAGGTCGAGGAAGCGATCATGATGGGTTTGCAGGCGGTGTGTGGCGGGTGGTGATGAGGAGGAGAGACAATCGAGGGATGGCCAATTGATGTGGCGCTCGGAGAATTTGCTCGAGGCTTTCGGGCTTTGGGAAAAGGTTCAATGGACAATCGCGAGGCTGCAAGGCTGATGACGGCGAACGGCATTTGCGTGGGTCCTGGCCGCTAAACGCAAGCGCGTCGACGCTTCTTGTCGCAGCTTCGCGGTCCCTTGAGCAGTACATGGAGGATGCCTACGGCAGGTACATGTTGCAATAGCATTCTGCTGATTTTATCGATAGTCTATCAGGTAGAGGCCGAATTGAATAATAGTTTTACAATGTTTATTGCTTTTTCTTATTTCTTTTACACGCAGCGCGCATTATGGTATCTTAAACGCATATAGTTTCCCTTCCCATTCTGGATGTCGTACCAGCCAGTCTCCTTACGCCAATCTACGCCAATTCGTGTGCCAGCGACTCTCACGATGGAGGCTTAAGGTTATCAGTTGCTACATTTCGCAATTAATATAGATGCAAGAACCGTAGACAGCCACGCAGAGACGCCAGACTCACCTTCTAGATGGAATAGGACGTTGGACTGGTAGTTTTTAAACATCTGCGCGACGAGCTCTACATTCATGTTTTGGACATTGATCTCCTACGCAGTGTAAGCCTAACTGCAAGTTGAATGACGAACGCTTTGCTTACCTGGAGGCTCTTATTCATCACAACAACCGCTTCATTTAGTTTTTCCTACTCCCATTAGCCAGAAGCTTGGTGTTAGTCTTCATTTGGGCCATCATACCACATTGGTGATGATGCGTGAGATCAGCAGATTCTGCTGGTGCTCGTGTGGGCTTTCCTGCTCAATTATTAGCAATCAAACACTCAGATGTGTGTAGACATGATAATAACAAACCTACCATTTTTTCTGTGAATTGAATGTTTCTTGATTAATGAAAGATTGAAGGCGAATGGAACAGGAGCTGTGATGGAGGGGCGCGCAGCTTACACTGCAACCTTGAATCATGACTAAGCGCGCAATCCAAAGCTAAAGGCTGGCTTGGTGATATCAGTTGATCCCTTCAGGATACCTACATAATTTCGCTTCATCTTCAATATACCCCATCAACCATCAAAACATAATTTCAGCCTCTCTACGCACTGAATTTCCTTCCCATAAGCTATACCAGTTTTCCTCTTCACAATGGCCGCTCCCACAGAAGCGCAGCTCGCGCACATCGAGCTCCTCGAACAACTCGACATCCACTCCATCCACAAGAACTTCCGCAACCCCAACTGGAAGCCCAACCAGCGACGAAACAAGAACCTCAAAGCCATAGTAGGCGACGCGTCCAAACGAGAGGCCTCCGCGCTCGCCACGCCGCAAGACATCAGCGGCGACGCAACTCCGGCCGACGACGGCCTGTCCACCAGCGGCACCTCGACGCCCGCGACAAGCAACAACGGAAACCCGCCGCCTCCCAACCTCGCGCAGGCATCGCGTAGCTTGTCGAAGCTCGTGCTGGAGAAGTCGCTGAAGCCGCCCGGAGGAGGATTAGCGACTGGAGGCGTGACGGCTCCGAGCGCGACATACACAAACATCGAGTCGGCCCCTTCATTAGCACACTCGAAGCATTATTGCGACATCACGGGTCTGCCAGCGCCGTACATGGACCCCAAGACGAGGCTGCGGTATCACAATAAGGAGGTGTTTGGGTTGATTAGGACATTGCCTCAGAGCTCTGCGGAGCAGTTCCTGGCCGCTCGTGGTGCGCATACGGTGCTGAAATGAGCGCGACCAAGGCAAAGATTTCGAGTTCGAATGGCATATCTAACTACAAAGGTACGGAGGGATCAAAACCATAAGAGAAAGGGAGCATCTTGGAATTCATCGGCGTACTACGGCAATACTCTTTTTACTTTATCAATTTTATTTATACTGCTCTAATCAAAAGGGAAAAAAATGTTGGATCCACAAAGTCAAGCTTCAACTATGCACCTCCCGCCTTTCAGCAAGAGGATGGCAAATGACGCTCCGGCTTAATCGGAATCCCGCAATAAAAAGCGTTTGGGTTTGCTCTTTGCCCTGAACGAGTACCGAAAAAAACGTATGGGGGAACAACGTCTCAGTTGCCAGAGCTTGAATGGCAGTGGCTGGCAGGGCAAGATTGTAATGGTAGATGAATAATATCGAATGAATGATATCGGAGCATCGACATGAATTTTGATTTGCTGTTCCCGAATGGTATGTGAAAAGGCGACATCACTGCGTATAACTGTGAAGCCCTCGTTTAGAAGAAGCAGAATCGGTATCAATGAGATTGTTGCTAGATGCGACATGTAGGGTCTTGAATCAAAGGCCAACAAGTCGAACAGCTCAATCTCGATGACTGGTAGCTTTACCATGCGATTTCACTCCGCGAATTCCACAGAATGATACGCGGCCTGCTTGTGGCAGGCTCTGAAAAAGGAAGAGAAATTACAGCTAGGCGAACCATGGATGCGAAATTTATCCCTAGGAAATATTCGAGCTCCAGTTCGCTTATCTAATAAGTGGGGGTCGACAATCGTCAAATGGCCCGTTCGGTAGCGAGCCTCTTATGGTCAGTCACAAAAGCAGAGTGTTCAAAACAAGGATCTCCCATTGATTCCAATTAAACATGGAGCTGACGAAGAGCTGTATTAAGTATATGTCTAAGGTGCTCGCAAAGTACGTATATATATACAAAACGTGAAAGAAGTCATGCTCTCGTCACCCCTCCCAACGCCGGTTGATGCCTTTTTGCCATCTCGGAGGCTGCCGCAGCTAGGCTATTAAGCTGACTATTAATCTATTTTCCTTTTCTCATTGTATTTTCAAAAATCATGCAACCCTCGGTTTATCGATTGGCTTTGAAGAATCGACGCATCTTTCGTCAAGATGCGCCTAAGTGTGTAATTGTCGTAACCAAGACGGATTTGCAGGCTGCTTTACTGGCCCTTCTTGGCCTTCATAGCAGCCAACTTCTTCTCACGGCGTCTTCGGTGGGCATCGGCACCGGCCTCGGTGTCGAGCATGTAGTCCCACCAGCGGAAGCTGGAAGCGTAGTTGCCAATGAACTTCTCGTGGTGAACGTCGTGGTGCTCAGCGCCGGCCCAGACAGGCAGGAAGTGGCGCAAGCTCCAGGGGAAGTCGTAGCCGCTGTGGGCGTCAATGGCCTGGAAGAGACGCAGAGTGATCCAAATGTACATGGTCAGGAGGTGGAGCTTGCCGGTGAGGGCGAGGACCAGGATGGGAGATCCGACGACACCGATTCCAAGCAGACCGGTCTCGATGGGAGAGGCGTACTCAGCAGCCAGGCCGAAAGGAGCAGAGTACAGGTGGTGCATCTTGTGGATGCTCCTGTACAGAGGACCGTAGTGAAGAGTGCGGTGGAACCAGTAGTGCCAGGTGTCCTCCATGACGAAGAAGAGGGCAATCTGCCAGGCCATGGTGAAGACCGAGGGGAACGGAATGCCGTAATCCATGCCGAAGTAGGTGGCAATGGGGTGGAAGAACCAGATCTGAGGCAATTCGGCGGTAAAGTGGCTGACGAGGACGATGGCGGCGCAATCCCACTGCTCCTTCAGCGTGGGGATCTTTTGGTTCTGAATCTTGTACTTGTGGAAGTAGGGGATCTTGTCCATGATCATGAAGGGAAGGCAGCGGCCGAAGTAGATGATCTCGTGCATGAAGAAGCTCATGAGACCAGTCGCCAGAGTGTCATTGTCCATCCACAGGTACCAGGCCTAGAGTGAGAAATTCGAGTTAGATTTGACATAATCGCGGGGAATTGGAGGGGCCCAAGAAAAAAAAAAAAGACGTACGGCCCAGAGACGCTCAAACAGGTTCAAGTGAACATTGTATTTGCCAACTTCCTCGAGAACGTTGAAGTAGGTTTGCGTTTGGTTCAACGCGCCAAATGTCGCGTTCCTATACAAAAGTTGCCAGTTAGACGGTGCCCATTGTGGTAGTTCGCTTGGAAGGTTCGTCTACTTACGCCACGTCCATGATTGCGGCCCAATTGTCGAGATGCTGGTACAAAAGACGTCCAGGATATGCCGGGGGAATGTAGAAGAAGAAAAAAGAGAGAGAGAATTAAGGAGAGGACACCGGTGTAGATAAGGAGATGAGCTTGTCGAGCACAAGTCTATTAGGGGACTCGCTGGTGGGGGCGGGAAGGGAGATTTTTATCGTTGGCTGCAGAGGCGTAAACTTTTCATTGGCCACTACCTAAGTTCAGGAGATGGGCGTTTTTGGCCCTGCAGGCTAGAAGGTCGCAATGAGCCCACCATGGAACAGGAAATTCCGTGCTCTGGGGATGGGGATGGCAAATCGGAATCACGACGACCCGCATGGGCTGCCAGATTTGCGGCGACGCGAGTGGGCGTTTTGTTGGGCTGAGACGGGCGCTGATTGGCTGCGGCGGGCGAGCATCTTGCCGCCAAAAGCGGTCGACAAAAAAGCAGGGACCGCAACATGAATACGTGCGTAGATTTTCATAATATGCGCACATTTGCCACAGCGAGATCCCCCGAGCTTGTATGTGTACAGTGTCAGAGTGTGTGTTCAAAATTGTCTTATTCCCCATTTTTCTGTCGCCTAGCCGCATTCGTATTCGTGATCAAGAGGCGATTCGAGGGCTGTAGTTTGGTTCCTGGACATTTGCCCACACACACTCGTTTTCGCGCTTGAAGCTCAAGCTCTGAATCTGGCCATCTCATCTTATTGTGACCGCCACGCGCTGGAGCGGCCGCCGCTCGGCATCTTGTGAGCCAGTTGCGGCATACAGGCATCAACTACGAATAAAGGTAGAATGCCTGCTCCGGCTCCTTCAGAAATATGCTTCTGGAACAAGAGGCTACTGTTAGGCATGGAGTACTTTGCACATGTATCTCGTCTACCGAGACAGGGTTGTGCTGCCAGCGTCCACTTTGGGCAGCCTTTGTTGCAGACACTGATGGTGGCAGATCTAAGCTTGATGCCCGATAGTACAATTGCTAGTTGTTAGTCTGTGCTTATCATCTATTATTTCTTTGATATTGTATTGGGTGTAAGTCAGCTGTTGATAGTTGCTGTCGAGTTGTCATGCTCTTGTAATACGTCTGTCCAATAGGGGCAAGCAGCTCAGCTTAAACAAGGCGCAAAACCAGTGACATCACAGCCAATGGCGGCCTTGGTTCCAAATAGCAGCTGCGCTCAGCCATCGTCATTCATCAGCTCGCCTCCTCCATCCTCGAGTTATTCACACGTGTCGCCCCTATTCCTCTGCGTGACGTGAGCTGTTCGATTTCGCTCCGAGTACGAGTCCAACGATCTTCGCGCACGAATTTCAACTGCCCCGAAATATCTCTGTTTCGAGCTCCAGCAAAAAAAGAGGGAAAAATCGGGCACGGATTTGCCCCACGCACATCGCATCAGAGACCAGCGCCAGAACCGCCTCCGCCTTTCATCGCAGAAATCGAATGGATCGATAATCGCCAGCTGTGCCCACCCGTTTGCTCTGCCCCTTCGGCCAGCTCTGCTCCCGGACGCTGCCTTGTGGTGTGATGGTCTGACCATCGTCCGGATTCGACTCCACCCATAGCCCGGTCCAGCTCCAGCCGAGATCGATGCAGATTCAGCAAGGTTCTGATACCAGCACCGTGGGAATTCTGGCCCTGGTCTGATCACCTCATCTCGTACGAAGGGCAAAAGGGCCTCCCGTTTTAAACCATGTCGTTGGTGGCAGAGTGAGTTCCGCTTCCTGGCTTTTTGCGGCTTGCGGCTTGCCCTCCAATGGGATGAGCTGCGATTACCTCGATGGCTTCTCCGCATTACGCCGCTGTGTGCTGACTTGACATTCCTCCTTGCCAGCCAGGTGCGTCGCCTGGATGCGTACCTCGACCGCCTGCCTGTCCTGTCCGAGGAGGCATCTGAAGATGGAGCTTCCGAAGCTGGCCACGCTTTCGCCACGGCAGAGGTGCTGGACGCTCCACGACTCGATCGTTTGCTGCACATTATTCGCTCGCTGAGCACCACCTCCTCTTCGGAACCGTTACTCAATATCCAACGTGTCAAGATCCTCCTCAACGAATCTGGTATTGCTACGATTGCAGATACCGTCCATGGCGCTGCATCGGAAGCCCACGCACGAACCAAGACGCCGTACGAGAACGAAATCGAGTGGCTCCTAGTCTCAAAAGCAACAGTCCAGGTCTATGGAGCTATCCTCAACTCCTTGGTCGATCGCATCGTTCCTCTTAGCGATGATATGTGGTACTGGGATGGCGTCTTGAGCTCTTACAGCTACAGTAGTATGTATACGGTGCAGACATCTCCCCTACGGCTCTGGGCCTGGTCACTTGATATATATCAGGCTAGTCAGTCACGGCTACGCTCTCTGTCTGCAGCAGACGCTTCGGCCGAGCTTGTCCAGTCTACAAGGTCCACGCTATCACAGCCATGGAGCAGATTCTACGGTGTTGTTCGCGAAAGCATCCGAGAGCACTCGTTTGCCAACATCCAGCGAAAGGTGCTTTCGCCCGTCGCTCTATGTCGAGCCGAGGCTCGTCGGAAACAAGCACATCTGCGGAAGCTGAGAGAAATGACAGCTAGCGGTCTCGGAGTGCTCATGGACGAAGGACTTCAGCTTGGCCATGACGATGAGAGAGCTGGAGTACAGGATCATGAAGACCTCAAAGGCGTAGTGGAGCGGAGCGTAGCACTGATGGACATGGTCCTCAAAGAAGCAAGCAGTCTTGACATTAACATTCCCGACTTTGAAGAAAAAGTATTTGCAGGCGTTGAAGAAGACGCAGAGCTGTCTGTCCACGTCGAGGAAGACATGACTCAATATCGTCCAAGCACACTGGCCCGCCGTCTGCTTCAGATCATTGACAAGACGCTTCCTCAACATATTGACGCTATGCAGCTTCTCGCAAATGAAAATGGCCCACCCCCGGCCATTGTGCGATACTGGCTGCCCGCTCTCATTGGCATCACATCATCTACAACCATCCTCAAGATCCTGGTCAATCGCAAGGCAGACATTATAGACTGGATTGCGGGTTTCGGCAGTACATTGCGAGATTTCTGGCTCAACTGGGTTGTTCAACCGACTGAAAAGGTCATCAAGACTATCCGGCACGACGAAACCAGCGAGATTGCAATCATGAGCAGGGATAGCCTCAAAGCTGACCGCGAGAGTCTGGAGCGAATGGTTGTAGATTTTGCCACTGAAAAGCCTCATTACGCTGTTGGCACCTCATCCATCACTGACGCCCAAATTGCCGAAATCCGCACCAAGGTAGCTGAGGGTGATGTAACCCCAGTTTTAAAAGCATATGAGCAAGAGCTCAGAAAGCCGTTTGTCGGTGCTCTCCGGGGCGACCTTGTCCGGTCTCTCCTGATCCAGGTCCAAAAGACAAAGGTTGATCTGGAAGTTGCCATGACAGGTATTGACTCACTCCTGAAGAGCCAGGAGTTGGTCTTTGGTTTCGTTGGGTTGACTCCCGGTGTCTTTGTTTCGGTTGGCGTCTTCCAGTATCTCCGCAGCGTCTTTGGTAGCCGATCTGGACGGCGCCACAGCAAAACCTCTGGCAAGGCAATTCGTATCCTTCGAAACATTGACCGCATCCTCTCTGAGGCACGGCCCACGGAGAACAATGTCTTGTCGTACAAGGATCACGGTCTCCTGTTGTGCGAAGTTCACGTGCTTCGAAGCTTGGCTGGCGGTTTGATGCCGGATAACCTACAGAAGGAGTTTTTGGAAGATTTGGATGACTTGGCGAATGTCAAGGGGGTGCACATTCAAGCAAAGGCTTTGGAGAGAATTCGCTGGGCGTATGCCAGATGGATTAGGTAGATCGAGTAGCGAGCATGCAATTTCGAATGCTTAAGAGGGATTTTTCTGACCTTGGAAATACCTTACTGTATTATTGCCATGGATAGAGAACAAGCAATAGAGCATAGCAACACGAGTTGACCATTTCTGCTTCATACCGCTGATCGTTACAAGACTGTGCTTGAGAAGTAATCTAGGGTATTTGTATTAATGTTCATGTTATTGCTGATGCTGATTGATAATCTATGTAATCAACCTCTATATCCAAGTGCTGTTGACCACGTTGAATGCTAATTATGCTGTTTTATGGATGCCATGTTGAAATCGCTTCGAGTACACATGCCCCTATTGCGCCACACCTTGCAGGCCATTTTGTCTAATCCGCTCAAGATTAAAGTTGTGTAAAATGCCAAAAAAGAAAAAGAAAAAGATGGGAAAAAATAAGAGAAGACAATGCTGCTATATGGTTTATGCTTTGCTTTCCTCGACTTCTGCTTGCTTCTCCTTGAGACTGTCGAGGCACGGGGCAACAAACATTTCGCCGGTGATGACGCGTTGTATTGTCCGTAGAGTGACGAGAATCCAAAGGAGAAGGACAACGAGAGAGAGTATCTGCGTTTAAGGTTAGAAAAAAAGGATCTAAAGAAGATGTATAGTTTGAAAAGATGAAACATACCATGGTTATATACTTGAAAAACTCGCTTCCCAGATTCTGCCACAAGGCGCTGGTGCAGGTTGCCCACACGCCCAGCGGGAAAGTAAATCCCCACCAGCCCATGTTGAAGGGAAACGACCGCGTAGTTCTCAGGATGATGAGAGCAAAGCACACCCAGGCCAGAGCGAACCCCCACATGACGATGCCGAAGAAGATGCCGACAAAGTAGAGGAACTCGGCGCCGCGGGTGGGATCCACGCCGGCGACGTGGAACATTTCCGTGTGGGGGATGACTTTGAGGGCCACCTTGCCGAGCTGCTGGATGCCGAAGCCGCCCTGGCCAAGGGGCCCGACGGGGAGGAAGACGGAGACGATGACCTCTCGCGGGGGCAGCGAGTGGATCGTCAGGCGGTGGAAGTAGAGGGCCATGACGCAGGCGGAGAGGGCCTGGCCGATGCCCCAGAGCACGTAGGAGACGATGAGCGTGGCGTAGGCGTGGCTGATGCTGGGGAGGGCGTCGGCGACGATGCCGCCCGTGGCTGCGGCGACGACGGCCGGGACGATGGGCAGGAGGAGCGCGGCGGTGGTGGTGTGCAGGTCGGGGCGGTGGCGGTGCATGACGATGAAGGGCATGGAGATTGCGGTTGCGAAGGAGATGAGGACGTCGATCCACCAGAAGGCCCAGGCGAGGTAGACGAGCCAGGGGCCCCATTGGGCGCAGGCAAAGATCATCATGTTGATGATGGCTTTGATTGTGTGTTAGTTTTTTGAAATTATATACGTGAGACTGAAGAAGGAATGAGATGACTTACTTGCAAAGCCCATGGGGAAGCATCCCAGGAAGAGAGATTGTGCCGGATGGGCAATCATGGCGAACCAAATCTCGGGATAGAGCGTGTATCGGAGGAGGGAGATTGTGAAGAAGATTGCAAAGAGGAGGATGTTGAGGGCGAAGAAGATGTAGGAGATGACGTGTAGCCAGTAGCCGTTCCAGGGGAGGTTGTGGAGGAGGATGGAGACGATGCCTGTGCCCATGTTGACGGCGAACCATCTGTTTTGATTTTGTCAGTTGAAGTTGCACTTTTGATATAGGGGTACAAGCATGATGGTGTATAAGTGTATGGAGGCACTTACGATGGCGTAAAGTTGCGGACGATTTTCCGCCAACCATGTTTGTTCTTCTCTGAAGTACATGAATTGCAGTTATGGTTGTTGGCTATGACTTGGTTATCGGCAGCGGGCAAAGGTGCCCTGGCGGTAGTTGTCGCCATGGTGAGAGAGGCTATCGCTATAATACGACAGAGGCCCAATACCGAAGTTGAAAAAAGGTTCAAGATTGTTTGGGTACTGTTTGATGAGAAATTGGGGAAACGATGGAGAGAAGCTCGGTGGCCTTGTGCTTATATAGATGTATGATACAGAGTTGAATGACGGAATGGTTTCCTTGTTTTGCTTTGCAAACTCGCAAAAGCCGGGCAACAGGTATTCTGAGTCTTGGCGGTTATTGGATGCAAAGCCCACTAAAAAAGTGCCGTTTGGCAGGCGGAGGTCTCTCGGCGAGGGGGGTGGAGTTTGTCGGAATGGCTGAGCCGAAGAGGATGGCAGATGGACGAAACGGGATGTTTGGGTCTGAGTTATGACATGCGTGGGTTTTGATAGTAGCTGAGTGGCTGACTATTGTTCAAGTTGAGAAGATGAGATTTTGTCTTTTTTTCACGGTTGTGATGCTTTCTTGGGTATGGTATCTAGGACAAGTGGCAATCGTTCTTCAGGACGAGCTGCTGTATTTAAATTTAAATGGTTCTTTGCAAATTACTAGGTAGTTGTCACGGGTTGCCGGCCGATTCCCATTTCTCAGCTACGGCCTCCCGGTTTTCAGATGGAGAAAAAAAAAATTATGGGTTCGCATCCACCAAATTCGAGATTCTAGAAGGGGTTACTTCCCCCCATTTCTCAGTCTTTTCCAGCATTGTTGGCGCTCAGCCTCTGACATAAGGTGGGCTGGGCGGTCCTCATTCGCTGGAGACGGGAAGCAAGAGCTCGGCATCGGCCGTGTGGAGCGGCTGTCGGGGCCAGATTTGGGGGGTGCGCCGGCCCGATATGCGCTCGAAAGTGGCAGCTGGAGATGCCTTTATTTTCCTTTGCAAAGGACGTTTCGGCCTAGAATTTTGGTTGTTGGTCCGCTCTTTTTACTGGCTTTTTTCAGATTTGATGTCCGGGAGTGACGTTGACGGGCATCGGAGGTTGAGAAGGGGCCGGCAGATGGATTTCATGACGACGCTGACGTTCCTTTTGGAACATGGCGTGGCATTCGATATGCGACGAGATCTGATAAAGCAGTCCGTTGTCATGACGATCAACGCCGGGCCTCGTCAAGCAATCAGATGGTCCTAGTAAATCTCTTGGCATCTAGGTACTGCCTCGAGACCTGGGGCGGTGGATTTTGCTTCCCCGCAAAGAACGAAGCCTCCATATAAAACGTCGGGCCGTCGGCGAGCTCGAGAGTCCTTGTGCTAATTTCAAAATTGACAGGCTTGCTGTAGCTCCGAGTCATTGCCGTGGTCTGGCTGGCATTTGCAATAGCTTGCGTATTTGCTTCTCCGCGAAGATGGAGATTTCCTTGTAGTCTGCAGTGAGATTTACTCGAGGGTACATGCCCTTACATGTTTAAGCTATAGCTGTTTCAATTAAGCACTGTGGAAGTTCGAAACAAGTGATTGAATTAGACTGTATTCTTTACCGTAGGTACTATGTTAGCTAGTATGTGAAAGCAGTGCGACAACGGCTCAACTGAATGGACTATGCGCAGGTGCCATTATGGCTCGTTCATATACAATAGGGTTTCTTCTTCTAAAAAGATAAAGGTGTGTATTCAAAGTTTACGATGTTACTCATGAGCCCGTCAAGGCCGTCGGCAAGCGGATGCAGAGCGGCTATCGGTGGCGGCTATCGGAAAGATTGGGTACTTCACCTTCGTATCTCCCTGTCTTACCTAAGACAGTGTGTGGAGCTAAATGTCAATCATGACTTCCGTATCCTACCCTTACTTTCTTTATCTTGTTCCATCTAAAAGATGGACGATTCCGGAGTGCTCTGTAGATAAGGACATGCAATACGCAAGGGCAAGAAAAGGTTCAAGTTGCTGACCCCTTTTCACCTCGAACCGTAAGCCCAGCAATCGCAAATCCTCAGAGTTTCTTAGTAGCGTCTTGGTAGCATAGCGCTACTGCCGTGCTGGGTTTCAGGCCCCACGCGGGAACTTTGCAAATCTTATCGCCAAAGCATTTCAAAGTCTCAAATTTCAAGTCTCGACAACCTGTTGCAATTCGCCCATCAAGACCGTTGCATACCAAAAGTGCATGGCCAGAGTCCTGCGACCAAATGGTGATCTCATTTCGAGCCATTCGATAGTCTGGCGTCCCGTCTTGCTGCTGCCATCTGATCAATTCATGGTCGCCTCTGCCGTTGCCTTTGTGTCATCGCCTAAACCATGGCTGGCCATTATGCGCTCTTAGCGTCGTCTTATCCAACCAGATTGTGCGAAACGTGCGCAACGTTATCCACCGATGGTTGCCAGGTGTATCCGTCCCTCGTACAAGCGATCTTTGCCAATCCCTTTTTTATCGCGTGGCTTGGAGTGACGAGGATTTCGCGGCCGACACCGGGTGCCCTTACCCACCGTCGGGGGGCTCGCTCAGCTGACCTGTCGCGAGAGACACTGTCCATCCCCCGCTCCAGTCGGTGTGTCGTCTTGCTGTGCATCTTCGATGATTGTGATAAATGCCCCATCGCATCGTTCTCTTGCATCGTTCCAATAGATTGTCAATATCCCATCCATATATATCCACCTACGCGATTCATCGTCCCTATAGTTTCTCATCAATCATGGCCATGAATGTTATGTCAAGCAGCCACGCGCTCGTTGCCGTAGGCGACGTCGTGGCGCAGCGGGAGAGAGACCTTTTCGAAGAGCTCGTAATGGCGCTCAAGGAAGGCCTTGGTCCATCATCTGGCCTGACGTCCGAGGATGTCGACGTTGACTCCCTGATGGAGATGATGCGAGCGTATGACGGCAGCGACATGCAATGGTCCAAGTATGCATTCGGCGACGCCAGTAGAGGCTACACTCGTAACCTTGTTGACGAGGGCAATGGGAAGAGCAATCTGGTAGGTCATACATCAAGCCCAACTCTAGAGTGATGCGACATCGCTCAAAGCCACCGGTATATTGACGAAAAGCAAAACAGCTCGTACTTGTTTGGTCTCCAGGAAAAGGAAGCCCCATCCACGACCACGGAAATGCACACTGCCTCATGAAGATACTGCGCGGAGATCTCACTGAGACCCGCTATGCCTTCCCAAACAACGACGAGCCCGAGGGACAAATGACTGTCATCTCCGAAAAGACATACAGAGAGAACCAAGTGACGTACATGGCCGACGACCTTGGTCTCCATAGAGTATCCAACCGTGGTAGCGGCTTCGCTGTCTCCCTACACCGTAAGTTTTTCATCCGGCGCCACAACACTTGCTCTGGACCCGACTAAAGAACTCTCCAGTATATACTCCTCCCAACGTCGCTAAGAAGGGCTGTCACATCTTTGACGAAAAGACTGGTCGGCGAAGCCATGTGCCTGGTTGCACGTACTTTTCAGCCTATGGCCGCGTGCTGAAAGAGTAGCTTCGCAACGTTTGCATCGGGCATGGCGATATGGCGTTTGGTATTCCTCGTTTGTTCCCTAGATTGAACCCTGTTGTTTAGTTTCTGGTTCTGGGTATTCTTGTATAGCATCTGCTGCGTTCATCCACAGCAGGTGGAGAGGCGGTCCTCATCGACGGCATCAGTGGAGAAGCATAGCGTTCTTTGCACCAAATGAAAGGTCTCGTTGCATAGAAGCTCGCCTGCCCCAGTGAAGCGTAAAGAAGAGTGTAGTTGGAGGAGAGGAGAGGAATGGCCGCATGTCGTTGATATTCCTGCTTGAATCCGCAGAGCCATCGATTGCGTGATTTCGGCTAGACCTATTTGGGGACAGCCTGGAGCGCTGCTCTGAGCGGATCTCGGCGCTCTATTTCAGTACGAGAGTACATGCCAAACTGCTTAGTCACTCTTCACTCGAGCGTCAGACTCATGTGCCTGAAACTACCATGTACTGCCAACAAAGGGCGTTGAGTGTTGCAAAAAGGGAGTAGTATAGACTATAGAAGTATCAATCATTTCGTAGATGTTTTTTGAAGCTCTTTTGTATGCCATGTCTTCAATGCCTCGAGTAAAACTATTTGATTGTGCATCGCTTTGCTTTCGCAAATGGTCGCTGGTCACATGACCTCGCGTTGTAGCTGTATTTGCACTTAGACGCGCCAAGTGACTTGACAAGCTGCTCATCATAGAAGCGACATGGGAAAAGAGAGGATAGAGATGCTCGACTATAGATTTTAACGTTATTACCATATCCCTGATTTTCAAGAGTTTCCGTCGTCCTTTATTGTTTATTTTACACTGCCTCTCGCATAAAAGTTATCTTCACAATGCCTCGTCGCAAGCGCGCCGCCGCAGAGGCTCCCGAATTCATCGATCTCACTGGAGATGCCGTTCAGCCCGCCCCTAAACGACCTGCTTTATCATCCTCGCGGCCTGAAGCATCATCTGGGGCAGCAGGTCGCCAGAGAAGCCAGGCAATTCCTTCTTCATCTTCTTATCCGTCAACTCAAGAGCCGGATTACTTGGATCTGACGCAAGAAGACGACACACTTGACAGGGAGCTCTACGGCTCTTTTGGTTCGTTTGCCTCAGCATCAGTCATTCTAGTGTAGCATTGAAATTGACCCAGTTTATCTCGTATAGATGGCAAAATCGTGGGCGTGAGGTACTACAATGGGTATGCTTCTCCTGGTGAAGCTGTCCTTTGTCACAGAGAGCCGAATAATCAGGTAAACTATGCTCCGTCATTTGGACTCCTCAAGTTACTGTACTAATCGGATGACAGTACGACTCCAATGCAATTCGAATAGACAACGTTCTCCATCAACAAATAGGCCATTTGCCTCGCAAAATCGTCGAAAAACTAGCACACTATATTGTCAGTTTTTCATTCTTGACTAACTTGAGTGTTATTCGCTCTGTGGCTAATCCAACTAGGACTCTGGAGATATCACTGTTGAAGGCCAAATCATAGGGGAAAAGGCCTACTATGACTGTCCTATCAGACTGTCATTTTATGGTCCAAGCAATCCCGAAGAGCGCACTAGAATTGAGAATGCTCTCAAGGCAGATAAATTCGTCAAGGCTACCCAGCTGAAACAGACCAGGAAAGCTGCCGAAGCCCGTAGAGTGGTGCTTGGGCTGCACCAATCCACCTCCACTGCCGGTTTTGAGTCAGACAAGCAGCCAGGCGCACCTGAGGTATCTTTGGAAGAAATCCTCAAGTCTAGCGATGCGGTCGAATTCCGCAAAGGCGGTGATGCCATCAAGGCGCTGGCCATGGGTGAAGAGGAACTGGCAAAGATGCCGCAGGCTGAGCAGCCTAGACAGCTAAAGTCTACGCTTCTGCCGTACCAACTACAGGTATATATGAAACGCTTATGCATGTTCATCAAGTCAAAGCTAATGTCATACAGGGATTGGCATGGATGCAATCTAAAGAGAATCCGCAACTCCCACCAGTTGGGTCAGATACCGTCACTCAACTGTGGAGGCGTGATAGCAAGGGCCGATACTGGAATGTTGCGTCCGACTTCATTACCTCTAAAGCGCCAACACTATTCTCTGGCGGTATCCTCGCTGACGATATGGGCTTGGGAAAGACTCTCCAAATCATCAGCCTAATTCTTACGGGTGGCTCTGGCTCAACACTAATTGTTGCTCCGGTTAGTGTGATGAGCAATTGGGAGCAACAAATTCGAAGACACGTCAAAGAGGACCATCAGCCAAATATCCTAGTATATCATGGCGCTAGGAAAGTGGCTGGCCAGGAGCTCTCAGGATACGACGTTGTCATCACTAGCTACGGCACGCTTGCCAAAGAGCTGGATGAAGGCGGTAGCAAGACTCTGCTGAGCCAAAAGAAGAATTGGCGTCGAGTTGTGCTTGACGAAGGACACACGATAAGAAATGTAAAGACCAAGGTGGCTCTGGCTGCAAGCGAACTTAAAGCCCAGTCCCGCTGGGTTCTGACTGGAACGCCCATGTAAATACCATTTGGTGGTGTCCTACAACGTTGTCACTCTATACTGACTTGTGACTAGTATCAATTCTGTAAAGGATCTCCAGTCCTTGGTCAAATTCTTGCACATCACTGGAGGCATTGAGCAGCCCGAGATATTCAACAACGCAATTACCCGAAAGCTGATGTCGGGTGATCGCAGTGCTGAAGTGCTTCTGCAATCGTTGATGCAAGACATCTGTCTCAGGCGAAAGAAGGACATGAAATTTGTCGATCTCAAGCTGCCAAAAAAGACGGAGTATCTACACCGAATCACATTTCTCCCGGAAGAAAAGTCTAAATACGATGCTCTACTGTACGCCGACCCAATCATCCTCATTCTTCAAATAGTCATTGTAAAAGGCATGGTATTAACCGGTCAACAGATCCGAAGCCAAAGGTGTTTTGGAAGAATATCAAGCAAGATCACAAAGCGGCCAAAAGGGCCGCTTCCAAAACGTGTTGGAGCGTCTTCTTCGACTCCGGCAGTCGTGAGTAGCCTGTTGATGCATACTATTGCTACGTTTAAAGCTAACTTGATGTAGATGCAATCACTGGACTCTCTGCAAGGCGCGCATTGACGATCTCATGCAGTTGCTCAAAGATCAAGACGTCGTGCCTCTGACTGAGAAGAACCGAGCACTGCTTCAGGAAGCGCTTCGGCTGTACATTGATAGCCAGGAAGACTGCGCAATTTGCTACGATACACCTACTAACCCCATAATTACAAATTGTCAACACGTTTTCTGTCGCCACTGCATCACCAGGGCAGTTGAGCTGCAAGGAAAATGTCCAATGTGTCGCAACCAGCTTACCGAGGACAATTTCCTGGAGCCAGCTCCCGAAGGTACTTTTGACGCGAATTTTGACACAGACACGCAGAGTTCAAAGACGGAGGCGATGCTGCAAATCGTTCGGGCGACATTGAAGAATGAAGGATCCAAGATTGTCATCTTCTCACAGTGGACGTCGTTCCTCAACATTGTGCAGAAGCAGCTCGAAAATGCGGGCCTGAAGTACTGTAGAATCGACGGAAGCATGAGCGCAGAAAAGCGCGATAGGGCAATCGATGCCCTCGACAACAACTCTGAAACCTGCATCATGCTCGCTAGTCTGGCAGTCTGCAGTGTAGGACTCAACCTTGTTTCTGCGGACACTGTGATCCTGTCTGATAGCTGTAAGTTGCCTTATTAATAGAAACCCTAACCCTTCAGCTGCTGTGGTGAATGCATGCTCACATGTACTTTGACAGGGTGGGCACCAGCCATCGAAGACCAAGCCGTTGATCGAGTACATCGTCTTGGCCAAACACGCGAGACGAAGATATGGCGTCTCATTATGGAAGGAACTGTTGAAGAGCGAGTGCTGGATGTCCAACAAGAGAAGCGCGATCTTGTTACCAAGGCATTCCAAGAAAAGGGCACCACGAAGAAATCCAAAGACACCAGAATGGGAGACGTATTGAAGCTACTTTCTTGAGCGGGCACGCGAGGACCAGGCATTGGACCTTTTCGAATACGCTATTGCGGCATCAAGGACCTCCATTATGTCAACATAGTGGGCTGACCTACGGGGATGCGGCCAATGCGGCGAATACAGCATTTTGATATGGATTATCTGATCAATTGAAGCTGATAGTAATCCGCGAATAGTTTGCGGAATCAACTAACTTCACTATATAACTCGCTGGGGCTATAGCAGTAATGTTAGTTCCCGAGATAAAGTGCTTACTTGAGTGAGTCGACGCCATTTACTTTGTACGTCATGAGAAATGATCAAACGGATGGGAACATGCATAGAAGCGGCGAATAGGCGATTAGGATGTTTATCCGTTATAAACGAGACCTGACTGAAAAGATGCAAATGGATTTTTCAATTTGATTTGATAGCACATGATTAAAAATTCACAATTGAATGAGTTTTATATATCAGGACGATTTCTTGGCATCTCTTACTTCCCGTGGCGCTAAGCTAAACTTCCCGCCTTTACTTGAAATCCAGGAGTTTGGGTTTTTTAGCCAGGTAGAAGCAGGCTATATACTGCAAGGCGACCGTTGTTAGGTAGCTGCGAAATTATTTCAAATGTATTTCGCCATACTTTACATATACGTATATCCGTGTCGAGTACCATGAGAGACTGGACTTATCATTATCGCCGTGCGGCATCAATAAACATCACCATTCAAAGCCCAATTTCGACGACTTGGCCTTGGCCTCTCGGCCACTCGGTCAAGGAACTTGTCGTCCATTCTTGGTGAATTTTTCCTCATTCAACAGAAACGTCCATTGGTCAGCCAAAGGTGGAAGCTACCAAGTTGGAAAAAGCATGAGCTGTATCAACTTGGCTAACTTGTAGAGGGAAAAAGCTACGCCCCTAGGATAGGATACCTTGCCGCGTTGCTTACAAGCCGCCGGGATTAAGCATACCCCGTACTACTCATGTGGTTACAGAATCATTATTCAGCGTGACCGCTTAGCTCGGTTCCTAGGGCGGCATTTCCGCAGAGAGGCTGCATGTACTGTTTTGACTTGCAGAGGAGATGTCCAAGTTGACTAAACATGGACGACTTACAAATCGAAACGCGGTCAGAATAATACTGACGCTTTCCATTCCAGAAGAGGATGTATAGGCTAGGATAGTAGCTGAAAGATTTGGAAGATGGGTGATAATCTATAGGTAAGAATGTATATAAGTTAGATGTCGAACCTTTTCATAAACATAGATTTGGTGTTGAAGCCCAGCATCTCAAGCCGGTTTGATACATTCAGCCTTCGTATTCCTTTCACTAGTACACAAGATATCTGTTCTTCAAGCCTCAGTAACCACAATGACCGTCATATCCACCCCTCAGCCACACGTCCTGATCATCCCGGGAGCATGGCACCCGGCTTCTACAATGGCCTCCTTCGCCAGCGCCCTAGAGGCATCAGGCTTCCCTGCTACGGTGGTGCCAACCCGCAGCATCGGCACCAGAGACGTCACCGTCCAGGACGACGAGGCTCAGGCCAAGGCTCTTCTGCAGCCTCTACTTGACAAAGGCGAGGATGTCATTGTCCTGGGGCACTCATACGGTGGCTTCGTGATCACGGGCCTCATCGCCGGTCTGGATAAGAGAGGACGAGAGGCGCAGGGTCTGAAGGGGGGCATTCTGGGTGTGGTTTACCTTTCTGCGTTTATACCTGTTGAGGGTGAGACGACGTTTGAAGCGGCGGGCGGTAAAGACTGCGCGTTTGCATCGGCAGATAATGTAAGTGCTGTCCTAGCTGAGCTCTCTTTGATTAAGAGTATACATGCCAATTCCAATGCTGCTAGATCGAGAAGACAGGCCTTTTGGACTCAAAAGACGAGAAATACCATTTTTACAACGACATCCCAGATGAGGTAGCCAAACGCCTCACAGCCAGCCTCGAGGGCCAGTCCGGGGCAGCAGTCATGTCAACTCCTTCGAGTATAGGATGGAAGGACAAGGCCTACGACGGGCGCCGCGCGTATATTCGCACTCTTCGAGACAATGCCCTAACTATCAAGTACCAGGACGAGCTGATTGCTCGTTCGGGCGTTGAGTGGCTTGTGAAGTCGGTGGATGCTTCACATAGTGCGTTTTGGTCTAGGACGGATGAGATGGTGGGTTTGGTTACCGAGTGTGCGTTGGAGTTTGCAAAGAATTGAAAGGCTGAATGTTGGGGGAAAAAAAAGGAGGGATATGGGGTTCTGGTATTTGGGCATGTTTGCTGCTGCAGCGAGCGAAGCAGCATTGTGTAAGATATAGGCAGATATGATGCTATGATGCTATGGTGAATATATTTGTGATATGAATCTTACCATTCCTCCCCCTTGTAGAATAAGTCACATCTAGTACATCTACTGCATGCACCGACCTACTCGACGGCTACAATTTCCAAGTGAAGGCATTTTTGCAAGTTACATATTGAAACCCAAGCTCACTTACTCTAGACTATCTGAAACGACCTCATTCATCCGCTTAGTTACATTGTTATAATTTCTCCAACCAATTCGCATTCTTTTTAAAACGGAATATCAAAACCTCTCCCGTTTCGCAACCGACGATGACTTTATCCTTGTGAACTCTTAGAGCATGATTATCCTTGCGAGACGCTGGGTGATAATGGTCTGGCAAGAGGATAATCTCTCTGCCATTCCAGGTGATCCATGTCTCTGTGCCGGACGTAACACTATAAGGGCACCATGGCTCAGATTTTATCCGCGCCCTTGTACCGTCTCGCAACTCTTGGATGAGCAGAGGACCCCTCTCTGTTATCACATACTGAGGGTGGTTGATATCGACGCTCAATGAGTGGATCGCTGGCCTTGTTTCTGATCTGAGCGTGTACTCAAATCTCATAGTCCCATTCTCTCTAGTAATATCCCATACTGAGATGCCTTCAGCGTCAGATGCGATAAATCTTTTTGAGTCGGCTGAAAATGCCATCGCAGTTATGCGTTCCCCACCCCTCTCTTTGATAGTTGTGACTTGAATGGAGGAGCCGGTTTGATAGCCAGTGTGAAGATCCCAAAGCATGATCTCACCATCATCAGCACCAGACACGACGTATCTTCCATCATGTGAATACGAAACACATAAGACAAAGTCTCTATGACCACAGAATATTCTTAATCCCCGGACGCCGTTTAACTCTAAAATCTCTCCTACGTCTCTAAATGTTTCTTCGCTCTGGGTCGACATAGTACCTCCAACCTCAGGCTGCGAAAGATCCCATATGCGCACGGTCGTATCACTGGAGCCCGAAGCTAGAAATCTTCCATCACGCGATAAGACAGCACAGTATACCACACCTAGGTGACCGAGGAGCGTGCGTGACTGGAAATCGTCTTCTAAGCTCCAGATACGAACAATTTTGTCGGATGCTAATATCAGTTTGCGAGAATCATGGCTGAATACAAGCGACTGAACAGATGGCAAACGCGCCATCCAGCTTCGTCGGAGCATACCAGAATTGCCATCCCATAGGCAGATTAAACCATCTTCAGAGGCCGATGCCACCCACTTGCCATCCTCTGATAGTGCAACACGTAAGATAGGTTCCGCGTGTGGGATACTTTGACTGTGCTCTGAGTCAATTTCTGACTGCACCTGAGCTTTATAACTGCCGTAATCCCAAACTCGAACCGTTTTATCGCCAGAGCAGGTAGCAAGGCATGTATCAGCAGGCGAGAATGCTAAATCGAGCACGCCGCCCAAGTGTCCGCTCAGTATTAATGGGGTTTGTTTGGCGTTCCATGGCTCTCGCCACAATCTAATTGTTCCGTCGTATGATGCTGATGCCAGAAAAAGCCCATCAGATGAGAACTCGACTGTGCTGATACCGGACCTATGTCCAATGAGATCCACGGGAGGGCTTCCCAATTTCCAGTCCCAGATGTATACGCTGTTGTCTCTCCGATTGAGTCTCCGAGTCCCAATGGCGACATATTTTGAATTCGGCGAAAAGGCGATTCCACATGCCTGATTTATGTTAGACATAGTAGGTATTGTCAAGTCTTTTTGTCTCTTTAACTTTCGGCTATGCTGTATAGCAGGCTCTGAGTTATGGACTTGTCTATTTATATCGTCGTCAGTCACATCACTCTCTAGACTCCAGATAGTGATTGTTTGTTCTGCTACTGATCCAAGCAATGTATCGTGCTTGGAGAATCCAATAGACCTGACATTATCGTTGGAGGAAGCATTTTCTTGTCGTAGGACGAGCTTGAAGTCAGGAACATGCCAAATAACAACATCTCTCCCAACCGCCACTGCCAGCATGTTTCCGTCATTCGAAAACTTAATATCCCCGATAGCGCTAGAGCCATTGAGTGAATATTTCTCAACTGGTAGCTTCAGTTGTTCTCCGGTAGATAAACTCCACATTTTGGCGGTTTTCTTGTTCGATGCAACAATAAAGCCAGTGGAGGATAGAGCAAATGTTTCTTCATAAGCGCTAGGAAAGGCTCTAATTGTATGCTGTGTTTTTCCCGATGATATGTCCCAGAGACGTATAGTACCATCATCTGATCTAGAAGCTAAGCGTTTTCCATCGTCAAAGTAGGCACAGGACCAAATACGGTCTGAGTGGCCTTTTAAGATATGACTAATGGGTTGCCAGTGGTTTTGAAACATCGGGGGGCCTTCAAGATACGGCCATTCCTTTGGCAGGAATATTTCCTGAATTGCCGTATTACAGGGACAGAACAGAAGAGTCGTTCTGGCTGTAAGACCAGTGGCACCTTGAATCATGCTGTGGAAATGCAGTAACCGATGCGATTCATATATGATACTCAAGTATGCGCGGTAACGACTATCATCTGCATGGGCTCTGGTTTCCCACTTCTTCTAATAGCAGAGTTAGTATCAACGTTGAGATGGGATATAAAGATGTTAAGTTGTTAAGATGTTAATAGAATAAGAGTTTGAAAAAAAAAAACGTACTTTGACATGGGTTTGTAAAGCTGCTACCAGAGCTCTTGCTTGAGATAACCACCCTGAATATGCTACGAGATCCAGCCATTTCAGGAGGTTTCTATTGAGAAAACCAACAGCTGTATCTATAACATCGTTCGCATCATCAATATCACAAAGATGCCGAACCCAATATAGTGCCACATAGTTCGTAGGCGTCTTTGATTCTTTGCCCAGGCTTGGAGATGAATTGATGGAAGGTAAGCTCCAGTATTCTGATAGATGTTTGAGACAGCGTTCAATGAATACCGAATGTAATCCTGCCCTCTCACTCTGTGTCGCTTTGAGAACAAAATCTCTGGCAGATTTGCGTGGAAAATGAACTGTTTTGTTACGCACTTCTAGGAATGCAAAACATTTTCCCACGAGGAATTGGACATTAACATATGCCGGCAAACCCAAAAGTGCTTCCAACTCCACAAGATCCAAAGGCCTAGCTGCTGTTGCCACCATACTTAGCACATTTATGCACAAATCGGAATCATCGAATAGTAGATTCCAAGAATATTCGCGTATAGGAGCATATAAATTAGACAAAGGATCGGAATAGGCAGAATATATTGCTGAAGGTTGCGATAGCCATCTGAGGACACCTGAAGCATGCCAGGGGTTTTCTCGTTGTATCGCTTGGCACGCCAAGTCAACTCGCAGAAAGCTTCCTGAGGATGCCTTCTCTAGGAGTCTAGTAATTTCATTTCGAGATTCTTCTTCGATGCCCCAGTAATTTGCTATTTGATCAGCCTTTAAAGGGATGTAATAATCTCTCAAAGTTGTCTGCATTTCTTCATATGCGGCATCGATGTCTATGCATTCGTCTTCGGCTATACGCAGATTGCTGGACTTGGAAAAACGTCCAAATGACTCGGTTGAACCGGATAAGAGCCATTTAATATTTTGTGACAGATTCATAGTTGTTTCGATTAGTAAGATGAAGGAGCTTGGATCTTCGTGTTCGAAATTAATCTCATCAATACCTTCAACTAGGAATATAGTTGGCTTGAATGTCTCATCTCTGATAATGTCATATAACAGCATGCTTAATGCGTATACGTCATGGGAATCGGAAAATTCCTCAATGTCTGTTGAGTTGCATTTCTGGATCAAATATCTGCCCAGCTGAGGTTGGTATTCCAAGACGAGGTAGATGAGAGTCTTTAGCACAGAAATAGTGCTTTGCGCCTCGTGTTCACCCGTGCCGCACATTGAAAATGACAAAAGCTTCGGCTCTGAGTCGAGAATCGCCGGAGAGAGTCCACGAACAATCGACCAAAGGACCATCTTTCTGCCAGCATCTGGGTCACCGCAAACCCAAAGCACACGCGAGTCTCCTGCGATGAATGACTTGTATTTGCAAGTCGATATGACCCATTCGTAGAGATTTTTCACTGATGGAATATTCGCCTCTAATTTTCGTGGATCGATTACGTTCAAGATTTCTTTCGGGGTCTTCATGTCGCTCTTTGTAGGCTCGGGTTCCCCAACTCCAGTTGTATCGTTCTTCTTATCACTGAGAAGCGTGGAAAGTTTTTGATTCTGGATTTCGCCTTTAAAACTGAGGAGTGATTGCTCTGCCCTTACCACGTCGGCCTCGTTCAAATCTGCATCTCTGGGTAATCGACTTTGATCGATTCTGATTAGATTACTCTCTTGAATTACGTCTATTTGAGAACAGACGATGCGAGCTTGGAAGAGGAGAACCTGTTGATAAAGTTCTGTTATACGATCTCGGAGAATCGTTTGTTCGCTTAAAGGAAGGCCTCTCTTATATTCATCGGCACCAAGAAGCTTGGGAAGCAAAGTATACCACACCATTCTAGATACGACGTGGTCCATGCCCTGTAACGTCTCTGGTTGATTGATCGAGTGCAGGAGGGCCTATTTCATTTCTCACTTTCAGCAATTAAGATCATAGTAGCAATTTGTTACGGATATCAAGTCGCTGACCTGTAGAGCAAGGCATGTTCCTGCCCATGCAAGGGCTGTATCTTCACCACTGTCGATTGATGACTTCAACAGGTCTCGAATTTCTTTGGAGAACCTTAGAGGAATCAGTTGAGAGTTGATGTTCTTTTCAACAGTATCGGCATCAGCATCGCCCTCTTGCTGAGACTCGAGGCAGAAGGCAATAATATCCTGAGCGTATTGTTGCCTTTCTTGATGATGCAGAGGTTGAAACAGATTTTCTTGTTGATAATTATGAGAGGTTTTTTGATTTTGTTGTAGCAAGTGTGCACGTAGCCATAAAGTCAATATTTTCTCGTACTTTTCCAATAAGTCGGCATGTTGAGGCCTCAAATTATCGTAAGCCACATCCCACAAGTTTTCGATCTCCCGGCGGGAAGATTCGGCTGAATCAAGCTTGCTAGGCGTGGAGAATATTGTAGAAGGTACATCATCAACTTCATTTCCCGGCAAGATTGCTTCTTCTGGCTTCTTTGAGTCTTTGATTGGCAGGTCGGTGAGTATTTCACCATCGGAGGTCGCGACGCTTGACTTCGGAAGTATCGCCGGTTCATCTGGAATGGAAATCTTATCCGGCGGCCGAACAGTTGCTGGGGGCCCAGGAAGAGGCTCGTCATGTCCTGTATTTGTCCTTTTCGGTTTTCTGAATCTGAACATACGCCACCTTTTGGTCATCATCGTCTCCGTGACCTTCATGGTGCTCGCCAACTTTTATGATTGACTTAAAAAGACCGGCTGCAGAGTACCACTGGTGGAAGACAGATAAGCAGCATTCGTCAGTCGTAAGTAAGATGATGTGTTGCCCAGGAAGAATCGTGACGGGTGAAACCTAGGGTGTCGAGTTTGGGCATCAACGCCGCAATCGGCACGTGCCGTACACAGCACTGTGCGTGTGTACAGCCGCGTAACGAAGGAACAAAGGAAGTACTTCTCAGTGCCTTATCAATGCACGCGCTCGTATCCTGTGCCACCCACTCATTTCATTTCGCCAGCCCTCCCGGCTACGAATCACCGCAAGCTGAGCGGGTTCCGACCATCTATGGCCGGAACTTCTTGCTCTGTTGGGCTCCAAGTCAGCCACGGGGTCATCTTTCGCCTGGGTTGATGTGGTAAGATGGCAATGTTTTCTATCCAAGTCTATAGCGCTTAATCGTACCCTAATACTAGTAGTATGTACGTATCGTCACTTTCATGTGTAACACGTTTTCGATCGAGCATTTTCTTGGCAGTTTCCCAATTCTCGTAAGATCAGTGATACGCTTCCAACTGCTTCGTCCGTGTTGTATATACAATAGGTTCCTAATAAGCCAGGCTGCAGCCACCACAAGCCCGAGATGCCCGAGGTTGATATGTGGAAAGGAGGCTGGTTTTGAGTACCATGGATACTCAAAGGCTGCCTAGTGCAATGTAAATGTAACACAAGATAGGCAATATTAGGTATATAAAGCCGTTATTGAGGCCGCCATTACCATCTTCAAACTTCCCTCAGTATTCTTACTTCTTCTGCCTCCTCTATTTCGTCCTTTACTGCACAGTCGGTGATCTCAACTCTCAATATTCGTTCAATTACAGCTATGGCCAGCTTTGTGGACCTGGATAAGAAAGGCCAGTCAGAACGCCTAGAGATTGACCTCTATAAGAATTGGAACCATGAAGCGACAACCCTTTCCGGTTCTTTCAAGTCATACGGAGTGAAAGACGGCGGTAGTGCAATCTTCGATAATAAAAGATCTGGATACTCGGTAACAGCCGACCGGCTACTCTGGGTGGATGGATGGGAGAAAACGACATTCAAAGATGCCAAACCAATACGCCACCAAGAGATGACTCTAGTGGTGCTGAGAATCGACCTTGCTTCACATGATCCCAAAAGAAAATTTGCATCTGCCAACATCACCTTGGAATTCGAAGGCGGCGACGGGAACACGTCCGATCCTAAGGACGTACCGGAGGTACAAGCATGGGCGCCTTTCAATACTACTGAGAGATATAACGCCTCGAAGGCTTCTCACACTAAATCCACCAAAACTGAGGTCGCCGTTCAGGCCGGGCACTCTAATGCCGAACTATCTGGCAGTCGGAGTAGCGAGTATGAGATATCATGGGATCGAACTATGTTCGACCAAGGAAGCTCGATCCCAGTCATGGGCCAGCTTGGGCGACGGAATGGAGTCACATGGATTCTTGCACAAAACGAATTGCAGAATGCGGGCGTCCAGCCGACGTTTTATATCGCAGTACTCATTTCACGACAATCGCGCAAGCCGTACCTGGTGAAGTTTGACATCGAAGCTCGGATTAACACCATGGAAGATTTCATAAACAAAACCAAGACCTTTTTCGGGTCAAATCCTGGGAAAACCAAACCTTATCTTGTGACCCCCTGGAAGCAGAAGGTCTGCAATTACGAGGGTGTGAACATATTGAAGTGTATTGACCTCGATAATCTGGGAAGATTGCAAAACGACAAAAAGAGCTCCAGCTTGCAGTTGAGCTGGGAACTCAGCCATCAAGTCGAGATAGAAGGTGAAAATACCGTCAAGCATGCTGAAGGATCGTTGGGCAACCAGGCGGCTGAAGAAATGCGAGACAGCTTTGCGGAGATGGCGACGTCGGCTTCAATGAAAGGGGCTGGCGGTACACACACCGAAACACCGCTTCTTTCCTTGTCCAGATCCACTGCGGCTATTCTATCCGCCCCCCCTGTCGATTTGGCTAGATTCACAGCGCTCGAGACTCGCGTGGCTCAGCTCGAGGCTCGTCTTGCTTTACAGGATGAACTGATGCTTCGAATGCAACAAGCCCGTGCTTAGGGACGGGATGCGCGATTAATCCATGTCAATTTATATACTTGCGAATCAAACACTTGTTCACCCACAATCTGCTATCTCTTTTTGACATGCCTAAATATAAGTAGTTTTAAAGTAAAGTTGCAGTAGGTAGACCGTAGATGTAAGTATTGATCGATACATCATTCGTCTTTGGCACTACACATATAGGTAGATATGTATATACACGTACTTTTGGGCTAACACGAGGTGTCTAACTGTTTAACAGTGCCTTACACTTGGATTTTTCTTCCATGACCATGATATTCAAACAATTTAGATATGTTGATTATCCGTGTGCTTGTTCTTGTACTGCACGATGCTGTGGCTGCATATATTTTCAAAGAAATTGCTCAGAAGAATATACATTCGACAGTAAGAGATGCTGTTAGCCAGTAGGCATGATAATAGCCAAGATTGTTTTTTTTTAATCAATTCTCCATACATGTAAAGCAAAAATACTAGTCCAAGGCTCATGTATGTTAATTAAATCACAGAAGTCTAGACATTTGATGAGGCTGCTACTACATTTATGCTATAAAATATCAATACAATTTTCTTCTTGAAGAAGAAGAAGAAAAAAAGCGTCAATCCATGAGGTGTACTAATTATCAAATCAGAGTATATAACTGTGAAATGCAAGAGCTAATATGAGAGATTGGCCGCCTTCATGCAACGTTTAAGGCATCAAATATTTGTAATCGTATGATCAGCTAAAGTAGTATGACTACAAAAAGCCTGTGGCTATCTACATACAGAGTAAGGGAGGGTGGTACAATCAAAAGTTCCTAGAATACCTTTTCACCGGGACTGAGAACCAATGAAGTAGATCCTCATCGGAACTGAGAACCAATGAAGTAGATCTAACTGCAGTCGTGCCCAGTCCTATCTGCAAGTATGCGAGTTGGTGTTACTCGGCGAGCTAGTACCGTGTACCCAACTGTTACATAAAGGTAGTTCGGATATATTATCAGGTATACACATACTGTGTTCTTTTTGCATCTGTATACCTACTGCTATTAATTCTCTTTTTGTACTTTCTCACTTTCTCCTGTATTTTTGTAGCTTCAAGTCGCTCTTCGCTCAGCCTGCCTACATGGCGTTTTTAAGAACTCCTTGTCATCAACTTACAGCTTTCCGATAACAAGGAGTCGCTAGGATTGGGGATAAATCGAAGAACCCATTTAATCCGAAACTCTGAGTTGACGTTTGCTGATAATTCGATATCCCTCTTTCCTATCCTTTCCTTTCCTTTCTTCTTCTTCCTCCTTCATGCTTTCGAACATGTCTCTTAATTCAAGTATTCAAAGCAGTCAGACGCGTGCGGAGCCCTCACCAAATACCGATACTAGCATCGAATCAATGCCAGATCCGAAAGAGTCGTCGGATAATCAATCAGTCAACCAAAAAGTAGTCAAGCCATGGATGGAACTGCGTGGAGACAGTGGGGAGACCGAGATGCGATTGGATGATCAAGCTTACGAACTCTTCAAACTTCTTAGAGAAGCTTTGGAATATGCACTCAAACATGAACAATTACCCAGCTTCATTCTAGACATCACAAAATTCTTTATCGACAAAAACAGAGCATATGGATTAGATGATTGCATACGTTGGTTGATCCTCAACAACGCGGTGCAGCGATGCCCACTGGGCATCGAAGATGTTGGTGTCTCAGCAGTTCAGACAGAAACTGTAGAGGAGACTATAACTGGAGAGAAAAATTCCTACATCATCATTATTCGAATTATCACTGAACTCTGACCTCATTTTCCCTTCATTTGCCTTGACGACTCTCGTACGTTTCATAGGCCTTTCCCGGAGACGGTAGAGAAGCTTCTCGTGGGAAAATGTTATTTTAAAGACAGTCATGCGAAGGAGCAAATGAGCGAATTCCAAAGCACTCCTTTACATAGAGCTGCCGGGAAAGGTAACGGAAAGGCAATAAAACATATGATTCATAATGAACGAGGTTTTCAGCCAGATGAGTTACTTCAGATCTTGAAACTTCATGATCCAGACCAAAGATCTGGAAAGACTGCTTTGTCCCTTGCTGCTATTGCCGAAAATCTAGGAGCTCTGCATGCACTTCTAGATTTCGATGCCAGCATAGCAGATACGCCAGATACGACATTCGAAGAGGCCTTGAAAAAAGGCAAAGAAAATGTCGTCGAAGCATTTTTGCAACAACCTGAACTCAGACGGAAATTTGCCACTACCGACTACATTCTTTTAGCGATTCAACCATTGAAAGAAATAAACGAAGAGACAGTCAAAGATGAGAAACATACTGAGAGATATAACAAACAAGTGGAGGTCATCAATGCTCTGATCAAAGCTGCTGAGGGCCAGCAGAGTGGAACTGATGAAAGAGTGATTGAGAAGATAATTCAGCTCAACTTGGAGAGCTTCTGGAGCGAAAATGAAACCATTTTCAATTCCGACACGTCTGGGCTACTTCATCTGGCTGTCCAGCACCAAAATGTTGGATTTGTGAAGAAATTTCTGCAATACGATGAGTTGGTCACTACCCAGGTTCATGACCACTACCCACTCTGGCACAACAACAATATTATGGAAAATTCTACGTCTACTCATCGGGCGTTGAAAGATGATGATAGCAAAAGAATCCACAAGGAAATTCGCAATCTCATAGTTGCAGCGACTATTAAGAGCAAAAAGGTTCGCAACATGCAGGACTTGGTCGAGATTTTTCAGCTGTCTGACGGTACGTATGATATTTAACAAGTCATCCCTGTTCCACCCAGACATGTCATTTACTAACTTGAAGAATTTTTTTTCTCTTAGAAACCGGTAAGAACAATTTCCTACGCTCTATACGGCCGCTATCTCGGACTAACCTGACAATCTAGTCAACGAACTGTGTTTTGATCTTTCACGATTCAAATCGGAGGATTACAGCGTTTCGGACTTTGTTCATTCGCTCATCAATCATCAAGACTATGCCAATCTACTATCTTATGAAGAGACGCTTAAATATGCCACGTTTCCGGCCCTAGATCTCAAAACTGACAACAAAGAGATATTTGGCGGAAATATTCAATTTGACCACAAGGAGATTTTCATGACTCTAGATTGGTTAAAGAAGGTGAAGAACGTCAAGCATATTATCGAACTGACAGTTCTAGATCGACTTGTGAATCCTCATGATGAGGTCATCATAGGCACCTATGTGAAACAGTTTGAGGTGGAAGCTCTCAACTGGAGATTATTAGACCTGTCTATATCGGTTTTCAAGAACTCAAATTCTTCTGAGAACAATGCACTGCAACAAATCCGAGAGCTTCATCTTTATACCGGCGGCAAGCGAGCAGTAATCAGTCACTGGTTGAGCGATGATGGGATCCGCTCCCTTACAAATGTAGGTCATGCAACACTTCAACATTCTTTGCTATATTATGAAAGCCTCTTCATGCTGACAAAGGGTATCTTTTAGCTTACGACGCTCGAAATATATGTTGTCCAGGTTTGTGTCTTACGGTCTCCTATGTTACGCGCAGTGCACTGATGGAATTTCGAAGGACTTGGCGAATAAAGATAAATGCGTCGCTATTGCTACTTTTATCGACGAAGAATTTGGCAAGCTGAGCAAAGAAATCAATGGGCAACGGGAAAAGATGCGCCAAGAGGAGTTTAGGAACACACCGAATGCTCAGCACACTCATGATGCCCATGACACTTGGAAGCTCACAGTCGGTGTTAGTATCCGGCCGTGGAATCCGACAAAGGAAAGAGAAGCAGACTTGGGAGAGATGTAAGTGGTATTCAGACCGCGCGGCCAGTCATTTATTTTTCATCCGCTGACTGCCATTAGTGCTGAACGGGCTGTTCCGAAGCTATCTCGTTTTATCAAAGGTTACCAGATCTATACGCAGGAAAGAAGCGGCTCTGTGACATTCCGTCCAACCAGAGTTGCCGTGATCGATAATGGGATTTTTAGCTTTTCCCCATTGGTAAAAACTCCAGCCATCTTAAACGCCACTAATATTTCTGAAACTTCATCTGCTCTCAATTCAACAGAGTCTTTGGAGATCAACAGCAATGCTCCGAACGGATACCAAAATGGGAAAGGTGGTAGACCCAAGACTTTGTGGTCACGCATCCAGAATGGCCGATCTTTCGTAGACGACGAATCCAGCCTTAGTCCTTGGCTATTTGCGTCTGATCCGCATGGAACCCAGATGGCAAATATGATATGTGCCATTGATCCTTGTTGTGATCTTTACGTGGCCAAGGTGGCTGAAGGGAGATCTGGCATCATCCCGGCGCGAGTTGAACGAGTGAGTTATGATTGAGTAGACGAGAGATGTATTTTTTTTTTCTTTTTTTTGCTAACTCTTGGTTGCTTCGTGTCCAACAAGGCTATCAAGTGGGCAATAAGCCAAAATGTCGACATTATCTCCATGAGCTTCTCCATTCTAGAAGGAACACAAGGACTCGATAATGCTTGTGCCGATGCTTGGCACAATGGAATCATCATACTCTGCAGCACCCCTGACGAAGGCTTAAACACCGAGAAAAGCTGTATATCGGGTTACAGCGATACGATGACCATTACGGCTTGTGACGAATTTGGAATATTGAGCCCAAATGCACCGCCAGACTATAATTATGCAATTAAAGGCATCGACGTGGCTGCGGGCAAGGTCCCCTTTCTTGATTCAAAGGACTGCATATCAGGAAGTTCAGTCTCTACAGCCATTGCTGCGGGATTGAGTTCACTGATTTTGTCTTGCGATCGACTGGCAAAGGAACGTCGCAGTTATGAGCGAGGTGATAGAGCTAGAATTGTGAAGCATCATTTTGGAAAAATGGCTGCAACAAACAAGAAATACATCATCTTGGAAAGGTTTGCAGGGATTGACAAGAAGATTCAGGATGGCCGATACATTGACGCCCGGGACATCATAGAAGGATTTTTTGCTGAAGAGAAGTATAGTGAGTAAAGCCGGGCAAGTTTCTTTCTCATGTTTTTTTTTTGTACTAGATCTCCCCAGCCCCAGACGTACCTGGTGGTTTAATTTTTAATACGAATACGTTTCATTTGTTTCGAGCAAAAGTAGTGGCCGCATCTCTTCATGCCTAAGCTTACATGGTGCGTAGAAGCTTTTAGTAAGAGAGCCATTGGACCATTGCTTTGGGGAGCCGTCAACCTATCTGTCGACATATCACCACTTTTATAAGGCCACACCAAAGAGGTTTGCAATCCGTCATGGTTTGTAACCAAGACCTCCGATATCGTGGCATCCAATCTTGTGATTTCAAATACATGTGCCAAGCACGAGCACAAGATGTACCATTAAGGATGATAGTTGTGCCTGTAGATAGAACGGCCGCTTACACGGTTTATAGCTCTCCACTCAGATGCACTTGATTCAACGAAAGCCTCCAAAAGTAAAGTCGGGCTTTGTGAGTTAATCAACACACACGCAACTCCATCATGGACCCGTATAGCATCGTCTTCGTCATCAGTGCCGCTGGTTTTACCCGGTCTTTATATGCTGCCTCGCTCTCGTTATCGTTTATGTGAGTCGGGCGAATCCAGCCCGATTACCTAAGCAGCGTCGGCGCGACGCCCGCCGTCGCGCCGACCAGCAAGCGCCGATGCACCGACGCTCCGCGATTTCTGCAACTGCAGGCAGCCCAGCTGGCGGTGCTTTTTGGAGTCGGCCCTGATCGCGACCGGCGTGCATTTGGTAGCCGTGCTCGATAGTTGCGTTGATCTTTTGTTGTTTGTGTCATTGGTGTCATCGTGATCTAGAAACCAAGACTTGGAAAATATAGAATAGCGGAATGGAGAAAAAGCTAAACATCAAACAGAATTGCTGGAAAGCTGAATGCATGACCCAGCCTCAGCTGGACTTTTAAGACAGCCACCAACAATACAATCATCAAGACAGCAAATACTATCAAACGCAATACCCAACATCCAAGACACGCGTATTAAACCAACAGATAGCCTAATCGCAACTAACCCCCAGCCAAACCCCCAGCCTGCCCCTTGAAAGGCCCCCCAATTTTCCGCTCTTTTAACGTTAAAATCAAGCAAACTCGCTACCACGTGTGCCCCGTTTGCTCACCTCCCAATCCTTCGCTCAACCCCGGGCGGATCTTGCCAGAAGTGCGAGCGCCGATGCTGCCCACCTTGAAACGTCGCTGATTTACGGACTTTTGGCATCGAGAATCTGCTTACAGATTCTGCCCGGCTACACCCCCCTAGCATGAAATAGCGTGGCATTACTGCCAGCAAGTGCACGATGATCCATTGTCGGTGGTTCGGGCGCGATGCTATGGCTATTTTGGCGCGAAGGGCAAGGGGAAGCTGAGCTACGGGGATAGGAAAAAAGAGAAGAACGAGAAAAGACCGTTGGCTCTATGAAGGATCTAGCTAAGCTCATGTACAATGACGGAATTTATTGCTTTTTGATTTCTCTTATATAGCGTGGTCCATGATCTTCTTCCTGTCCGATCATATTCGCTTATCATACTCGCTTGTCTTTACATGACCATAGCAACATACAACATCCTATTTCCGTCTTCCATCATCTCCGGAATTATCGACCAGTGGGCGACATCTTACGTCTATCTCCTAGAATATATATCGTGTGCGCTGTGTTTTACCATCACAAACTCGAACATCTTGGTGGTGTGATCTAAAGCCAACGACTTATACGCATCAGACCACGACACCAGCAAAAGATTCCCTCAACATCACGGCAATAACCAAGAAAATAAATCAATAAAAAAAGAGAAATATCGATTCTCGCATCTCTTGGATCCCAGTTGATATAGAAAATATCAAAATCATGGCATCCGGCAGTCAAAGCGGCGCCATGCAGATGCCTGTACGTACAACACCACCATCAACACCACAAAATCATCACCATCTTCATCCAGCATCATAGCTAACATCTTCCAAAGGGCCCCCCCTACCCCCCCAAATACGCCGGCCTCGGCCTCACCCCAACCCGCTCCGTCGACATCCCCATCTCCGCCGTCATCCTCGCCTTCTTCATCACCTCGGCCGCCTTCAACATGACAATCTTCCAGCTCAACAAGCGCCGCGGCCACAAATTCATCCTCTCCGGCCTCTTCTTCGGCTTCTCCATGGCCCGCATCTCCGCAAACGTCATGCGCATCGTCTGGGCCTGCTACCCGAAAAACGTCCGCATCGCCATCGCCGCCCAGATCCTCGCAAACGCGGGTGTCATCATCATCTTCATTGTCAACCTGATTCTCGTCCAGCGCGTGCTGCGGGCGTATCATCCTCGCCTCGGTTGGAGCATGCCCGCCAGGATCCTCCTGCGCTCGCTCATCGCGTCCGTGATTGGATGCTTGATCATGCTCATCGTTTGTCTCATCATCAGCATCTACACGCTCAAGCAGTCCACCATTGATCAGACTCACATCGCTCAGACCGTTGCCTTGACTTATTTCGCCTTCCTGGCCTTCTTGCCGGTACCCATCATCGGCCTCTGCTTCGTCATCCCGCGCCGCCAGCGCATCGAGAAATTCGGCACCGGAAGCATGCGTTACAAGCTCTTCCTCATCCTCTTCACATCTTGTCTGCTCACTCTCGGCGCGGCCTTCCGAGCAGGCGTCATCTACTATCGTGTCCCCCCAACTGAGCCACGGTGGTTCCAGTCAAAGGCCTGTTTCTATTGCTTCAACTATCTCATCGAGCTCATCGTCGTCTTCACCTACGCCCTGTCTCGGTTCGACAAGCGTTTCCACATTCCCAACGGAAGCAGTGCTCCTGGCCACTATGCCAACGGCGTTCCAGGCTCAGATGGAGCTGTATTCGATGAAGAGCTGCCTGCTAGTGCTTCTGAGCAGACAATGACGGATGGCGACTGGGCTATGGAGTTCCAAAACAAGACTGCGCCCAAAGCATCTGTTTAGAGACGAAGAAGAGAGAATGAAAATAAAAGAAGAAGGCGACAAGGAAGAAACGCGTACGGGAAGAAATTAATAATAATTATAGCATCAAGGCGCCTTAGGGTTTGCATTTATATGTTTTGGGCGTTCTTGACATACTTGGACAAGACACCAAACGGCGTTGGCGGCATAGACTGGACATAGACAGCGGTAACATCATGTTATACGGGTCTTGGAATGCCCGAAGAAAGAATCTCCTATATTTAGATTAGCCTGTCGGGAGATATTCATCCTGAAAATGTACAAATATATATTTGCTCAAGTCTGAAATCAGTTTATTAACATTTTGTGTCCTATTTTGCTAGTCAGCGGCTGTATCAAATGTTGATGTTGATTCATAGTATAGGTATTAGACATAGGAATAATTGTGCCATGAAGAATTTGTAGCTAATACCACCCAATGCTCATCCTAATTGCCGGATCCGATGATGGTGAAGCAGCCGAGCATCGCTGCGCTTACAAAAGAAAAGAGGGCCAGGATTCTGTGACAAATTATCCGATTGCAGCAACACTTGGGCAACTCCTTGTTCACATTGAGACTTGTTACGGCTGGATGGCGTGGGCCTGTGTGCCAGCAGTAGGATTAATCGTACATTATTTTTCTTTTAGATGCCCAGCTCCTAGGACTCTAACAGCTATAAACCCTCTCGCAATAAGCCCTTTACAGCAATAATTCGTTTGAATGCAGAACATCAGTGCTAGATTAGAGGAAGTAATCAGGAGTTCCTGTGAGAAAAGAGTTAGACGGCATGATCCAGATGTTTGATGAGGAAGTGGACAACATACGTCTCGAGACCATTGGTTCGCCGGCTCTCGGGCACGGGTCAAATTGCAAGCTGTTGCAGTTAGCACATCTGTGGCTGTGATAAAATCCCTCTTGGCGTGGGGTAGGTAGTTGCCACAGCGGGGAGTTTTATCCGGGACTCACAAGGTATATTTCAGATGCTCGTCAATTTCCATTATAGCAGCCTGGTTACCGCATCGGTAGCAGTAGTTTGGTGCTGCAAAAACGTTAGCCAAATTCCAGCATGACTGATGAGAGGTGAAAAAGAGGCGGAAGAACGGGTAGTAGGTGAGCTGGGAGCTCGGGAAAGCTGCAGTGTGCAATTGGAAAAGAAGTAGCGAGAGAAAAACACATATAATGAAGCTCACCTGAAAAGATTGTCACCACGTTTCGATCCTGAGACCAATTGTATCCCTCCATCACAAGCTGGTGCGCTCGTGCCACCAGCGTCAAGCCGTTGTTGTGGTTGAAAGCCTCTGAAATGTCCTGGCCGAAAGTGTACCCCGCACCGCGGGGAGAGATTCCCCAACCACAGCGGTCGTCTGGGTCGGACCATAGGAGATCGCACATGGGACCTTCGTGGGGGACTTCTTGGACACGATCGAGGGCCCTGATGTTATCTAGTGTGTCGATGCTGGGGGAGAGACCGCCGTGGAGGCAGAAAATCTGGTTCTCAATCAGGGCAGTCAGGGGGAGGTAGTCGAAGAAGTCGGTGAATATCTTCCACACGTTGGCGTTGCCGTATTTGCGAAGGCATTCGTCGTAGAAGCCGTAGACTTGTGTGATCTGGCGCGACTCGTGGTTGCCTCGGAGGATGGTGATGCGCTGGGGGTATCGGATTTTGAGGGCAACGAGGAGGGAGACGGTCTCGACCGAGTAGTATCCTCTGTCGACGTAGTCGCCTGCAGAATCAAGATTGATAGTCAGCGGCGAGGCACCCCTCATTTTGCGGATCATACAGCGTGTATCGCACCCATGAAGAGATAGTTGGTATCAGGACTCGGGCCGCCAATCTTGAACAGCTCCATTAAATCGTGAAATTGGCCGTGGATATCGCCACAGACCGTAACAGGGCATTTCTGCACACAACGATGGGTCAGCTTCGGAAACGCATCATTTTAACTCATCGGCCGCGGATGGCCATCGCCAAGGGCCAACCTACCACGGGCTGCACGTTTGATTCGTCTTGAACAACCTCTCGACCCTACACGACGGCCAAAAAAGTCAGCATCAATTTTCAACGACGTTTGGAACCGTGTCACGCGGGCGAGGTGATGGCGACGGGACGGCTTTGCAGCCTAGCCAACCCCTCCTTCGCTCGCGTCGTCAACCAGCATCAGAGGCTCACCATGTCGCACAGCCTCTGGACGTCGGCCTCGGACAGCTGCTTGCAGTTCATCAGGTTCTCAATCCACTGCTCCAGCGTGGATCTCGTCGCGGGCTCCGTCTGCACAGGCGCCACGTCGGCCGGTACTCGCCCGACGTCTTCCATATTTGTGTCCATTCTTGGGGGGTTATGCCGCGCAGTCTGTTGCGTCCGCTGCAGCTGTGCGAGAAGTCCTTGCCGGGACCGGGTCGATTGGCGATGGGTTGAAGCGAGGCGTAGGTGGGAAGCGGAGGATTCGAGGGCGCTGGTTGGGGAGGGGAGAGGGAAGGCTGCGATGGGTTTGAATGACGTTGCGGTCACGCTTCGGGTTGCTTGCAGAGCAGACTTTGGGTTCGCGAGCAGCTGTGCGACAGTGGCAGTTGGCAGTGGCAGCTTTGGGGCGGATAGCGGGCGAGCGGTGGGGCTTGGGCGCCAAAGGAGGCGGCTCTATGGCAGTGGCGGCCGTGCAGCAGCCACTATCAGGAGGGAGGGAGATTGGGAGATTAGGAGAGGGGGGCCAAAACAACAAGCCGGGGTGAAATGAAGTCAACTGCTAGTCCTATTGCGAGCTGATTGCAGCGTGAAGCAGCACAGAGCATTACAAGTACCACAACAAAATTAAACAAAGCAATCAAGAAAGTGAATACTTGGTCGGATCTAGGTTTCCCTTTTTTATTTAATTTTTTTCCTTTTGTTTTTTGAACACTCCTAGTGATTGTAGCTCTACCGCGTCTGGACTCGAAATTGCTCGTGTTTTAAGAGAGCAAGGGGTACAAGCTGTACACTCGTAGGAGTAGAGTGTTTACAAGTACTGGCTATAGGTTTAGCAGAGGCAATAGAGGCAATAGAGGCAGTAAGGGTAATGGAGACAAGAAGCTTGAGAAGCAGTAGAGGTACCTGGGAAGAAGTAAAACAACTTGATAGGAACTGAAGACTTCTCTCACAAAATACCACAATCATTACCGTAACAATGGTGTGCATAAATGAATCACTTCTTCCAGCCAGGTACATGCATTCCCTTCTTTTTTGCTGAGAGGTAGCCAAGCTGGAGCTTCCCCTGACACCAAGCTGGTATTTGGCCTCAGCTCCGGAGCTGCCCCGCCAAGCTTAAACATCGGTACATACCTTGGCAAACAGTAAGGCTGACGAAAAGTAGCAAGGAATCAGTAGCAAAGAATCGTGATTTTCTGAGATATGGGCGTCTTGATATTCTCTTTATTGTCTAGCTATGATTTTATAACTGTTTCAAATAATCTCGATTCACTGCTGCAGCGAGAAATACTACATCACGATCCAGTGGCATCAACGTAGTTGTATGCAAACCATTGAGCTTAAGAGCAGGTTTACCAAGGTACCGGTAATCAAGTATAGCATATAATGCATTATAGAGAATAAAAACAATGTATAGGTAACCATGCTGCCTCCTCTTGCCACGTCCCATCTCGTCGTCTCCAGGAACAAATGCCATCAAGATAGCCCAATACCAGATATCCATCTCCTCTCCAGGTCAGACAGTTCCCGTTTATCCACGCCTTCTTCAAGCCAGCCCCAGCCCAACAAGCCCCTGGCTCTCAACCGACGAGCTAGCCGGAGGCCCATCCACGCCTTTACCAACCAAGCTGGAAAAGTCAAGGCCCACCTCGGACAACTTCTTGGCATGTTCCTTGGCCTGATCCATGCACTGTGTCCAGACTTGTCCGCCGCGCTCGGTGCTGCTCAGTTGCCTGGCAAGAATCACGTTGAATGCTTCTACTTGCTCCTTTGCCCACTTGACACACGTGCTCATCATGGGTGGGGGAAAGCAACTCTGGAAGCACAGCACCGTGTTGTGGATGAGGGTAAAGTACACAAATGATAGCTGCCAAATGTACAGATGCAAGTCGCCCTGGAAGATGCATTGTCTGTTCGCACTCTGTTAGTTGATGTAATGCAGGGAGGATATAAAAGAAAGACGAACCTTGCTCGCTTATGAATCGTGTCGCCACGGGCTGCGAGATACGCCTCTCTAGCTCTGTCTTCATACCCCAGTCTGGCCAACCAGCTCAGATTTCGCTTCGTCTTGTTTTGCTGGTTGTGTGTCGTCCCTAGCTGCTGGATAATCATGCCCGCAAGCTTACCGCACCTCGCCTCAACCTCAAAGTTGATAAAGTCTTGCGCTACGGTGTTGCCCTTGAGTCCCCTGGCCAGCCCGTTCATCTTTTCCACGCGAGCCACTGCGGGTTCGAACCCCTGGAGAGCAATATCAATATCAAGCTCATCCATCTGGCCCTCGACCCAGCGTAGATTCTGCTGTTTGCCATCCACCTCAATCAGCATGTCCTTGATGTCGGATAGCGTCTCTAGTAGTTCCGTCTTCTGGAGCAGCCCCGGATCTCTGGAAGCAAAGTAGTTGATCGTCTCTCTTGCCTTGTTATTGGCCTCCATTTCAGACTGCAACCCTTTGCGTAATTCTTCCACTGCTTTGCGTACATTCATCATCAGCGCCTTCTTCTCAGTCGCCTCTGGTTTTTCCGTGCGGTAGATAAAGGTCTCCTGGCCACCGCCTCGCACCATGATTGCATCAGCCAACTTATTACGGCCGCCCATAGAATCGCCTGTTCCAGGCATTTCGATGACTTCGATATCGAGCAAGGGCCAGCAGCGGTCAGCCACTAGCTTCACCATCGGTCCACGGCTATCAGAGTTGGGCGCGTCGACCTTGCGTTTCTTCCGGGAAGCAATGAGAAGATGGTCGTTTAGCAAAAAGATTTGCATGGCTCTTCTACTCTTGTAGGTTGCATTGTCCAATTCGATCCAAGGACCGGCATTTAGAACCACGTGGCGCCCTATCGCGTTTGGCAAGAACTTTTGAGAGCCCTCTACGGTCTTGTAGAGGGTTTGCATCTGCGTAGTCCAGAGAGCGCTTCGATCTACAATGGAGCTGCGCTTGTCTCGTTTGCTCATCGTGGCGCCTCCCCCTATGGATGTATCCATTTCACCTCTTCCCGAAGCTTGCCTAAGAGCTGTCGTATTCGACTTGAGCTCCGACATCAGGTTGCGGAGTGCTCGCATCTCGCCCTTGAGCTTCTCTGCTTCCTTGCTGATCTTGATAAACTGTGTCCGGTTCTGCAATAGGTTCTGCTGCAGATCCGCAGCTGCGCGTGCCTTGATCCCCTGCAGCGACTCGGCATACTCTTGGATCTGATCCTCGCTCGCCTCGCTCAGCACCGAGGCCACGTACTGATCGGGCGTAAGGTTCGGATCTCGCAACGCCTTCAGATCGACAGTGGGGGCAGCTCCTGGCCCTGCTCGCGACGGAGGGGGCTGGTAGTCGGTGTTGTACCGCTCAAGAGGGGGGAGAGTCGGAACTGGAGGGGCGGCCGCGTCGAATTCGGGGGGCAAGTTGTTAAATCGTGAGGAGAATCGTCGCTTGACTAGATCAGAGGTCTACGCAGCCAAAATTAGTCGCCTGATCCTAACAAGTCTCCTCAGCGGCAGTGTCGTGAAATCTCACCTTTCCACCAACAGCTGCAGGTCGGGGCCGAGGCGCTTCGGGCAGCGGAACCAGTCCACCAGGACCAGCAGCCGTGCCTCCAGTCGAGCCATCTTGCGGAATTGGAGCAGATATTTGTCGTGGCGCACTGATGACGGGACGGGCCTTTCGTCGCTTGCCGCTTCGAAGAGACAAAGTTATCTTGCTGCGCTCCTCAGACATGTCGGCTGCTGCTCATCGAAGTGAGGACCGAGCGACCAATGGGATGGTTGACACAGGGGACGGTGAGGAAGAGCAGCCTGTATGGTAGAGGTAAACGGCTATAGAGGTATGTACAGGCAGCCTTGAGCTTCCCAGTCGCGTCAACTTTCTAAAAGTTCGGTGCACAGAAGCTTCAAAGCCGAGCTGGGACAGGGTTGGCTGCTGCGGTGGCAGTTGGGAATTCGACTCTCGGATGGAGGTATGTACAGTGGAACTTGGAGCTGTCGCCATGAATAGGTGGCTGCGTAAGTCCCGCGACTCTCTCATTTACCCGACAATGTGCCGATCGCCTTCAGCGTCGCTCAATCGATATTCCGAGCTAGCAGGTATCGCAGTGACTCCATATTCTTTGTGATATCTTTTTTTCCAAAGAGCAAGAAAAAAAAAATCCCGGCGGCGGCATCTTCTCTAGCTGAAGCTCAATTTCTCTGCTGTCGTATAACCGGGCCATTCCTGAGCAGCCGCCGCAAAGGCCGATTTCCGCGGAGCCCGTCACCTTTTTATTTTCTCACTTGCAGCTACAGCTTGGGCAACCCTTGACCCCGAGAGCTCCCCTCCATTCGTCAAAAATGGTCCAGACAAGCACCGTGGTGACGGCATCAGTCGCAACCGTTGCGACGGGCCTCTTGGGTTCGTCTCTGCCCCAATGATCTGTGCGAGATCATCTCTAGAGGCGGTTTGTTTTTGTTAACGATTTATTTAAAGCATATGTCGCATACTTTGATTTCCAGCGACGAAGAAACGCCGAGTTCCGTCGTAACCTGAGAAGAAACGAGCGCAAGCAGGTCCGCGCCGAGAAGGAAGAAGCCGAGGCCTCCACACAGCGACTGCGCGGCACCATCAAGGCAAAGGTCGACGAGGCCAAGGAGGAGGGATTCCCTGTCGGCGTGGAGGAGCGCGAGGCCTTCTTCAATGAGCAGGTCATGACGGGCGAGATGCTGAGCCAAGATCGTATGAACGAACCCCTCCATGACACTGATTTTCTCTTGCAGCGCGATAACGAACAACACTGACACTTGCTCTTCTTTCAATTTAGCTTCCAAGATGCTTGACTCTGCGCTTGCTTTCTACAAGGGACTGAAGGTTTACCCTGCTCCCGGCGACCTTATCAAGATCTACGACAGCACCGTTCCCAAGGTAGATGCCCCTCCTTCTAAGCAATATGACATTCCCAATGCACCGATTTGATCTTGTGCTGACAACCAACTCCCCCACAGCCCATATTAGATATCTTGGCCGACATGATCGCATACGACGGTGACATCAGCATTCGCACTCGCCCCTCTTCCGCCGGCATCAACCTGGGCGATATCCCCAGCGTTGGCCTCGACTAAGCAAACTCAACTCAACAGAAAATCCAGCCGAGTGTTCCTCCCCCGCTCCACTCAGCTTATAACAAAACATCATGATGAGAGAAAACTCCATCGGTTTTTTCTCTGGCCAAAAGTAAACGAACCTTGATGGAAAGGGGGAACGCAAAAAAAAAAACATCTGACGAAAAGAAAAAAAATCATGATTCGAAGCGCCGGATCCCCTCCCTCTCTTTGTTACATATATCTCTCCTAGAACCGTTGAGGAAGGGGAAACGCAAACAATCGCTTTGGTGTACGATAAAAACTCCCGAAACTCTTTTTTCCCCATAGTTTCTTTTTTTTCTTCTTCTCTCGCTCCGGGGTTGAACCACTGGGAGTTGTGTGTAAACAATTGTGTAGTAAAATGATATAGCCATGGGAGGTTTTTGGGAAGGGCCGGTGCGGGTAGCGTTTCCATAATCCAATATGAAATTCTAATGGCTTACATTGGTCTACGTGGTATAATAATGTTTGTTTTTTTGTAAGAATCTGGCAAACGCACGTAACATTTCATTATTTTCTTGTTATACATGATAGTAATAATATCACTGAGCAATCTTCTTACTCGGGTGCTTCGCGTGTCACAATGGCCTCCATTTTGCGGCCCTTCCTATCCACCCTTTCATCCCGAGGATCGAATCCTCCATTCCCCCACAGAGCCCACTCAGGCGTCGGCGGTCCCATGTAGTCCTCGGGCGTCCAATCACCATCCGCTCCTCTCTCCTCAAGGAGCTCAAAGAACCTCTGGTAGTCAATGTGCGTATGCCACTTGCCATTGACATTGAACCGTTTGCTCGCTAGCAAGACGCAGCAGCTATGAGCGTGCTCGGCGGCGATGCCGTAGTCGAGGCCCTTTTCTTGAAGGCGCTTGTCCAGTGCCTTGACAAACTCGCAGACCTCCCAGTAGAACGGCACGTTGGACATGCTCAGGCCGGCATTGGAGGATGTCGACGTACCGCAGTACGTCACACCCTTGACTTCGACAAAGCATGGCAGTCCGCGCTCGATGAGTTGGGCGTAGCCTTCGGCTTCGTCTTCTACGTTGAAGCCCTTGACAAGTGTCAGGCGGTAGACTGTGCGGTGGCGGAAACGCTTTTCTCGAAGAATGTCCAAGCATCTCAAGAATCTCTCCCAGAAATCTCGGTGGAGAGGCCTGTCAATCTTACGCAGCGAGTCTTTGTTGGAGGCGTCGATGGACACATACAGCTGAGTCACGGCCTTGAGAGCCGCGAGCTGATCGGGATGTTGTGCATTGCAGACTAAGAAGGAAGAGATTCGCTCGTTGTGTAAGAGGGCGAGAAATTCGTTGATGTAGGGATAGAAGATGGGCTCTCCCACCAAGGAGAGAGCACAGTGTCGGATCCTAAGAGCCTCGGCATATCGCTCCGCTCTAACACCAGGAACACCGCGCATCATTTTGATTTTCTTGTAATGGTTCTCTTTAACACCGTCAAAGATCATGTCCGGGGGATCAACCACCCATCGCCATGTTGTACCGACAGGGTTCGTTCCGTGACGCCAGCAGAAGACACATTTGTTAGAGCATGAGAGCGAAGGAGTGGTTTCCATGCACTGATGAGAGTTGATGCCGTAGAGGGAATACTTGTAACAGCTGCCTCGTCCGCGTAGAGCAGATTTGGTCCAGCGGCAGATCTTGACGCCAGAGTGAGAGCCGACAATGGAGTATCCTTGCTTGGTAAGAGCGGTGTAAGTTGGTGAGTTCTTGGCTACCATCTCTTTGATGATGGGCGCCTGGGCCTTCTTCTTGCCGGCGGAGGGATATGTAGTGAAATCAACAGCTAGGGGTGCTTTTCGGATAGTCCCGTTTCCATCCTTGTTGGGACGGATCATCTTTCCCAGGTCCTCCACATCGTCCAGTGGTCTAGAGTCATCAGATGATTTGCCGTCGCCCGACTCCTCGTCATCAAATACGACTTCACCGTCATCGGCTTCGGCGTCCTCTTCGTCGCTCTCTACAGCATCACCGCTACCAGGCACGCCTTCGCCGAGGAATCCAGTCTGTACAGCCTGAAAAATGACATCTTGTACTCCAGTAGTCCACTCCGTGAATCTTTCCGTGTGGTCGCTCTTCATATCGCCCATTCCGACGGGGTAGGCCCGCTTCCGGCCGGTCAGCTTGGACATCCATTTGTCCAGCTCCTTGGCCTGGAAACAGAATCCCTCGTCTTCATTGGGCCATCCTTCCTTGTCTCCAAAGCCAAATACCGAGTAGCCAATCAACGGAGACAGAGGGGCAGTATCGATCCTAAAGTCATGGTGGGTTTCCTGAAGATGCTGCAGAAAAGTATCGTTGATGGAATCGATGTTGTAGCTCGGGAGGATGAAGAGGTACACGTAGGCGGCGTTTTCAGTAGACTTGGGAGGACTGACGAAATAGTCTTCGAAATCAATTTCTGTCAAGTCGAGCAGCTCGGGCTTCAAGAATTTGCCCTGCGTCTCTCCAGCTCTCTGATCCACGAATGTCTCGAGTGTCTTGATATACTCGTGGGCAATCTTCTCTGTCTTGGTGGTGATAGAGGAGAAGAACACGAGTACTTTGGTAGGTCTATCCGTATAATCGACTGCTGTCGCCTTTTTCTCCTGCGAGGGCTTCCGTGTCACACCACCCTTTATACGTCTAGGTCCGGCAGACTTTTTCTCAGCCACAGCGACTGGTTGCGCTTCGTGAGCAGTCTTTTCGTTCGTCTCAGATTTTTCCTGGTTATAAATCTTGGGAAGCACAGCCAAGGGCTCCCGTTCTTCGGCCTTGTGAAGAAGTGTGCGCAGACCGATCAGGAGAACAAGAGCGCACAGAATTATCGACGTGCGATGGGCGTGCCACACTTCCACCAGGTCTATGCAATTTTGTCAGCATGCGACAACACAGAAGATCAGCACAATAGACTTACCAGAAACTGACGTCCCCAATTGGAGACGATTTCCCGCGTCCATCTTGATGGCAGCGTCACTTGCGCGTTGTCAAAGCGACTGCGCACAAGAATTTCATCCAGCACGCGATGCCTTGGAAATGGAAGGTTTGCTACTGGAAGCCAGTGCCCCGCGATGCAAAATTTTGGCGGGGCATCACGATAACGTGCTGACTCAATCTGGAGTGCACGATAACATGGAAACACACTGTACGGGCTTCATTCTCTTCATTCCAACTAACTGATATGGGCAAATATTCTTTTTTTTCTGATGAGGCTCAGTACACACAGGTATAATTATCTTTGTATCTAGCATGTACAAGATAATATCATGCTAATTGCACGTAGTATTTAGATACAAGTACATGTACTACGCCTACAAATATACAGCCACTTGTTCATGTACAGCAGCACGGCATCCAATTGCCAGGATCAGCAGATCTAAACAATATCTAATTATGTAATGTAGATGTTTCTAGCATATTGCTATATGCCTGTGAAATCTAAGAATACATACATAATCATGATAAATGATTAATTATCCTCGCATCGTTTACCGAGGTATATGAGGAATAACCGCTTCGGAGATATAAGAGGCGTGCTTCCAAAGGTTATCACCTAAGGCAACTTTTGCCGGCTAAGCGGCCTAGTACACGTTTCGCCCAACGAGATAGGACCTGTGGTTTTAGCTGCCAATTAGCACTCGCTAGATGAGCAATAAACGCCCAAACAGGCAAGCAATACATTCCCAGGCGAGCAAGCTGACGTCTATATTGGATGCACTATGAGAGGGCTGTCAGAAAAGTCTGGGCTCAGCTTACCAATCTGATTTCCGTAATGGGGACTACCTAGGAAGATGTAGCTCTCATCAGCCCATCATGAGGTATTCGGATTCTGTAGACTAATACCAGATGGTACATGATTGTGTAGGTTCGAGATATACCTAGGTACTACTAGTAGAACATTTCTTCCAATCTTCAAAAAGTATAAGAATACCCAGCAGCTGCATCCCAATTCTAAATCCTCACTCCTTCCTGTGACGTTGTAGCCATTATCTACTCCTTACTACTCGTTACAGTTAGTCCCCCTATCATGGCTCTTCGAAAACCTCTCGACGCCATATTGGTAGTCGGTGCTTCAGGCGCACTTGGCAAGGGCCTCTGCCAAGCATTGATCTCTAGGAAATCCGACTTTAAACGCATTGCTTTCTTCAATGACACATCCAGGCCTGAGACGGAAGATAAGCGAACACTCTTCGCCACTTTCCGCGATGGAGGGATGGAACAGGTTTCTGGCACATACACAGACGCTGCAGCATTCACTGGATTCGACTGTGTCTTGATGCCTTTGGGAAACCACGCCATCAAATACCAACCTACCATCATTGATACTGGGATCAAGGCTGGGGTTCGACACTTTTATACCAGCGAATGGGGCGCCGATCTGACTGCAGGATCAAACTGGACTCAGCGATACTACCGAGACAAGGTTCTCACCAGAGAGCATCTGGCGAAGCGCGGTCGTGATGCAGACACATTAGATCTCGGCTGGACATACATCAACCTTGGACGTCTGACCGAGTGGAGCATCATCAAGCATTTCGGAATTGACAATGCAAACCATACTGCCAGCATCTTTGGAACGCCTGAAGGAAGACAGTCGTTGCTTTCAACCGCAGACGCCATCGCATACACCATCGAAACTCTCCGACATCCATTCTCCGTTGCTGAAAATGGCCATCGACGCACCTACCGTTTCCACGGTGGCTCGCCTACCTGGAAGGAAATCTTCGACGACCTGGAGGCAATTACTGGCCACAAATATTCAGTTACCTACCTTGACGTTGAAACGGCTGTGGAGAAAGAGACTCGGGCAAAAGAACTCGGCGATGTCGACTTGGAATTGGAAGCCAGCCATCAGTTGATTCAGGGTAGAGGCGGAACTCTGTTGCCAGAACCATTTGACAATGATCTTTTCCCGAATATCCACCCAGAGCCGGTTCACTCTGTCTTTGAGAAAAGCTTCAAGGACGCAAGTCTGAGAAAGTTTCTGGGTCTTTCGTAGACAACCTAATTGAATATAATACATTATACAAATGCCTTACTGTAGTTGACGTTGTACGTTAGATTGTACTTGACAGTCGGATTTCGTCCATCTTCGAAGGAATCATCAAGGTTTTTATGCCAGAAAATTGGCTTCTGTATAGGTGGCTTCTTCATTGCGTTCTTAAGTAGGCGAGGAACTTTATCTTCGGCGTAGAGCCCTTATCGTGAACCTTATAACGATATCTAGATGACTTGGTCTTGTTTACCTTGATGGCCAATCTGGCTGAATCTAACTGTTTTTTTCTCTCTTTTTTTTTTGGCTATCTTTATCCACTGAACTAAGAGCTTGGTACAGCCCTCTATTGCATCACCCTTTGCGGATTTTTTGAACATGTATAACCAATTGTATTACAAATAAATCTATCTATGTCTATACATTAAATTCATCATTCATTTACAGCCATTGTGTATGTCGTAGGTTCTACCTATTCAATCATTTCCCCGCCATGATTGTGTGGACCATATAACTGTCGAATGCTTTGTCGTCGATGATACAAAGCACCAGTATCGCGTGCTATCGCTGCCCACCCCTTATCAAACACCGTTCCTTCTGGTCCAAAATCTTGCCATATGCATATAGTAACGCGCCCAGACGAAGTTTCAATGGAGAAATCCGTCTTACAGGAACCACAAGAGAAACGCATTGGAGCACCTCTTATTGCGAAGGCTGTATCAAGAGCTCGCTCGATTCCCGCAAGCGCGATTGCCCCCCAATGAAGGTTCTGTCTTACTTCTCTTTGAGAGTAATGGGGGCATATATCCAGATATCGTATAGACTTGCGTGACACCTTGATCTCGTAATCGAGGTATGTCCAGATGGACAAGAGTAAATATCTTCCATTAACCACCTTGGGATAAGCCGAAAACCTTACTTCGACGCCTCGGGTTATGGTCCAATACGCTTCTTGAAGCTGATGGTGGTATGGCTCAAGCAGTTTTAGAAGATACTTATTATACACTCTTTCTTTATTCTCCAGTCGCGTATACTTGAGCGTAAGTTGGACGTGTCTATGCTTTGGGACATAGGCAAAATATTTAGACTCGCCGTACCGCTCGGAGATGTCCAGTCCGTCCACACAGCTGAGGTGACGGGGGCTGCTTTTATATGGCGTATCTTCTCCGTGGATTCTATGGAGCTTGCAGCATTTAGCACAAACCCATCGATCCGGCTGAAGCCTGGAGGAGTGGGTGAGGTATAGAAGTCTATCCTCTGGCGTCGCGTTGGATAGTATATCACCTCTACCAGCTAGGAAGAACTGATGAATGATTGTGCGCAGGGGACGACAAGTCTGGTAGACGAGTAATAGCGTATAAGGCGGGAGGAAAGCTAGAATTTCGACAAGCATATCGACGGGCAACTGAAGGAGATGACAGGGAGGTTGGGAGGAAACCTTGCCCTTTTTGTAGCGGAAGAAAAAGTCGATGATGCTCATGATGACGGAAATCTTCTTTCTCAACAAGTTCTTGCTTTGGTATGTTTGAAGGAAATGGGAACAGTATTTGGCAGGGATATATGAGCTCTTTATATATTCATGGCTGGCTCGTCTCTTTGCTTGACGCGTAATCGAAATTAAGTTTACCATGTTTTTTTCTTCAAGCAGACAAAACCTTGGAAATTCGAGGCTGATAGTGGGACTTTCATTCGTATAACAGTTATCGTCTACTAGTAGTAGGTACAGGTACATAAACCTCAAGGTACATGTGAATACATGTGGCCGGTAGTACCTATTTCATTACTAAAAGCTCAGGCTACAACCTAATAATGCAATTGGTCTATATAAAAAGATGTTCAAGTACCTATTTGATACTGAAAATGTTCATTGTATCAAGAGTATCAGAAGTATCAGAAGCCTACCCACATGTAGCCATGCTTAGGTTTAACTTTAGAGATTCCCTATCGACCGAACCTTCTCAGCCAAGACCCTTATGAGCAGAGGTAGAAGGGCCGATGCTAGCAACCACCCGCTGTTCAAGGAGTTGGCAAGCAGCCCTTCTTGGCTCAAGTATGTGATGCTAAAGGCCATCTACGGCCAAGAGACCTTCAACCAGAAACTCCTGGTAAGGCTCGAGATTGATCTCAAACCAGTCTTTGATAGAGTACCTACTAAAAGAAATAGATAGGGAGGTAGAATTTTGGGCATAGGTAGTAGTTGGCCGCGCCCCTGGCAGCATACCTAGATATCCAAGCAAAGCTGTAATGAATGCCTTTTTACTTCTGCCTCCTGAGATGTCTTCCTCCTCTTAGAGCCAGACCCGTTTTATATACACACAGGATTCCATGGCTACGCTTTATTGCTCGTAGAAAGATCTGATCATCTCTGCCTTCTTTTCAGGACTTGTTCCCTCTCGCTTATCGCTTAATCCGATACACCATCCGTCCCATAGAAAACTTTCTTGCCCTTTTGCAAGAGCCAAACATTACACCGCACTCTTCTCACCCCAAGAAAGATGCGTGGGCCCTTGCAAGAGACATGCAATCTCGTAAATGTTGCCCTTGCCCTGCTGAAAGAAACAACCATTGTAGTAAATTTCGCTACCAGAAAAAGTACGCTGGCCCATGCAAAGGATTCACATCAGGGCATTCATTACCCTTATCCTATAGCCAAGGAAGAGGGATGCACAAAGATTTCCAACGTCAAAGGCAGGGCGAGAGATCATTCCCGATCAACATATCAAAATCTCAAATGCGGCTTGCCTGTTAGCCAAACAGAAAAATTGCGCCTAATTGCTCGCCTCCACTTCCAAGGCATGAGCATGCGAAAATCATGCACCGAAGCCTTCCGTATCCTTATGCACTTGCAAAAGAATGATTGCACCAAAGTACTTCAATACATGTGCACACGGAGCGCAAAAACACATGGCAATCTCGTACATCTCCGCAAACAGATGCTGTCCTTGTCCGTTTGCTATACGTCGTCAACTTAGGTTTGAGATACTTGAGGCCACGTAGACAAAGCGTAGACAGAGCAGTGGTCTTATCTTGTAGTTGTTCCCTGAGAGTTCTGTCGAAGCACTTTGCTGACTTGTCAGAGTCGGCGATACCCTCAGCGGAGTGCAAATTCAGGCTGCGCTGCTGTGTCCAAGCTCTTGCCCGCCAACATTCAGTATCGGAGCCATCGTGAGAGTCAATAAATTAAGTAGTTGTACATGCCAAATACAAACACCTCATGCACGTATAGGGAATACTGTAAGGAGAAAAAAAAGAGAGCCGGCTGCTCACTCTCGTGATCAGAAATGGCTTAAGTATAAACACCGACGCGTTTGAAGAGGCTCAAACCCCTTGAGAGTCAGAAGTTATAACGCCCAGGACACGGTACATTTATAAAGCATTTAGCTGCCAACAGGAAGTATCACCCAATCAATCATGTATTGTATCTAAGTCTTTAAAGGAATCCCAAAACCGGACCCTTCTAGATCTTCTAGCTCCTCAAAAGAGCCTAGCCCCGGTATATTGTAAAGTGATTACTCCCGTAACCAAGGTTCCAATAAGGTTGTCTACGGTTGGAGGATTATTGCCAGGGCTAGAAAGAAAGATGTGACTGAGCATAAGTAGCATAAGGCATCAGGATTTGAACCATGAGCGAGCTTGAGCAGGGTTGATAAAAGTTGATCCAGGCATAAGCAACCTCGAAGTAAGCCTCGCTGGAGCATAAGCAGGGGCAGGATGAGACTGAGTAGAAGTGAGTCGAGGGAAAGCCGAGTAAGATTTTGCTCATGTAATATTCCAAGAATTATAAACATGAAACAGAGCACTAGTAATTTTTTTAATTTAAATAAAATATTAACGGATAAGATAACTTTTATATAATTTCTTTTCTTTTACAATAGCTATTAGACAGTAAATACTGGTAACTTTTTAGCTACACTTGTAACAATTGCTACTACTTGGTATATAAGGCTCGTTAGGTTACATAGCAATCTTATGTCAGATGCGGCATATGCACAACAGCGGGGCTCTAGTCCTTCCAAGCATGTCAGATACGGTAAATCCACTGATGTTGCACCAAGGGACGTGTTATCAAGACTCCACGCTGGACTAACTGCCCTCCATAAAAACGGGCCCTGTGGCGTTACTACATCTCAACGCCGACTCCGGCCGGTCCATATAAAAATGGCTTTTCTCTATTCTGACTCACGGACTAGTCTATAACATCAGATCGATCTGGCAACCAACGTTTTCCTATAGCATACGTCTTCGACAATCCATCAGTATTGCCCAAGATGTCGACCTTTGGCCAATTCCTGCGGGTAACGACCTACGGCGAGAGGTGAATATCTGTCTCTTTCATGCTAGGATAGCGCTGGCTGCTAACTTCCGTAGTCATTGTCCTAGCGTTGGATGTATCGTCGACAATTTTCCTCCTGGAATTCCAGTCTCCGAAGAGATTCTCCAGCCCCAGGTTAGCATCTAGAAGAATCATCAAACATTGTGCAACTTTGTAACCCAGTCAGATCTCTCGCCGTCGCCCCGGCCAAAGCTCTCTTACGACACCTCGCAATGAGGCCGACCTTGTGTCAATCCAGTCCGGAGTGGAAGGAGGAATCTCACTCGGGACCCCGATAGCCATGGTCGTCAAGAACCAGGATTTCCGCCCCTCAGACTACAAGGGCGATACCATGAAGCAGTACCCTCGCCCCAGCCATGCCGATTTCACCTACCTCGAGAAGTACGGCGTCCGAGCATCGTCAGGCGGCGGCCGTTCGAGCGCGCGAGAAACAATTGGTCGTGTGGCGGCGGGCGCTCTTTGCGAGCACTACCTCAAACTCGCTCATGGGATTGAGATTGTTGCTTGGGTGTCATCTGTCGGCAATATTCATCACATCCCGCCAACAGCAGAGTACCCCACCACTTCTCACAACCCCAAGTTCCTCCAACTGATTCAAGGGGTTACACGGGAAACTGTTGATAAGTCACCAGTCCGGTGTCCAGACCCGGAAGTGGCAGCCAAAATGGAGCAATGCATTGCCGACTTTCGGGACCGCCAGGACAGTATTGGCGGCACAGTTTCGTGTGTCATTCGAAACGTGCCAACTGGACTTGGTGAACCGGTGTTTTCCAAGTTGGAGGCAACACTTGCTCACGGAATGCTGAGCATTCCGGCAACAAAGGGATTCGAGATCGGCTCTGGATTTGAAGGAACAGAAATCCCCGGATCTGCCCACAACGACATGTTCATTAGCAACCCTGATAGCACTGCTTTAGGTTCCAACAACGGATTTGCGAAGCCAAAGCTTACAACCTCGACGAACAACAGCGGAGGTATCCAGGGAGGAATCACAAACGGCGCACCCATCTTTTTCCGTGTCGCTTTCAAATCACCTGCGACGATTGGATTGCCTCAAGAAACAGTCACATTTGCGGGAGAAAGCGATGGGCTTTTAGAAGCCAAGGGCCGTCACGATCCCTGCGTTGTTCCACGTAAGTCACTATCCAAATGATCATCCTGATTCCTGCTAACCATATCCAGGCGCGGTTCCAATCGTAGAGGCCATGGCTTCAATTTGCATCATGGACGCTCTTTTGCTGCAGGGAGGTAGAAGGATGGCGGCGCTCGCGCAGTGAAGGGATAAAAATGCACTCTTGGTAGATGGAAACAGCCAAATAGGTGGCCTTGGTACCAGTGATGCGTGATGAGCTAGGAAAAAAAAGTCATGCCCTCAATCAATTGAATTAGCTGCTCTGTCATGCGAGCAATTCCAACGAGTAATTGTGCCTTAATTTGGATAGCAATTGATTATTTTGTCACTGATCGGAAAGATACTCACCGAATCCCGGCTCCCGCGCTAGGCCAGGCTGTCTTCCAACAAGTTGTTGATGACAAACGCCTATAGGCCTGATGTATGTATTAAGTTCAAAGTTTGCTGCGCTTGAAAAGAATATCCTTATGATTAAAGCATAGCTATACATGATCTGCTCCCTAGCTGCCACCAGTGGCCTTACAACTACTAAATTATATTGCCATATGAAGCCATCTAGTATTACTGAGGGATTGAAGTAGGTTTCCTTCAAGATTATTACAGCTATGCCTTTTGCAGGCATTTACGCGGTCCCTGCTAGTTTTTTTTCCCGCTAGTGGAGGTAAGTGACATCAACAACAATGTGCTACAAATCTTTGCAAAATGGGCATAGTGTCTTTTGAATTCGGGCTGATCAGGAATCTTACGGCAGATCAGCTTCGATGAATCGGGGCATTAGTGCAGAAGTGCCTGTCCGCCGCACATTGCCCCTGACTGCGCTTATTAATAACGAATCTAGGTACATGTTGGGTATTGATTTCAACATGTTGTTTTATATGTCAGACATATAGACTAACAAGTATCAAAGTACCAGAAGTAAGCAGTAACTTACGTGTATTTACTCTATGCTATAGCTGGAGTACTGGAAAGTAGAACTGGGGTGCTGGATACATGTAGGCAGGTACGTGTATCTTTGAACTCGTATAAACGCGACTTTACATACTGTTGGCATTCTTGAGTGTGTGTCCATAGCAGCGAAGAGAGACAAAATGCATCAAAATTCAGCGACAGTAACCGAAAGCTTGCCAACATCAACAAACCTAAAAAGACTTTACAACCGATTCTAGATGCTCAGGTCCTCGCTGACCCGGATAGCCAGGCTCTGTGGCATATTCTTCTCAACAAGCTCCATAACAGTGGCAGCTTCAGTCTTCATGGCAGCTACAAACGTTTGATCCATCATCATTCCCACTTTGTCAAGCATTTCGGTCTACCCAAAGATATTCTCAATCCACTCCTCCAAACTGTCCTTGCTCTCGTCTTGCTTGTCAGCAATTGTCTTGAGGATGGTCTGGGACGCACTAGTTGCTCAGTTGTTGAGGGCGTCACGCTTTGCTGCCACCTCGCTGAATTCCTTCAAGACCTAACTCAAGTCCCAGGCCAAGTCCATGCCCTTGGAGACGTGGCTTACGTGCATCTGGCGATAAATTTGAGCAATTGTCTGGAGCAGCTCGAAGTATGTATGCCTTGATCTGCAGAGTACTGCTGTATGATCTCGATATCCATGTCCGTCAGGCAAAGGATCTTCTTCTTGACGTCAACGGCGACGCTCGAGACGTCTTCGTCAAACTTCTTAGCCTACTTTTGCATGACTAGGCGAACCATAGTAGACAGAGCGCCAAAGAAGCTCTTGAGCTTGCTGGTTTGCACTTTAGGCTGCTCGAGGGAGGAGATGCAGTCAGCAAGGATATCCTTGACCTTTTCGAGAGTCTGGCCCTCAACTTCGAGGCCTTGAGCTTGGTCTCGATGGCCGTGAGCTCTTGCCGTACTTGAGTGCGCTATCGGCAGCCTTTCGATAGTTTTCCTGCGCGGCACTGAGAGCTCGCTGGTCAATGGCCAGCTTCTTCCGTGGCAGTGTTTAGGGCAGCGTTTCGCGCCGAGTAGTCCGTCTTGGGTACATCAATCTTGAGATTTCGCATCTGATGAGTGCTGGAAGACGAGCCAGGCAAGGCCTTGGCCGTCGTCTCTAACTTTAGAGCAATAGTTTTGGCGTTCTTGATATCCTCCTGCCAAGTCTTGATGGTCGCTGCATCAGTGCCGCCTGCGGCCATGTCTGAAGACTTGAGCACCTGGGTCTTAATAGCCTCAGTGGTCTTAATTATCAATGCAAAGGCACTCTTTAGTCCTTGGCTGGGCTCACCAGTGCCGAGCTGCACCGATTTCTCCTGTTGCTAGACGTTGGTGAGCAGCCAAGTGAGGCCGTGAGCCTCCCGGACTTTGCCATCCTCGCTCTTCTTACTGTCCTTGAACTCTGCCCAGTAAATACCGTCGTTGGGGCCATGGGCCAAATAAGAGTACATGTCGTTAAGAAAAGGGGCCAGCAGTCGTCCCGCGGCGCAAACAGGATCAGTCGGGGGCGTTGCGTCTGTTTGAGCGAGAGCAGAGCCGCCGTTAATGAGGGCAGGGAAAGTCTGGGCCACAATTGAAGGTCCAGCCTGAGAAATAGCATTGATTGCTCCCATGGCGCCAGTTTCCCGTGCTGTCAACAACCAGACGTCAGTGTCACTCTCGCATTGTAATGTCTGTCTTGATCTTTTGAAACGTCACTCACCGGTGGGAATATCATCGTTAGCCCTCCGAAACGCCGCCTCAGCCTTGTTCAAAGATTTCAACATTACGTCGGCGGCATTTTCCGCATACTCAACCTCCTTGGCCGTGAAGGAGGATTCGGCCTCGGTTTGCAGCTTGAGCGAGACATTAGCCTCGACCTCGGCCTCTGTGGTGCAATGCTTCTGAACCGACGCGGTGTGAAACTGTCACGCAGAGGAGCCAAGCATCAAACGCCTTTTCAGTTCCATCAGCGTAGTTGAGGCAGCTGTCAGAGAGGCGACAAAGCCGAGTGAGCGTGTTTTCGAGAATGCGCGCAAAACTCGGATCGGGGAATTGCATTGCGCAGACAACTTCTGTGACCTTTTTTCCCTTGTTAGATACAGCTATATTTAGTGACTCAATTATTTTGTTCTATGACCATGAATGTTAACTGTGAGGATATGTCTGCGATTTATGCTCCGCGTAATACACGCAGCGGTTTAGCAGACCCAGCAGTCAGCTATCGTATTATTCACATGTACACATACTCGCAACTGGGTACATAACATGGATATCAGCTTGGAAGGCTATCTACTCTTAACATTAATGTTATTACATGATTGCGTTTGCCTGATCTGATTGATTCGCTAACATAAACCACGAGTCTGGGTTCATCTCTTGGGAAGTACTTGCTTATGACACTGATAGAAACCCAGTTTATTACACTTATGTATGGCATCATGAAACAGTGTATGTTAATTGGCGTTGGATGACTCAACCTATTATATAATCTTAGAAATTGTATAGTAATGACACTAGAGTAGCCTTTGATGCTGTGAATCATCTAGGTCGTGATGATCATCTTGTCCCAGTTCCATCCCTGATGCGAAGGAACCATGCAACTATAGCCACCTGACGATCCTCCTAGTGGTGTTACAGGGTCGCCCCAACATGAAGATCCTGCATAGCATGCATAAATATGATAGATGTCGTTCCAAAGCCAGTCGACTACAGCACTCCCAAAGTACCCCTGGAGGTCGACGTAACCCCCATTAACTTGCGACTGGTCTATATTAAGTTGCAACACATTGCCTTGGCAGTTGACATATTGAAAGAAGCGAACAACCGCAATAGTGTCGCGCTTCGTCAGACTCGAGGTGCTATTGGTTGCCTCTTGAACGATAAGGTCGGTGCCAGTAATAGTCTCGGTGGGTTGGCTTTCAACGGGTTTGCCATTCGAGAAGGAGCAGAAAAGACTCAGAGTACCCGCCAGGGCGGTAGAAAACCTCATTGTAACAATGGAGTAATTGAGTTGCAATTGTTGTACTTTTGATTGAAGAGCAAGTGAGTGTTAATGAGACTATTCTAGAGGGGGCTTGTAGTAGTATTTATGTTCTTTCAATCTTGGCCATTATATTACACCGCCATTGATATAACTTCATACTTGGCTCTTTAATTGGTGGCTTTCGAACATTTAGTTGCTGATATTGTTTTATTTCTAGTGCTTACTCGTATGTTTGTCTAGGGTATCTATTCAGTGAAGCATATATCAAGTGGTCATCCCAAAATTACATGTTACAAACAACTGAGAAAGTGCATGTAGCTTACAACATGAAGAGCCAAGGTACTTTATTAGTTACCTTGCTATTTTTATATTCGGGCATCCTCCGATCATTTGTTTAGGTCACATTGCTTCTAGATGTCGTTGGGCATCAAGGTAGCCTCTGTTTAACAACTTTGATATAAATATTTCGCTGTCGTATCATAGCAACCATAACTGGAACTTGCATTACCGTTCATCTTAATATACCTATATCCTCCAAATTGACTTCAAGATTGTAGAGGAGCTTTGTAGCTGGTCAGTGCTTGTTCATGCTTTCTGCAACTGAAGTACAACTAGAAACTTCTCGTAAAGCACCCCAGACACATTGACTAGCACGATGCTGTAACTCTTTGCGTAGCCTAGGTGCGGTTGTATATGGAGACTTGTTATAAACAAGGTCCCACACACATTGCCATTCCAGGCACATGATGATGGTGGGATAAGCCCAAGCTGTAGGCTAGCTTTGTTTTAGTGAGCCAAGAGTGTGTTATAGCTCTCATACTTGGCCCCAGTCTCGAACTACTGCTGCTACTACTAGTATACGACGTTAGAGGGCATTTTCTGCTAAAAATAACATGCCGGATTGTTTCAAACTTGGTTTATACAGACATACAATTTACTAGTGGATGAAGACGTCGCTGCGCCAGCAATTTTAGGTTTAAACAAATAGAACTAACATACATAACTAATCGAGATTCAGCACAGAGAAAGCCAGAAGCTTGTATTCCGTATAATATATCTAATTCTTGATATTTGCTATATAAGTAAAAATATCAAGTGTGTGATGATCATGCTGTAGAGGCAATCGGGCAGGCGTAACCCCACCCTCTAAGTAAATGTCTCCTGGACCTCCGAGTGGTCAGCAAAAAGCACTGCAGCATACACACAGCTACACTAAGGCAATACGAACAATGATATAGAAGAGCTTGTTGCCACTTTAATCTATGCTTAATTTTATCTCATATGTCGCTTATTTTCCTAGCCTCGGGCTTTTGTAAGCAACCGGAGACCAGCGACCGGAGACTCGCAATCGGAGACCGGACGACAGGCTTGGCAAAAGGTTTGTGGGAAACGTGGGAGAAAATAAGTGTGAGAGACTAGACCAAGGTGGATGAGAAGGATGAGAAAGAGGTCAAAGAAATACTTCCAAGCTCCTGGGTCCAAGACGAGTTCGAAAGAGGAATTTGCTACAGTACCAGCACAACGAGTTTTGCGTTCTAAGCGCCAAGGCGTGCAATTGTGTCGACCTTCTGAAGGCTGTTCCTAGTCAGCTTCACGCGGCTAGGGCGTTGGCAGCATTTGGCGTTGTTCCGGGTGAGGAATCCAGACTAAAAGATGTGGAAAGATGCAGAACTAACTTCACCAGCGAATATAGACTGAGAATGAGAAGAAAGAAACGGCAGTCAGGCGGCTGATGGCGGCGGAGGACTGCGTAGTGACTGGGAAGAAGGATTTCTCCGAGTCCAGCGCATTAGCCGTGTTAACTATGTGCGTAATATAGTATTGATGGCTTATAGAGAGACAACATTAATTACTTGCAGAAATACAACATGTTCAAATAATCTGTTAGGAAGAAACAATGTTTCAACTGGAAAGCTGGATTCACAGGTACTCGGATCTAACAAATACTAAGCTCAATCCTAAGCCTTCGCTCAGCAGACTTCCAACAGTTGGAATAAAGCTTGCCGCAGAGACTACATACCCACCCACTAGGTGGCCTTGCGGATAAGATTTACCCGAGTAAATGTATTAGGGGGGCACTCTATGCGCTGCGTTGTGTCCTACTTATCGACCAATCATGCTCGCGTAACTTATAGGAGGAAATAGGCAATTGGCGTCGGTAAGGGTAGAAGCATAACTCAGGGCGCTCACGGAACTTTGTTTCACATGTCGACGGTTTATCAAATTGCGCGAGACTCGATACCAAAAGACAAGGAATTGAAATGGGAAGACGATGCTTCTTCTTATTTCTCAGCATCTCATCTGAAGCTTTGTCCGAATTGCAAGATGACATGTCTTCGATACTACCTTTTTTCCCTTCAAAAGATTCATCATTAATCGCTGATGTTTGCCTTTAACGTTATCATATATGTTCATTGGTTGCTTAGTCAATTGGTACTGAATAAGATGGGAAGTCTCTAGCATACGCGCTTCTCCAGCTTCAGTTCCTTCAGTCCTTTGTTAGACCCAATCAGGCGCAGAGAATCTGAAGTTGGCAAACCAAGGTCGTCCGATTGAGCCTAACCGACCTCAGCCAATACATAAACGGTGAATATAGCTTGGAAGCCTTGCCGCATGCAATCTCCTACGTCAACGAGGTAAGTTTGATCGCTAAGATGGACTAAGCTTTGAGAGTCAGATGCTAACAACTGTAGGGCAATCTATTCCAACCTAACTGGCAGACTGCTTTCTGGGGGCCTCATTGCGAAAAGCTGGTTACAATCTGCGAGAAGTGGGATCATAACAGGATCTTTTATTCTATTGCCACTCCCGGTGCTGAAGATTGGGAGCAAATTGAGAGGTTTACAAGACTGTGCAAGAAACTTCGATGCGCCTGGGGAGTAGCCGCTTTGACCCAGGAGGTTGTTGCTATACTCATGTAATTAATTGTTTACAAAACTTGAATGCGTCAAATGACGCGGCAATCAAGTAAATATAATAACTTTTAAATTTCCCCATAACGAAATCGCGAATAGTGATACGAGGAGACGCTGCTACCTCCCCATTGTGGTCGCATCTATGTATAGACTTGATAGTGTTGATGAGACTGGAGAACCCTGCTAGATGGAGTCGCCTACGCGCAATCAATCAAGCTGCCGAGGGGTCATAATAGACACTAATATGTTCACATCGACCTCGAACAGCCTTGAAAAGCATTCTTCTATGACGTTTCTTGCGTCGCCTGCATCTGGCCTACCTCAAGCAGACAAAGCGTCGCAAACATAAAGAAGGGCTTTATACATTAGGTCAGTTGTCTACTAACAACCAGAACTCTCGCACAAATTGACAGCATTCTTGCGGCGCCTGGTGCTTGTTCCTTCATACAGCAATCTCCAGTCATTTCAGTAGAACAGGGCATTGATGCAAGCGATGATAGGGCTCGTTGTGCGAGAGTCGAGTCCTCCCAATTCACAGTCAAGCGTCTACAGTGGACTCAAGATTCGCCCATTCTCTCAACTCCACCTCACGACGATGATGGGCATAATCCAGCCCATGCTGGTAGCGGTTGTTACGGTGTTGGCAGTGGAGATAATAAAAAGCACGATGGCGACGAGAAACCACTACGCAAACGCCTCAAAGTTGTGACGGCAATGGATGCGACAACACTCCACGGTTCCCAGCTTCTACCAAGTTAACAAAGTAAACGGGCAAGACTATGTCATTGAGTGAAACATGACTTCATGATTAGTGCAAGATTCATCAAGCGTTGAGGATGCCGGAGCAACTGGCAATAATATGCGAAGAAAAAGCCTTTCTACGCCGCCCTAAGGCTCATATCCGTGGATATCGTTGAGACTTTCCCGATGGAGTGGGAATTCACCTAGAATTGAGTAATACAGAACCAAGAAAGCACCTTTACCCATACTTTAGATGAATAAGGGCGCCATGGAGGTATATTATACCATTCTGCAAAGCTACGTGTCAGGAAGCGTGAAGAAAGTGTAGCCATGAGCATTACTGGCTGCTTCTCGATAATGTCTGGTGTTGGGCTTATACGAGCATAGGCTTGATTTGCCGACGGAAACCCACTACGCTTACGCATCTGGTTAAAACGTTGTAGATGTCCTCAACCAACAACACTTATAATAGCCCATGAAGCACTCCCCGCTCACTATGATTGCGATAATTTAAAAGAGCTCCACTCAAATACAGACAAATCTGCCTCGGTTGGCAGATTCGTATCTCCCAGCTTACCCCTCCTTGAAATCGCTGTGAAGCAGACTCTGCAGTCATGCGAGGAAGAGATACTGCCGATTCAAATTCAATACTGCTTCCGTATTCTACAGTATTACACTAGCCTAAACGGAAGACGGTACGAAGAGCACATGCGACTCCAGTTTTCATGGTCCACCTTGTATCTCTAGTGACGGTGGATGTCACTGAGAAGGAGCTTATTCAGCAATGCGAGAAACAAGTAATATTTGCTCTTGACCCTTGAGAAGCATACGCTGATAATAATAAATATATAGGTAGAGAAGAAGTGCGCAATGCCTGACTGGAAGTATTATCAGCATGGCGAAGAAGTCAGACCACCAGACGATACAGCGGCAATTCTTATTGAAGTCTCTGTAGCATCGGCCCAAGTGAGGCTGTTTCACTTTGGGACAGCGGTTACCTTTGTAAAAACAATCGCACCACTTCAATTCAACCTACATACTGTTATTGTGCCGTGGGAGCAGGAATTAGGATTTGTTTGCTATGGAGTGAATGATGATAAACAGAGTGTAAAGAGATGTAAAATAGGAATAGTCAAGGTCGCCTAGGGTAAAGCACCTCTACTTTCAAGCTTGCAAATATGATAGGCCGCTTCTGGTTTGATCGGAATTACCAAGAATGGGTGGGTGGTTGAATCCGCTGGCAATGTGAGATGGATAGGTCCGCTGATGGTATCCCCCGTGAGAGCGTAGATGGCGTGTCCAGACACGGCAAGACTTTCTGCATGTTCCAATGCGAAGGCAGTTGATTTGTTGAATGAACGGGCCTTGACTGTAGGGGCCTCAGCTGTAGGGGCCTCAGCTAGAGGGGTCTCGGCTGTTTAAGTGTCAGCGAGGATATATATATACAGAATCTGGGGATATTACCATTTTGGTCATTTGACAAGACTGGCGCTTCCTCGCTGCATCTGCGGGGCGTGGAAATGTGGTGATCCAAGTCTCGGCTCACACTGGAGGTTGGCGTGTTGCCTCGAGACGTGACAACCTCAATCACTTCCAGCGGAGTACTATGGCGATGAAGCACACGATGCGACAACCACTCGAGATCTGAATCACTGTCTGCGCCCAATGACGAGTTTTGTTCTCTCTGCTCTTTGAGTCCTACCCCATCGGATGTTGTGTCAGTATGCAGCAGGCATGCATGCGTTCTGTAAAGCACATACTTTCTTCTATAAATGTTTGATGCTTTGTGTAAAGCTGATGAATGAAATCGTGAAAAGACGGTGGAAGTTTATTGGGGTTTTCTTTCATCCATATTCGAACAGCCTCACAAAACCTCTTCTTGTTTTTTATTATGCCTAGCTTTGATACGGACATGGAGAGCGTGCATAAAAAGAAGGCATCGAGTCCAAGATCCAAGATCCTAAGCAAGTAGGCCTTTGTTAGTCTGCGTCTCTTGCGGGTTTCCTCGCTCAGCGGCCGGCTAGGAGCATCCCATAACGCGACAACCCTTTGAAATGACGCTGAAAATGCTGCCAGGAATGGTGCTGGTATATCCTTTCTGGCAAACACTTTAAGCATGGATTGCATCTTTTCAAATTTGTCAAAATACGGCGCAATGAATTCGTAAGACATTTTAGATGGCTCGCTGGTCGCTGAATCCCGAAATGGGTTTGGATGGAGGCAGAGGATATGCGGGCGCAAGAACAGGTGGAGTAGAGAGCTGAGGTGGGGGATAAACGTGAGATTGCAGTATTCTGAGATTGGAAGACTTGGTTTTATATTCTGGGCAAAGAGGAAGGCGGTGAAGCCACTCTAAGCGCCTGCGGTAATTACCTATTTATGAATATATGACAGGTAACAATACAACGTTATACGTTGAAAGCTAAATGTCAAGAGTTGAGAGTTGAGCAAACAGTTTCGAGATTTTATAAAAAAAACTTTTATTCTATGCAGGAAATTACATGACTGTCTATCAAATTGCTTTTAATGCTGCGTCTCAAAACTACCTACGCCTTAGTCGTTGCTTCAAACTCAGGACTGAATGGGTAATCCAGATAACCCTTGGGATTCTTCACGGCGTAAAAGGTGCTGCGGTCATACGGATTCAGCTGCAAGCTATGCTTAATCCTAAAGACCAGATCCGGGTTTGCGACAAAGGATCGGCCAAACATGACCATGATGTCCTTGTCGGGATACATCTCATCAATCGTCTTGTGCACGTTATTCGGCTTATATCCACCCGCCAGAAGGATTGGCCCATCCCACAAGTTGATTGCAAAGTCCAAGCTCTCGACAATCGGGTGCTCCAGATCGTCAGAGTTGGCAACTCGAGGTTCAATCAGATGGATATAAGCAAGGCCCAGCTCCTTGGCCTTGCTGATGACATGTGAAAACTGAGGAATAGGGTCTTCCATTCGCATGCCCTGGAAAGTGCTCCAGGGGCTGAAGCGCATTCCGACGCGCTGAGGTCCAATGGCATCGCCGACGGCTTTCATGACTTCATATGCAAAGCGGGATCGGTTCTCGATGCTGCCTCCATACTCGTCTGTGCGGGTGTTGCTCACGTCTTGGATGAAGCTGTCCAGGAGGTAGCCGTTTGCGGCGTGGAGCTCAACACCGTCAAAGCCTGCGCGAATGGCATTCTTTGCAGCAGTTTGGAAGTCCTTAACAATTTGTTTGATCTCGGCGACAGTTAATTCTCTTGGCACGGGCGCATCTGGTCCATGAGGAATGGCGCTGGAGGACACAATCTCAATTCCTTCCTTTGCAGCGATTTCCGGAACTGCGGCGCGGCCGACATGGAACATTTGGGCAATGATGAAGGAGCCGTTTCGGTGAACTTCGTCGGTAACGGTTTTCCAAGCTTCGACTTGATCCTCCCGCCAGAGGCCTGGTGCATTGGGGTAACCACCGGCGCCGGGAGAGATGATGTTGGCCTCGGTGACGATGAGGGTGCCTGGGATTTGAGATCGTTGGCTGTAGTACTCCTTCATCATGGGAGTTGCGGCATGGTCGTCTGTGCCTCGGAAGCGAGAGAGTCCAGGCATACCGATGCGGTGCTTGACTTCAACACCGGCAATTTTGAGAGGTTTCCAGAGTCGCGATTCGGCCATTGTAGAAGATTGTTGAATTCCAAGTAAATTAAAGAGTAAGAGTAAATTGGTATAAGTCAAAGATGAGTAGATTGCTTTGCAAACTAGTTTATATGTCGAATAATGCTTTGCTGATGGATACCAGATCTTCTTTCAACAAAACGAGCACCATGAACGGTTTATATATATATACTTGATTCGGTATTACAATAGCAAATTTGAAACATTTTCACTCTTTTCAATTGAGTTTGTTCCAACACTTAGCTCAACTACACTTCTTCCTGCAATAAATGCTTTGCTAAGCTGCTGCAATGGCCATGGCCGTGCAACTACTCTTTTGGGACGAAAAGCCACTTCCCAAAGCAGCTAGCAATCATCTAGCGTTTTACTACCAGCCTTGAATAATTGGGTGTTGAGCGGACGATCTCGGCCGAAGCGCCTATTTATCATTCGCTGAATAATGACGTACACCTCCAAGGGATTTTACAGAGGAAAAAAAAATTGGGCGCCGTTGTCAAAGGGGCTGATTAATAGCGGTGTGTGGCTTGCTTCGTGTTTTCAAAAGTCTCCGAGTCTTGTTGTTTCTGGCAACTGCTGAGGGTCGAATGGCCTAGAAATTTGCATCTTTGTCCGTTCTAGGCAGAATTATGAAATAAGAAGCTTGGAAGGTATTACCAAATATAGCGCGTATAGACGCGAAACAAACTTTATACAGGCAGCAAGCAATGGGACGATGGAGCAATCACCAAATAGGCTGTAGGAACACCAAGTAACCACTTACTGATGGCCTCACTTGATACATTTACAATGATTCTCTCATTGGAAAAAGGCCTGGATGTATGATAGTTTATGCAAGTGCAAGCAGCGTCTATTCATTAACATCAAGCCATCTCTGGCTGAATCTCTTCCCAAAATTTATCAAGCTGCATACGATACGCCTTCTCCGACCAAATAAAATCATGCAAAATTTCCATCAAATCCTCCAAAGAGTGATACATTCCTTTAAACCTGGACTCATGATTAGTTTTTAAAAGAGCCTTGTATTCTGAATGTATGGCTCCTCTGGGAGAGAAGCATCCCCCCATGTACAGCATCCAGATGAATAGATCTAGGTTTTCATCCCAAAATGGATCCTCATTAGATTCTTGAAGTGTCTTTAGTAGTCGTTGAGAAATATGAGACTATTCGTTTAGAATCAGCATTTAAAAGTTGCAAAAACTTGACAAGCGTCTTGTCTTGTCACTTACAGGCATCACGGAATGGCGCCACACTTTGCAGCAAAGCATACAAGCACTCAGATATGCTGCAAGATAGCAAGCTTCCATCGTCGTAGACAGCTTCGGTAAGTCTACCAGCCTAGACCCAATCGATGCCTGCTGATTATCAACGCGGAGCATTTCCACTGGATTCTGACACGAGTAGCGTGGCAGATCCTGAACGCACTGCAGCGCGTGGATATCTTTGAGAACTTCTAGAAAATTCTCGTCAAACAAATGAGATTTTCTCTGAAACCCTGGCGCCAGGGCAAAGTAAGCAGAAGCAAAAGGATCCCGCTTCCACTGAAGCTCGGCAAAGGTGGTGTGGTCCACTATGCGGTCAGAACCAGTCATGACGGATGAATTCAGATCTTGCCTATTCAAACGAAATTGCCGTCAGTTATACTTGGATTAAGATTCTCGCCCCGTAAGAGCCATGACGTACCAGAAGATGGCACGTTTGATCCCATCTGTCAGATAAATGGTTTTTGTCTGGCCCAGCTCAAGAAGCTGCTGGATGGCTCCCATGTGCAGTTGAACTTGCCATCGCATACCAAGACGCGCCTGTCATGGCATCATTAAATTAGCATCCAAACCTTTGGTAAATTCCAGAATAGCCAGGAGTTGACGGTGGGTTACCTCCACACCGGCAAGGAGCAAGATGGCCCCCAGAGTCGGTAACGTCAAAGCCGACTCTAGCGAGTCCATCCTTTCGCGTATCGTGCTCATGGCCTGGTTTTGAAAGTCGAGGCATTCTTGATCGATATTTCCTCCAGTCACGGCAAACGCAAAGGTGAGCTTCACGGCGTTCAACAAAGCCGGGTCATCGAGATCGGTTCGAAAGACGGACGCGAAATCTTGAAACACTACAGGATCTGCAACGCTGAAAATAGGCTCTGCGGCCTGCCTGGCAGCATCTGTGAGATTCAAACGAGTTTCAGCCGTGAAACTCTTCATACTTCAGCAATACGCGGCTTACCATGACTAAGTAAGGCTCTCAACTTGGGAGAGTCCCCAATGAGAGTCTCAAAGGGGCCGTATGCCGACACTGGTGCAAAAATGGACCACGGTATCAGTGATTGGCCTGACGCACCCGCCTCATCTCTCGGGGAAACATGTTGGGATCGTTGTCTGCCCTGTCTGGCGGCGTGTGAGCGTGCCTGTCGTCGTTTATCGCGGTCTTTCGCCTCAGCAAGGTTTGTTATCGAGATAAACTGGAAATTATTGCCTATTGGAAATTAGCTTCTTTTACTTTATTCAAGATGAATATGACTAATTCATTTGCTTCCTTACTTGTGCCACGGCCCTCGTCCATGGTTGCAAAGTCGACTGCCAACGGTGGTGCAATTACTTGTTTGGGCGTTTTGAGATATATACAAGAACGGTAAAAGAAACAGTTTTGCAGCAAGTGGCTTAGATATACTCCGCATTTACCGGACAGTTACAGCAGGTTACTAGGACCAAGTGGGATTAAACGGAAATGTGATGCTGTATGATGCCCAGTCATCTTTTCTCGTCCTAGTGTTTGTGCTCATGCAGAGGCGATATATACAAGGGCCCAGATACGACCTTGGGTGGCTTGCTCAAAGCGACGGCCCCACCACAGGAGCTGAGTCTTCGGAGGAAGCTACGGACGGACGCCCCGGTTATATGCCTGGCCGTTTATATGCCTGGCCGTTTATATGCCTGAAAATAGTCTTTTCTAGAAAGCCGGAGATGACTAATGGCAGGCAATCGGGATAGGAGAGCTAGTAATGTGTCTTGCTCAAGCCACCCGCGAGCTGATGTAACTAGGCCATCACTTAGCTGAAGAAAGGGAGGTAGCGATATTTCTTCATAGAGGTAGTGATTAGTAAGTGGAGAGAAAGGTCGTTGGGGTGATGCTAATAGCTGAAATAACATTGAACCAGTGAAAGCTTTGCCGATGCCGCTCTACCTGTACGGTGAAGCAGTGGATAGAATTAGTGTATTAAACGTGTGCCTTTATACTATTAATAAGCTGAAATTAAATCGATGCGTAAATGTAACGGAAATGCCAGAACTCGAATGAATCGAGAATTACTTAAACACCCATCACTCATCCTAAAGACTATCCATGACAACTTCGCAGGTATACGTAACGGGAGCCCCTCAGAGAAATATTGCAAACTCATTTGGTGAAATTTAGAGATTACCCGAGTGGCATGATGATTCGCTCCATGCCGGTGAAACTCGAATGATCATCTGTGTTAGAGTTTCGAGTGGCGTGGTTTATACTATCACCCGCCTGGGAGCTAGTGACGTACCTTTCAGATTCAGTACAAAATCTAACCCTCATTCTTTAGCTTACAAGCGGCATCAAGTCAAAGGTAAATGTCAATCTCCGCTAATTTACAACGCATCTCATTGATCAGATATGAAAAGTTGAGTCTATGTGTGGTTATGACAGCCCACCATATAGCAGCCTTTAAACTCTAAAGCGACAGCAAAGGTGGGGTAACAAGACGTCAAAACTTATAATGAATCTCTTAGAAACAATCATCTCTCGCCATGAAGAGTTAGTTACGATGTGATGATGTCTGCAGCCACACAAGATAGTGGCATGATAATTGCAACACCATTTCTTGTACGTGGCAATTGACCATTCTATAAAGGATGGAGTGTTGCACTCGACTCTCGCTTTACCAACTACACCACATTTCATATTCTCAGTGATATTACAACAAACCAGCAACATAAACAACATGGCCACCAACGGCGCATCAGTCAACTTCGTCCCAGAGCAGCTATTCCACACCATCCTCACAGTAATCGACTACTCCCACGACCCATCCGGCGCCAATCGCACCGCCTTCGTCCTCAAAACGCACGGCACCCTAGAAGCCGCAAAGAAATACGCCACTCACTCCCTCGAATCCCTCAACTTCTCCCCCGAAGACTTCCAACAGTATCACATCCGCGGCTCCAGAAGCGCAAATGAAAGCTGGTCCCACGGCGATGGCGTCTTGCTCTTTGCCCGCGCCTTTGACGGCCAAGAGTTCCTCGTCGGAATAGACACCACGCCAAACAATGAAGCCTTGACTGCGACCCCAGATGGAGACATTGTCTTGCCAGAAGGCGCAAAGTTCCTGCACTACGTCCTGCAGATCTCCGTCGACTACAACGCCGATCGGTCTGGTAGTCTTCAGGCCACGGAAATTCTAGGAGTCTATGTCCATCGGGCAGATGCTTGGACGGCCGCGCACAAGTGCCTCGACCCGGTGCAGTATGCAGAATATGATCGCCGAGGCGACTCGCAGTTTATCGGAGAATGGCCTTTTGGCGAAGATATCGCGGTTCACGCTGTTTCTGAAACGGGCCAGAATTATTTCATCGCTGTGAAGAAGCCTCCGGAGCAGAAGCATGAGCTTAAGCATTATAATTTGAAGAAATAGGTACGATTTGTCAAACGTAGTCTGTCAATTGGTGGTATTGATGTACATTCTTGGGAGATGAATTTCCGGAAGGCAATGATATGAGAACCGCAAATTGCAGCTCGTGGATTATACTCCATAACGATAAAATAATACTCATTTTGAAATCGTTTTTCTGGTCTCATCTTTATATATAACTACAGGCAATATTGCGAGGCTGAGCATACGTTCAACGCCGGCTATCCACGACATGTCTACGTTGGCTGTTTTGAGATGGCGCCTTTCTTTTCACTGAAGCAATTTCTCTGTCTTGTATTCTTCCTATTTTTATAATGTATTCACTCGGCCTTCTTAGTGGGAAATGGCTTTTTCACATCAATGTTAATACAATTGCAAATCAATATTAAGAAAAAAAGTGAAAGGGCATTTTCTAATGTAAGCCAAGTAGACAAATATTAACACCAGTTGCTTGCTCCTTTTTCTCCTTCACTATCCATCTCGTATCAACATCGTCGCTCTTCATATGGGGTATTTAAAATAATAAAAAATAAAAACGTCTGAAAGTGAATCAAAACGCAGCGCAAGTTTCCGCCCATGGGTTTGGGTATCATGGAATTGCATCTCATGTACTTCATCAAGAGAAATGCTGGTACCAAGAGTTTAGCCAAATAGGCTGAGCTATCTATGTCGTGACAAGGCATCTGTCGAATGGGATATTTGTGCTGTTGTCCAAAACGCAAGTGGTAGCAGAGTAAGGCGGATATGTAAAGCATGTCATCAGAGGATAGCTAGGGATATCAAACATGCGAAACGCTCAAATGACCACTTGCTCCTGTATCCGAGCCGTCCCCTTCAATTGTCTTCCTCCAATGTTCTGGGAGGCAGACGCATACTAGAGGGAATGCCTTTAGTTCGCCGTGGCCCTGTGGCGAGCTGTCTCTTGCACCAGAAGTATTTGAAACGCCGCTGTCCCTCTGCGCTTGCCTTCGTGCCTCCCATTCCTCCGCTCGCTCGTTGACTATCAGACCCGTCGCCCAACCGTCATCCCAGATACCCACAACTTTGAGCATATCTCCACGCTCCAGGGCAAACTCGTCAGGGGCCCTTGGCTGGTAGGCCCATAAAACCGCAACTTTGTCGTGAGGGTGAATGTCGTCTTGTGAATAGTAATCCTTGAAGAATGGTAGCTGTTCAGACTGCTGGCTTGCCAGAGCATTCGGAGATGAAAAACCAATGGGGCTGCCGGCGATATCGCTTCCAAGCATCGAGTTGCTGGATAAAGAGCCTTGTCGTCTCGAAGTAGCGGGGGGCCCACGAAGTCCGGTATATGGGGTTTCGGGTTCGGGAGTATCGCCAAACTCAGATGAAGACATCCTATCAGAAGCCTTGGAGGCGTAAGGAACAGCACGAGCAGAAGGAGAGCTACCGTGGCGGGAGGGCGAATCGCCCGAATGTCCCTCCAAGGCGGACATGCGTGCAATACGGCCGCCAGGAAGAATTTCGTATCCTCGAGGGGGTGCTGCGCTACCTTGGCTCATGGGCGGTCCTTTACGAGAAGGCTGAGGCTGGTTGAAAATGCTGTCGGCCTGGCCGCTGCTGCCGGGTCTGCGCCTCATCATTCTAATGCAGAAGAACAGGAGGGCAGCAAGAATTACGACTCCCGCAAGAGAGCCGATGACAATGCCCGCAATAGCACCGCCGCTGAGATGGCTGCCACCACTGGAAACCGGGGCCGAAGAAGTCGTCGGTGTAGCAGTAGCCACGGGTGCTGTAAAGGTCACGGTAATATCAGGAAGCTTAACCCCTTGACATCGCTTTTCGGCATTGGAGCTATAGCAGCAGGTATCTGTGGAATTGATGCCTCCGGCGCCGCAGTATGAGCATAGACCAACGGTGCTGTTACCAAATCCACAGTTATCCGGCTCATTGTCCGAGCCGACGATGCAGCTGCTGGAGAGGGCCTGTTCAGGGTTGGAACAGACAGTAAAGTCGGCGCGAATCAATTTGTTGAGGTCGCTGCTAGGGCTGCCGCAAAGAGCTGTGTCGGCGGTGATGTAAGCTTCGCTTTGAGCATATTCGGCGCAGGTTTCGGCGCAGAGAGGCTCCGAGTTTTTCGCAGAGACGCCGCAGCCAGCCGCGGACGCTTGAACAATGGAGCTGCAAAGGACTGTCGTTGTGTAGCGCGCGTACATGTCGCTGGGGTCTGTATAATTAATATTGTGGCAGCCAAAATTCAACTGGAATCTAAAAAGCGCAAGACGTAAGCAAATTGGACCAAGGTTACACCGGGTGAGAGCTGCCTACTTGTCTTGGAGATATGTAGTCTTGACGAAGCTGGAGAGCTGCGTGTCGAATGTCTCTAAATCGGAGACATACTTTAAGAATGAGCTGTAGCATCAATATTAGCAACCTACTCACACCGAGCATGAAGAATAGCATATAGCTCACAATGTATCGATTAATGACTGGTTTGTGGATATAGAAGCAGCCTGGAAAGCTGGACATAATGCAGAACCCTTGAGAGAAATGCAGCTTGCCGAATCATCAGCTGAAGCGGAACCCACGAGGGCTGCTAGCACAGCTATTGATGCATTCCTGAGCGTCCATTGTGTGTGTCTCGGTGTGCCTCGATTTCGGCCACGAGCCCTTGTCGGGCCTGATGTTTCGGATGCCATTTTAACGGAAGAGAACTAGCGGTGACGAGCCTGGTGAAGTGCTGTGTTGCTGGACTTTGATGCTATACGCGCATATAAAAAACGAGCTGTAACCAAAAACTCTCCAAAAAACGAGTAACGCTTCTGAATTTTTAAGTAGCGCAATTGAATTGAATGTCGGAAGAGGCGATTGTGAATTGTTGAGAAAAATTAGATTAACGCGATTTCAGAAGAAGTCGTGGAAGAGAGCAAGCGCCAGGATGCAAGAAACGAATGAAAATAAGACGCTTGAAGCGAACAAAGGTCCGGGAATGGAAGCAGCAACCCGTTCAAGGCCAAAAAATGAATGAAAAATGCGGAGGAAGTGAACAATGCTGCAGAGAAAGAACGAATGGCCCGATGGTGTAAACTTTGGTGCCTAGGAAGGGATGACAGAAGGCCGACCAGGAGCAGCGATTTCGACAGGATCTGCGCTGGTCGCTCTGTGGTTCCTCTCCAGTTCCGACCGCCCAGCCTTGTCTTTTCTTCGGAATCGAGCCCAGGCAGAAGCGACGCTGGGAAAAGCGACCCCGTGGTCGAGTTTGGAGAGAAATGCACGGACGGAGGAGGCCTGGTCTGCGGACGAGGAGAGAGGAAGAAGAAGAGATCGCAGGATCGAGGGCCTCGGAGACGAGGCTTGCGGACGCAGAGGAAACACGGCGAGCTAACGGCGGTTTGGGGAAACACGAAACTGCGAAGCGAAGCGGCCTCGAAGGCACTAGGGCGTGGGATATTAGTAGGGGTGGTTGGCCAGCAGGTGGAGCGGTTGGCGAGGATGCGAGACAAGACGCCCTGGCCTAGCGCTGAATGCAACAATGAGCGTTCAAACAGGTGTTTCTCGTTATCAAAGGCTGCAGGATAAAGACAAGAGGATGGAGAGGAAAGGGAACAAGAGACAAACAAAGCTGCAGGGGCAAAAGGGTGATCGAGCAGAGTGGATCCTGCATGCACCAGATCGAGAAAAGAATGGCTGGAGTTGCGGTGATGGTGTTTTTGTTTTTCTTCTTCATTTCTGCCAGGCTGTCACGGGGACGAGACCGAAGCCGAGCGCTGCTGCCAACGAACATCTGGAGTCCAGCGGCCGCTAGCACCCTTTGGGCGCTGCCTCTAGGCCCGATACCGCCAAGTCTAGGCACCTAAAGCCTAGCGCCAGCACCTGTAGCTCGATAGCGTGCTCATAACCGCAGGCTAAGCTGGGCAGGTCGCCGTTGGTGGTGCCGTAAATTGTTAGGCGCAGGAACCGCGCTATTCGAAAGACGCGAAAGGGGTCTCTGGAGGCGTTGCGGCGCCAGAGTTTGTGTCCATCAACAGCTGCTTTGATGGTTTCCAGTCATGATGTTCAATCTCGATGATAGACAGATTGATAGCACAATTCGTAAAGCCCGCATATGCGCCAAGCGAGGTGCCACGATGGGGCCGCTGGCATCTGCAGTGCATCTTCAGCGGCCCAGGCACTAAAATTGGCTCAGACACCCTGCGGCCAAAGGGCGACGATGGCTCCTTGTACATGAAGGCGTGGCACAGCAAACGCGGTGCTACAAGTACAAGTACTTGCTCAGGCACCGTCTCGTATTAGGCTGGAGCTCCGCCGAAATCCCCGGCATCGATGCATTGCTGTTGCTCGTATGAGGCCAATTACGCAGGCGTGTAATTAACGGTTTATGCGGTGCTTAGCCCAACGCCGGAACTGCTACCATGCAACAGCATTCACTGTTAGATACAGATTCTCGCTTATATCTACGACAAACCCAAAAAATGATAGAATCCCTTGGCCGTTTTCATTTTTTTCTCTTCTCTTCTGGACGATCAGCAGAGCTCAATTTCGCTCTTGCTAGCATGCAGAAAAATCCCCATTGAAATTTGGCCAGCAGGGATGCTGCGGATGGCGCCGCCAGGGGGTGTGACGAGGCCTGCATCTTTTGGTCTCTGCTCCGAGAACCATTAAAGGAAGAGCTGTGCTGTACGATTACGGTGCTTGAGCTCTGCAAGGGCCAACTGCTCATAAGAAGAGACAGCTCAGATCAGCTTCCAAGTTGGTTGTTGGCAGGGCAGGGCAACAATTTGTCATGAGATCCAGGCACATGTACTTGGCGCTTCTAGTTGAATACAATACTTTGCAGTTGACATTTAAAACTTCTAGCCGTTGCTATTATATCATACACGCAGAGAGAATGAATTCATCACGACCGGCTTAGCACTAAATTTACTTCAGCTCTCAGCTCTCTATATCTTCAACTCCAGCTTCTGCATCATACCAGCAACTACGCGGATAATTAGACCAGCATGCCCTGCGTAATTTATCGGCCTCATCGTCCCAACACTGAGCTATCCATCTCCACGTGGGTCGGCGGAGGAGCCACAATCTCAAGATCCACCCTCCCTTGAATCGCAGGCCCAGCTGCTCAAGGCGTTCGTGCGCCGAGCCGTCTGCGATCTGTGGGTTTCATCGCCATCAAACGGTATCGTATTGATTGGCTTGATGCCAAAAGTCTTGTTCTAGTCTTGATAGAACACACAATAGCTTTCTACCACGATGTAAGAGACCATAAAATACCTACCTTCCTAGGTAGGCTATATCTACCCGAGTGCTGAATAACGTCAGAGTCGGGTTGCTAGATACATGTACACGTAACTTCCCCCAGAACAAACTGCATTTAAGTTCGACAACATATTGCCATAATAGTAGTATAACCAATATCGTCTCATCCGCATGAAAATCCTCACTAAGCCCTTCTCCACTCCTCGAGAAACGCTTTAGAGCAAGCAGCTGCAGTTGCAGCAGCATATCTCTGCCACATCTTGTTCTTGTGGCTGTCCGCATAATCACACACGCTCTTGATGACAACGGTAGGAAAACTGTCCCAAACCCCAGCGCCTTCCATTTCGAACGCAATAACTTTCTCGCGGACTGCGATTTTATCGCGATGGCGTCCAGATTTTATAACTAAATCTCCAGATGCCATCTTGCCAAAATGGATAAAAGGTTTCCGCGCCTCTCGAAGTTCCTCGTCTCTGGATGCAACTGTGCTTGAGGCAGCACTCTTCGCCTTCTCTATGCGAGCACGAGATATTATCATACTATCCTCGCAGCCCAATTCTGCACATGACAATTCTAGCGCAGAGCCACACACCTTGTCAGATGATTTTCGACATTTTGAACAAGCACTGCAAACAGCTGCATTGCGATGCTTATGGCGGTATTTAGGATGATATAGTATATCCTTATCTGCGCCCGGATATGCAGATTTTTCGAACCCATTCTTCGCGCAGAGGTCATCCAGATAAGAAAATGTCTTTCCTCTCAAAGTTTCGCAACCTTTCAATCCCGAATACTTTGTAATAAATGAGCGGATTTGTGCATTTGGCCGGCTAAGGTTGTCCTGTAGGGTATCTCTTCTCACAACTCTGTTATCGTATTGCCGACCAAAGTCATATTGTATAAGTGCGGTGCTGATGATAACATCACCAAGCAACACTTCATTCTCGCCATCTTCTCCACCTGGAACACCTCCACAGATACCCACCACAAGGCCAAGCTTGATGTTGGGAAAGCTCATGCGAAAGCCAGCCGCTACGTTGGCGGAGTTGACTTTACCCATGCCCGGCATAAACGCCAACACCACATTGTGTCCAGCCATCCTCCCCGTGGTATAAGCATTAGGATCTCCCACTGCTTTACCATATGAATAATCTTCCTCATAATAACCATCAAAGAGAGCTTCAACAGCATCAGATTCTATTTGTAACGCACAAATTAGGGCGATTTCGAAGTCATCACGGCCGCTGGGCCGATCGAGGCTTGTCGTCGCTTCGAGTTTTGGAAAGCCATCCTTAAGCGAGCTATAAGTTCCTCTGCGAGTAAAATCAGGAACTGGCCGCGGCTGGAACTCGAAGCCACGCCGTCTTTTGTTTCTAAGTGTCGCACGTTGAGAGTCCATAGACTTTGTTGTCATGTTCCAAGAGTCCTCAGTTTGAACTGCATCCTGAGGGTCGGGAACAGGCGGGGACTCTGACCGTTGCCGTTTAGATCTAGGAGTTGATTCTTCTAGCCCACATTCAAGCTTGTAAACAATCTGTTCATATATTATTCGCCGAATGGTGTCTGCATCCTTGCTGTCAGAATCCACCATTTTATGAAAGAGTAGGCAGCTCGTAATAGCATCTCGATAGGAGTCCTTGGTCTCTTTTTCGAGCTCATCCGTGAATTGCATAAGCCTAGTCCAAGCCACAATATTTTTATCGCTGTCTGCGTTGACCTCTATCTCCATAATGCCGCCTAATTCCAGTTCTATCAACAGCTTCGCAAAAGATAAGAACGTAGGATGGCCCAATTGAAAATCGTATGAACCGGCTGCGATCAGAAATTTTGAATCAAATGCTAGGTATGCAACTTCCATGAGGCTTGCTTCTGAAGAGCTAAAGAAATGGATCCTATTTGAAGCGAAGTCGGCGTCGAAGAAATCCATTAGGCAGTATCCGAATTTGACGGCAAGTTTTCGCTTGTCTATAATGCTGAATTTTACCGATGACGTTTTGATATTAAAGTCTTCAACCTCAATTCTCTTGAATGCACCATTCTTGATAAGTTGGTCAAGAGACTCTTTGGACGATGGGTCTATTGCAGAGAAAACAGGATTTTCCCAAGCACCATATAACTCATGCTCCTTGATATATATCATCAATGCCCTTCCTCGACCGGTATATTGATGGACATCTGTACAAATATCGGCAATAGGTGATATTGAATTGTCGTCTCTGCAAACCATGTAAGTAAATCAGCAAGGAGGCAGGATTCCAGAAAGCTCAAACCTACAGAATAGCCTTGTCGTATCGGAATTCTTGCCACGACTTTAGCTCTGGACATAATGGGAGCATCAACTGTAAATTTGATACTGTTAAATCTTCTTTTGGGGTCTCAATGAGCTTTAACAAGACTTTATGTGATTTCCCACACCTGAAGTTCTTGAACAAGGTTTCGAAGAGGCACATGGCTTGGTCCCGTATTTTGCCTTTCTTCCATGGCGTTTTCTTTTGCTGTCTTGGCGATGGCAGTATGACTGATTCCAGAGGAGGGGATGCAAGTAGCCTGTTGAGAGTAGCATTACATTCTGTAAGAGCGATCAGGCATTCGTGAAGCTTAGCAGCATCACTAGGAAGCTTAAAAAGTCTTTGTCCATGACCATTCACCAAGTCTATCGTGTCGCATTTTGGGTTTAGGCGTCCTACCAATTCTTCCAAATGAAGATATTCTCCGCCTTTGGAGTCATCGCGGGTTCTTTTATGCGCTGCAAGGTGGTCTAACAACGAACAAATCTGTTTTATAGCCTCTTGGAAACACTCAAAATTCTCCAAACTCAGATTTTGAGAAAAATTGTGGACCATAAAGAATGTACGGCGAAGCTCGAATTCGAGAGTGGCAGCATAATGGTGGATATCTTTGTGCTCATTAATAGGTACTGTACGGCGCGTGTACAGTGCTAGCCTTGGGCTCAGCCATTCCGATAACTCTTGAAGCAAGGACCATTCGTGTAAATCAGAAAGAGAATCCATTTCACAAGACTCTCTGCTGGCAACCACAGAAATTATAGCGATTGAACCGACGCGTTGAATAGGTATGGGAAAGAGTTGAAACGGAGGGATAAGATGCCGCGCGGGGATATAAATTGTTAACCGCTATCACTAAGAATGATCAAATGCATCACAAATCCTACCAATTATAATCGTATATACGTACGTGTTATCTGGAGGTACATATATGGTTGTACCATCGCTTTATTGGGTTGATTAGGCTGCGAGGTGACATTTTATGTAATTTCCCCGCTTCAGAGAATATATATTACATGTATCCATCATATCCAGATAAACTACATCTGGATAATCCGCCTCGCTCATATTCTATAATCTTTGAATGTCTGGCACCAAGACTCCTGTTATACAATATTTATCATGGCGCTGAATTTCCAAGAGGAAGATCTTATTTATACTTTAGCCTATGAGTGCGAAAGTCAATTCAATAAACTAATACAAGCTCTGCCGAAAGCAAAACCAGAGGGTCCGATTGTAGAATTATGTGCCGACTATCAGCAACGTTTTGCTATATGGACGGCGTATCTTGGAGTCTTTGCTCGAAGGAGTCAGTGCTTAGATACAAGACTCCGGAATTTCCTAGACCTTCAAGATCTTGTTACTCGACTATTGGACATCCTCTACCGCAGCCTGCAGCACTGTTTGAATGAAATGACCAGCCAAAGAGAGACAGATTTGGGCCCGAAAGGTGACAATCAGTGCGTACTTGAAGTTTCTGAGACACAGAAGGCAGCTTTGAAGACAATAGGCGATACTATCACTAGATTAGATCGTCTAGGAACCACTATTCGTCATTCAAGCAGTAGCACAATCGATACGAGAGTTCAAGAACATCCCGCAAACCAAAATTTGGTCCCATTCGCAAGTTTATGCGCGAACGCCGTCCAAGCATTATATCCAGGTGCCGACCAAGCGCTCAAAGAGTATCTCAGCAAGTCGATGGCCACGAGATTTGCGAAAATGTTATTCTTCAATTCACGAAATAAAAATCTACGGGCTCGTCGAGGAGATCTTCCAACAATTACGGAGGTACCTGAACGCGAGACGCCAACTCATGAATATGCGAAAGGCCAAGCGAATCCAGTTGTATATCTTTCTGTACCTCAAGCTCCGAAGAAGCATAATGCTTATTCTGAGTCTGTCTTGTCCACTGTCGATATTCAACATATTAGGAATCGATTGAGAGCACCTGATGAAGCATCGACGAAATTCCATAAGACGTCATCGATTCAGGTAAAACAGGGTAATTATCCGCAGGTGCCTAGCTCTAAAGGCGGTAACAATATAATCCCTTGTCAGTGGTGCGGCGAGCCATTGAATATAAAATGTCTCTCGGAAATGGATTGGCGGTAAGTGTTATTTATTCTATTCGCATTTATCTAAAAGTTGTTTGACACTTTGCGGAAAGCTGCACGTGTCGTATGGTTGTACTTTGTCACAACAGTGTTTGTGGACTCTTAGGATGCCGAATGATTGAAAATGCTAACTATTTTTGAGTCAACATATCGACCGAGATCTCAAGCCTTACATTTGCCTGTTTGAGGAGTGTTCAGATGGACATTCGGCATATCCAACATTCAACGAGTGGTGCAGGCACATGAAACTTCACGATTCGCGATGGCATCAAAAGATCTATTTAACGCCTAACTGGGTATGCCCCCTCTGTGCAGTCTCCGAAAACGTTTATAATAGCCCACAAGCCCTCTACTTGCATCTGACTGGATCTCATGGTAAACAATTTACGGAGATACAGCTCCAAGCTATTTCCCGACAGAGCAAAGTAGTTCAACCGAGAGCTTGGAATGAGTGCCCTTTTTGCTGTCTTTCAATAGAAGACCAAGAAGACAAAGAAAAACTACTTGTAACTAAACGGCCGAAAGAGCAGCAGAAGCAAGAGAGCATCAAACATCCCAGGATATGTTTCGAGATATCAAGCCCTGGAAATCGCGGGTCAGATCTTGACTCGTCAGACACCTCTTCTGAATCAGGCAACGCGGATTCTTATAAGCAAAGAAAAGATCCTTCAAACACTATAGCACGACACATAGCGGCACATTTGCAAGTGCTAATGCTTTTGACACTCCGTTTCGCAGCTTTGGAGATTGATGGCGAGGATTTAAATGACGACTTCAAAAGCAATTCTGTCGACATTGATGAGGAAAATACACGCAGTTTCATCTCAAAAGACACTGATCTAGGAAGATCGTCCCATCAAAGCTCTTTGAGAGATGTAACTATGGAGGATATTGATGGTGAGAAAGGTAAAGAAATCGGGCCAAATAATGCAAATGTAGCTATGCGACCCTGCAAAACTCAAACTGCCCCTACTTCTCAACAGGGAGGAAGTCCCTCTCAGTTGGATAGAAGCACAGCTGTGCCTTCTCGTCTTTCCAACATCGCCCCCAGACCCCCTCAGCCTGCTCTAGGCTCCAACACGCCTCCGCCTGTTCTCCCGGTTATTCAGCTCCAAGCTGATGCTACTGCTTCGAATTCTCAGCCGCCATCTCAACTTGCCCTCGAGAATAAATCAGATACGGGCGATGAAGGCACTTTCTCTCCTGATATCAGCGGTACTCTAATGGCCACAAAGACAGCTTCTCTTTCTCCACCCGAGGGAGATGCAATCTTAAATGATAAGGTTGACTTCGCGCGTTCCACTAAGGATTCTACGACAGTCCCTGATGGTTTCGGCACAAATGCAATTTCGCCAAAGTCTCCAAGACGTGCAAACTTGGGTAAAAGTCTGACCCTCGCGCCTTGGCAAGACGACTCCGCAGTCCAGGATGGGTTTGATCCAAAGCCAGAACCAGAATCAGCTTCACCATCTGGGGAACGGCCTAAAACTTACCCATTGACAAAATTCCCTGGCTACGATTTTTTCGAGGCGATTGACAAGGGGGATATACCCACTATTGAAAGACTACTGGAGAACGGTGCTGATTTGGAGGTAGCAGATGAATTTGGCCGTACACCCCTTTGGCGCGCAGTAAGTATTGGTGAACGCAGCGTTATCCAATTGCTTTTGGTTAACGGTGCGAATTTGGAGGCGAAAAATCTTCACAAGCAGAATATCTTGAATTGGGCGAAAAGTAAAAGTAAACCAGATATCGTTGATATGATTGTTGCGGCAATGGATGCAAGGTACACTTAATTTGAGAAGTACGGCTTTCCTCCCAAAGCCTGAGGCTAGGGATATGATCCAAGATGATAAACCGAGGGTGAGCGCGAGATGGACAAACCCGATCACAGAGGCCTTTGACAAAATGGTCAATTCATTGTCGTTGAATTATTTCTTGGAGGAGTTGATATGAGGCACAAGCGGTTTATGCACAAGACGTGTTAGGCGACATGTAGAGGGTGATCAATAACAGAAGCATCACTACTGCAATATCAAGCTGTAATCAATACTGTTCTTACTATAATCTTTCCTTTCCGTCTCTAATACTTGTTGTAATCTTAGTTACGTTACATTTCGCTTTATAACTCAATGTTAAACGGTAATAGGGATACAGGAATATAGTGGGCGCTAATGACGATTTGCTCTTCTTCCATGTCATTTTTTCCAGGGAATTCAAGAATTATCCAGCATTCCAACTCTATTATCCAGCACTCCAGCTATTGGCAGCGTAGGCCACACTAGCTGTGGGAGCATGCCAGTTTGTTGCAGAGTCCATACAGCTGGTCAACGGCTTCCTTGATTGTTTCAACATTGCTTGTGATAATGGTAATTACGTCCGAGCTTAGATTTGAGATAACATCTTCGTGTATTTTGACCACGCAAAAGACTGTGGGACACATTAACAGTCATTCTCAAGCTCGCGGTTCATGAACAGACTAACCGTGTGCCAGACGAGTAGCGATGTTGCGGAGCTGCTTTATCACGTCGGCTCGGATATCTTCACTGTTAGCCAAACGGCAATTGAGACGATCATCCTCTGTAGACAAAGCCCTATGGGATAAATCCCATGCACTGAAACGGGCACGAATGTCTTCCAGGAGCCGATCGATTTCGACAGCGGACTCGCCAATGAGGATGCTTGTCCTTAGGTCAGCCATCTTCGTAATGCATTTGGATAATGAATAATAACAGTCTATAGTAGCGCCAAAAATGGACCGGCCTTGTGAACTTTCCATCTTTTTTGCCCAGATTCGACTCTCCTCCCGATGGAGCGTATTGGCAGTCTTGAGCAGCTGAGGGGGGTCAGGCTCTACTTATAATTGCGTGTATACGTGCGGGACCTCTTCTCAAAACTTCAATAGTGGTGAGCTAAGCTGCTGCGCCTATCGAGGCCACCTACACGTAGTTTGAACAAGACAACAGGATCGTTTGAGGTCACCTAGTACCTAGTTTGAACAAGGAAGGCCATCCGTTTAGTTTGAACAAAGTCATTGTTCAGAGAAGCCATCTAGTTCAATTACAGTCAGCTTTCACGATTGAGGCCAACGGGGCCGTTCAAGGTCGCTTACTTTTGAACAAGCATACTTTTGAACAAGCTGCCTTGGTTAACCGCAGTCACAGTTCATGTTATCTAGTTTGATCGAGGTCACTAAGGCAGACAGGTAGGTACATGAGCTTTACTTCCGGCGTGTTTTTTTATTTCAGTTTCAGCAAGCACTTTCTTCTGTACTATGTAGTTTATTTATTTAATAGCTTAAGAGATTGAAGCCTCTTCTCACAACCCCTACCAGGCATATTCTAGTCAAATCATTAGCCATGTTAATTGAAAAGTAACATGTGGGTAAAAAAAAAGTCTTATGACGTGGTAGAATCATCGCCATATATTAAAATACAACGAAAGATCTCTATAGAAACAGATATATTCTATCCCACAGCAGCGGTTAGTTTAACACCCGAATAAATACCAGTTCAATCTCCCCTAAGCCCAGATATATTAGTATGTAGTGTTAGTGATGCAGGTAGTGCCTGGCCGTGTTTAGTGCGTTTGTCGTGGGGCGTTGGCGGCGGAAGGCTAAGGAGGGGTCTCCAGCTTCTCCAAAGCTCTGTACAGCAGCCATCATTCTCAACTTCATCCACCAACACTCGATTTTGTCCCCGAAGCTGTTTGCAGCTTTTACTCTGGTCCTTGAGATTTGAAGCTGTGCCATTCAATAACCTTGCCATTTGACATTCGATTTCTTCATTGAATCCCCCAACATCTCTCCTTCTTCTATGCACAATGGCTGATCTCAAGGCTCGGGCTGAAGCAGCGCTGCCCAAATTCAAGCTTGAAAAGGTGCTCAACCAAGGCAAGTTTTGCATTCATAACTCTCCGATGCTACCAAAGTAGCAATCTATCAAGGCGATTCTATACTGAAGCAATGAAAATTGCCAAATCCTCACTCTGATTGCTAACAGAAAAACTCCCACGCAGACCAAGCTGGCCGCCGCGTCTCCCTCTACGGCACAATCGACAATGAGCCCGCCGTCATGGTCGTCGAGCGAGCGACATTCCCCACATCAGAGGTTTATCTCGCCGGATTGCCCTCATCGCTCGCGCGGCTGCGGAATCTGGGCGCAAACGACATCTACTCGTGGAGCATGGCGAGGACAGGGTCGGTGGACGAGGAGATCAAGCCCGAGGCGGACAACGGACACGATAACGGAGTCGACTTCTTTGCGGACCTAAAAATCAACTTGATATATCCGTGCACGGAGGCACACATTAAAAAGTACAGCAAACAGGCCGTTCGATTCGTCACGGAGACACCAGAGATTTACAAGAAGCACATCCAGCCGTTTATGCAGCTTAAAAGAGAACAGGGAAGGTTAAATTGGGTATTCAATATCATTGAAGGCAGGACCGAGGTGGAAGATGTCATCTACAGAACTAAGCTCGGCGAGGCTGGTGACGAAGGTTTTCTCCTCACGCCAGATCTCAACTGGGACCGCAAGACGCTCGAAGGTCTGCACCTGCTGGCGCTGGTTGAGCGGCGGGACATCTGGTCACTACGAGACCTGAAGAAGAAGCACATCCCATGGCTACAGCACATGAAGGCCAAGGTCATCGACGCCACGACGAAGACGTACCCAAGCATCGAGGAGAACCAGCTGAAGCTCTATGTTCACTATCAACCGACCTATTACCACTTCCATATACACATTGTTCATGTTGCCCTAGAGGCCGGAGCCACACAAGCCACGGGCAAGGCTGTTGGCCTTGACAGCATTATAGAGACACTGAAGATCATGGGGGGAGACGACGAGGCGGGTATGGATGCACTATCGATGAGCTACACGTTGGGCGAGGCGAGCGAGCTATGGACGGGAATATTCGAGCCGCTCACGACGAACCGTGGTATAGCTTCTCAATAGCGAGGACCAGGTCGTTGACGCCGGGGCCGTTGGGGCAGTCCTTCCACTGGTCGTCATCGCGAATGCAATAGACTTCGTTGTTGAGACGGATGGTGCAGCTAATGGTTACGTTGGCCTATAAGTTTCGTTAGATTATTGGAGGTTTCTCGATTGTTAGCAAATGCTAGAGACATACATCAGCGGACCGCTGGACACTGTTTCGCAGCAGCTCAATGCCGTGGGCAGTCTCATCACGAGCGGCGCACTCATTGAGCTTGTTGAAATCGATGGCATGCTCGAGCGCGCAGTCTTCGATGAGCGCGCGATCAGGGATCTGGGGGTAGTCCTTGGTCAGGCACATGACGAAGCCGAGATGGATCTTGGGGTCGGGATAGAGCTCGCGGGCGCAGAGTTCGATGATGTTGCCGATGCACTCGGAGGGGCCGTGTTTGCATTCGACACCGCCGTTGGCGGTGGGCCTTGATCATGGATGTTAGAGATGACGGGTTATAGGAGTGGATAGAGTATTGGTTTGACATACTTGCCAATGTATGAAAGTTGAAAGTCAACTTTGTCGTGGACCTTTTGCATCGCGGGCAGGATCAGGTTGCGAAGGGCATGCTAGAAGAGATGATCAGCTAACAGAAGAGGAGCATATCTTTGCAAAAAGCTGTTGCATACTCTGGTATCGGGACATTTGCTGATGATGTGCGCTTCGAACGGGACGAGGGCCTTTGTCGTGCTACCATGGTCGCACTGGAAGAAATCCTTTGGCATAAAAGGCACAGCGACCAAGTGGAAGCTCACGATCAGAAGGACCGCAATCAGGAGCAGCCGGCGCGCCTTGGCGAATATCGTCGACGCACGAGGAGGATCCATGTTCATGGGCTGCGGTAGATGCTGGTGCTTTTCATCCATGATGAAGCTCGGGATGGCGGTGATGAAGGGAGCTGAAGTGGCGGAGAGAGTCGTTAAAGCGTAGCTGGGATAAAGATGCGGGTATCCTAAAATTCGTGATATTCGTACTTGAGGCAATAAAAATCCAAAATGATGCACGCTGATGATGATGATGCTTGGTGTATGAAGAGCTGAAAGCTTTCGCAGTAGTACAGCTTCACGCGCGAAGCTGCTGCGACGAGATTGGTCGGACGGCATAGCGTCATGGTGAGGAGCGGTTGCGTGGTTGGTGATGGCGCTAGGCCGAATGGAGCGGTTCCGCAGGGACCTTTGGGGTCGCGTGTCGAGGTACCAAGTACCTGCCGAGGCAGTATGAGAGTCGTCTTATTTCATGATTGAAGTGAATAAAAAATCTAGCGGCTACTTTGTTCAATAAAACTATCAGCCGATTGCTTAGATGGGAGTTTTTTCTTCTATGCGGAAATTTTGAAGAGCTATACATGGTAGATTTTAGAAGTTATTTCACTGCAATGTACAGATACGAAAGTTATCTGCTGCTTCTCGAGCCGTTATTCGTTGTTGTGAGTGGGCAGACAGTAAAGAGGTGTTAATTTAATATTGATCAAGAATATTAAATGGATTGTATTGCACTATTCCAATGCTCGCTGTCCACTATGCGTATAATTTCGTTCTGCGGCTCTTTTTAAGTTATCCCTGGAGAGATAAGGTATTGTTACAACAGCAGCAGACCTCACTATTACCCGGGAACTGGGAACTGGGGTGTTTTAGTAACTCGTGACTTGAAGCTGCAGCAACCAGGATATATATGACATACTATTGTACCAGGTAGATGGAAACGGCAGTTGTTATTCTAATCAGAGCTATTAGGCGATGAGCCAATTCACAGAATGAGTGAGATGAGCGAAATAGCAATATGAGGTGCTGCAAACAAGGCAGCTACTGCCTCTTCAGTCATCATGTTATAAGAGTAGAATCATCCTTCTTTCTTTTGCCTACTACAGGCACATGAATCGACTATATTATCTCAGCACTATATATAGAACGGGGCACTAGATGCTACCAAGTGGGCAGCTGCTAGGGTTCGTTTACGAGTATGCGACGTAACATCGGATACATCTATATAGTGATCAATTAAGACTCTCAGTTCCGAGCTATAGCATCTCTTTGAATACAAGCAATGGGCTTTTCTCTTGTGAATAATCTAAAGTTCGAGGTGCAGCCCACCCACAAGAATCACATACAGGTATGGAGATGCACATGGCGGGCTTTAGCTGCAAACTGGTGGCCTGAACGCCCTTCTAGAAAAAGCACGTCCCGGCGCCCATTCGGTCCGCCAAGCTGCCCCATCCCGCCCAAATAGCACCAATAAGGCAACGTCCACTAAAAAATCCGGCCGGCGTTGTTCTTCCCAAAGGGGGGAAACCCTTCACCACTGCCACATCTACTTCAAACACGAACTTGGCTGCTACTTTGTTATCAGCCCATCCTATAAAGGGAGGTGAATAGCTGTCATCCTGCCTCGGGTCAGATCTGCGGCTGTGAATTGCTTGACAAAGTACGGATTCTTATTTCCTTGTATAAAGCAGCCGGTGCTTTTCTCTTCTGCCACTGTTATCATGATACCGCCGTCATAAGCGTCTTTTCTTCGATTTCACTGGGGCGCTCGCAAAGCTGGAGCCATGGCCTCTGCAACGGATATCCACCGGTTCCTGGAGCCGCTGAGCATCGATGTCGACAGATCTTATGAGCTATCGCGCAAGTTTCTGGCCAATTTCAGGCATCTGGCTGCGAATTCGAGGGACCAGTGGCTGCCCACGCCGATATCTGAGTCTATCCTGAGGCATCTTTCTGATCAAGGTACTGGACAGTAAGTGATGCATTGATCCAAATGAGAAGTGATTCACGGCACTGCAAGCTGAGGTGTGCGTGTTGGTGAGGATCATCAAAAGAAACACAAGGCTGACGTGAATATCTGATAGGCATCTGGCAATAGACATGTGAGGCAGCCACCATGAAATTGTCGACGGGCTGAAGCTTGTATCTGTCTGAATAGAATGCTAACATGAATACGTACAGTGGAGGAACTAACCTTAGAGTTGGCTTCGTCGAACTTCATGGTGATGCCCAAGATCCTTCATCACGTGTCCAGCGGCCATTGGAGAAATCATGGCCCATAGATCATCACCTCAAGAATGATAACGCCGATAGCCTCTTCTCATGGGTTGGAAGATGCATCGCCGAAGTTGTGGAAGAGGGCTGTAGAGTCTTGAACATATCCAGGGATGAGCCTGTGCCCCTTGGCGTCACCTTTAGCTTTCCCATGGAGCAGCGATCCGTCTCTCACGCCCTCTTAAAAGACATGGGCAAAGGCTTCGCTCTGCCGCCTGGCATCGATCTCGGTGCTCACATCGAACAAGGATACGAACAATCTCGAACATTGGATCTGCCTCCTGTCAAAGTCACCGCCATCGCCAACGACACAGTCTCCACGCTTGTATCGTGTCTCTTCAGCTACGGCGGCACAGAGCATCGACGAGCCGCCATGGCTATCATTCTGGGAACGGGGACCAACGCTACGATACCCATGAAGCTGGACCTTTTGCATCCTAGTAAACGGCCTCAGACAGTGAGCGTCCTTCCAGGCGAGAGTGTGGCAGACGCCAAGATTGCAGTCAACACCGAGTGGAGCATCAATGGCTCGCTGCCGCCGATGAAGGAAATGAATTTGGTCACCAAATGGGATGATGTTTTGTCTTTGCAAAACGAGCGGCCAGGATTTCAGCCGTTGGAATACATGACCGCGGGACGGTACCTGGGCGAGCTGGCTCGAATCATCTTGGTCGATTATCTGGTGAATGAGCTGAACGTGGCTACTGAGACATTACCACGGACGCTGCTAGAGAAAGAGAGCTTAACAACGACGTTCCTTAGTCATTTCAAGCCATTACTACCGCCGTCTGCCCTGCTAGAGAAACTCAGACAGCAGGTCCCTGAAGATGCAGACTCTTCTTTTACCTGGACAGAAGACCTGGCTACGGCTCTGTACCACATTGCAAAGGCCATCGAGGTCCGCGCTTCAGGAATAATCGCCGCTGCCATCATCGCCCTGCTCACACTAGCTGATGATCTACCCGAAGATGGCGCAGCAACAGCAGATTCGAGCTCTCCCATTCGCGAGCTCGGCGTGGGTTACACCGGTGGCTGCATCGTGCACTTTCAGGACTATCTTGCCGACTGCCAGCAATTCCTGGACGAGCTACTGGCGCGCAGGTTTGGGAGCGATAGCCGGCTGCGGGTAGTGCTGAGGCCTTGCCACGATGGCGGTGTTACGGGAGCGGGCATTCTGGTGGTTGCAGAGGCGTCATCTAGTAAGAAGTCAGAGGCGTGAGCGAACGAGTGCCGTCTTTTTTTTTCCTGCTATTTTTGTTTATTTACTTGTTTTGCCCCTTTCTCCTTTCCTTGCAAAGCACAGCGTGGATTACTGAGCGCTAGAGATACGAGCCGCCTTGTCATGACGAGATAGAATAGCATGTGGAGCGAATCCAGGGATATGAGCGAGGACGACTGAGGGATCTGGGAAGTAATACATTTACCTACATCTGTCTACATACTCATCTACCCTGTATATATCCAGTAGTTTACACCTTTTATATCCAGATGCCTGAACGAATTATTCTTGATTTACACTGGAATGCTGCGTGACGTTAATAAGCAACGAAACCCAGCCGTGTCCCGGCTTTCCAACTCGCATTTCGCCATAGAGCTGGCAAAGCTGAGTACAGTTTTGACGCACCTTGACGCCTCTCACGCAATCCGTCATACACGGCACAAACACTCAACTCCCCTTTCGCCTCTTGGCCTCACCTCAGACAAACAGGGCCACTGCCCCAATGCGTCAGAATATAGCCAATCTCCAAGACACTTCCCCCGCCCCAATAATCAAACTGCGAGATCGCTGGATAGTCCCCGAGCAAGGATGTACGCCCTGCCGGGATTAGCGGGCCAGACCCTGCGCACCCGCATCGCAGCCAATGCGTCCAAGTCTTCTTAACCAGTCCCCAGCTTATATCAGTCTGTCATAGGGCACTTGACCTCTTCCCAGTGCAATATTCCAGCTAATGCGGGCGCTGCCACCTCAACTCTGCTTCTCTCCATATTTCTGCCCGCTTCCCCGGGGGGTTGATGTAGGGGTCGAGCAGCATTAGCGGCGGGACGGGTGCATCTGACCTTTTGATTTCCAAGTGCGTGCAGCGACAAGCCGCTGATGTCTTGCGACGGCGCGGGCTTACTACACCGACAAAGAGTGAATTGCGACAACGGCCCGAGAGGATTCAGCTCTAGAGAATAAATCTCCGTTTTATTTGTGAAATGAAGGTTTCACTCATGCGGGGAAATCTTGTTTGCTCTCTATTTTGCCGTGTACAGGCCATCCTTTTAGTACGAGATACGAGAGATCCGCCCGCACTTACACGCAGCTTTTTAGACGAGAGGCTACGATACCTAGCTGGATGCTACAGTGACTCTATGGAACACGCCCCTTGCATCTTTTTGCGCCTGCATGGCCTTTTTCGCTCCGATATATGGAGTTTGTGTCTTTAAGAGGGCGGCTAGCAGGATTCCCACCAGCAAACATTCATCCTCTCTTTCAAACGCTGCACTGCGGACAACCTTTTTGAATAGTTCTCTAGAATCAACGGAAAAGGATTTTGCATCTTCCTCGCTTTCCTTGTCGGCTGCTCCAAGTCAAAGATAGAAACTTGAATAGATTTATATCGACACAAAAACCATCTCCAAATGGCTCGAGAGGGGCCACAAGCCGGGTCCGGCCCAGACTCGGACACAGACACGAGTATAAGTCGCATCATGGACGATGAACAAGGCATCCTCACAACCCACAGCAATTTCAACGACAGCAACAACCACATCAAATACAACGACGACAACACAAACCCCTTCACCGAACGCTCCCCCCTCTTCCCCCGCCGCAACAGCACCGCCTCCACCTCCACCGCCAAATCCTTCATCTTCCTCGGCGAAACCTGCCCAGCCCGCTTCTGGCTCATCTTCGCCCAGATCCTCATCTCGCAGTTCATGGCCGCCTTTGACGGCACCCTCATGGCCTCGTCCCACCCAGTCATCACCTCGCACTTCAAGGCGGCCAACTCGGCGTCCTGGCTATCGACCGCCTTTCTACTCACGTCGACGACGTTTCAGCCGCTGCTGGGCAGGTTGTCTGACGCGGTGGGCAGAAAGCCCCTGTTTGTCGCGAGCATCGGCGTCTTTACGCTTGCAACCATGTGGTGTGCCTTGGCGGGGAGTATCGAGAGCTTTATTGCGGCGAGGGCGCTTTGCGGGCTTGGTGCTGGGGGGGTGGGTGCGTTGGGGAGCATCATCACGAGTGACTTGGTGCCAATAGAGTATGTCTCTCTCTGCCTGTCTCTCCGAAGAACCAAAACTGAGAAACTGACTTATATAGACGCCGAGGCACCTACCAATCCTACGTCACCGCAAACTTCGGCGCCGGCTCCGCCCTCGGAGCTGCCCTCGGCGGCGCCATGGCCGAAGCGCTCGGCTGGCGATGGGAATTCGGCGTCCAGGTCCCGCCGCTGCTCCTGTGCATGGCCATGTCGGCGGTCGTGATCCCGGACGACATTGGCTTGCAGGGCCCGCGGCGAGGCATCTTTGACGCGATGCGGCAGTTTGACTTTGGGGGCTCGGCCTTGTTGACGGTGTCGACGACGACTGCGATTTTGGGATTGGTGAGCAATCCATTATTCTGTGGAAGTATTGTAAATGGGGGAATGGCTAATGAATTCATTCGCTGATTTAGAGCTTTGGCGGCAACATCTATCCGTGTAAGCATCCTCACCTCTCCCCCCTTTTTCCAGCTTTCAACCAAATACTCACATCTCATCTCATAGGGACCCATCCCGTCGTCCTCACCGCTCTCTCCCTCGCAGCCATCGCCTTCCCATCCTTCCTCTGGTTCGAAACCCGCGCCGCCATGCCCATCATGCCTTTCCACCTCATCCAGAAATCCCCTCGGGCAAACCTCATCTTTGCAAACTTTATCGCAGCCGTACTTGCCAACGCAATCAGCTTCAACATGTCAGTTGTCCCCCCCCTTTTCAGCATCATCATTCTTCTCAAACTGAGACACGCATCACAGCCCCCTATACTTCCAAGCCGTCCTCCTCTCCAGCGCCACCTCCTCCGGCCTCCGCCTCGTCATCCCCTCCGTCGTCGCCTCCATCATCGGCGCCCTCACCGGCCTCTCCATCACCTACACCCGCCGCCTCAAGTGGCCCGTCCTCGCCGGCACCGTCTGGTACCTCCTCGGCAACATCACCCTCTGCTTCCTCCGCCGCGGCATGCCCGAAATCGTCTACCTCCTCGTGCTCATCCCCCAGGCCATCGGCCAGGGGTTCCAGTTCCCCGGCACCTTCATCGCCATCCTCGCGTGCGGCGAGCAGGCCGAGCAGGCCGTCGTCTCCAGCACGCTCATCCTCTGGCGGTGCTTGGGTCTGGTGCTCGGTATTGCGCTGAGCAGCCTCGTCATCCAGAATGGGCTGGTGCACTACCTTGATGAGTTTGTCCGCGGCGACGACAAGCTGGAAGTCATCAGGCGCGTCAGAGCATCTGTTGAGGCCGTCGCTCAGCTGGAAGAGCCGTACAGGGAACAAGTGATCCGTAGCTATGAGGCGTCGCTGAGACTGACCTTTATCCTCTGCACCGTGCTGGCTGCTGTTTCGGTGTTGATAGTTTTGCCTATGAAGACGCCTCGTTTAGCTGCAATGAAGCGCAAGTCATGAAGAGCTTGATAATGAGAAAACGATGCATATGATATAGATATATAGCTTAGAAGACTGGAAAGAGAAGAGTCGATAGCCTAGATACTCTTGCATGATAACGTCGAAACGCATATGTCGAATAATAAAAAACAGTCACTTGATGATTTCCTTTGTACAGCAACCCCTCTTTTGATGCCCATCCATTCAATTACCCCATGATAAAAAAACAAGAAAGATGAAATTATTCATTGCGTTGTCCCCTGATTAATGGTATCCGTTAATGTTTGCCGATCGTAGAGCTTCTAGCTCTTCTTTGGCCTTTTGGTATTCCTCCTGTGCCTCTCTCTCTCTTCGGCTAATGAAATTGACTTCATCTCGCAGTGACGCCAGTCGTCGGTTGATGGCTGTATCCTCGTTGATGGCCAGTATCTTGAACCCGCTGAGGGCTACCTTTGCCTTGTCCAAAGCGTCTGCCGCATCCGATACCTTGTCTTTGAGCATCTTTTGCCGCTTCTGGTACCCACCCAGATGCAACGTGAGCTTCTTCTCGAGCTTTGCGTCTTCCTCTGCTGAAGCCATGATGGAATCTTGAACGCTCTGTTAAATTGGTTAGCATCCCCTCAAATGACAGCTAAATGAGGTTTCATTAAAACTTACGTCAAAGGCAGCTCGCATAGCGGCATCTTGCTCATCCTCATCATCGTTATAACACCCTAATCCCAGAAGCAAAGAGTCTCCATTGGCCCTGCTTTCAAAGGCTGCTTGGATATCCTCAAAACTCGGCAGCGGCTTAGTTTCAGAGATAATTCGAAGGCGGGCGTCGGCGAGGGAGCTGTCGTCTATCTGGGCCAGAGGCGAAGGCTTGCCCTTGACTTGAGAGCCGCTCAGCGGGAACTTGATAGCATCATGAGCCATCAGAGCGGCCGTCTCCGCCGCAATGAGTGCCGCGGACGGATCGTCAATCGCCTTTGCTCTCTTCATCAGGTCTGTCAAGTCGACAACTACGGGCCGTGGAAGCCCTCTCTGCATTACTTGAGTCCGTCGTCGCCGTTCAAGCGCCTCTGCAGCTTCTCGTCTTTCACGCTCTCGTCGATCCCGGTCAGCAGCATCCTCTTCCATGGCATCATCGGCAGCCACAGTCTCCTTTTGCTCGTCTGGTATCTCAAACTCCCACTCGGTGTCTTTCGGCTTGGGCAGCGCAGCCAGTCCAGCGCGCAGCTGATTCCGCATGGCCATCTCCCTGTTTCTAATGTCTCGAGGGGTTGCACCTGTCATTGACATTCCGTCCTCTTGATTGAGAGCAAAAGTATCTCGTGGAGTCCGCATCGGTGTTTGGCCAGGAGCAGCACCGTTCGCTCCACCATTTCTTAAGGGTGTAGCTAGAGGATTGGGGGTCGCCATAACATGTTTCCGAGGAGCAATGCCCTCAAATCCGGTTGAGCCAGCTCCCTGGTGAAGAGGGGTATTCTCACCACCCAGCAGAGCAGATTGGGTATCATTTAGGGCCCGGATGTTACGGATTTCGTTGGCGATGTGGTCCTCCTGTGCAGGCGCTCTAGGTGTTCGGATCGGAGCATTTGTATTAAGAGTCGAATACGAGTTGACGAATCCTCGCGTCGCATCATTGTCGCTTTCTCTAGCCAAAGAGTTGGCGGCTTCGCCCATTTTGCCCATCTTTACAATATCCTCCAGCTCGCCGTCTCCTACTTGCGGTGCTGGCAAGTTTAGAGGACGGCGCTTGCTGCTTTGTTCGGCCTCTCGAATCCTCTGCATCTGGCCTGCTTTGATGGCAGCTTTTTGTGATTCTGAAATGCCCTCCTTGTCGTTCTTCCTCCTTTTGCGTTCGTTATCCTCGTCGCCGTCGCCTTTCCGCTTGCTAGCAAGCTGCTGTTTTCTCGGATCGAATGCCGCACGCTGCAAGTCATTTTTTACTTTCTCTTCCGAAGTGTCGTAGAATCCAGCGGCGGCCTTCCTTTCGAATGGGATATCTGCGTTGTAGTCCATCTCGCCCTGCTTTCGCGTGGTAACCTTGATGTTGATGCCGGCCGTTTTAAGCTCTCGCCGCTTCTGCAGAGTCGCAAGGCGACGGGACTCTTCCTGCTGGCGTTCTCGAGCCTTTCTCTTTGCCTTTTTGCCCTGTGTGTTGGCTAGACGAGCACGAGCCTCGCTGAGCATCTCCTTTTCGTCTTCGTCGAGATCGATGGTATCCGGTCGAGCGGGCTTCGTCTCTGGATCCGGGTCAAGCTCTCCCGGCCGCAATCTCCTAACATCGTCGGCACTTGGTGCTTGCGTCTCGCCACCGTCTGGTCCCATAAGGCCAAGGCCCGACGATTCGCGGGCCTCAGCCTCATCCAGCAGCTTCTGGTATCGCTCGAGACATTGGTTCGCAGTCCGGCCGACTATGGGAGCAATGGTGCGCCATTGGGTGGGCATAATCTTGGCGAGATGCAGCAGCTTCTCGTCCTCCTCCTTGCTCCACTCAATCTTCTTGATGCTCGGGTCCAGCCATTCGTTCCATCTGGCCTTGCACTGCTTGGCCGTCTTGCGCGCCAGCAGCGAGGACACGCGTGCCCATTGATTGAGGCCATACTTGGAGACGGACGCCTTGAGGATCTCGTCCTCGATGTTGGTCCAGACGCCTCCCTTGACGACCGGCATTATGGCGGCGGCGATGGAAAGTAGTGATGGTTGATGCGTGTTCGCCGGGCATGCTCAGAAAATATGCAGCCTTGCAGCCATACCGCGTTGCAGTTGATTGCTGAGTCATCAGTGTACAGCTTGCTGAGTCATCAGTGTATAGCAATCAAGCTACAGCGATTTCTAGCCAGAGAGGAAAATAAACATATACGCGCGCATCTGGCATCTACCAGTTGGGAACTTTCTCCTATAGACGAGTCGCTAAATAACGATCCACGGACATACGACTAATTAGAAGCGGACTATTACGCTTTCCAGCAGCGCATGTTGAGCTTGGAAGCTTGTATTCTTTTGTCACTTTATCGGCTAAGAATTATGGGGGACTTTATCACAACTCTTGACTGAGCCTGTTGGAGTAATTGTAATTTATAAATACCACTGGAATGTGTAGAATGCCCCGATTTACTCTTTTGTACATACATAGTTGACTTACGCTATTGTTGGTCCTGCATTGTGATTCCCAGGAATTGCCATTGATTGCCAGTAGATGGGTGTTGATATGAGCGTTTTTAACTTTTTTTTTGTTCCGAATGTGATAGTACAATCACCATTAAAGATTTTTACGCTTACGGAGGCCGGAAAGTCACTTACACCGTCTTAGTATAAGGGAAAAAAACGTCCCTAGAAACAGTGGCACACAAAGATTAGAGCAGTCACTGGAGCTTTACCTGATGCCAAATTCGGCAACCCAGGTGTGACTGCATGTCTCAGCTTAAGAGGATGCATTGTAATCTAGGGGCTGGGCAGTCATGCGAACTGTCAGGTACACATGAGGCACCAATAGATGTCTTTGTTTCGCCTAATTCGGCTTTTGATTACCTTGTGTTTACAAATACTGCGACTTGCATGAAGTGCCACGTAGAACCTCTTGTTTGCTGTCAGTGAAGAAATATGGAGTACATCAACCTACACTGAGCCCAACCACAGTTATCATCGGCAATTTATTACCGGCAGCTGGCAAATGATTGGACCATTGGGATAAAGTTGAAGCAACAAAAAAATTATTTTCTAGTCTCACTATTCACCCGGCCTAATCTATGCCGCAGCTACTGCTGCCATGCGGTGGAAACCAGAAGAAAACAACGGGCGATCTCCATAATACAAACACCAAGTTCGACGTCTGCTAGTCTGGTATATTTCTCCTCTTTGCCAACTTTCTTCGATCTGCAGCTGAATACCGTCTATCTAAGCAGCTACTGCATACAATAAAGACCCAATAGAATCTGTAGTTGGCAATAGTCCAAAAGTCCACTGAAACCTAAACAGCTCTTAGCCTGCGGAGGCGGAGTTCGGACTCCCGGCGCCCCAAAAGTCCGAATTACAAAGCGCAGAATTGGCCAGTTACGTCTACTGAGCATCATCAAATCCAGCCCAGGCACCGCCAGAGCACGGCTAAACGGACGCGGTCGCAAAGTCTGCCACTTCATCGACAAGCGTATCGCTGGTCCCCGCCGTTTTTCGTGGGATGCTGTACTCGGATAGGCTGGATAGGCTGGATAGACTGCAGCCCGGGCACCATCTCTGCGCTTCGGAGCGTTGGTGTGGCTGGCTCGTTATCGAAAAGAGCCCCGTCAGGCACGGCATTCGCAGGTGCCAGGCGTCATAGATTGGTTGGCCGACGCCTGCATGCGTGCATTTACTGGCTGTGCTGGGCAACTAGCAGCAGCAATAGCAGCAGTAGCAGCAGAGCTCCGTCGACAACGCGGTGGCCTGCGGGCATCTGGAGAGGCAATCGCGGAGTCGCAGCAATCAGGACCGGCCGCACTGACACGCTTTGCAGAACGCAGGTGCTGCAGATACATGGAGGCGTCATCTATACCAGCCTAACTCCGTCGACACGGGCTCAATCATAGCGTCAGACAGCAGGCTGGGACTTTTGGTGGTGCGCCATCCCTCTTGGATCCTGGTCGACCTTCCCCCCTGGGCCCCGGATTCTGGTTCCGAGTCCACTCAAGGGCGTCCACGCGATTGACGGCAGCTTGAGATTAGACTTGGCGGCTTGCGTTTTGCGTTTGGGCTTCTGCGAGCGCTTCCTCGGATCCACCCGCCAGCGATACCTTATCAATGCTCAGAGCCCATGCCCCGGTTTGCTGGGAGACGCATGTAATAGTAAGCTCTGACTCCAGACAATTGCTGCGTCGGGCTCGCTCATCTCGCGTCTCTCCTGCCGAACCTTGTCTACCTCCTTCTCGTCCTCTTGTGTATACATCTGTACATAATACATGCTCGTTCCCTCTGTTTGCGGAAAGTACCGAGGAGCTTCATTCCAGTGAGAAATGAGACTGAGTCAAGCTTTGCGCCGGCATCACAACTCCGAAAGCTATTCAATAGCTTTCCCAACTTGAGCTGGGCGCGTCTGCCCTCAGCAACCCCCGAGTCAATTCCCTGCTCTCGGACAAGGCCGCCTTGAATCGCATCAACTCAGTCGGCATTTCTCAACCATTTTCAGCCTCAGACGACGCATCGAATTCACAAAATGGCTGGGCCGAAGCGGAGAGGTGATGGGCGGAGTCCAAGTCCGACGGTTCGCGAAATCGACGATCGCAACTCGGACCTCACAGAAACGTCCCAATTGCTTGGCTCTAATGGGCTTGGAGCAAGGAAAGACAGCTGGAACAACGACCTCGATTTCCAGCATCTGCCCTGGTGGCGCAGGCCCTCTGTATGCTTTCCTTGATGCCGACGAGCAATTCGCAACACAGATAAGACCTAACAAGCACATGCAGGTATTCTGGCTTCTCGGGCCTTATGCCGTCTTCACCCTCGCTTTTGGCGGCATCATCGTTCCCAAGCTCAACTTGTAAGCAATAAAAAAGTAATCCTGTTAATTGCTTGCAGGTCGCTAATAATGCTTGCCCGAGAATACAGAATCTTAGATCTTGTCTGCAAGCAATATTTTGCTGACGAACAGCTCGCTAACCCCCAATTCACGTATAAGCCCATTGTGTTGGGGTCCGACAACCCGCAATGCAACATTCCAGCCGTTCAGCGAAACGTCGCTGAATTCATGCTGACACTCAACCTCGTCATCGGTGGTCTGAGTGCGATTGTTGCTCCAAAGCTGGGCCATCTCTCTGATCGCTATGGCCGACGAAAGCTGATGGCTCTTGCATCCTGCGGTGGTGTTCTGAGTGAGATCGTCACCATCCTCTGCGCTAAATACCCTCAGACATTCAACTACCGGTGGATGATCCTCGGCGCAGTTTTTGATGGCATTACGGGCTCTTTTACCGCTGGCAGCATTCTCAGCCAGTCCTACACCAGCGACTGCACTCCTCCATCCAAGAGAGCCGTGTCCATTGGTTATATCCACGCTTGTCTCTTCACCGGTCTTGCTCTTGGCCCTCTCATGGCCGGTTACTTCGTCAAGTGGACTGGAACGCTCATCTCAATCTTCTATGTTGCTCTTGGCTGCCACACATTCTTCATTCTCTTTGTTCGCTTCGTTTTGCCAGAATCACTCTCAAAGCGAAGGCAGATGCTAGCCCGTGAGAAGTTGCTAAGGTCTGAAGCTGAGCAAGCCGGCAATGAGGGGTCGTCATCTCGCATCCTTCATAACCCCTTTGCGACCCTCAAGATCTTGTGGCCAACTGGCCCCGGAACCTCTTCAAGACTCCGAATCAACTTGGTCGCACTAGCCGTCGCCGACACCATCATCATGGGATCTATGATGGCTGTGGGTAACGTGCTGATGCTCTACAGCGAGTACATGTTCGGCTGGGGTAACTTTGAGACGTCTCGTTTCATTTCGTCCTTGTCCATGATTCGTGTCTTTGTTCTGATGGCCATTTTCCCGATTATCAACTACGTCTTCCGCATCCGACCAGCAGCACGCCGGCGACGAGAGTCCGGGCAACCCCTCATAGAAGCAAACTCTGGAGCAGACAATCTAGACGTTTGGATTCTTAGGTTTGCATTGACTTCAGATTTGATGGGATGCCTTGGATATGTCCTTGCTCGGAATCAACACCTCTTCTTTGCCAGTGGAATGGTCACTGCCCTTGGAGGCCTTGGAAGCGCCACCGTCCAAGCAGCTGTCACCAAGCATGTTCCCGCGTCGCGCATTGGGCAGGTCCTTGGCGCCGTTGGTTTCATGCAGGCACTCTCACGGGTCGTTGGGCCCGTCCTATTCAACGGCTTGTACGCGATGACAGTTGGAGTCTTCCCACAAGCCATCTTTGTACTCCTTGCTGGACTGTTCGGCATCGGCTTGACATGTGCTTTCATCATAAAGCCCCATAGTGCGTATTTCCAAAACAACTCGTGGCCCTTCATATGCTAACAAAACTTTTAATAGTCCACTGGGAAGACATTGGAGAGGAACAGGATGAGCAACCATCGAGTCAACCCTCGAGGCGCCTTGCCGACAGCGCTGCCCTTCTCACAGCCAACGAGGAGGCGCTTATTTAGATGCAGATGAACCGGGCGGTGCACTTTTGGGAAGCGGTTTTTTGTCTTTAAGCGTTGTGTCTTTAGCGGTTTGCGGCGTAGCGGTCTGTGCGGGAGATGATTTCCTTTGACAAGTGGCGAGAATTACGAGGAGAATAATCCAAAAGCGATTGGACATATTGACTGACTGATTGGAATGATACGGGAAGGATAAAGCGGCTGTTGCAATCTGAAGAGGGGGTATTTATGATACGATATGTAATGTTAGAATATACGATAGAAGGTGGCTAACCAAATAAACTGTACAATGTAGGTGCATTTCATTCAATCTTATATAGATGAAGCTCGTTTATAAGACAATTAGTCTCCTATCCGGTGCAAAACAAAGCTCCTCTCCCCAGCCATTGAGCGATCGATCCTAGCGAGCCGAGACACTCTTCTCCACAACGCAGAGAAAACAAAACTAATCAAATCAAACGACTCGGCCCCGCTCCTCCAAAACAAACATTCTTAAATCTCACAAATCTCACGCTCACAATCTCACGCATATATTTAGATTAGCTGAAGCCATTTATTTTTGTTTCGCTTATTCCCTCTTCTTAAACTCATGAGTCTAGTTTTTCAAAGTCTAGCTCATCGATCGGGTTAGTTAAAAAGCTGAGGACCTTTTGCACATACGCTTCTCATTTCTCTCATTTTTCAAGTGTCGCTGACGTATGAGAAATTTCGCATGACTCGGACGATTTTACAGCTTCGAATAGATTGTTATTGTTCCGAGCGAGCCAACTTGTCAAGCAACGTTGTTCAAATTACCCCACTACAGCATCTAAACCGAATTGTCTCAAGAACGCATCATTTGTCAGAGGCGTCATGACTTCAACCAACACCGACGGCATGAACATCAAGTTTGGCCCCTTCGAGGTCACCAAGCAAGTCTTCCTCACCACGCCCCATTCCTACGGCCTCGTCAACCTCAAGCCCCTCCTCCCAGGCCACATCCTCATCTGCCCGCTCAAGCCGCACCGCCGCCTGCTGGACCTCTCCCCCGCCGAGACAACAGACCTCTTCACCACCGTGCAGCTCGTGCAGAAGGTCCTCGCGAAGCTCTACTTCCCGGATCCTACGGACCTCTCATCCGGAAGCTTCACCGTCGCGCTTCAAGACGGCGCCGACGCGGGACAGACGATCCCGCACGTGCACGTCCACATTATTCCCCGCAGAAAGGGCGACATGGGCGAGACGGCTGATGAGATTTACGTTAAGCTGTCTGGCGAGGAGGCGAATGTGGGAGGCGCCCTGTGGGATCGCGAGCATGGGAGGCCGCAGCCGGCGGGGAGGATGCCGAGCATTGAGGACGCAGAGCGCAATCTGCAGACGATGGAGCAGATGATTGAGGAGGCGGACAAGTATAAGTCTGTGCTGGGAGAGATGGGCGTCGGCAGCGCCAAGGCAGGTGAGCGACTGTGAGAGCAGCGAGGAAATGTCGGACAAGGAGGGTTTGTGGAACCCAGGTGCTGCTTCTTCGTATGCAGTGTAACGTCTGCAGAGGTGATGAAGTTGTAGTATTGATATAGGTGGCTTGTTTATCGAAGCTTATAGAGAGACATGTTTGTGAATATGGATCAGCTGCGTCTATTTCAGATGTAAGAGCATAATAGTCTGCAGAATCGTGCTACCACAACATCAGTTTATCAGTAAAAGGCAGAATCGGGGTTAATTGTCATCTTCCTCGGTATTGGCTGTGGACTCTCATGACTTGCTCGCCCGGAGCTGCACATTCCCTTTTGAACAGTAGGATTCGTATCAGTTATTACAGTTAAATAAAGGCTTATTGCGATTGGACAAGCACAAGTGCCAAAACGACGGCTGTGTGCTGTTACAACTGAAACTCCCGTCGCAGCCAAATCATGTTGAATGCAACACAGAGTTGCAAGATCACCACTCGCAATGCAGTCGGTACAGCCGAAGTTGATTCGCGCCCGAGACCGGCGAGGCGATAGTCGGCACCCGATTGCCGCTCACAACAGATGGGAGAAAACATCAAAATTGCAGACCATGAGGTTTACATCATAGAGTGTTTTCTCAAAATTCCCAATCATCCAGAATATTGGATGCCTGGCGGTCATGGTCGTTTTTATCTCTTGTGCCACAAATTCAGCCACTTTTCGCCAATAATACCTCGATTGGACTGTTCTTTATCAGTTCAATTTTCAATATACCTTACTATCGCGATGGCTGAAGATGCTCCACCCAGTGTGACCCAGTCTTCGGGAACTAGATGAAGTCTTTGTCTAGCCACCCCTGGATAGATGCATAAAGCCTGCGCCCACTCTCCACCTTGAAAGATTCTTTTTCCTTGTTTGGCGCTGGGACCACGAAAGAAGATGGAAAAGAGTGGAGAGGGAGTGAGGTCCTCAGGGTTCGGCTCTGCACCATCGAGTGGGTGTCCAGACGCCAAGTTCAAGGTCGTCGGAGAGGCGTCCCGGGTCGGGCGTTTGACGGTCTGTCTGCTCGTCTCCTTTGCGACACCCGCTAGAAACGACCTTGGGCACGGGAAGCCGGTCATGAGGCTGCCAGACTAGATGGATCTCAGCGCAAATAGCCGCAAGCTATCCATTCGCTGTTTCCGGGGTAGCACTCGACCAGACCGCCAGTTTGCTCCTCACGCTGCGATTCGAGACACATTCCAGGCCCCCCCAAGGTGAGCGGCGGGGAAGACTGGAAGGGCGACAACAAGAGAGATTGAGGAGGGGCACGAGGCGGGGGACATCCTCCGGCTGATTTATTGGCGCAGATCCGGATGCTCGTGGGCTCCAGCCGGTGCCTGTCTCTGCTGGCGCCCGCGTCTCTTCTCGCAATTTCTGCGGGATTCGATGCTCTGCAGCCGCTCACCGCGCAACATCCAGTGACGAGTCTGCCACCGACAGCCACAGCCGTCATTCCATCTTGGTCTGATTTGCCCTTTTGGCTGGCCAAGCAGCTGCAGATCCCAGGTTAGTGCGGGAAAGCCGCATAAGCTGATGAAATTGGAGTTGGAGGCTGGAGGGAGCAAAAGTGTGTAGCGTGACCGTGCAAAAACTGGCACCACGGCTCACGACCTACCTATCTCGCAATCTGTGATATTAAGTAATGGCAACTCGAGCCGTCCGCACTCAATGAGGACATTGACCCCAGCGAACCGAACCGAGCTGCTTCGATCTAGCAGGTTCTAGGCACATGCATGCAAGTACAAGCATGCGATTGATCCCCATCTTGGCTCGGCTGTCAATCTTATGTCGCATGGCAGAAGTGACCGGCTTGCATCCGAAACGACTCATCGCTGCTCCTGGTCCTTTCTGGCGCGAGCCGCATGAAGACGCAAAAAGAGCAGCGCAGCATGGTGAGTGCGCGGCTCATTTGTAGGAATATGCGAATGGCATGAGTTGACTTGTCTCTGACGATACTGTCCGTCACGACGCCAGGATCCTGGTCATGGCGCCCATCGTCATCGTATTGTCATGCGATCATCTGTTTCTCATTGCAAAGTCGTGATGGCCAAATGTCGCCGCAGTCAAGGTAAAGCAGAATCTTTCTTCCATCTCAAGGGGCGAAGCAACAACGTTGTCCGCAAAATTACATATGAAGCCATCAAGTAATAGATATCCCCAGCAGTCAGCATCTCCGGTGAAGGCGTCGGCTCGTCGGCGTCGCACCGACAATCTCGCAGCGCCATGCAGAAGTTGTCTAGGCTTTGCCGTCTTGGGTGGAGCGCCGCGACGCAGGGAAAATTCTCCCAGCCAATTGCCAAGCCCAATTGGCCGCGCGTCTGCGGTAGATGCATATACTGTGTAGTGGCGCAACGAATCTGCACTCCACCTCGATACTCCTAGTTCGGAGCGGAAAAAGAGGTTAAAAGTTGCAGGCAGCGATAAGCCAATGGCAGAGCATGTGATGTCTGGATCCGAGCGCAACACGAGACTAACAAGCCCCCTCTATCATAGGTGAGCTAGAGTTGCTGGGCTGTTAGTTGACCGGCTCTTCCCTAACTTCGCCCCCGGTTGAGTCGTTTTTCTCTGCTCTCTCCTCGCTTGGGTGTTATTACCGGCCGGCACCGATTCGCGGTTCGGGGATTAGGAGACTGGCATCAGCATCGCGGAGAGTGCGGACGAGCGTCTTTAGTGTTCCCCGGATGTGGCGTTTTCTCGGAAACAATGGATTGTGACGCAGCAGATCCAGAGTTGCTCGACTTCTTTAGCATGACTAGGACTGATTCTGCCATTGAAAGCAGCTGCTGTTGCAGCGCAAGCAAAACAATGCGAGACAGTTGAATGAGAGACATGTCGCCAAAAGAGCTAGGCGATAGTAAAACCCCCGGGGTACGACGCTTGCGGCTGCTGCCAGAGGCTAAAATACTCGAGGGCTCTAGCGTGTGGCTCGTGCGGCCCCTTTTTGTGCATACTGCTGCCGTCCTGCATGCAGGCCCTGTCTCAACCCCCACATGCCACACGCAGCCACACGCTCTACATGCATGTCTCTCTTATCGATGCATTCGGCTCCACCAGCTGCCACTGTCCGGTGCACTGTACCTCACTGTGCGCTCCCACCTTGGCAGACACCACGCCTTGAAATAGGCCTGCTCCCACCATCTTTCTCTCGCCTTCTGCAAATCTTGTTCAACAAAGATCCAAACATCTTCCATCAGCTCAGGTTATCAGTCTGCATAACTCTGTTGCTTCGTTCTTGCCACTCTCGTGTGCGGGGCTTAGCAACATAAACATCTCCCACCGCTCTTGCTTATATCTGCCTTCGCCTCCGCGCTCAACTCGTCATCCTTTACGACTCGCGCAACCAACCGACTCTAGAGAGAAACTCAAGCCTCTCTATACGCACACCAACACACGCACCTCTTCGCATCTGTGCCTGTGTCTGTTGTCGTAAGCTCATACCAAACAGAGAAGACATGGTCCTAACAAAGCAGGCACGTCTTCGCAACCCGGACGACTTCCCAACCCTTCAACTCTTCCTCCTCGGTAAGTCCTCTATCAACCTCTAGAGACGAAAGGTGGAGGAAAACAAAGCTAACATATGCGCAGCCATTGTTCGCCTTGCTGAGCCCATCGCCCTCACTTCCATCTTTCCCTATGCCTGGGCTCTTGTCAAGAGATTCAAGATTGGAAACGAGCAAGATGCCTCCTTCTACTCGGGTCTCCTCATCTCATCCTTCGCCCTCGCCGAGGCCCTGATGGGCATGTACTGGGGCGGCTTGTCGGATCGCATCGGCCGCAAGCCCGTACTGATCCTCGGCTGTGTGGGAACCATGTTCAGCATGATCATGGTGGGATTTGCTTCCAACATCTGGGTCGCCTTGGCCGGGCGTGCAATAGGAGGCCTTCTCAACGGCAACATTGGCGTCATCCAGACCATGGTCGGTGAACTTGTCACCAAGCCTGAGCATGAGCGTAAGTACTCTGTTCCAAACGCGTCCTGAACGTCATTGGACAAGACTTGCTAACAACTTCATCAGCGCGCGCCTTCTCCGTCATGCCTTTTGTGTGGAGCATTGGAACCATCGTGGGCCCTTGCATTGGTGGAACCTTTGCTGACCCTCACGAGTCTTGGCCCAATGCTTTCCCCAAAGGCTCCTTGTTCGAGCGATATCCCTACCTCCTGCCCAACCTCGTATGCGCTGCTCTCTTGTTCGTCAGCATCGTCATGGGATTCCTTCTCCTAGAGGAAACCCACCCTGATATGCAACCTCGAGTTCTACTCCCCGCAGATACCTACGTTTCAGAAGAGACACCGCTGCTCGAGACTTCAGACGCCATCAAGCGACCAGCAGTGGACCTTCGCGCGGAGACTTATGGAACCATTCGAGACAGCAGCAGCAGCGACGAGTGCCCGCAGCGAAGCTCCAACGAGATGCCTACGGAAAAGACGAAGCCTGCCCCTATCTGGAACCAGCGCATCGTCGGCTTCATCCTGTCTCTGTGCATCTTCACCTACCACTCAATGACCTACGATCACCTCATGCCAATCTTCTTTGAAGATGAGCGTGTTTCGGTAAATACTCTCTCCAAACTCGGTGCTTCTTCACCCTTCTACTCTCCTGGTGGCTTGGGCCTTTCCCTTCGCGAAGTGGGCATGATCATGGCTGTCAATGGAGTAATCGCTCTCTTTGTCCAGGCCGTCATCTTCCCCTTGGCAGCGGAAAGGTTCGGTGTGTTCCGACTCTTCCTCATTGTCACGGTTCTACACCCCATCATCTATGCCATTGTTCCAATGCTGCTTTTCGTCCCCGAATCCTTGCTCTTCCCCGCCATCTACCTATGCCTTGCCGTACGCAACGTCCTTTCCATCACACTCTACCCCCTCCTCCTTATCCTAATCAAAGGAGCTACCCCTTCCGCGAGTGCCCTGGGCAAAGTCAATGGCTTAGCCGCCAGCGCTGGAGCTGCTTGTCGCATGATTGCACCGCCAGTCGCAGGCTACCTCTACACGTTGGGCAGCCAGGTTGACTGCACTGCCTTGCCATGGTACGCCAGTTCTCTGGTCGCCATTGCCGGCGCTATCCACTGCTTCACCGTTCCCCGCGATCGTGATTGCCCGCGATCAAAGGACGACGCTGAGCGACAAATTATCCCTGCCACCCCCGCTGAAGTTTCAGTTGAGGATGTGGAGTGAATAACAATCATAAAATGATTTTTGATTAGAAAAGAAGAAAAGAAGAGAAGAAAGAACAGACAAAAAAAGTCTCTTACAAACGGCATCCTCCCGGTAGGAGCTGTCACATTCCTAAAGAAACGCCATCTGCAAGTAGCAGTGGCGGATTAGTTGATTTTGATTAACAGGTTTTACGCACGAATAAACGGCGCTTTTCAAGGGGACGAGGCTCGGATGGCTGTATACCCAATGACGCATGTTGATATTGGCTGATGGTATATTTGGGTGCGATCCCTTGGGACAACATACAGATGATATTCAAGAACTCGCACATATCAATTTTTGTATCTACATTTGGAGTTGGTTGCATTTGTTGGAGTTTTGGGGGGGCTCGGAAAAGTGTATTTTGATACCATATATATTTCTCTCTCTTGTCCTCAAAAAATGAAGGGGACTAGATAGTTTTAGAGATTAGAAAGATAGCAATAACAGTGCTGTTTGCATAAGTAAGACTTGTTTGCTGGTTGAAGTGATTTCGGCTCGTTGGTAGCACAGGTGCCGCTTGCTCTGGGAGCGGAGATTGCTGCTAGAAGAAGAGAAACAAGATGATGTGAGATTAAAGAAAGGAAGTCGAGCAATGATACTCTAGCATAAATCCAAAATGTTTGTTTTTGCAAACAATGCTGAATATTCTTCTGTCTGTTACCTGCGCATGTCAAGTCTTTTTATTCGTTGGCCGCTAGTATTAGGAACTAACAAGATCAAGCGTCCAAGATCGATCTGACAAAATTTTGTCCTCGTCATTTTCAAGATTGCCCCACTCATAAGGCTCTTACAGCAACAGCGCAGAAAACCAGAAAGTGAAGAAACACTTGTATTCCGCCGTCTTCATTACAAACACAGTATCACTATACTCAACCACAATCGAAGATAGGCGCATCTCCACAGCAATGAGTATAGACCAGCTCGCAGACCAGGTCGAGCAGGCCATGAGCCTCGCCCAGCAGGATCCATCCGATGCCACAGCTCCAAGCCTGCCGCCGGCGCTGGCCATTGCCAAGAACAAGTCGGTGGATGAGATCCTCGCCGATCTGAACAAGTCGCCGCTGTTCATGACGGAGATGGAGGACAACGACGACATTGCCGCGCTGCAGGCCTTGGCGTATGAGGGCACGCCGCTGGAGAATGCGACGGACTTCAAGGAGCGCGGAAACGAGTGCTTCAAGGCAAAGGGGTATAGAGACGCGGAGCAGTTTTACGGAAAGGGCATCTCGATTTTGTTCGTCGAGCAGCGGAAACGGGCAAAGGGGGAGGTCACCAAGAACCCCGAGACGGGGGAGCCGGATTCTGAGGAGGAGATTCAGCAGCAGAAGGAGACGCTCGAGGCCATGTATGTCAACCGCGCGGCGTGCCATTTGGAGATGCAGAATTATCGCAGCTGCTGGACGGACTGTGCGGCGGCCATACGGCTGAACCCGCGCAACGTGAAGGCGTATTATCGCAGTGGAAAGGCGCTGCTGGCGGTGGATCGCATAGAGGAGGCAGACGACGTGTGTGCACGGGGTCTGGCGATTGAGCCGGAGAATAAGGCCCTGAGGGCTGTCGCTGACGGCATCATCAAGCGCGCAAAGACGCTGGATGAGCTGAGGCGCAAGGCGGCAGAGAGGGAGGCCAAGAAGCAGCGTAGGAACCTGCTCCTCAAGACGGCGCTTGCGGCGAGAGGCATCAAGACGCGCAAGACGGAGCAGCCGCCCGAGATGGAAGATGCAAAGATTGCGCTCGTGCCCAACGAGGACGATCCTTCGTCCGAGCTGGCGTTTCCGACGGTTCTGCTCTACCCGCTGCATTTGGAGTCTGATTTCATCAAGGCCTTTCAGGAGACACACACGCTGGAGGACCATCTGGGATACATCCTCCCCTTGCCTTGGGATAAGGAGGGAGCGTACACACTGGCCGGAGTGACGTGCTACGTGGAAACGAAGGAGGGTGGGCTGATCAAGATGGGCAAGAAGGTGCCTCTGCTGAAGGTGTTGGCTGGAGGAAAAGTGGAAGTTGTGGATGAAGTGGTGAGGATATTTGTGGTGCCGAGTGCAAAGGCGGATGGATGGGTCAAGGAGTTTAAGGAGAAGAGGGCGGCGGAGAAGGGGGAGAGGAGGTGAAGGTGTTTGACTTGTGGACATGAAGTAGATATTATTTTAAAAGGGAAAGCGAAAAGTTTGGGTTTGGCGAAAAGGAGAGGAGAATGAGGAACAGATGGGCGATCCAATTCGACGAGCGTTCTGTACTCGTTTCTACATTGTGATTCCATGTGGTTTCCAACTTTTGAATCCGCACGATAAAAGCATGACAAACCATTCAAACAATTGATAAAGTCCACTAGGAATTGTCTGAGACGTCCTTCGTCATTGGTTCTTGTTCACTCTTTTACCTACTACTAGCCTATAAGCTTGAGCTTGCTTGATCTCTCATAACGGCCCTGCCATGAAATCTTTTTGACCGGGATATCTAATCGATTATATCGGACGCTCAACTTGATATTACAGTGAACATCATGATTTAGTATGGGAGAAGTTATCCAGCACCCTAATTTCATTATCCAACACCCCAACTGTAGTATAATAGGGCAGCCAGTTTATATGTTAAATATACAGCTGCCAAATACTTGTTAAAATAGCAACAGTAGTAGTAGCAGTAGCAGTAGTAGCAGTAGTAGCAGTAGCAGTAGTAGCAGTAGTAGCAGTAGCAGTAGTAGCAGTAGTAGCAGTAGTAGCAGTAGTAGCAGTAGTAGCCTAAGCTACAGCTGGAGTGCTAATAACATAATCGGGGTGCTAGATAACTTCTCTCTTTATTTTTGGGGTGTTTGATAACAGAACTGGGGTGCTGGATAACGGCTCCCTTTAGTATCATAGCCTAATCCCAGTATCAAGATTACACGAAAGGCTTCCGCCAATACTCTCAGAACTTCATGGGAGTCATGCTCTTCTTACCCTAGATCTCGTTGGTTGGCTTCAGCAAACACGCAATGTTACTCGTCAAAGTGAACCAGCTACAGTCATTGTTCTCTTGGAGGTATCACCTAAAGATGAGAAAAACTACGCTTTGACTGACCCTTGATATAGCAAGACTTAATTTCCGACAGCCTCTGGAGTGGACTCACTTCTCGGTAAACTGCATGGCCTCAAACCGCAGCTGCAAATGATTCCTATCCTCCGAATGCGGAATCTCTTTTGAAATAACGTGCAAAATTGGAATTGGGCCCTCACGGTCCAGGTGCAGAGGCGGCGCCATGCGGAGCACGGGGCGTTTACATTATAACAGATGCAAACACCCGCCGCTCCCTCATTTCTCTGCGGACAAAGGTTGCGTTCAATGTCCCGTGTGTCACCTGGATACTGTGCCATACTCTGAAACTTTCTACCGGAAGCCGCTCTGAGGGAGTAGAAGCGCTAACTGTGCCATGCTGGTTACATTCTCCTGTGAGCATTTTTAATTGCCCCCTTTCACGTTTGTCTGACATATTGCAGGCGCTAAATGCGAACATCTCTGCTCACCCTCTGTTTAAAGACCAATAGAGCTATATCATGAATAAAAGTGTGCGGAAGAAGGGGAAACTTGTCTGCAGAAGATTTCCCACCGTCCATATACGAGAATCTGAGATGGACAGCTATGCCGTCCTAGCACTCTCGTCCGTTTGTCACAACATTCTTACCTCACTGGACCCTTCTATTTGCCGAGGTATGGTAATCCCACCAGGCTTTCCGTCTCTCAGGTTGCATCTCGTGATGACATATGCGCAAATACTCAGTACGAGCAACTACCGATAGCTTGCCAATGCCGAGCTATCGGGCCGTGACAATCAATCTGCTCAGTGACATAGTAACTGGCATTGACAGGTGCGATAGGTATACCCGGCTTGACTCGACAACCATTGAATATGCTGATTCCGATCAAGACTGAAGGTGTACATTCTTGTTTTGTAAAGACTGTTACATCTGCTCGATGCATAGACTTTGTGTAAAAAATATAGCCAACAGCTTGATAATCTGACGCAAGCCGCAATCGGAGAAAGAACCCCAAGCAATTAAAAAGCACAGATACTGGATTTTGTTGATAATAACTCCAAAAGAGCGATTGAGTCGGCCTCGCTGCTCAAGCTCTCTGCCACAGCTCCAAAGATGACTGAACTTGTGCAGCATCGGAGAATTTCCCCGAGTCTGTACGCATATGCTCCTCCATACTAAGCTGGTGGCATGGAACATGTTTCCTTTGTGTTTGTTGAGCTGAGCTCGTTATGGAAGAAGCAAAGTACATCGATTCGTTATGGCTGAGCTAGACTAGTGAGCCTGTACGCCTACCAATGCATGGCCAGCCTGATACTAACATCCTGAATACTTACCGGATGGGCGATTAACGTTATCAATTAAAATTGTTGACACAAAATGCAGATCCGACATCAGCAGCCAGAGCCATATGATGCCGCGTTTTCCACACGTGGCTACCTCGAAGGTATCCTGCCATACTCTGGAAGGAAAACGTCAACGGATACATGGAACACAGCCCCCAAACCTCTTGTTCTTTCCCGTACTTCATCAAGGTCGTAGCCGACTGGAAGGATATTTGGTCCAAAAATGCCGCCAATGCAGCTACCCGTGGCGATAACCGCCTCTGTCAACGGAAAAGAAATGACGTTCAAACAGATGGCTGCCTTGTTCTGCGCCTGGCACTCTGGTATTTGCGTTCGTCGAACCCATTTGCTCTACTAAGCGACTTTCCGGAATGCTTCATCTAGAGTAACGTCGTCTTCCATTCAAAATCGACGGATGTCTGCAGTAGTAGAATCATGAACATGAGATAGGCAACTAGTGTATATCCCTCGAGCGCATGTTTGGTCAAGGCATATTCGAGTTTCACCGCTGGCTGGATATTGGTGCACGAAGACGATGGATTTCTCGCCATCTTGATGGCTAGAAGTGCGTAACGCGTACTTGATCATCTACGGAGGTTATAGATGGGACCCATATGATCTGAGCTAGGACCCATGAGACTAATTTGGCTTCCCGTCTATGATACCAATATAGATGCTCATCAGCGGCAAACGGGTGAGCGATACTTGCTGTACTGCACCTGAGCCTGAAGCAACTGGACCATTTCGGACCTGGATACGATGTTGGAGAACGATTAACCTTGAACTTTTCTTCTATAAACTGCAGCATTCAGTGTGATAATTGAAGAACAAGATATATTTTGAGGCTTGCCTGCCAACATCAACACTCTAAGCTTTATTGCGGAGATCTTCGGATATTCTAACCGCTGTGGAGACTCACAAACGCAGCAGCAAGAGGCCCATGCTTGCTGGACGCTTGAAATTAAGAATTAGCATTCGGAAATCTCATTCCGGAAGCTTGGGAAGCAAACCTCATCGAAGACGCACATGATCGGCGGCCGTACCGTTGAGAGTTTAACGTATCGATCCCTGCGACCTTTCTGTGCCCCGGATCTGTGACCCCCTATTCAAGAAACAAGCAGCCCAAGATTCCCTGCCCAGACAGGCAATACTTTTAAAACAATTTTCTTTTCATTTTGTTTGCCCAGCTGGGAGCCTAGGATGTGAGAAGTCTTGGTGCTGCGTTTGGTCGTCATTCGTGCCGTTGGTGAAATTTTTGTGGGAGCTATATGAAGGACTTGCATCCTCTTTTTTTCCCATCGCAAAGCCAATACCACGCTTGCTTTCTTCTGCAACTTTGTTTCATGTTTGTAGCCAACAGATCACAGGGTGGGATTTTTCCTGCATGCCGACTAGATTACATGATGCCTACAGATACCGGAAAGAGAATGCTCTCTCTGCAAGCCCTCTTGAATCCCGCCTCGCCTGGCTATTCTGCTACCTGCTTTCGACAGCCTGATTCAGTATTAGCGACTGAATCAAGATTACCACCGACAGAAATACAAACTGCCACAGATATGTCGCCTCTGCCAAAGGTCGAGCCATCGGCAAGCACCGTCAGCATGACCAAGTCAAAACCTTTGGGACCAATCAACTTTGCACCTTTTGAAGAAATCGATCAAGCGTCATATCGGGAGATGAGCCGGTTTCGCGTCAGCCCGTTTGGAAAAATACGACAAAGCTGCCAACACATTCCCTACAATAGTTCAAAAAAGGACTTTTTCGAGAAGACGGGGAGAGAAAGTATTGAAGGTAAGGGGGAACCTCTCCAAAGAAATAGGAGACTGGTTGTCCTTGGAATTAGACTAAAATAGACCTGCCGACAGTATTCAAATACGAATTCCGATTGCCAGATAGGGAAAAGATCTATACCGTCATGTGGGATTATAACGTCGGCCTTGTTCACATGACTCCATTCTTCAAGTGCCTGGAGTATACCAAAGTAAGGCTCAAATTATGCCATCAATTTGCCTCTCGAGTTTCTCTCTTCCTAATCATCAACAGACCACGCCGGCACAGATGTTGAGCCAGAATCCAGGTTTGAGAGAAATATCGCCCAGCATCACTGGCGGCGCCGTATCAGCCCAAGGTAAGCCCAAACGCATTCAATCTCGCGGTTGGTCGCTTACGAGCCCCTTTTCTATATAGGATATTGGATGCCTTACCGGTGTGCCAGAGCGGTATGTGCGACCTTCTGTCAAAAGATTGCAGGCGCACTGATTCCCCTCTTTGGCCCTTCGTTTCCCTCCGAGTGTACTCCGGCGCCTTTCAACTCTACTCACTGCAAGGGCATGGTGATTAGCCAGCAACTCATACTCAAAGCAACCGAAGAGGTCGAGAAATATCGCCAGGGGCAGAATAGCGGGTTTATCAAGGCTGTCGGCGAACTAAGCAGCTCTCGTCGGGTCGAAAGCTATACATTGCGTCGCAAGCACGAGCGCCAAACCACACGTGTGCCCATTTTACCGTCGCAATGCCGTTCTGCTTGGAATACAGTCGATGGATCGGTCGCTAATCGACGCGCTATGGAAACTCTGGCCCAGAAGATGGTGTGCGAAAGCCGCGAGGCCAACAAGATGTTGCTTGGGGCGAGCCGCAGTGCTCTTCTGAATCCAGCTGTGCCCAGCCAAACCCCATGCCAGAAGGAGAAAGCAAACACATTCGGTCCGCCACGAACAGAAGTGAATGTTTATGAAGAAGAATGGGGATCCAAACGGCGTAAACGAGCCTCAGACGAACGGATCACGATGAATTCGCCCAGCAGAGGAGAGAGACTGCACCAAGAAGAGCACTTGGGGGTAGCTGAAGTTCTCCTGAGCTTGGCCACAGATATCCGAGACACGGCACCTCCATCCTCATTGACTGTGGAAATGCCAAACCACGACGAAGACTTTCACGGGCGACATCGCAAAAGGAAGCGACCAAAGCCTCTAATACTTTAATCACCGGATGCTGTCGCCGGTGCTGAAGACTTGTTTCCCTTTCCATTTCTTTCTTTCTTTTTTTTTTTTTTTCAATCTTGAAGCCGTTTGTCTGCGTAATAGTCGCTAATTGCTTTTTGAGATACCCCATTGGGCTGGCACCTGCAAATCAGACTGTGTTTTTGTGTTTGTTTGGGATCATCTTTCGGAGAGACGTTTGGCGTATCTGCTTTACCTTTTTTTGTTTTTGCATATTTGGAATTCTGAATTTTTATTGAGATTAGGAATATTGTTCGGTTAATTCAAGGCGTTTTTTGTATTTGTAGTTTTGGGTTTATTGAATTTTGTAAGGATTGTTGGTATTTTGGCTTCTTTGTTGGTTAACCTCTAGGCTGTTTAATTTAATTCTTTGATAGGACCATATTGACATCTTCTACGCGCCATCCATCTTACTTGGTACTTCGGATGGTTACCGGCCAGGTACCCGCTCGTCTCTGCATCGCCTAGCGGTACCTCCCCGCCATCTCACTCTGGGCTCGCCGCCCGGTGCCCTGATTGGCCCGCCGCCTCGCCTCTGCCTCAGGCATGAATAACGCGTCCCACTATCGATCCCCGCTAGCACGGATTGGGATTTTTGCGACAACCACAGCAAGGTCGCGTCAAACAAAGGATGCTATTTGTTTACGCGGGGGCTTTCAACAAGAAGAAAAACTATCACCGCCTCAGCCAGCTTCTTTCTTTCATTGCTTCTGCTGGCCAGCCGATGTGACAACGCCCAATTTCTCGTTCAGCCCGGGCCACTGCCGCTCCTTTCATCTCTTCTTTCATCTCCCCTTGGCAGCATCGCCCTCGAGCGCTTCGTATTTGGCCAGTCCGTCCCTCATTGCTGCGTGTCTCAGGCCTATTTGGAACACCCCTGCCCAGCACTTTATCAACCGCCTTTTTCGAGCGCCCAGCATCAACCACGACTTTCCACAAGCCAAACAGCTCTCAGCCAAGAGAAATCGCTACGATGGATTCCGACGACGACTCCGTCTTCCAAATTGAAGACGACTCCGACGGATATGTCCCCAAGCCCGTAAGTTACTCTTGACCACATCGCATGGTTCCTACACCGAAGCGCCTGCACCTGTGATGCGCTGCCTTTGTGTGAAGCGACTTTGTATTCTTCTGTCAAAGGATATTCAATTGCCGGCGCATCTGGCTGTTGGGCAGCAATTCACCCATCTTTCCCCTCCATATTTCGATTGCGACAACCCGACTACGCTCTATCCTATGCGCCGACCCAACGCCCTTGGGAAACGACCTTTACGCATTTCCTTCACCTCTGCTTTGTGTGTCCACCCTGCGGCAGCTAACATATCTCCTGTAGAAAGGCAAGGCTGCAGCCGCGAAGCCGGCCGTCAAGAAAATGGTGCAGACAACTCTGAAAAGCAAAGCGCCGCCGAAGAAACGGCCGATCATTGACCTTGAGAGCGATGAAGACGACGAAGATGTGGAAGCGTCGTCCGGCTTTTCAAACACTCCACCTACTGCTAAGAAGCAGAAGACGGCGCCACCGCCCAAGAAGTCGGGCACCAAGCCGTTGGTAGAGGTTGAAAATGATAGCATGGCAATTGACGACGACCCCAAGCCTGCCGGCAAGAAGAAGACGGCGACGGAGACGTACCAAAAGCTGACCCAGCTCGAACACATCATCAAACGTCCCGATACATATATTGGCTCTGTGGAAAAGACGGACCAGCAGATGTGGGTCTACAACAAGGAATCAAAGCAGATGGAATACCGCAACATCACCTACGTCCCCGGTTTCTACAAGATTTTTGATGAAATTCTGGTCAATGCTGCCGACAACAAACAGCGTGACAGCTCCATGAGCATGATGAAGGTCAACATTGATCGAACCTCTGGCGAGATTAGCGTCGAGAATAACGGCAAGGGTATTCCCATTGTCATGCATGAGAAAGAAAAGGTGTACATTCCTGAGCTGATCTTTGGTCATCTGTTGGCTGGATCCAACTTCGACGATAACGAGAAGAAGACGGTTGGTGGACGAAACGGTTACGGTGCAAAGCTGTGCAACGTTTTCAGCACAGAATTCACATTGGAGTGCCAGGACAGCGAGCATGCGAAGCGATACAAGCAGACGTGGACAGACAACATGCAGGCCATGCAAAAGGCCAAGATCGCTTCCAACAAGACCTCTGATTTTGTTCGGGTCACGTTCAAACCTGATTACCGTCGATTTGGAATGGAGGAAGGCATTACAGACGACCTTGAGGCCCTGCTCTACCGAAGAGTCTACGACCTGGCCGGCACAATGCGAGGAGTCAAGGTCCAGCTCAATGGCGAACTTATCAAGATCAACAACTTCAAAGCATACTGCGACCTCTACGCAAAGTCTATTGCTGGCGAGAGGGGTCAGGAAGAAGGGGGTAATCCGACTTGTACCGTTGAAATCGACAAAGACAAGAGCCATCCCCGGTGGGAAGTTGGCTTCACTGTATCAGATGGTACATTCCAGCAGGTTTCATTCGTAAATTCGATTGCAACAACGTCAGGAGGCACTCATGTCAGCTACATTGCCGACCAAATCACAGCATCTCTCCTCAAGGCCGTGACGAAGCTGAAAAAAGGCCACGGCTTGAAGCCGGCGCATCTCCGAAACCACATCTTCATCTTTGTCAACTGTTTCATTGATAACCCTGCATTTACTTCGCAGACCAAGGAGCAGATGACTACCAAGACTTCTCAATTCGGCAGCAGGTGTGTTCTGGGAGAGGACTTCTTGAAGAAGGTTGCCAAGTCCGACGCAATTCAAAACATCATGGCCTTTGCTGAGAAGAAGGCAGACAAGATGATGGCCAAGAGCGATGGAAACAAGCGCTCTCGAGTGAGCAATGCTAAACTTGTGGAAGCCAACTTGGCGGGAACCAGGCGTGGCCACGAGTGCACGCTAATCTTGACTGAAGGAGACTCTGCCAAAGGTCTGGCTGTTTCTGGACGAGCCATTCTTGATCCCGACCGTATCGGCGTGTTCCCACTTCGTGGTAAACTGCTAAACGTTCGAGACGCTTCCATTGACCAAATCACCAAAAACCAAGAGATTCAAAACATCAAGCAGTTCCTGGGTCTCAAGCACAAGCAGACGTACACTGATACGAAGAACTTGCGTTACGGTCACCTCATGATCATGGCCGATCAGGATCACGACGGTAGTCATATCAAGGGTCTTCTCATCAACTTCCTCCAGGTGCAGTTCCCCTCACTGCTCCAGATTCCAGACTTTTTCCGAGAATTCATCACACCCATCGTCAAAGTCTGGCAGGGCCCCAACCCCAAGAAGCCCCAAAGATTGAAGTCGTTTTTCACACAGCCGCAATATGAGGAATGGAAACAAGAACGCGGTGGCGAAGTCAGCAGATGGCATTACAAATACTTGAAGGGTCTGGGTACCTCCACCAATGAAGATGCCCAAGTGTACTTTACGAACCTGGACGAACACTTGAAAGAATTCAGTGTTATGAAGCCGGAGGAAGCGGATCTGTTCGACCTGGCTTTTTCCAAAAAGAAAGCTGATGCCAGAAAGGAGTGGCTAGGCGGCTTTGTCCCTGGTACATACCTGGACCATTCCTCAAAGCTCATCACCTATAGTGACTTTGTGAACAAGGAGCTCATTCTGTTCAGTATGGCGGATAACATAAGATCCATCCCGTCAATGATTGATGGACTGAAGCCTGGTCAACGAAAGGTGCTGTACGCCTGTTTCAAGAGAAACGTGGTCAAGGATGAAAAAGTTGTGGAGCTGGCTGGTTACGTCTCTGGACTGACTGCTTACCACCACGGCGACATCTCGCTGCAGCAGACGATTGTTGGATTGGCCCAAGACTTTGTGGGCTCAAACAATATCAACGTCCTCGAGCCCAGCGGTAACTTTGGTTCTCGACTTGCTGGCGGCTCGGATTCTGCTAGTCCTCGTTATATCTTTACGCGACTGTCCCCGTTTGCTCGGGCAATCTTTTCCTCTCTCGATGAGCCAAGTCTAAACCACCAATTTGAGGATGGAAAACAGATTGAGCCAGAAGTATTTGCTCCGGTCCTGCCCATGGTGCTTGTCAATGGTGCCGATGGTATTGGCACAGGTTGGAGCACCTCTATCCCCAACTATCATCCGCTAGAAATCGTGAAGAATCTGAAACGACGAATGGGCCGTCTTGAGGAAGATGATAGCGAAGAGAAACCGTTTGAGACAATGACCCCCTGGTTCAGGGGCTGGAAAGGTGCACCAGAGGCTGCCGGCCAGGATCGATACAAGTTTAACGGTATTGCCTACCAAGATGAAAAGAACCCGAACGAAGTGGTCATCACTGAGCTTCCAATTCGCGTCTGGACCGATGATTTCAAGGCTCGCCTTGAAAAGATCATCAGCGGCGTTGATGGCCCTACCTGGATCAAGGACTACAAGGAGTTCAACGACCACAAGACTGTCCACTTTGAGATTCAAGTGGATGAGAAGCACATGGCCAAGGTTTTGGAAGAAGGCCTGCTTGAGCGATTCAAGCTCACTAAGCAAGTTGCAACTTCAAACCTGGTCGCTTTCAATACTCGTGGTCAGATTCGCAAATACGAGAAGGTGGAAGATATTTTGGAAGAGTACTATGTCTATCGACTCGAAATGTATCAGAAGCGAAAGGTATGAGATCATCCAGACTGGCAGCTGATTTACGGTTGACTAATAACACCTGCATATAGGACCACTGGCTTGGCGTCTATGATGCTGATCACCGGAAACTGAAGAACCAGGCGCGCTTTATCCAAGAGATTATCGACGGCGATTTGATCGTTGGCAAGAAGAAGAAGACTGTCCTTGTTAAAGAGCTGCGTGACCACAAATACGAGGCATTCCCTCCTGTCAAGAACAATATGAAGAAATCGACTGAAGAGGAAGAGGACGAGGAAGAAGATGGCGAGGAAAGCGCTCGTGATTACGATTATCTTCTTTCGGTAAGTTTGATCTGTCG